GACAATCATTTCAAAAAACGCTCGGTTCCAATAAGACCCCTCCAATTTCGCCTGAATACAGCAATCCCTCCAAATATTAATCAACTCACTAACTTCACTTTCCTTCCATTGACTAGACTTTGAGCCTGACGTGTAGGTGGGATGAGTGTGACCTTTCCGTTCAGGCTGAAGTCGCTTGTCAAAAGATCGGATGTGTATCGGCTTTAGGAGCACATATGCAAGTGGCCTGGGTCATTTTGGAAAAAATCTGATCTGTTTCATTCAGACTGTCATTAAAAGGTCAGATACAGGAGCATAAGCGTGAAAAAATCGGATTTGGGTCACTTCAGGCTGCAGTCTGAACGTAGCCTTAGTCTGAACGTAGCCTTAGTCTGTCTACATCTCCAAAACTCAAAATGTTCTATTTCACCTTGTCATGTCATGTAGTGGTAGTTTTTAAGTTAACAGCTAACTTTTAACCTTAGTTCAGTAGAGATTGGCAATTCCATGTCTGAAATTATCCAAATGATTCTAGTGATAAAAAAGCACGTCCTGTATTACCACATGACATCATAAGGTGGAACAGAGTGTTTTCTGTTTGAGAGAAGAACTCAGCCTGAAGATGCAGGGTGTGTGTGTGTGTTAAACATGTGTGAATGAAATAAAAAACAACTTCATGTATGTAAGCGCTAAGGAAACAACATGGATGTAACATGAATCAAAAATAGCATCATATGAGGCCGTTAAATGTAATTATTTGTTCTCTCAGTGAGCTACAAAACAAGAGGCTGATATGTTTTTCAATCAAGAACCTGTTCCTATTGTGTTTATCATGAAATAAAGGACTTTTGATTGTATGTGTGCATGTAGTCTCGTGTCTAGCTACAGTTATACATAATTTGATGCCATAAAAGTTGAGTTTGAGTCTCAATGTTCTCTGATGTGAAACAATGATCCTTTGTGTTGAAAATATTAATATTCTGATGCTGCGAAGGCGTCAACTCACAACCAACAACTAGGGCTTTGTCCAGTGTTTCTGAAATTCAACCTCCAGTGTGGCTCCAAAGAATTATTTAAGCCTGTAAAAATATCTACATTGTATGAAAAGTGTAAAGTTTAAAATAAGAGTGTCTTAGAAAAGTGTGTGTCAATGCAATTCAGACAAATGCCAAATAATGCAAGGAGTTCCTCAAGGTTCAATCCATGGTCCTCATTTATTTATACTTTGTTGATACTTTGCAGCGACGAGTCTATGGTGGAACCGTTTATCAGTTACCATGGTGACACAATGCACACATTAAGGCTACGTTTACACTAAAACGAATCACTGTATCACCGTATCAGAAATGATTTGCATCCAGACAAGTCGTTTCTGTGTCCACAAGCCTTTCCTATCCGCACAGCTTTGAGCATATTTGTTTACATTTTACAGAAACGAAACTTAAAACTGCATGGCTAATTTGCATAAACTGAGTGCTCAAAAAACAGCTCGCTATTGTGCGCTGATGCGGTTCAGCTTCTGTCGGACTAAAGGACACAACTCAGAGGAATATGAGTGTTCTTTCTGTGACAGAGGGGTGTTCTGCTGATGGTGAGTCTGTTCTGTGCTTCTATCGCGTTGGAGATGGTTCATGTTAAACTTTTCAGAGATTATACATCTGCAGGTTGTACACACACACTGTATATATGAATGGACATATATTCTAGCCTCTTAGTGTTTTGGCGGTGAATTACTTCCCATAAAACTACATCAGCATATCAGCATTTTCAGGCGTCCACATGGTGCCAGATCAGAGTCGTACTCAGATGAATTCGTGGGAGCTGGCGGCACCAGGTCTTTCTGTCTCTGGAGCCGTTTTCCATCGGATTAGTGTGGACGAAAACTGTATCCACAGCGAAATGACTCGAATACGGACTAGTGTGGATGGGGCCTTAGAAACACACACAGGTTTTAGATTGTCTGAAACTAAACAAACAATACAAAATTGATTTAAACAACCATTTAAACCAACACTAGGACCTGACAGAGCACCACAATGTTCTACACCACCAGCAGGAGAACATGAAGCTCTCCCTGCACTGTCAGGAGAACTTCGTAGTGTTTATGTAGTGCTGATGCAGTGGAGTCTTGGGTCTAAAGAGTAGTGCTGCTGTGGATGTGTGGTGCATGTGTGGTGTATGTGTGGTGCATTTGTGGTGTATGTGTGGTGTATGTGGTGTTGGCTTGTGTGTGCATCATCAGGAGGGCAGCAGCGGTAATAGGAGCAAAGACTGAGAATGACCCTGGAGGGTGCGAGCTCTCAGAGGAAGGTGACTGGATCATTTTCACACCCCGGAGGATGTTGATGACCCAAACTACTAAAGAAATACATCTCATACCATACATACACGGTATATACACGATGTATCTGTCACTTCAGGAGCAGAAAGAGGGTTTGAATCGCTTTTACATTGAATCACATTTACATGAAAAAAGAGGCTTAGTGGATTCTGTGAAACATAGACAAAGAGTGAAAGGCTCAATGGTCTGTCCTTTACATGAAAAGACCAAGTGCAGAGTCTTGGGGGCAGTGAGATGAATACAGCCAGAATGCAGGCTGTATTTGCAAATTGGTTTTGTCATACAGCAATGACGTACGGTCTAGTCTCGAACAGAGATGATCGGGTTCAACATTTTAATATGCCTCATGAAAATACCATGGACTCAATTAAGAAAACTGGCTCTTGCTCTGACCTGACAGTATGACATCACATACCTCAAAACCACATATTTTTTGTTTTTTGTTTCTTGTATATAGACGCTGTTTTGAGTACTTTTCACCATCCAAAAGATATAATATTTAATTTTGAACTGTCTCCCCATAGACTGTAGACTAATATATAGATGGACATAGCAAACCCATGAGCTAACTCTGCTTCCAGTTGACTTTGCGTTGAAAAATTGTGGCCACTCTCTGTAACTTCTGCTGGGAGCCTCGTCATTTTGGTCTTAAAATGTTCCTATTAACCTGCTCTACCTGCTTAATAAATTCCTTTTCCTAATATGGCTCCAAATTCTCCCCTGTAACCCCTAGTATTTTGAGCTTCATTAGAGTGGAGCTGAACACTGTGGGTGACGTCACACTCTCGTAGTCCACTTTTTTATAGTCTGTGTTTCACCTTTGTGCCTGTACGATGAAACATGAACTGTCTCCTATGTGCTCAGAAAGTAGTGTCTCATCTTAACCCCTACATACTTTGCATTGATCATTTGTGCCTCTGTACTAGACTCTCATTCATTCAGAAACACTGGCGCTTCACAAAGAGCCCACACAGAGATAACCCAGTGTCCAGGACAAAGGCGACTGACTCCACCAGCGAAGCCCCGTCCGCCGGTGGATTTGGGCCAAGCCTTCACCTCCCCTGACCCCTCTCCGCAGCTCCTGGGGTCTACGAGTACATGTCATTACCAGAGGAACTGAATAAATTGTTTCTCTGATTGATTCACGATTGATTTGAAGAAACTTTCTTTGTACATTTTGTGCTCAGATTTGAGGGTCTGCCACTTGCCTGTCTCCATGGAGATGGGATTGCTATGAAAGTTTTCACAGACATAAACCTTATCCTTCTCCAGGGAGATAAGCTGGTGACATAACCAACCCAAGTTACTGGTTACATCTATGGAGAGGGCACCCTCCTCACAGTAAGAATGCAATATTTATAGCAGTAAAATCAGCTTTAACTCTTGATATTTTTGCTACTCATTTTGTATTTATTAAGACCATTTATATATAAATAATAGGGGTGTAATGATTTCTAAGTCTCACGGTACAATATCGTCACGGTATGAACCTCACAGTATGATATTTATTACAATATCGTAGGAAAGCTTGCGATGCGGTGGGGCGGCTCATGATTAGGGATGTAACAAAATCCAAATCTCTTGATACGATATTTTCATGATATACATCTCACCGTACGATATTTATTGAGATATTTTGTGGAGGCTAACAAAACTGTGAATATGCAACTTTTTCCTCTTAAAATGCCTTGATAAGACTTAATCCAAAGAACTAAGACTTAAAAGTGCTTAGAACTGTTATTTCTTCTTGTAGTCTACACTAAAATGGAGTAAAGGATCATGGTCTATGTAGTTCCCTAAGCAAAGAGACTTGTAATTCGATATATTATGATGGTTCACGATATTATTGTGAGAACTTTGACGATACAATATCACAATATTTTGGTTATTGTTACATCCCTAAAAGAAAATGCCTTCAAAATTATGCTTTGAGTTTATAATAAAAGGTAAAAGATGATGAAAGGAATTGATGATGGTGAAAATAATATTAGTTTAAGTATATTGACTAAAAATTTTATTTAAAAATAGGAGGGGGAAAAAAAGGAAGAAAGAGAGAGAAAAGGAATTTCAATTATAAACTGGCCAAAATATATCAATGTAAGGGGGCCTGGCGGTGTGTTTATGCTGCACTACCACATTATTTTTGTTTTATTTAACCAAATTTGTGTTGGGGTGTGTGTGGTTGGGGGGAAACAGACCTGTTTAACACACAAACCCTGCATATTTAGCATTAGTACTTCTCTTGTTCCACCTTGTGATGTCATGTGGTGATACAGGAAGTGCTCCACTGTGTTTTTAAACATCAAACACCTTCACTCGAATCATTTTGATCATTTCAGCCCCTGGAATTTCTAATCTCTACTGAATTAAAGATAAAAGGCAGCATTTTTAGCTTTGTAAATTAATCAAAACACGTCTCCAGGTATGTTTTTGATGAGGTAACAACATTATAACATGATTTAAAGCCCACAAGAGTCAATTTTGTGTAATATAGGACCTTTAAACAACACAAAACACAATTGAATCAAAAGCTGACATCAGATGAGTTACAATACCCATTGAATACTTTTCCTTGAGTACCATCTCTCCTCCTCCTCTGTTAGGGGAGGGTGCCGGTTCAAAGCCGGCCCGGAGCAGTCCTCCCGTGGCACAAGGGCACGCGGGCAGTTGAGTTGCTGGTTGTATAGGACAGATTAAAGGTCGACCCCTCCCAGACTCCCACACACTACAGGACTATGGCCTCCAGCAGCGGGCCAGGGCACAGCGCCTTCGGACTGGGCAGGAAGAAGAAGAGTCCCGGCCTCATGGATCAGATCAGTAAAATATTCGCTGGGGACAAGAAGAAGCGCAGTAAGGTCAGTGGATTTGGGGAATAATTCTGCTTTAAATGGAGCTGGAGGTGTACTCACGGCACTACGACTTCTCGTGGAAGGGGGCGGGGGATAAGAGGACTTTGGGGGACAAGATTTTGGTGAGAACTGATATTTTAGATAATAATAGAAACATGTGCCACCAGTCAAAAGTTTGGACTGTATTTTTCTGTATGTTTACTTCTTTCTTCATTTGATGCATAAACAGAAGACATGGAATATATGAAGTAAAATGTATGGAATTAGGAAGCAAAGAGAAAAAAAAAACTTAAATAATTCCATATATTTTGTTTCTTCTGATGAAGCAAAGGAAGGCTATCTTTATATTTAAAAAAAGGCTATCTAATATATATTAAAAATAGATATTTAGTAGAGTAATTTCACATTTTGTGTCTTTGCTACTTAATTCCAAAACATAGAAAAAAAAGAATAAGGTGTCCAATAAGGATGTAACAGTAACCGAAATATCGTGATATCGTATCGTCAAAGTTCTCACAATAATATCGTGGACCATCACAATATATCGAATTACAAGTCTCTTTGCTTAAATTAAGAGTTATGGTGCAGCAATAGCTAAAAAAGACAGAGGGAACTACATAGCCCATGATCCTTTGCTCCATTTCAGTGCAGACTACAAGAAGAAATAACAGTTCTAAGCACTTTTAAGTCTTTGGATTAAGGCTTGTCAAGGCATTTTAAGAGGAAAAAGCAGCATATTAACAGTTTTAGCTGTTTAGCCTCCACAAAATATCGCAATAAATATCATATGGTGAGATGTATATCGTGAAAATATCGTACCAAGAGATTTGGATATTGTTACATCCCTAATCGTGAGCCTCCCCACCATATCGTAAACTTTCCCACAGTATCGCAATAAATATCATACCGTGAGGTTCATACCGTGACAATATCACATCGTGAGACTTGGATATTGTTACACCCAAACTACGTCCAAACTTTTGACAGGTTGTGTACTGTATAGCTACACAAAAAAAGAATAATGTTGAGCTGAGCCTAAATAAATATGTATTGTCTGCTTTTTCTATTAAATGCGCAATGTGTAACTTTTCTAATGCGGGGTCCATCACCTGCTTGTCTCACAAAAAATGTTATTCATTTGTTTGGATTGTTCAGTGGTTCAATTCAAGGTGCTTTTATAGCCAAAATTTACTTCACCTGCTTGATATAGATAAGTTTTATGCCATTTTGTGAAACATTCCAGGCAAAACATCTTCTTGGAGGATCTAAGGTTTTGGACCCTCCTCCAGAAAACTTACACAGCTCACCTTTAAATTAATTTGTGTTGCTCAAAAACATTTAACTTTATCTGAAAATATTTTCTTTATAAACTCTGTGGTTGTTAACAGTAATACAGTGATTTTATTCCATATTGACCTTTACTAAATTGCTTAGTCTGGTAGAAAAAGGTTTACAGCTTAATTTGCATTTTGCACATTTGACATTTTAAAAAATCTGAATAGTTAAAGGTGCACTGCGTAACTTGCGTACTTGTCTCCATGGAGATGTTATTGCTTTGTCTGGAAAGTTCCATCAAACATTTCTGTCTAGTGTTTATTCATTACGGGTGTTTTATGGCTCAAAAATACAATAATTCCTTCTGTGAATAGGGGCGACTCTCCACAGATCTGAACTGTAATGTAGCATAGAGCTGTAACCTGCGTGTCTCCCTTGTGATAGATGTTTTTAATCTATACTGTGAAACTTTCTACACAAAACAATAACATTTCCATGGACTAGAAATGTTACACCGAGCAGCTTTAAGTATCTTCACACTGTATTGAATTGTAAAGGTTAAACGCAGGTTTCCAAATAAATCCTGAACTCTAAGATGTGAAAGTTTAGCGTAAAACTTTAGTTCTTCTGAAATAAAAAGAGCAGGACATTATTAAAATATGAAACCACAACATAAGAGCACTATTTTGCTTTTGTTTTGATTTTGTTTTGTTTAAATGAGTCACCAATTCCCAAGTTTCAGACAAACAATTCCCTCCTGATTTGAAGGACTTTGTGAGGACCTTGCTACATTCAGAAGCTATGTTTTTTTGATTTGAATACAACTCTAACAGGATCTAAATTGTGAGGAGTAAAGCACTTGAAGTGTAGAAGGATTTTTACCTCGAAAAATATGGTTCTGTGTCAGCTGTGCTTGTGTTTTTATTTTGGAGCATCTTTATGTAATATTATATTGAGTAGTTTTAAACAGTTATATAGAGTTTATACAGAAGAGAGGTTGGTTTGTAAAGAGATTTGTAAGAAAAACATAAACGCTATTTCTTTTATATAACAAAGCAGCCTCTGTATCACACAAAGGAGCCTATTCAAACCAGTATATGTATTACAGCAGTGCTCCCTAATCTTTTTTCTCATAAGAAATAAACATACACATTTTTCAGCAACCTGTGGAAGGGGCAGGGCCACATAAAAGCAAAAAATACTTATAACTCTTAATCATACTTTGAACAAAATGTCTTAATGGTAAATTTTTGCATTTTAGGTTAATTTACACTACATTTTTAGAAGGGAATATGGTGGTAAACTAAAATGAGTTTTACTTCTCTTTTTTTCTTATAAAGATATAAATACCAGATGACTCACAGCCTGGTTTTGGACCCTAGACCTGAAATTGGAGGCTCCTGTCCTGTAGAGAGAGAATGATTTTGGACTGTATTTCAGGATTATCTAATCTAGGGCAGGAGTCTCCAGCCTTTTTCCTCCAGTGAGCTACTTTTACAAAAGAAAAAAAAAAGAAAAAATGCCAGAGAGCTACAAGTTTAATGTTTAGTTTAGTGTATATATAAGAGCCACAGCCTTAGATGAGGTACAGTTAAATGCCCATAAAACAAACGATTATCCATGTATTACAGTACAAAGTTAGGCATCAAAATGATACATGTACAATTGTAATAGGCATTTAATTAATCAATATTTTACTTATTCAGGACAACGTGTAATACAGAAATCCCTTGGCGAGCTACATGAAAGGGGTGGAGAGCTACAGTTTGGAGACCGCTGATCTAGGGTTTAACATTTAGGTGTTGCCACTCATTTTCTCATTAACAGTCCTTGCTGGATTATGGCACGGTGGCATAGAGATTTAGCCTGATTCATCAGCCGATTTCACTTTGTGGAAACCGTCTGACCTCGCAGCGTTAGGATTCATTCGCTTGACAGTAGGCGGGTACTTTTTTTTATTTAACCAGTTGCTGCTATTTGGTCGTGACATATGTAATGTGCCTCTAACAGGACTAACTGGTATATTAAGCTTTTCCTAAATCCCCTATGAAGAAGGGCAATAACGTCTTTCCCCTTGTAAAATTCACCGAACATTCTCTTTGTTCCGACTTTAAATCCTCGATCTCAGGAATCGTTGCCAGCACAGAATGTATGGCTCTTTGCTGATTGGCTGGAGCCCGAACTCGCACTTCTGTTTGCGAACGGTCTAGTGTATTCCGATTCCAGACCTAGTAACTGGAGAGAAATTAAATTGAGCGGAGGCACTAGGTGGCACCAGCTTGTCTAATAGCGATTAGAGCTTCAGCACAGACCTCTATGAAGGTCCTGGTTCCATTTCTGGACTGGGTGGGGCCCACTGTATTCCTGTTTATATTTATTTTCATAACTTACTGGGTCCATCCATTTTTCATTTTCACCAACACAGAGCTGTAAATGAATCAAACACAGATCAGACAAATAAACAAGATGCACTGAAGGGTTTACTGGTTGGTTAGACTTTAGCACTTGGAGAGTAAACAGTATTGGTCTATGTATAGTTTTCAAAGTAGAGATGGAGAGGATGAAGAGGCTGGTTGCTTTGCTGCTGCGGGATTGAGGATTTACGAGGGTTAGACGTGTTAGGAGTGGAATGCAGTTGAAAAGACAGGACAGTAGAGGAGAGAGTGTTTATTTATATGAATTTGTGACGTCAAAAAAATCAACAGATGCGAATCAATAACAAAAGTAACAAAAAAAAAAATTTGATTAGTCACAAAATTAGTCACAAAATCCCAAAAAAAGATTAAAACTGGAAATTATATTGATCACTTTCCGTGCAAAATAAACAATTACTTTGAGTAGAAAATCTCTTTTATTGTTGTATAAAAGTGTTATCAAAATCAGTATTGAGTTTGAGAATTAAATGGTTAAGATGGCCACATAGAGAGAGAAATCAGTATCATTTTTTTCTCAGTAAACCTTAACGATGCACTGTATAAATGTCATCTGGTTCTCTCCATATTGCCTGGAATGTTCCACAGTATGGCATTACTCTTATTTACCTCTTTAGTTACATGTCAGATCTGCGGAGAGAGAATGTAGGAAGTTTTAGGTCAATAAAAACCCATTTTATTGCGACATGCGAGACGAAACAATAACGTCACCATGGAGACAAGCAGGTAGAGGACCCTAAACCAGAAAAGTTACGCAGTGCAGCTTTAGTATAACCAAAATACTGACTCGCTGACACTGTTCACGAATACAAAATATGTTAATGAAGAAGAAGAAGAGAAAGATCCATCTGTTAGTGTTGGAAAGTGATTCACTGTTGATACTGACATACTGAACTCAGTCGGGGCTCTTCTAACCACTTCTAATGAATGTAATTTTCTGATTATGAAAACGACATTTTAATTTGCCGTCTTCTCATCTCCCCATCTCTCCATCGCTCACTCAAGGCTGTCGAGCCCCGGTGGGTCTGAACGTACGGAAAATTACAGTAATTATCTGCTTAGACTTAGACGTGGATTAAGACGTACAGTATTTAGGGCCCGTGAGAGACAAAAGGTTACTGCAATTTGGGCGGATTTCTCTGCTTTTCATGACGTTAAAATGTGCTCGGAAACTATATGTGAAGTTAAAAATACCCATGAACCCGCATGAATAAAGTTTATTGTGTGAATCAAAGATCAATACTGAAGTTAGCGCTCTATAATTGTGTTGTATTGTGTTTTTGCATCTGACTAAACGAGTATAAAAGTCTCTCAGAACTTGTTTGTGAGTCTTTGTAATTTTGTCGATGGTAATTTGTGATTAAAAAGACAATATTATGGTATTTTCTAATCTTTGTTATCATGTTTCCTCATCACAAACATACCTTTGTTGTGTTTTGTTTTATTCACACATTTGACACAAAAACGCTGCATATTTAGGCTGAGTTCTTCTCTAAAACCAGTGATGTAGTGGCGATTTTTTAAAGTGTGGGTACAGGATTCGTGACGTGATTCGTGACCCAAACATAAAGGCTCCAGCTCAGTAAAAATCTGTCATATTTGATGTTTTTTTACTGAAAATGATGCAGAATCATGTTATTAACATTAATGTCGATCATAATCACCCACAGAACATAAATCATAGAGTACAACACATGAACCAGGACTGAATTAGATCTAAACCAAGACTGAACCAGGACTAAGACAGAATTAAACCAGGACTGAACCAGGACTAAACAAGGACTAAACCAAGACTAAACCAGGATTGAACCAGGACTAAACCAGAACTGAACTAGGACTGAACCAGGACTAAACTAGATCTAAACCAAGTCTAAACAAGGACTAAACAAGGACTAAACCAGGTCTAAATCAGGACTAAACCAGGACTAAACTAGACCTAAACCAGGTATAAACCAGGACTAAACCAGATCTAAACCAGGACTAACCCAGGACTAAACTAGGTCTAAACCAAACCTGAACCAGGACTAAACCAGGACTGAACCAGAGCTGAACTAGGACTGAACCAGGACTAAACTAGATCTAAACCAGGTCTAAACAAGAACTAAACCAGGTCTAAACAAGGACTAAACCAGGTCTAAACCAAGACTAAACCAGAACTGAATCAGGACTAAACTAGATCTAAACTAGGTCTAAACCAGGACTAAACAAGGACTAAACCAGGTCTCAACCAGGACGAAACCTGGACTTGAAAGACAGAGAGAGAGAACCCTGAGCTTGCAGAGCAGGGTGTCCCCAATGCACTAGGGGGCAACGGCTGCACTTAGCTCCATGGGGGTGGAGCTCTGTGCCGGTCCTTTCACCTGCGGTCACCCGATGGTCTACGTAGGCACACCTCCAGGCCCGTCCCGACACTCAATCCTGGTTTAGTCCTATTTTAGTCGTAGTTCAGTCCTGGTCCCTCATGTCTCAGGCCACTATAGGACAGGACTGCAGATATCATGAGCCTATGCAGTTTGTTTTCACCGTTGCCAATCGCTCCGGTTTGACATTTAAGTTGTAGCTATTTTATATTTGTCATTTTTTATATGTCACGTCGGGAGAAGTGGGTGGACGGCGTACCCCCCGAGTACCACGCCCACTACACCCCTGTCTGAAACTGAAACAAAACACAACTCCAGGAAAGTTTTTGATTCTAACCTGGCCTAACACTCACAAGAATGTATTTTGTGTATCATGAGATAGGACCTTTAAAGTTACTGATTCAGCTGTGGATCAAAACCTTCAGTATCCTTTAAGACAAGTCGGATGTTTTTAAGACAGAGAAGTAGTGGGTTCTTTATTCAATTGCAAATATAATGCAGCTCTATGTCCTTGAATCTAATATTGTGATCTTGGATGACTGATCTTAATGTGTTTTGTGTTTTTCTGTGCAGGGCTCTTTCCGGGGCCACACTGCTTCACCTCAGCAGTCCTCCACTCGACGCAAACAAAATGAAAACGCTGTGCTAAAGTTCTTCAGGAGCCTTGTAAGTCCAGTTTTTAGTTGTTTTAGCTGTTTTTAACTAACAAAATACTGCTTATTTTTTTAATTTTCTGGGACTAAGTTAGGTTTAAATGAGCACTGAGTAACTTTTCAGGTGGAGGGTCCGTCAAATGCTTTTCTCCAAGGAGATTCTGTGAAAGGAGCAAGGTTTATAAGATTTATCTTTTTCCTCTTCCTTTTATTCATGCAGCAAAGAGCAAAGACAAGGCAAATAATCGTAGAAATATGTATTTATGTTCATTTTCAGATTTTTTGTTGTTGTTGTTGTTCTCTTTAAATTGATGTCAACAAAATAATAGCATGAGTAATAAATACATAAATATTTAATAAAAATAAAAATAAAAAACATTGCTTTGTGTGGGATTAAACCTTTCTGTCTTCATGGAGACCAAACCAGACCAAGTTACAGGTCAGATCTGTGGGGAGGCGACCCCGTTCAGTCAGAATGTATGGGTTTTTTTGTTTTGGTTTGGTTTTTTTAGAGCTTTTTTTAGAGCTATAAAAACTTGCAAATTGAATAAACGTAAGGTAAGGGTGCTTAATGTCATATTGTGGAACATTCCATTCAGAGCAATGACATATCCATAGAAACAAGCATGTGAGAGACCTTCCACCAGAAATGTTACACAATGCATCTTTAAAGCTGAAGTAGAAGAGAAGAATGAGAAGAAGTTTAAATTTATAATTTATTGTTTCGAGAGCATGTGATCCTCAATTCTGAGATTTGAGATTCCTGTTATAAGCGACATTTTGAGAACTTTTCACCATTCAAAAGATATATTTAAATTGTCAGTTACTACGGTAATGGCCCTTGTTTTTATTCATCATTCAAATCCATGTGGATAGTTTAAAAGTGCATTGTGTAACTTTTCTAATGGAGGGTCTGTCATTTATATGTCATTGCTCTGCCTGAAATGTTCCACAGTGTGACATTAAACAGCTCTACCTTACATTTATTAGATTATAAATGGTTTTATAGCTCAAAAATATCTAAGAAAACAGGTATCTGTGAGCGGGGTCGCCTCTCCACAGATCTGACCCATAACTTCTGGTCTATTCTACATGAAAACAGAAAGGTTTAATGCCATACTGTGAAATATTCCAGACAAAGCAATTACATCTCCATGGAGAAAAGCATCTGACGGATCCTCCACCAGAAAAGTTACACAATGCAGATTCAAATCTATAAGGAACCCTCTTTAGATTTGAGTGAATTGTTGTTTTTCTGTTCATTGGGGGCTACAAGAGCTTTGCTTTTGCATTGTACAAGTTTTAATTTGTTTTCTGTAATTCTTGTGAGTTGTATTGTCTCCCCTTGTATTGTTAAAGGAACAGTTTCACCACAGCGTCGAGTCTGCAGTCGTGTCCTTCTCTCTCCAAACCAAATCCTAGACCCAAACAAACATTTTTCTTACAGCAACTGACTGAAATTTTGACTTTTGTTTCATTTTCTCTCACTTGTTTTTTTTCCATCAGGTCGCCACTTCTCCTCGTCCTAAATCCAGGGTGAGTTTTGAATCAGATCTTTTTTGTTTTTTCATCTTTTTTTGCAGAGGAATCAAAGGAAACTGTCTGCAAATTGAAACAAATTCTGTTCAAATGAAGCTATATTTTCACAGGAATTATTAACAACTTTATTCTCAGTGTTCAAAAGTGTAAACTACCTTAAAAAAAGCACGCAAAAGCGACACTATGTAATTTTTTTTTTTTATTTGCCTGAAATGTTCCACAGTACGGCATAAAATTTAGCAATTCCCATGGACAGAAGTGAGTGACACCACAAAACCGAGTGTTTTTTGGCTATTAAATTGCCTCTAATTGAAAAAAAATAAAAATAAGTTTAATGTCATACTGTGGAATATTCTAGAAATTCTACAATAATGTTTTTATGAGACAAGCAAGTGACAGAAACAGACCCTTACATAGTTACACAGTGCATCTTTAAAGGTGCACTATGTAACTTTTTGGTTGAGGGTCCGCCACCTGCTTGTTGTTATGGAGATGTCATTGCTCTACCTGGAATATTTCACAGTATGGCATTAAGTTTACCTTACATTTATTCAATTACATGTGGTTTTACAGCTCAAAAATACCTCGAAAAAACAGGAATTTTGACCGTGAGCGGGGTCACCTCTCCATAGATCTGACCTGTAACTTGGACCAGTTTGGTGTCCATGAAGATAGAAAGGTGTAATGCCATACTGTGGAACATTCCAGACAAAGCAGGCAATAACATCTCCTTGAAGAAAAGCACCAGAAAAGTTACATAGTGCATTTTTAAACATCATTATCTTTAAAAAAAAGTGTATAATATAAAGATAAAAGGAATAGGACAGTCAAATGTCATTCAAATGTCATATAGTGGGTGATTTTCTGATGGTACTTTGATTTTCTGCCTCTTTTTGAGCATGCGAGACTATGTAGATTACCTCTACAGTGAAGGCATTGTCAGTTTGAACAATAGCTGTGATTTCATTGTGCCCCAGTGGTCCTCCGGTTTTGCGCCTGCTGTATCTTCCCAAGACTAGAATTAAATCTGAGAAATATGTAATTTTGTTATTGGTAATGCATATGTTTACTATACTAAATGATAAGGCTCATACAACATAAACATCACCGTGCAATTTCACATAAGTAGACCTTTATTTGTTCCAATGGGGAAAAATATGTTGCACTGACCAGTTGTCTGAGGACACTGGTGCCTCATGTGGCTTAAAATAAATATTAAAGGGCCTATATTACACAAAATTGACTCTTGTGAGCTTTAAGCCATGTTGTTATGTCATCCAAACATGCCTGAAATTGTCAGATGAAGAGAAAAGGTAGAGCTCTTCACTGGATCATAGAAAAAGCAACAAACAAAAACAAAAAAACAAAAAAAACAGTAGTGCAGGTGCGTTAACTTGAAATAGCCCTCACTGAAAAATGTAAAAGTGGGCAAGGTACAAACACGAGGCATTATAAGTCCACTTTTACGCGCTTTGTGTTGCATTTTTGTACGAAAGGTGCTCTATAAATAAAGTCTGATTGATTGATTGATTTACATTTTTCACAAGAGCTACATTTTGTTAAGATATCTGAAGTTGTGTTTTGTTTCATTTACACACATTTGAGTAATCTTTTATTGATTAGTCTGTCTATATCTCCATAGCTCAAAATGCTCAGTTCCACCTTGTGATGTCATGTAGTTGTACTTTTCAAGTTAACAGGTCCTTTTTACCTTTTGTTTAGTAGAAACTGGAAATTCCCGGGCTAAAACTTTCCAAATGATTCTAGTGAAGGTGTATGGAGTTTAAAATCACTTTTGAGCACTTCCTATGTTACCATATGACATCACAAGGTGGAACAGAGTGTTTTCTGTTTCAGAGAAGAACTAAATATGCAGGGTTTGCGTGTTAAAAGTGTGTGAACAAAACAAAACACAACTCCAAGTCTGTTTGTGATGAGGAAACATTATAAAAGAGATCAGAAAACAGTGTAATATGGGCCCTTTAAAACTTTGGAAACTTCAAATTAGTACTAACAAACCATCTAGACGACATGTTAATTTGCAAAGTAAGTACAAGGAATTAAGAAAGACAAGTTGAAATGAACAATTATGAGTAGGTATATCAAGAATATACTTTATTTTTGTCCACAAAAAGTCCCAGTTCAAATACATCAAATCACGTGAAGATAGGCTATAGATTTATTTATTTATAGAGAATTGATTGAAACATTTTTGTGTGTTTTTCAGTGGAGAGACGTCTTGGGTTTGGTAGGTCATAAACTGCACTTTTCATTTCTATCTTTGTTCACTTCTGTTTGTTGAAGCAGTCTCCGTCCAAAATCGTCTTCTAACAAAATCGTTTTTAAAATCTGTCCAGTCTGTCAATGTACAACCCCAACACCTCAACCAGCAGACTCAGATATTGTGTTGTATTGACTTAAAAATGTAATGTTTTCAAATAGGTCAAAAGTGGAAATGAACTTGTGGAAGCCAAAGCAGTAGGTGTTTTATAGCAGAGGTGGGAGATCAATAGAAAAAGTTATGATTAAGAAAAAGTTATGATTAAGAGACAAGCTGGAGTTTTGGACACAGGACCTCATTTCCTAGTGAGCCAGAGTGTTGGAGACGTGTGGAGACACTTATATTTCATCCAATCCTTGTATTTGCAGAGGTTGCTGGTGCTAGGCTAGTGCATATCAATGGCCACAGTTATCCTGCCACTAAAAACAGTCTTACCCACTCCACAAAACACCCGAAGTAAAACTATTATAACACCAGACTGTCGATGTAAATGTCTGTGTCAATAGAATAATTTTAGAAGTAAAACCAGCCTTGCATTTGAAGGATTTATGTCTGAGCAACAGCAGTGAGTTGTACTTCCTGACAGAAAGCTTGGCACCGGCGGACTGATATATGAGAAAATAGTCCCTCAACATGCAACGATTCATGCGATGCAAGGTTAGTTTTATTTCAAACATTATTCTATCGACACAGACATTTACATCGACAGTCTGGTGTAATAACAGATTTTCTTCGGGTGTTTTGTGGAGTGGGTAAGACTGTTTTTAGTGGCAGGATAACTATGGCCATTGACATGCACTAGCCTAGCAGCAGCAACCTCTGCAAATAAAAGGACTGGATGGAATATTTTAAAAAAGTGTCTCCACACGTCTCCAACACTCTGGCTCACTAGCGCCTATGTCCAAAATTATGGACTGTCCCTTTAAAGGTCCCATATTACTCTATTTTCCAATTTATGTTATAATGTTGTTTTCTACTCCAAAAATAAAACATACCTGGAGTTGTGTTTTGTTTCATTCACACAATCTCAGAGCTCAGAATGCTCTGTTCCAAGCTTTGGAGATAGACAGACTAATAATAAAAGATTACTCAAACATGTGTGAATGAAACAAAACACAACTCCAGGTATGTGTTTGAGAATGTAACAACATTATAACATGTTTTAAAGCTCAAAAGAGTCAATTTTGCGTAATATAGGACCTTTAAAATAAAAAATAAAAACAATATTCTGTGGTATTTGGGGTCTACAGTTAAATTTATGCCTTATTTTTGGTTGTCTATTTTAGTAGACATAGTTTAATACTTTTTAACCTGATTTGACTGTAATTTCAAACTAATTATTGTCCTTTTAATGATCCTGTTGGTATGAAAAGACTGAGACTAGTCTATTGGTCTCATTGAAAACACAACAAAACCCCACAAAAACCAAACTTATTATTTTACATGCTGAGAAGGAGAAAAGAGTGTTTTTAGAAAATCTGTTTTGCAAATGAGTCTTTCACTATACGCTTACAATAAAATCATGTAGATGGCCAAAAACATTATAATCTTCATACCACCATCTCGCATAATAATAGTGCATAATAGACTTTTCTATGGCTCTATTATCACTGCAATTCCCCTTTGCTTCAATCTAGAACGACTCACTGCTTCTCGATGATTTTGAGACAGCACGCCTTTTTATGACCCAACACCGGTAATACACTTTTTCAATAGGATTTCTTTGCAGTTTCTCTATAAGATCTAAGATTTAACGGTCCTATATTAGGCGAAATTTACTCTTGTGAGCTTTAAGTTATATTAGAATGTTGTTACCCCCTCAAAAACATACCTGGAGTTGTGTTTTGTTTCATTCACACGCTTGAGTAATCCTTTATTATTAGTCTGATTACATCTCAAAAACTCAAAATGTGGTAGTTTTCCAGCTTCCATTTACCTTTTGTTCATGAGAGATTGGCAATTTCTGGGCTGAAATAATCCAAATGATTCTAGTGAAGGTGAATGGAGTTTAATAGCACAGTGGAGCAAGGTGGAACAGAAGTTAAACATAAAACACGACTCCAGGTCTGTTTTTGATGAGGAAACAACATTATAACAGATCAGAAAATAGTGTAATATGGGACTTTTAATCTTATTTTGACTTTGACTTGAACCTAGATTAGTTGATTAATTTTAACATGTGTCTAAATCAATACAATTTTTCTAATTTCAAAAGAGATCATTTGCCTATTATCCATCAGCTCAGCAGTTCAAGGTGCACTAAGTATCTTTTCTGGCAGATCATTCTAAAGCTATTCAGGAAAGATTCATTTCTGTCCTGTGAATATGACTTTTTCAGTGTCAATACCTGCTGAACACTGCAAAAAACAAAATCTAGCCAAGTTAAGTTGACTTGAATTAAGAGAGTTTTATCACGATTTGAGTAAATTTCACTTGACAAGTAAAATTATCTGGCGCCACCTAGTGTCTCCATTCAATTTAATTTCTCTCCAGTGACTAGATCAGGAATTAGAATACACTAGATGGTTTCCAAAAACCCCAGAAGTGAGAGTCCGGGCACCAGCCAATCAGCGAAGACTCATCTATTCTGTGTTGGCAACGATTCCCTAGATCGAGGATTTAAAGCCGAAACAAAGAGAATGTTTGGTGACTTTTATCAAGAGGAAAGACGTTATTGTCCTTCTTCCTACAGGATTTGGCACATTACATACATCATAACTGAATAGCAGCGATTGGTTAAATAACAAAGTACCAGCCTACCGTTGAGCGAACAAATTCTAATGCTGTGAGGTCAGACGGTTTCCACGAAGTGAAACTGGCTGATGAATCAGGCTAAAAATTATCTTACAAAAGTACAAAAATTACTTAAAATAAGAAACAAAATCTAATATTGCTTGAATTAAGAAAAATACACTTATTCTCTTGGTAGATAATTTTACTTGTCAAGTTAAATCTACTCAAATAGAGTAAAGTGTTCTTAATTTAATTCATTTTAATTTAACTAGATATCGTTTTTACCACTGAAATAAGTATCAAGTTTTGATACTAGTTTTAATGTCGATTAGTATCTTATTATTTTCTGTGGTGCACCCTTAAATATTGTCAAAACTACTCAAATTTAGATTCATTAAATTCTGGACTCATTATAAGTGAGACTGACATTACATCATCCGCATTGTTTTCTCTGCTTTGGTCTCTTGGGCTTGTGGTAATTTTCTATCCTCTCACCTCCTCCTCTCTCCTCACCTGTGCTCTCTGTTGTATCAATTTGCTGGTGTCACAGTGGACCTGCTAACCCTGTCTAGTCCTGGAGTGTTTATATGTACTTTCTTTTCTTGGTGTTGGAAAATAACTGAAGAAAAGTCAAGACCTGCATGTAAAAGTCTATATACTCAAAGCCGTTGCTGCTGTCCTTCGCTGAAGATGAGCACTTAGTTAGTATGCTGTTCATATTATGGAGAGTTTATATGCAGGTCAGAATGTGGCTTCCACTTGACACTCTTGAGATCAGGTTTGTCATGAATGGTTAAAGGTCCTGTATTGTTGAAGACTGACACTTTAAGCCATACTATAAAGTTGCCTCGTCAAAACATATCCTCCAGAGATCCTTTATTATTATTTTGTCTGCATCTCCAAAGCTCAAAATGCTCTGTTCCACTTTGTGAAGTTAACGTTTACCTTTAGTTCAGTAGAGATTGGCAATTCCAGGGGCTGAAATTAACCATTCTAGTGAAGGTATATGGACTTTAAATACACACTGGAGCACTTCCTGTATTACCACATGACATCACAAGGTGGAACTGAGAGAAGAACTAAATATGCCTAAATTTGCAGGGTTTGTGTGTTAAACATGCGTGAATGAAACAAAACACAACTCCAGATATGTTTGCGATGAGGAAACAACATTATAATATTCTGTAGATGAGAAAATAGCGTAATATGGGCCCTTTAACTTTATACTATCAACATACCATGCAAAAAATGAAAGAAAAAATTATGATTTTGAGGAATTAGTTCAGGTTTTCCTGCACTAGATTTTCAGATGTTCTTGTTAACCTGCTGAGGATAAATAATCAGGAGGGTTAATTTTCTATCTTTCAATATTTCCAAATAAAGGTTCTTTCTAACAGACCAGTGTGTTAATTACATATATTTTTTGGTCCCGTTCTCGTACCTGCCTTGGTCGGGGAATAGCTCCAGCTACAGTCCGACTTCTCCATAACAGAATCTAAGGTCTTTGAAAGGTGATAGGCCCCCTTGTCCCTGTTAACAGTCCTGTGATCTCAATACATTTGTGTGTGTTGTCCTCCATCACAAAAACTTAAAAAAAAAAAAATGTCAAAGTATGTGTGAGCAACCCACTGGTCTGTTAAAAAGAGCCTGTATTTGTTTTGAATAATCAGACATGCTTGCAGTAGTGGCAATCTTAACTTTGTCTCACTTTGTTTGTCTTTAGTATTAACAATAAGTATTTGGTAAGAACAGAAACTACATCAAAATTGGACCTAGACTTATCCATATTTGTGTATAACCAAGTATCCTCCATGTATTCTGCTTTTATGAATATTCAAAGCTATTTTACATAAAGGTGCACAGTTGGTGAGAAGTGAGCAATAATTGGGAACTGTTGTAAGGATTTTCATTTAGGCGACAGTTTGGGAATTATGTAAAACCAATTTATTTCCATACATTATCTGACAGGTGTCCACCTGGAATGTTACACAGTGTGCCATTACACTTGTCTATGTAACATTTACACATTCTTGGGGCCACCTCTCCACAGATCCAGCCTCTAAATTGGTCTGGTAGGGTCCTCTAGACTGATTGACTTTATCAGCAGGTTTCACTTCATGGAAACCATCAGACCTCGCAGCATTAGGATTTGTTCGCTCGACGGTAGGCAGGTACTTTTTATTATTTAACCAAACGCTGCTATTTGCTTATTTATTCATGACATACATAATGCGCCAAATCCTGTAGGAAGAAGGGCAATAACGTCTTTCCCCTTGATAAAATTTACCAAACATTCTCTTTGTTCTGGTTTTAAATCCTCAGTCTTGAAATTTGTTGCCAACACATAATGTATGTCTTCGTCTACGTCCATCTCAACCGTTTTGTTTACTGTTGTGCTGTACCACAAAAGGGACCCAGACAGGCGCTTGAGTTTGATGTCATGGCTTCATCGCTCTTTGCTGATTGGCCGGTGCACAGTCTACAACGTCCAGGGTTCTTACAAACCGTCTAGTGCATTCTGATTCCTGACCTAGTCGCTGGAGAGAAATGAAATTGAGCAGAGGCACTAGGTGGCGCCAGCCTGGCTAAGGGTCCCCTGCTTGTGTCCACAGAAATAGACAAGTTTAATGCTAGAAAAGTTACACAGTGGCTGAATCATTTTTAAAGGCGAACTGTTTAACTTTTCTGGTGGAGAGCCTGCAACCTGCAATATGGCATCAAAACTTTCTTTCATCATGGAGACCAACCAGACCAAGTTACAGGTCAGATCTGTGGAGAGGCAACTCCGTTCACAGTCAGAATGCTTGTTTTTCTAGGTATTTTTGAGCTATAAAACCATCTGTAATTGAATAAATGTAAAGTAGAGCTGTTTAATGCCATACTGTGCAACATTCCAGGCAGGGCAATGATATACCCATAGAAAAAATTGTGACAGACTAACCTTAATCCACCAGAAAAGTTCACAATGTACGTTTAATCAAAGAAACATTGAAGAGAGGCTTTGTACTTGACTCCCGAAGCTAATTTACTTCTGCAGAAAGCAAGAAAGCACATTCACTTTGTACTTTATGTGTTTGTCTTCACTTCATCCTGACCACTGGAGCTTTTTTTTGTTGTTGTTGAGAAAAGTGTGATTTGTCCATTTCCTAAAAGGGTTCACGTCTCACTGTGTAAGTAAAAATGAAAGGGATATACAGGGCGGATACAGCGGATGATTTGAACAGGTCCCAGGTTTCACATTCAAAACCACATCCAAATGACTCAAAGAAAAACCCTTTTCACACCAATATTTTTGTTGTGGGTCATTTCAAGCAAGCTAAAGGTGACTGTACAGACTAAATGCAGTTTTCAAAAGATCTTTTAGTGGATCAATTCTCAATTTAGCATGTTTTTCACACCTAGATAACAATAACTACAGCGGCTAGACTTAAATGGATATCGAAACCGAAAAGCTTTTGACAAATTTCACTTGTGGACTCTCAGAACAGTTATTGTGCCACTACCAAATTAAGACAGAAATACAGTAACCACAACATAGCAAAAATATTGGAGAATGTTGGATCAGGAATAAAACTGACATATCTAATTTAGTTTTCAGTCCCAATAAAAAGTGGTGTGAATTAGTCCTTATGACAATACATTTGATGTATTAATTGCATTATATCTTTCAAATGACAACAATCACGTCTTTCTGAAGTGTGAAAAAATGTGAAAGAATAAATTCACTTTGGTTTAATTATCCCGACAGAGAAAACATTGAACTTTGTTTTTGCTTTAAGTAGACAGGCTCAGTACTTACAGATATATAAACCACAAACCAGGTTAACACATCTGGAGTCTCACAATTAAAGAGCCGATATTACAAACATTTACTCTTCTGTGCTTTTAGCCATGTTATAATGTTACCTCATAAAAAACAAACTTGGATTGGATGGTCTGTCTACATCAACAATACTTAAAATGCTCATTCAGAGATTGGAAATTCCAGGACTGAAATTATCCAAATGATTCTAGTGAAGATGTATGGAGTTTAAAAACACAATGAAGCACTTCCTGTATTACCACATGACATCACAAGGTGGAACAGAGTGTAAATATGGAGTGAATGAAACAAAACACAACTCCAGGTCTGTTTGTGATGAAGAAACATTATAACATAGACCAGAAAACAGTGTAATATGGACCCTTTAAACAACAAATTGTATTAGATATTGTGATGTTCAGTAAACACAATACACCAGCATTACGTACTTACTATTACCTGGACCTTCTCTTTTGGTTCAGACTGTCCCTCTCTGGCTTCCGTACCTGTAGTCCTGCAGTGTCCCTCTCACACACGTGTTTTTTTAGGCATCATCGACAAAAGCCGAAGGAGCAAAGTCCCCAGTTCGACGACGCAAAGAGCAGGGCACACTGTCCAGACTCCTCAGCCTGGTGAGATAAACATTACAAAATATTACTACAACACGGTACCTCAAATATATTCAAATTACTTCAATGTATGTTTATTTTTGTCCAAATGAAACAGTGACACAACAACGAAAGAGCAGTGAGTAACAAGGTTTAATCCGATTCACAAAGATCGTTTTGCAGAAGCTTCATCTTTTACACTAACAAATTCAGAGAAGACATTTTTATTTTGCAGCACAAATTGGTTAAAACTGTTATGTCATTTTTAATCACATATTTTCAGATTTGGTCAATGTCCCATCTGGCTTGCCAAAACAGCCACTTACTAAGCAAATGATGCACTGGCCTTCAAAAACGCATTTCCAATGGTTCTAAGTGTCACATTAGCTGTAATAGGCAGTACTTCCTTCCTTGGCAATGCATGAAACTGTTGTAAATCATTGCATCTATTGGTTTAGAAGCTCATATTTCTACTATCAAATGTTTCTAGGATGGGCGATGAATGTGCTTAATCTTGTTACTTTATATTACAATTATTCAAAAGTAAAGGTCTCAAAAATGACTCTTGCAAGCTTTAAGCCATGTTAGAAAGCTGTTACCTCCTCAAAAACATGCCTGGAGTTGTGTATTTCATTCACACATCTGAGTAATACTGTTTTTATCTGTCTGTCTCCGTCTCCAAAGCTCAAAATGTTTTGTTCCACCATGTGAAACAAAACATTTGTGATGGTTTCCAGGTTAACAGCTCCCTTTTACCTTTTGTTCAGTAGAGACTGGCAATTCCAGGGCTAAAATCATCCAAATAATTCTAGTGAAGGTGAACGGAGTTTTAAAATACACTGTGCTTTTATTTGAGCACTTCATTTTTTGTTTGAGGGAAGAGCTCAGTCTAAATATGCAGGTTTGTGTGAATGAAACAAAACACAACTCCAGGTCTGTTTGTGATGAGGAAACAACATAATAACAGATCAGAAAATAGCGTAATATGCGCCCTTTAATGACAAGAAATTAGTGATGTGTCATTGGTTGAGCAGGTGAATGAAAGTTTTAAAAGAGCACTGCTTCAGTATTGCTTGAGTCAGTTCGTTAATTCCTTTCATTTTCTCTCTATCTAATGAAATCCTTTTTAAAACCCTAAAATAAAATAAACAGAAATATAATTAAAATGCTATTACTAGTTCAGTCTCAGCTTTATAAAAACATACATTTGTGTTTGCCTGCATGTTAAAAGAGCCTGACCCGCACCCTCAGTTGAACTCAGACTAATCCATTTTGATTGGCAGCCCGTATCCATATTGGTGCAGGGGCATTCACAGCCACTTAACATTGTCCCCATTGATTGAACTGAGTTGTGCAGAAGCCGAATTAAATGAAGTTGGATTTACGAAGATTTGGTTTCAAGTCCTGGTTTTATGAGAGAAAATTGGAGCAGGAGTGAGTCAGAGGCTACACAGTGGGGGCACTGATACAAGTGACTTTAGTGTAGTAAAAACACAAGCTTTTTATAATGTATGTACTATATTATGTACATAATAAAATGCAATAAAGACAGTCACCTTGGTTTAGTTTGTTGAACAGTGACATAGTGATTAGTGCTTAAGCCTTACAACAAGAAAGTCCCTTGTTAAATTCCCAGACTGAGCTACGTTCAGACTGCAGGGCTTAACGCTCAATTCACATTGAAATACGATTTTTTTGGGAGGTCGTTCACATTTCCAATTAAATGCGACTTGTATGTGATCTCAAGTGTGAACTTTAAACGCCCCAACAGTGTCCCTCATACACATTGGAAGACATGATGACGTCACACGCAGCGAGTGTGCTCAGTGTTTATGGAAGTCGCCTAAACGCTGGGCTTGTCTCCCAAAATACAATCCAGTTCTTCGTAAAATGGACAGGTTACATGTTCACAGCCGCTTCGTTTGTTTCAGTCTTTAGCCTCCTTGTATTTGGCTCACAGGCTCTTTATTTTTTGTTGACACTGGAGCCAGGACCGCCTGTAACCACGCTCGGCCATTTCTTTGGCAATCATTTCAAAAATCGCCCAGTTCCAATAAGACCCCTCCAATTTGGCCTGAATACAGCGATCCCCCCAAATATTAATAAACTTGCTTACCTCGCTTTCTGAGCCTGACGTGTACGTGGGATGAGTGTGACCTGGCTGTTCAGACTGAAGTCACATGTCAAAAGATCGGATATGTATCGGATTTAGCACCACATTTCCAAGTGGCCTGGGTCACATTTGAAAAAAAAAATTGGATCTGTGTTGTTCAGACTGTCATTAAAAGATCAGATACAGGTCACATAGGGGCGAAAAAATCTAATTTGGGTCACTTCAGGCTGCAGGATGAACGTAGCCATAGACTGTATAAAGGAGTGGACTAAGGGAGTGTGACATTACTCATTACGCTCAGCTCCAGTCAAATGAAGCTCATGAGGCTAGCAGTTATAGGCACAAATTTAGACCAGAGTGACATATTGGACACAGAAATTTATTTATGGACAAAATAGCAAAATAAAACAACAGGATCATGCAGAACGGCTTAATATAAACAGTTTAAGACCAAAATGACAAACCTCACTGCAGCAGAGAGAGGTGACAGTTTTTCAATATAAAGTCAATTGGAGCCGGAAGTGAACTCAACGGCAAGTGGATTAGATATGTCCGTTTATATATACAGTCTATGAGTTTAGCACAGGGGGTTTGTGTTTCTGTAAACCAACATGGCCACAGCACCTTGACATTATCTTTGTCATTGTTGTCTGAGTCCAGAAGCTAAACAAACCTGGGCCTGGTCACTATACTTGGATGGGAGACTGTTGTGAACACCAGGTGCCCACTTGCCCAGTATGAGAGTGGTGTTTGAGAGTTGGAGGTCAGAGAGGCCAATAGCATAGATTAGCAACCTTGCTTTTGTCAGTCTACCCCAGTATAATAGTATCTTATCACGCACTATATATAGTGTATGTAGTTGATTCATAACGCACAGTAAAGATGTTTGCATAATCCCATCGCAAAAGAAACTTTAATTCTGTCAACTGGACAAAGGTTTGTACATATTTAGCTAATTTTTAAAGGTGCACTACATAACTTTTTGCATGGGGGTCGGTTTGGAATGTTCCACAGTATGACATTAAACAGCTCTACCTTACTCAACTTACTTATTCAATTACAGGTGGTTTTATTACTCAAAAACACCTAGAAAACATAGAAAAACAGGCATTCTGGCTGTGAGCGGGGTTGCCTCTCCACAGATCTGACGTGTAATTTGGCCTGGTTTGGTCTCCATGAAGATGCACCTTTAAAAACCTTTGACCAGTTGAGAGAAATCAGGGTTTGTTTGTTTTTTTCAATTCAATATAAAGCACTTTGGGTATCTTAAGGCAGGACCTCACAATTAGGAGATTTTACATTTCAGCAAAATTTAAATAAATAATAATAATCAAACAAAAAACACTGGTTGGATTATGTCTGGACTTTAACGCAAGGTATATCTTTTATTTTTGTTTGCATGCACTTTTAAAAATATATCCAAAAAAAGAAAAAACAAGCAGTATCTGGCAACTTCTCTAAGCGACAAGATGGGGTATTGACCAAACTTTTTTATACAGTGACATTATACTTCATGCAATATTCACTCCTCATCTTAAAACCTACCTCAAACTTCATCCATTTTATTTGCAGCTTCCGGTAACCACCAGCAACCTCAACTAAATGTGAAACACCTTGGAAATCTTTCTTTTACTCTCCCATCGCGCTTATAAATGACTATTTCGTATGTTTTTAGGGAGACACCAAATCCCGCCCTCCCCCCAAACGCTGGAGCACCATCTTCTGAGCACCCATCCCCGGACCCCACCCAAACGGGACAAGAAGAGACCACGGAGGAAGGACCTAAAGATGGCCAAGCGGACTCACAACCTCAGCCAATGCTAACTAATAACTAACATCAAAACAACACGGAGGCCTACGCAAAGTGAATTGAATAGAATGGGGTCGATTACAAACCAAGCAGGCTGTAAACAACAAAGACTAAATTAGATATTATATTCTTAACACGTGCTGTGAATAAATATATATTAAGCATTGGTTTGAGTAACAGGTCAATTCAAAACTGTTATGTCTTGATTTCCTATTTACTGTACGTTGATAATACATTAAATTAACGATGCAAACGTCAAATGGGCTATTTTTGTGTCACTGTTGCTATGGTTACAGTTGTTTCCAGGTTGTGAAATGTTTTAAATAAGTAAAAAAAATTGTCTTAAGGTGCTATGTGGGCCTATGTCAGTTCAGGAATAATTTTGTCTGGATATTTTGTACATAAATAATATAGAAATTAACCTAACTCACTGCATGGCTTCCCTTTACACTACCACATATAAAGTAGCCAACACTAATTTGATCAACTTTTACATTTAATACTATCTTCTACTATCTATAATCTATATTGTACAGTACTTAAGAATATAAATGCCCTTTAATTGCACTATAAATGACCAAAATCTTAAAAATACTGACGATTCTTCATGTGCAGCTAAGCTAAAACCCCAGTTAGCACTTAGCATGTAGTGCTGGCGTAACTCTCTAGCATTTACGTGATCCAAATGTGATTTTTATTGTGGTAAAGTTGAAGGTGAGAGGGAAAGTTGGTATAAAAGGCTCAAAGATAAGAAAAAGTAAAGATTGCATGAGTTAAGAAAAGAAAGGAAGTGAGTTTAATAGTGTTATTTTATGTGTAATGACCAGCACTGTTTGTAGCATATACTGTATCTACGTCTTCATGGATTTGTTTAATTACGTGTTTTATGTAGAGAAACAAATGTGACTGAGGAGTTTGTGTGTCTGTCCAGTCTAATGAGAAATATATTGTACGTTGTCAATGGGAGCTATTAAAGTTTGTTCAAATTGATCTGTTGTCTTGTGTTTCTGCAAATAGTGTAAATAAACGTTTTAGTTTAAAGTGTCTATGACAGTTTAGAATAGACTATTTATTTTACTTAAACACACTGAAGATCATTGCATTTACAATTCAGAATTTACATTTTTGTTATGGATCATACCTAGAAGACTTAGGGATTAATTTAGTGAAAGGGTCAATCTAAAGCCAGGTCTAAAGTTGATAAAAACCAGGCCTAAACCAAGTCTAAATCAGGTCTGAAGTTGGTCTAAACCAAAACCAGATCTAAACTACGTTTAAACTAGGTCAAAACCAGGCCTAAACTGGGTTTAAACCAGCTCTAAACCAGGTCTAAACCAAGTCTAAACCAGGCCAAAACCAGGTTTAAAGTTAGTCTAAACCAAGTCTAAACCAGGTCTAAATCGGGTTTAAACCAGATCTAAACCAGGTGAAAACCAGGTCTAAAGTTGGTCTGAACCAAGTCTAAACCAGGACTAAACCAGGTCTAAAGTTGTTCTAAACCAAGTCTAAACCAGGTCTAAACTAGGTCTAAACCAGGTCTAAACCAAGTCTAAACCAAGTCTAAAGTTGGTCTAAACCAAGTCTAAATCAGGTCTAAACCAGGTCTAAATCAGGTCTAAACTAGGTCTAAAATTGGCCTAAACCACGTCGAAACCAGGTTTAAACCAAGTCTAAACCAGGTTTAAACCAAGTCTAAACCAGGTCTAAACCAAAGTCTAAACTAGGTCAAAATCAGGTCTAAAGTTGGCCTAATCCAAGTCTAAACCAGGTCTAAACTGGGTCTAAACTAAGTGTAAATCTGGTGAAAATAAGGTCTAAAGTTGATCTAAATCAAGTCTAAACCAGGTCTAAACCACAAAGTGTCCAGCAGCAATCTGACTTGAAACTGAAGCCACTTGGATAAGCTGCAAAACATCGTCTGTCTAAAACCTTTGCCCAGTTGACAGAATTGAATTTTTATTTGCCACGGTCGACTGAGGGATTACACAGACATTTCAGTGAAAGGTTAATCTGACTTGTCATAATAACTTTAAATTTTAGATCGAACCTCTTGGACCATGTTTGGGCTTTGGACCATCTGTTATAAAGGATTGTTATTCATAAACATATTCAGTAACATGGTGCACACACACAAGAACACTGAGTGGATAATGTGTGATGAGGCGTCATTTTATACACACAAATGCTTCATCTTAAAATGGTTCATCATTTGCAAAACACATTCGCAAAATGCATCTTCTAAATGTCCCTGGAGCTAAAGTGTGTTTTTATTACGCGCCATAAACTGCATCGATCACTGGAGAACACTACAAGGGGGAATACAAAGTTCAGGCTCATTTTATAAACATAAGCACCATCATTATACACTGCAATACTACAAATGAGACAAGTTGACAAGGATAAAACTTAGTGCTATAGCCAGCCTTTGGGATATTTATAACATTTTATTTGTTTTATTTGTTTTGAGCCCCCTACTGAGGCCCGTCAACAGAAATTTGGGGACCCGGGAGCAAGAAGACTCACATGGGCCCCTCGCTAATATTAATTAATAGGCAGAGGTTCCAATTCTGGGCCTAAATAAAATAAATCCATGAGACCAAGACAACAGACCCATTTGTCCCCCCTTATCAACTCCCCTGCCCCTATTTACACATAAAACATGAACAAATTAAAGTATTCACTGGGTTGAAATTTGTAGAAACATATTCCAAAAAAGGATTGATTAACGATGACGTGACAGAATTATAACATCTGAACTAGAGCTTTCCATACGCGCAGTGAGTATACCGACTCGAAAACAGAATATATCACTTATTTAGTATACAGATTCGAATGCCCATGTGGTTGTTTTTACATAGGCCAAACAAAACGCAAACTAAAAAACAGACTGGCTGAACAAAAACAGGCTATAAGGACCTGCAACTCCCTGTATCCTATGGCCACAAAGTAAAAATCTGTGCAATTGAACATATTAAAGAAACAATAAGGCGAGGAGATTAGACTGAAAAAACTACTACAGAGAGAGTCCTACTGGATCTACACTCTCAGGCCACCCAGTTTCCAGGACACAATGGAGAGTTCGATTTCTCTCCCTCCTTTAAAACTACAAGCTTTAAATGTGCAATCTATTCCTGTCTCAATAAAACTGTTTAAGACTAGCCTTATAATATGTTATACAAATTATACTTGTTGTATCTGTAGCACCTTTGAATTTTTGCACTATATAAATTTTTAGACTATGTATCTTTCTATGTATTGGTTGTTGGGAATTGTACTATTTATATCTTGTATTACATCTTATCTTAAATAATTTGTAACTAAAATCTATTCAGCCTACACGTCCCATCATGCACCAGGAAACTGTGAGCCAGCCCACTGTGAACATGTGACCTACACCAGTGCCTCAGTTTTTTCAAGTTTGTATCAGGTCTAAACCAAGTCTGAACTGGGTCAAAACCAGGTCTAAACTAAATCTAAACTATGTCAAAAGTTGATCAAAAGTTGGTCAAAAATTAGTCTAAACCAGGTCTAAACCAGGTCTAAACCAGGTCAACACCAGGTGTAAAGTTAATCTAAACCAGGTCTAAACCAAGTGCAAACCAGATCATACCCAGATAACCAGGTCTAAACTAAGTCAAAATCTGGTCAAAATCTGGTCAAAACCAGGTTTAAACCAGGTTTAAACCAGGTCCAAACCAGGACTAAACTGGGTCAAATTCAGGTCTAAATCACTAGAAATAGACCAAAACTAAATCCAGACTAAAGCAGACCTAATAAAGAAGGCCTGCATAAACTCAAACAACATGATTTAACCAGGTCAAAAATAGGTTTAAATTAAGTCAAAACCAGGTCTAAACCAAGTCTAAACTAGGTCTAAAGTTGGTCTAAACCAGGGCTAAACCAGGTCTAAACCAGGTCAAAACCAGATCTAAACCAGGTCTAAACCAAGTGTAAACCACACCAAAACCAGATCTAAACCATATCATACCCAGGTAACCAGGTCTAAACTAAGTCAAAACCAGGTCTAAACCAGGTCTAAACCAGGTCTAAACCAGGCCTAAACCAGGACTAAACCAGGACTAAACTGGGTCAAATTCAGGTCTAAATCACAAGAAATAGACCAAAACTAAATCCAGACAAAAGCAGACCTAATAAAGAAGGCCTGCATAAACTCAAACAACATAATGATTTAACCAGGTCAAAAACAGGTCTAAACCAAGTCTAAACTAGGTCTAAAGTTGGTCTAAACCAGGGCTAAACCAGGTCTAAACCGGGTCTAAACCGGGTCTAAACCAGATCTAAACCAAGTGTAAACCACACCAAAACCAGATCTAAACCATATCATACCCAGGTAACCAGGTCTAAACTAAGTCAAAACCAGGTCTAAACCAGGACTAAACTCAGTCAAATTCAGGTCTAAACCACCAGAAATAGACCAAAACTAAATCCTGACTAAAGCAGATCTAATAAAGAAGGCCTGCATAAACTCAAACAACATAATCATTTAACCAGGTCATAATTAGACCAAAAATTTGTCTAAATTAGGTCAAAACCAGGTCTAAACCTTGTCAAAACCAGGTCTAAACCTTGTCAAAACCAGGTATAAACCAGGTCTGAAACAGCAGCAAGTAGGATAGAAAAACAGGTCTAAAAGAGGCCCAGAGAAAACCTCTTAAAGAGCTTTAATGGAGAAGTACAGTACATATCGAGAGCAACACAGGACCCTGAAAACACATGAACCCACTTCTCTGCTCTGTATGCTGCACTATAGCTCCCCTGACCCACTTTGAATCTGTATACCCGACTGTATATAATTACTTCTGTACTTTGTGTCTTTGTTGTTATTTCTCGGTTTGCCAAAAGCGTCTCTTCCTCTATTGAAATGTAAATGTGTTTGCATGTGTGCGTGAATGCGTTTGGGTGCATTGGACGTCATCATTCATTCATTAACAGTACATCTGCGGATTCACAAGGCCTTTTTCAGAACGTACAGAGGTTTAATTAATGCCAAGGGAAATTCTGAACAACGAGGCCCCCTGGTGTTCTAACACAGCGCTGCAAAGAGATCAGAGGTGGAAAATACTAAACTTTTCAGAAACAAATAAGTTATAATGATTAAATAAAATATGGTTTCAAATTAGGTGTTGAAGTGTTACAGTAGAGCTTACGTCCTGCAGATTAGTTTCTTGCAGAGAGACAAGTTGCATTCAGTAAAGGTGCATTATGTAACTCAGGGGTCACCAAACGTTTTTTCTCTGGGGGCCAAATTATCGCTCCTGACTGTGATGGGGGTCGGGGTCGGGTCAGCCGTATAACAGAATTGTTTGACCCCGATGACGCAGATTATATTCTTTGAAAACCGTCACACTTTCTTTACATGTCAGAAAAACTGCACGCTCTTTACACTGAACAAAAAAATAATCGGTCGTCCAGTGTTCTTTGAAAACTCGGCACGCTCTGTCAACTTTTTGTACTTTAACACTCGCCATTTTGCTGTCTTTAACTGCACTACTGTCACTGACCTTGAGCTTGCCAGGTGAAGAAAATTCTGCGGCAAATTCTGCGGCAAATGTAAATTCAGTACGTCATATAATTAATTAAATTTAAATACTCTGACCGGCTCGTTAAAGATATTTTGGAATTACAAATTAAACATATTTTACCTCATGCATGGACTAAAGCTGCATTGCTTTTGCATTTTAGAGGTGTTTTTGTTTTTTTTTTTGTGACATTTTTTTGTAAGGCAGCCACACTTTTTTATTGCTTAGTCATAACATATACTCTTACCAGTCTTACCAGCACGTCAAAACAATGCTATTTACTGCTTTTTATAAAGAAATACAATCAATATTATGCAGAACTGAGTTAAGAATTTTGGCCCCCCATGGAAAAAAAAAAAAAAAAAAAAAAACTAAACTGCCCACCCCTGTCTTTAATCATATTACACCAAAATAATTAGACTCATACAATTTAGCTAAAACTAAACTCATTTTCCTGTCAAAAGTTATTATTTAATGACTCAATACTGTATGCACTTTGTAATGATTCTTGATTATTTTATTTTATTTTCTTACTTTCCCGCCTGATTTACAGGATTAAACCCAATCAAAACTGGTGTGTAAATGTTGAGATGCTGAAGGCAAAAGTCAAACTGACCAGCCACAAATGGAGCCTGTAATAAAAAGTGGATTATTCATAATTTTAGTATTTTATTTCATTCTATTGATGTCGCCAACACTCCCTGGGGATGTGATTCTGACTGAAGACACTGCCCTCGTTGGTTTGCAATAACTTTTAAAATGGAGAGTTTCTTTTGCATTTTTATAACTTATTTTATTTATTTATATGCTTTTCATTATTGATACAGTTTCCAATTTTGTGTTTAAATGAACAATGGAGAAAACGGACAATGGCCATTTCCTGTTTCCATGATATAAACTGTGATGCCAGACTGAACCAGGACTGAACCAAGTCTAAATCAGGTCTAAACCAGGACTGAACCAGTTCTAAACCAGGTGTAAACCAGGACGGAACTAGGACTGAACCAGGACTAAACCAGTACTAAAACAGGACTGAACCAGGACTGAACCAGGACTGAACCAGGACTAAACCAGGACTAACCCAAGACTAAAACAGGACTAAAACCAGGACTGAAACCAGGACTGAACCAGGTCTAAAACAGGACTAAACCAGTACTAAAACAGGACTGAACCAGGACTAAACCAGGACTAACCCAAGACTAAAACAGGACTGAACCAGGACTAAACCAGGACTAAACCAGTACTAAAACGGGACTGAACCAGGACTAAACCAGGACTAAACCAGTACTAAAACAGGACTGAACCAGGACTGAACCAGGACTAAACCAGGACTAACCCAAGACTAAAACAGGACTAAACCTGGACTGAACCAGGACTAACCCAAGACTAAAACAGGAGTGAAAGCAGGACTGAACCAGGACTGAACCCGGACTGAACCAGGTCTAAAACAGGAATAGAATAAGACTAAAACAGGACTAAACCAGGACTAAAACAGGACTGAACCAGGACTAAACTGGTCTCAGTCCTGGTCTGGTCCCAGTTTCAGTCCTGATCACCCGACAGTCTATATGGACACACCTCCGGGCCCATCCCACACTCCTGGTTCAGTCCTGGTTCAGTCCTGGTTCAGTCCTGGTTCAGTCCTGGTTCAGTCCTGGTCTAGTCCTGGTTTAGTCCTGGTTCAGTCCGACAGTGCTGTTTAAGTCACGGAAACGAGAAACAGCCTTTATGCGCTTTTTCCATTAGTCATCTAAACACAAAATCAGAAGCTGAAAAAAAGAATCATTTTCTGTTTTTTTTTTTTTTTTTCATTTTGGTTTTGAAGACAAATAATGAAGAAAACAGTTGTTTATTAGTTTTCTTATTTTTTATTTTATATTGAAAAACGAATGAACGAATGGATTCAAAAGTTCCAGATTCAGTGAGTACTATGAGACTGTTCTCGACTCTAAATATGTACAAATAAATAAAGTACAAGTAAATGAAACACATTATCTACTTATCATGGTCTCTGGGTGGAATATATTAGACATTATTGGCTCAAATTGGAAACAGATTTGAGAAAGTTTGACAAATTGTGTTAGTCCAAGAATCCCGGACTTTTCCTGCACAATACAATCTGGAAAACAGCTTTCCGAGAACTACCTTTAGTACAGGAGTCTCCAAAACACCACTGAGTATTTTGCGCATGTATTTTTATTATTATTACAGACACATGTACAAAAATATTGACTTGGTCTGGTAACACTACGTAACAAACAGTTGCGTTGTACTCTATAATAATAATACATTCAGAACAGATCCCAAAACACAAATTACTGCTATTTATGTGATTTTAACCATTGCCCCCATATCAGCTTTTCATTTTGTGCAAAAAGCAAAACTTCAATGTCAAGTCACAAATGATAGAAGTTAAAAAATCACAATGATTTGACATTGACATTATACAGGCCATGACAGCTTTAAACAAACTTCATGAAAACAGTTTTACAACAGCAGCAGCAGCATTGAATCTTTGTTGGCCCAGTTTCAGTAGTGTTATTTTGTCTTAGACTTTAATTTACAAGGTTTCCACTCTTTTTCACTAACAAAATTTCAAAACTTTTCCATGGGTTTTTCATGACCCAAAGTGAATTTTCCATGACTTTACGGCACCTACATGTGTAGAATTGATCATAGTTTTAAGGATAAATATGAAATGTTAACCCTTCCCACTCACCTTATGGTTTGGTATTATAGTTTTTTAACATTCAAAATACAGTCAGTGCATTTATTGTCATCTCTTTTAAACAAAAGGCACAGACGTTCTGAAGTAATCATAATAGCCTAATGATAACTTAACAGAATGGTGTAGTTGCGTGAAAGAGACACTAAAATTCCATGACTTTTCCAAAACTTTCATTGAATTTACAAAATTTCATGACTTTTCCAGGTCTGGAAAATTACATTTTCAATTTCCATGACTTTTCCAGGATTTCCATGACTGTGGGAAACCTGAATTTAGCACCATCTGATGGACAAAAAGATTATGCACTACAGAATCTCCCATATAAGTGACTAAACATTCATAAAATATAAGTGGCAAATAAGAAAAACGGTCAAGAAACACTTTAACTTTACTAAATATGGCAGGAAAAAATCAAATGTATTTTAATCATTTACAACTGTTACAGCCCCAGGCCTCCAGTACTCTGACTTGTTTTGTGTGTTTTAATTTTTTTTTTATTTCTTTTGCTGTCCCTCCTGTGAGAGGTGAGAACCTTGGTCCCTGATTGGTGGGCACTTCTACACCGGGACAATCCTGCCTCACCTGCAGCCGCCTCCCCCTGTTTCAGAAACCAACGGCCAACACCATTACTTACATTACTACAATACAATTTTTCCATCTTGGTTTTTGTTACCTCCCTGACCCTCGCCGAGCTGGGTCGTAATAACACCACAAGAAAATAGAGATCACATTTTTCTATATATGGATATTACAATATCAAAATCTCTCGATACAATATTTTCACAATATGCATCTCATGATACGATATTTATTGCAATATTTTGGAGAGGCTAATATTATTGGAGATAGGACACATTTTTGCTTTAAAATACCTTGACAAGATTCTGGTGCAAAATATTACTATCTTAATCTTATGAACTCAAGTAAAAAACATATTTCTTCATGTTGTCTGCACTGAAATGAATCATGGGACATGTAGTTCCCTGTTTATTGGCTATTGCTACTATAAAACAAGGCATTTAAGCAAAAGAATTTGTAATTTGATATATTGTGACAGCTCACAATATTATTGTGAGACTTTTGACAATACAATATCACAATATCTTGCTTATTGTTACATCCCTACATTTTACCAGACCTTCATTACAATAACAAATACTAGTATATGGCACAATTTGACTGTACAAGTAATTACTGCAAAACCGTAATGGCTTATGTCATTGCCCTGTATTTAAAAGTCAGTTCCCCAAAACTTGATTTGGCCTCCTTAGAAAAATAAATATCTTACTTCCCTTAGCAGGTGGGTCCATAGCAAAATCAGTCAATTGTACCAAGTTTTAAAGATATAATATGTAACTTTTTAGGCGGGGTGTACCATCTGCTTGTCTCTGTAGAGAAGTTATTGCTCGGAATGTTCCACAGAACTGCTTGAAACTTATCATTTCCAGATTAATTAAACTATAGGCATGCATTCTTACTGTGAACGGGGTCGTGGCATCACCTGCTAGTCTCCACTGAGGTAAGTTTAATGCCATTCTGTGGAAGATTTTAGGCAAAACACACACGTTCTAACAGAGAAGTTAATATGGTAAATAGTGAAGATGTTAGCTTGAGTAAATTGACTCTTGTGAACTTTAAGCCATGTTAAAATGCTGTTACCTCAAAAACAGACCTGGAGTTGTGTTTTGTTTCATTCACATGTTTGAGTAATCTTTTATTATTAGTCTGTCTACATCTCCAAAGCTCAAAAGGATCATGAAGTGGTCCTTTTCCATCTAGTTCAGTAGAGATTTGTAGATCCAACTTATTCTAGTGAAGCAGTAAGGAGTCTGTAAAGGACATTTGTTTTATTTGGAATGTTTCCTGTGTGAAGTGTGTCACTTCCGGTAATGGCAGGAACTGTTCAAATATATTTTGACAGACATGGTGGGGGAAAAAGGCATAACTTTATGGACGGTCTTTCCATATACTTTAGCTCCGGGCTGGACAGGGGAAAAATCTCTATTCTGTTACACTGTTGAATTTGTTTGTTTTTATTGTTATTAATTCACTGTTTGTTTTTAGCTCTTACAGTGGTTATGTGCGCAATACAGAAAATAAAGATGACTGCTGCTGTACACATCCACTTGTACGCTTCATTAATCTAGCTGGGACGCTGCAGAGTGGAGCACTTCCTGTATTATCCCATGAAATCACAATGTCGATGACAGTCGTTTTATGGTTGAGAGAGGAACTCCGGCGTTGCGTCTTCACTTTTTATTCTGCGTTTCGACAAGTTTTTTCGGGAGCAAATCTGCATGCATACGGTGACGCAAAAAAAATGTGGAATTCGAATGAATATGCTTGTACTTAAAGCAACAAGGGATCTTTGGACATACATCAGTTTTCACACTACGCATTTTCATCAGCTACTCCTTCCACAAAGTTGTCCCACCATCGACTGCTTCTCCCAGGTCTCATCCATAGTCGTCTGGCTCACCCGCGACAAACTGATGCATCCAGAATTTGACAGAGTTAATTGCAGATCCTTCTCTGCTCATTAACACTATCTCTGCAGATTCTGTACATTTGTTGGGATGTATCCTGTAAGTTTATTAGAGCTGCCAAAGCAACTTGAAAGTCCAACACATGGAAATGAACCGACATGTTTGTTTCTGTGTACTGTATGTATGTGACATAAGTGAGCAGATCTGACCAGAGTTTTGCGTCTTGGGCAGTGTAGACAGAAACGCTACGGTGGAGTGTAGACAGAAACGCTATGGTGAAACGCACTCTGGAGGGTGGTTTCAGATTTTTGCGTTTTTAAGCCCCGAAAAAAACACCATCACTGTCTAAACAAAAGGCACTTCCGATAAAATATTTTGTCCTTTTTTCCCGCAAGCGTTCTCATGTAAACAGGCCCTCAGCCTAAATAAGCAGAGTTTGTTTGTTAAACATGTATGAAAGAAACAAACACAACTCCAGGTCTGTTTGTGAGTAGGAAACATTAAAACAGATCAGAAAATAGTGTAATATGGGCCCTTTAAAAATGTATCTTAATTTACATTGAAGACATTTAGGTGTAATTATTTTTAACTAAAGCTCTCACTGGCCTCTTCTTTGAAAACATGGCTTCCAGTGTCCACATTTTCAGTCTGCAAATTATTCACAATCCTAGACACCAGCAGTCTCTCTATCGCCTCCTCTGATTGAAAGTCCTCCCCTTCTACCTTTATTTGCCCCCCTGCTGCTAAAAACCCCTCGCCCTCCTCAAAACCGTACCCAAAATTACTCCCATCTTCAGCGGACGTGCTTGAGTTGTTGCTGTTTGAAGCCATCCGTTGACACCGCGCCTGGTGCCTAAGAAAACTGTCTTTCCAGATTACTTTCTTTCCGCAAACGCCGCATTCAAAAGGCCGTAAACCCCCGTGCGTTTTCAGATGCTTCGTCAAATGGTGCTTCATTTTGAAAGACTTATTACACACTGGGCAACCGAATGGACGCAGGTTTAAGTGCTGCATTTTAACGTGGCGGTCTCTCATGCTTTTCAGGGCGTACGCTTTACCACAGTGGCAGTAGTGGACTTTGCCAGCGAATGGGGCACCAGTGAGGGGCAGAGAAGAAGAAGAGGAGGGCATACTAGGTGATGATGGTGCTAGGAAAGTGGACGAGGATGTAGGAGTCAAAGAAGGAGCTTGGTTGGCGCTAGTTGAAGGCCAGTTCGCGTCTGAGCCGGATAGATTAAACTCTGGAGACACTAACGGACGCTGTGAAACTTGTCCACTTTCCTTCTCGATCTCATCAAAAGTATCCCGACTGTAATTACCTTCAAAATGTCCCATATCTGAGTCTTCTTCATTGCTTACACTGTTTCTACCAGTCTCGGTGTCTTGGGGTCTTGCTGTCTGTTGGGACCAAGCAGGTATCTGCCACTGGAGACGTGCTAAAGGTGCAGGGCTGGGCTGGTTTTGAGGGGTCTGGTTCTGGGTTTGGGGGGCAGGGGTGGGGACATCTGAGGAGGCGTCGCTGTGAAGGCTGTCGTCAAGAATCACTTTTACAATAGACGCTTTGTTCACGTTTGAAGCAACGTTGAAGTCTGTAAGAACACACAGAGACAGAAAAGGTCAATAGTAATGTAAAAAAAAAAAAAAAAAAAAAAGAGGTGCATTGTGTAACTTTTCTGTAACCTGCTTGTCTATGACATTAAAACTTTCTATCACCATGGAGGCCAAAAAGATCTGTGGAGAGGCGACCCCGCTCAGTCAAAATACCATTTTTTTTAAGTATTTTTGAGCTGTAAAACCACCTGCAATTTAATAAAAATAACATAGATCAGTTTGATGTCATATTGTGGAAGCAGAGCAAGACCGTGTCCACAGAAAAAAAAAGCTGACGGACCTTCAGCCGAAAAGTTACACACTAAGAAAGTTAAAATGTTGTTTAATCAGGACCTTCAAGATTGATTCAAACTTTCTAAGATAATTAAAAAATAACATTATACAAGCAAATCAAGTCAAATTTTTCTACATAATAATTCAGCTCATTGAAGGACGCCTGTGATACGTGGTAAGTGCGTTATATAACCTCGAATACAGAGGTGGGCAATTATTTATTCCATTGGGCCACAGAAGTAACAGAAAATATTGTGGAGGGCCGGGTCAAAATGCTAAATTCAATTCTGCATAATATGAATGGTATTTCTTTATAAAAAAGCAGTAAATAGCATTCTTTTGATGTGCTGATAAGACTGGCAAGAGTTTATGTTCTGACTAAGCAATGAAAAAGCGAGGTTGTCTTACAAAAAATTTCACTTTAAAAAACATCTCTAAAACAAAAGCAATGCAGTTTTAGATGATGTATGAGGTAAAAATATAAAATATGTTTATTTTGTAATTCCAAATGAGCTTAAATGGGCCGGTCAGAGTCAACCAAAGGGCCATATGTTTTTTTCCATAAAAGCAAGTGATGATGTGCATCCTTATTTTTACTTTAAAGGTGCAAAGGTGCATTGTGCAACTTTTCTATTGGAGGGTCTCTACCTACTTTTGCTAGTTTTTTTTACTTATTTATTATATATATATATATATATTATATATATATATATATATTTTTTTTTTTCTTGCTACTTTGCTACCTACTTTGCCTGGAATATTTCATAGTATGACATTAAGCATACCCATCTAGTCTGCATTCATTATGGGTGATAGATACTGTAGGTTTAATCTATACTGTGGAACATTCTGGACAAAGAAATAACGTTTCCATGGAGACATCAGGTGGCGAACCCTCTACTACAAATGTTACGCAGTGCAGCTATAATCAAGACTTTGAAGATTGATTAAAACTGTCACATTTTCACAAGATTATATGGACTGTTTAGGTAACATGAGGTAAACATAGCCACAACTGTCTGTCACCTTGGACAGAAAGTATGCGCCCTTCCTCAAAGTGTAAAATGATTTAGTTCAACTTGTTAATGTAAAACCTTTTCTATTTCTGCACATTTACATGTTTCAAAGTTGGATTTCTTGTTTGAAACTAGGTCACTTACCACACTGCCCCACTTGTATAATGCCCTCTTTTGTCTCCACTCCACTATCTCCTGAACTCTTCTCCCCTTCTGTTTCTTTTCTGTCTTTCTTCTGTCTCTCTTGGGTTACATCACGCTCCCCATTCTCCCTATTCTTATCTGGAGGTCTTTCGGGGCCACGCTGCTGAAGTCTGAATTTCTGCTTTCCTGTGTCTTCGCTGAGAGGTGTCCCGTGGTTTTTACTGCCAAGCTCATCTGGAACAGTATGAGTCGCTTTGGCTTGACTTGAAACCCAGGGCTCTTCACAACTGGAATAATCACTGCTGTCATTGTACCCAGGCAAGTTCTCCAGCTGCGAGTCCGCTATCTGCTGCCCCGTTGATGATCTTTGGCGCCCCCATCTTGGAAACTGCTGCGGTCGTCTCCATGTTGCCAAGGGAGGGAGGGCATCAGGCTTTTTCTCCCTCTTTCTTCCCTCTCGCTCTGAATATAAAGAGTCACTGCTGCTGGGAGACTGTTGTCGAGAGACAGCGCCCCCCGGAGGTAGATCTGGGGCAGGACGGGGCCTTTTTAAAATCTCTGTGCATTTGTCCACTATGTGCCACATCTGTAGAAAACTGGCCACCGTGACGTAGTTGACGATGTCGTCCTGGACGATGCTGAGCTGCCCCGTGTAGGCAGAGCTTAAAACGCTCTCAAAGGCCACAGGGTCCATCACCGACGGCAACGAGACAGTGGTGACATTCTTCAGCAAAACCTACACAGAACATGAAGACATAAACCGCTGTGAGCGAACTGCTGTACTCGCAAAGTGATACCATGCAGTGACATCATGCTGGGGGGGTTCTACATGTATGTGTATGGCAGAATGGTTAGAATTTACCAAGGTGACACAAAGCACACATAAGGGTATTCTGACAATGTTAGTTTTAAGAGAGTGAAAACTCAAGAAAAAAAAATGCAAAGTGGATTTAAACAACACATTGTCAGGAACCTGTGATCAATACAATACTAGTTTGTGACTAATTTGATGTGTGACAGACTTTATTTAAAGCACAAAGTTAGCATTACACCCCCAGGGCATGTTCATGACAACACATTCTAAGCAAGGGTTAAGTAAAAATCAGTTTCACCTGAACTGTTTGTCCTCAGTATGAAATAAGTGCATCAATAGAATCAATAGAAATCAACAGAAAAGGCACAAGGTTTCTGGAACTATATTGGCGATGCATTTAAATGTGACACAGCTGCAACTAGAGCTAGCGGTGTCATTAAACACAAATTACAGACCAATTTTTTCCTCTAAAATCCAAACCACATGTTTTTACTGACAGAGAATTGTCTGTACAACACACACTCCAAGTATATCACAGCTGATTATGATTGAATTAAAAAACAACTGGATTCATTTCCCAGCCCTAGTTGCAATGTTTACTTAGAGATTGTTTATTTTCCTAGCTTGAAAACATGTTTAAAAGTTGACTTGACTTAATTCCAGTAGATTTATGATTACCAAACTGCTTCATCTATTTTTATTTACCATGTTTTAATGTATGCCTTTAATTTATTCATAGTTTATATTAATCTTCTTTGATTAATGTTACACCATAAGTTCCTAGTTTGTCAAATTTCTTCACTGAAAATGGCTATAAATTTTTCAGATTCTGGTGTAAATAAGAATCTGGATCTTATTTTATGCACTGTGACTGAATATTAAATAAACAGATGAATTCGGACTGTGTAATTTTGGTTTGTTTGGTGCTTTAGCGCCCACCTGGTCGTGGAAATATGGAGAGGATGCGGCGAGGACACAGCGGTGGGCCTTGAACACCTGTCCCTGTACGTGGATGGACAGGTCACAGAGCTGTCCCTCCTCCCTCTGCCTGTTCAGACTGTCCAGGACCGAGGCTCTGACCGCAGGAAAACACACCTGCAGAGTGGGACTGGGGACGTCTCCTGAACTCACCTCCATCTTCAGGGATCTGCAGAAAATATGAGATGAAATGGGATTAACATAATATATGGGAGTATAGTATAGTATAGCTCTGGCCTCGAGTTTACTCAGTTTTCAACTAGCTTTAATTGAAAAACTAATTAACAACTTAATACAGTAAAAACAAAATCCCTGGTATGGTGTAATGAAGACACAAACACATAAATATCTGTCTTCTAAGATTATCAAAATAGGAGAAGGTTTTATTTACTATCATTACTCGCCCAAAGTTTAAGTTTCAAACATTAAATACACAGATACACCGGTTTGTTTTGATTCGCACTAGTTAGCTCCCATGTAGCATGTACCGTTAGCATGTTAGCATAAGCTTTCTCACTTTACCTTTGACTTATTTGAGGTCTCACTGCTTTGTCCTCGTTTGCTATGTGCTCACCAATCTTTCTAAGACTGCGATACACATTTTGATCACGTATTTGACGATTGCTGTGGCTTGTTTTTGACTAACCTTCTTGGTTTGAGCTAGCCTGTGCTATCAGCCTGCTAACAGTGACCTGTAGGCGGAGCTGACAACATCAGCCTCTTCTGCACATGCAGCGTCTGTGGGCGGTTTACAGACACAAGGGGTTTTATTATATGGAAAATAATATGCATCTCTGGTGTCGTCAAACATAATAGATTAGTTTGCGCTTGTTTTGTGTGAAAACCAGGATAAAAGAGTGAATTTTCAGGCATTGTGGCCGGTATTTGGGAAGATGCCTCAAATCCGTGTCCCCGCCCTGTGGCCGCTGTTAAAGGGGAAGTCCGACAAATAAATCCGCGTCGTTTTAATTTGGGAAAGATAATATAATAAATATAATGATTTAATATGGTCATATCACGTTTGTAGAAAGAGTTAAAACAGTTTTGCTGTAAAAACAGAGTGTCTAGAGCCAAAGGGGAGGTGTTTTTCAGCCCCCTGCTCAGCTCGTGAAGGGACCTTGGTTTTACCGCAGTGTCTCTGCAGCAGCCCGTGCAGAGGTGCGTCTGTGGCGCACAGATAAACCTGCTCCAGAGGACGGCTCCATCACACGCGGCTCATACGCACATTTTATTTGTCTTTTCAGCTGTGTGCCCTTTTGACTGGCACTACGATATTTCTAACTGCGATGCCAGCCCAATGGAGACATCTCCTCTCGGAGCACGGGACCATCAGATAAAATTTTGCATTTGTCAACGCAAGACAACGACAAGACGGCGCGTATTTGGGCTCGACACGGACTGGGCCTCTATTTCAGGACAGTACACTCATATTTTAGAATTTAATATAAGCATTTGTAGCTTGTAAGCGTCACCAGTAGCGTGTTAAAAGTAGCTCACTGGCTTTAAACCATAAGGCATGCACATTTTTCACATATGCATCGGCATGGTGTAGTTTATCAGTAGCTTGGCATGTTGCATTATGTATTTTAACCCTTAGTGTTGTCTGGAATGCAATTCAAAGAATCACGTTTTATTATTGTGTGCGTAATCAGACTATAGTACCTCAGGGAACAAAGATAATCACATCTCAGGTTATCTGAAAAAAGCACTGTGAAAAGACCTGGGCAGTATCATTTAATTTAAACAGAAAGCTTTCATCTGAGTCTTTCCAGATAAAATTATAGGAACCTGTGGCAATAACAGCTGTATTTTTCACTCAATTGTTGCTGCTTACAGCCAAAGACCTCATAAGACCATTTAGTTACAAGTGTGTACGGCCTTGGCCACAAAAATGCATGTTTAGCGTGTACTTTCCTGACACGACATTTTCAATCAGCACTTTACTTATAGCAGATACATTATACATTACTGTAAATATTTTAGATCCATTAAGGGATAGCATCAGAGGGGCTCAGTCCAAAGTCTAAAAGGAATATGAAGTTGTTCTTTTTGAGATCCAATAAAAAGATGGCTTACAAGGCAGTTTTTCACCTCCTGATCCTGGCTCTGCTCTCCTCCCTGTTCGGTAAGTGATGGGCTTGTAACATGTATGAAAGTATAAATAGTATAAATAGTTAATTGTGGGATCATGTTATAAAGAAAGTGTTTCAGAATTGTTACAGTCCTATACTTTATTTTCTCTAAATAGACTAAAATACAGTTTTTTTATCCAGGTTACTTGGCACCTGCAAGTTTTTACTTTTCCTGGTGGCGTAGTTTCCACTCACTAACCCACTTAAAAAGTTTTATGGAAAAAAATATTTAGGTCAACAGGTGCATCTTGGTTATGAGTACTCCATTAGCCAGTTTATCATTAGGTCAGGTTTAACGTAAAGTAAAAATACCGTGCTTGCAAATTCTCAGTTCCTTATTAACTAATTGGTATATTTTACTGTAAATATAATAACCCACAGCCCAAGCTTAAAAAGTGTGATGAGGGGTAATTTTTTTAACCAACAATATATCAGCATAGGCCATTTAAAAGATTATATTCAAGAGGATTTTCCAAAGCATGGCACTGATAGTAGGGATGCACTGATCCAACTATAGCTTTAAGTATCTGCTAATACCGGAAATCAGCATATACCAGTACAGAGACTGACAATTGCATTTATTTCTTTTAAACAAAAATAAAATAAAACAAAAAACTGATCCGAATGTCTCATGTAGCTGTAATTTTTCCCTCAAGTAACTACAGAAAACTTAGACTTAGACAAACTTTATTGATGTACATGGGGAATTATTTGGACATTATTGGAAATGATGTCGCGATACTTTCTGGTCTGACAACGACATGGAAATAATCTTATTACACCAGGTCGTGTGGTCAGGGCAGTCAAGGCAAGCAGTGGTTGCCCCAAAAAGTCTAAAATCATCATGTGTCAAAAGTATAACTAAATAGTTTGTAATTATATCCAAATAATTTAGTTTTCCTTCTTGATGGATAATAATAATTACATAGATAACAACAGTCCTTAAGGCTCATCTGTATAAACAAAGTGTAGGAGTAGAAACAAACTGCCCTTTTTGTACAAAGAGGGTGTCAAATACAGTCCAATATATAGAAATATTAATAAACTATATGGTCTGGGTCTCTCTAATTTGACCCCAAAATGGCTCAGTATACATGTAATTAATGTGAGTAAAAATAAATATACAAACTTTCAATGCAGGTTTCATAAAAAGTAGTGTTATTGAATTGTTATCGACTAAATATTGATGTCCACCCCAAGTCTGCTTGCCAACCCATCAAAGTCAGCTCACGCTACTGTATTACATAGATTCATATCTGCCCAACCAGGATATCGGCTGAACTGATGTCAATATATCAATGTCCACCAATGTGCCAGTATTGGCGTTAATATCTGATACTAGTATCAGAGCTGTGCACCTCTAAGAGATAGAACAGGACAGCGGGAACAAAAAATAAACCAAAGAAAATATGTGTCCAACTAGCCCTGAGTTTGCCAGTTCTATTATAGCCTCGTTGTTAAATCTTGTAAGTGCTTTTCTTGCTTTTAAATCATCTAATCCTTTGCTTTTCCTGATTTCTCTCGGCGCAGTGGGAGAGTCTGACGGGGCATGTGCAGAGGTGGACTCGGACACAGAGGCAGTGGCTGGAAAAGGATTCAAAGTGGGCTGTATTTCCTGTAAACGCCGCAGTGAAGTCCCAGGATCTGCGACTGTGGAGTGGTACTTCAGAGCCAGAGGAGAGGCCGATTTTGTGCACGTGAGTCTGGTTTTCTTAACGGTGTACTGCGTAACATTTCTAGTGGAGGGTCCAACACCTGATGTCTCCACAGAAATGTTACTGCTTTGTTCCACAGTATTGATTAAACCTATTTAGCCAGGAGGGTAGTGGGCGTGTTACACTGAGGTACGCCGTACACACACTTCTCTCAACATGAGATATAAAAAATAACAAATATAAAATACCTACAACTTAAATGTCAAACCGGAGCTATTGGCAATGGTGAAAACAACCTGCATAGGCTCAAGATGTCTCCAGTACTGTCCTATAGTGACCTGAGACATGAGAGACCAGGGCTGAACCAGGACTAAAACAGGTTTAAACCAGGACTAAACCAGAACTAAACCAGGACTGAGTGTCGGGACAGGCCCAGAGGTGCGCCCATATAGACCGTTGGGTGACCGCAGGCAAAAGGACCAGCGCAGAACTCCACACCTCACGGGGCTCAGCACAGCCATCACCTGATTGTGCTTTGCGGACACCCTGCTCCACGGGCTCGAGGTTTTCTCTCAGTCCAAGATTAGTTCTGGTGTAGTCCTGGTTTAGACCTCATTTAGACCTGGTTCAGTCTTGGTTTAGACCTGGTTTAGACCTGGTTCAGTCTTGGTTTAGACCTGGTTTAATCCTGGTTCAGTTCTGGTTTAGTCCTGGTTCAGTCATGAATCGCATACCCCCACTTAGAAAATCTCCACTACACCATTGTATTTAGCACAATCAGGTTACAGCACTGCGCCACATTACAGTTCAGATCTGTGGAGGGGCGCCTCTCTTCACAGAAGGAATTATTGTATTTTTGAGCAATAGAAACACTGTAATGAACAAATGCTAGATGGATAAGTTTAATGTCCATACCATGGAACATTTCAGGCCAAGCAGTAACATCTCCATGGGGACAAGTAGGTAGTGGAAAAGCTGCACACAGAGCACTTCTGAAACGGTTTTTATTTGTGTATTTTTGTTTGCTCAAATTACAAATGTGTTCAAATAAACCCTACAGTCTTTTCAGCAGAACTCAAACTATCATAAAAAAATGCTTTTACTTTTCAGTCCACTTCAGAATTTTGTGGAGTAGAAAGTGCAAATAGCTTCTCAAATGTAGTAAAGTAAAAGTAAAAAATATCCACTTGAAAATGTACTCAAGTAAAGTAACAGATACCTAAAATTTAAAGCTCAGTACAGTACAACTTTTACTTTTATGTTTCACCACTGCTTATTTATTACTAACACTGTTGGCAGATTTATTTTTCTCAGTTGCAAATATTTTGAAACCAACAAAAACAAAATATTCTTGGTGATTATTACTAACTCACCCAAATCCAATTAATTTCATTTCACCATTGCCAGATATTTCTACACCAGGATGCAGCTCATAGTCTGGTCTGTGTCCAATTGTATTACTCATCAATTTGTTCTTCTAACACTCATGATTTTGCAGTAATTGCAGGCAGCGCAGGCACTTCTTATTCACACAGTTAAAGGTTTGGACACAAAGACTTGATGTATAATTCAGAGCTGACCTGTTCCTGTGTGAGAGGCAGAGGCTCAGAGGGCACAGACTCCACACTGAGAGGCTGCAGATCAGATCAATATCACAGCAGGGCTAATCATTCTGGGTGCCTGAACAAACCTGGAGCAAACTCAGACTACATAGTTAGAAAAAAATATGTTGTTTGAATTTATTTGACCTCCTTTTTGTGGTATTATGTGAAATAAGAAAGCAGCGGTGAATTCAAGCCTAAAGCACTGTGCAGAAAGCAGGGAGCCCACTAAGCGATTATTTTAAATACAGACATCACTACAGTCTGGTCACGACCTCCTCCTCAGAGCCTTCCAAACAGACTTTATATTGAAAAATTGTCACCACTCTCTGCAACCTTATCATTATTTTGGTCTTAAATGGCCGTATTAACCTACCCCGCATGATCCTGGTGTTTTTATTTCGCTATTTTGTACACCAATAAATTCCTATTCCAAATATCAAACTTGGCTTCAAATTTGCTCCGATAACTGTTGGCCTTGTGAGCTTCATTTGACTGGAGCTGAACATGACATTACACTCACTTAGTCCAGTTCTTTATACAGTCTGTGGTCCACTCAGATTTATTTATTTCAGTGACTATGAGAAATTGAGAAAGTCATCAACCAAACTTCTCTTATTCAGATGAAAATGATTTAGTGCTTTACTCACTGATTCTGGAGAAGTTTGTTGTGTTTTTCAATCATATTTATTATTTCTATCTTTTCTTTTTTACATGTTTTTGTATAGTATATGAAAATAGTGTAATTGCTGGCCAGGCAATGCAACTTGGGCCTCAACATTTGATACTGTTGTCTTTATTCCCTATAAAAGTGGTCCCCAATCCCTGGTACGTGTCTGTGGGTCGTTTGGTACCAGGCTGCGCAGAAAGAATAAATAACTCACATCATTTCCTTTTTAATTAGTCTGAATCATGTTTTATTTTGAAAAATGACCAAATTCTCTCCATTACAGCCGTCTATGACTCACTCTTGACACATGTGAAAATGCTTGTCTCGGTCACGTGGTACATTAACACTAATATTAAACCTACAAGCTGCAAAATGAGTAAAAAACAGATGTCTTTGGAAACATTTATTAATATATTTACAAAATACCACTGTTTTTGTGTTGGTTGTATCATTTTATTTTGTCGTAATATCTGCCGGTCCCTGAAAATATTGTCTGACATTAAACCGATCCGTGGCGCAAAAAGGTTGGGGACCACTGCCCTGTAATATATATTATTATTTTATGTCCCCTTTCTAGAAACCCAGAGTTTTGAGTTTAGAGTCTATCAAACTAAATACATTTCTTCTATTTTTGAGACAACCAAAGTCCTGTGTATATATGAAACACCCATTCTGATCACAGTGAAAATAACAGTAAGTCTTTCATTCTTTGCAGATTTTATTGTTTTATTAATAATTGTCGCATCTATATTTTGTCTATTGTCTCGCTATAATGGTACCCTTTCAAACAGGCTGTGATTGATTTAGACTGACTCGACTTTCTGGTACAAAATAGCCACCCACACCACGTTTTATCTATTTATAAACTCCTGTCTGTAGTCCCTCTCCCTTTCTTCCTGTTTGGCTCCCATAACAACGCCACATCCCCGATCACATGACCAAACAGGGGTTGAAGGTCAGGCTCAGATTAAAATCAATAGAGATATTTCACACCACACAAATCAATGGGCTGTGGGCTGGACCAGGCGAGTTAACCTTGTGCAGTGTCATCTGTACTGGACGTGTTATTTAAGCCTTAAAACTCATCACGTTAGAGAGGATTTATTTCTGTTTCTGTTTACAACAACCAAGAGAAAATACGAGGGGGCAGTAAAGTATAGTTCTGAGAAATGGAACAGCAAAATATAGTTCTGAGAAAAATTAAGTGCATAGATATATTTTTAGCTTTTATCGATTGTAACTATAGACTGTAAAGAAGTGGACTAAGGGAGTGTGACGTGACCCATAGTGTCCAGCTCCAATCAAATGAAGCTCATGGAGAATTTGGAGCCAGCTCTATATTAGGGAGAGGATTTAATTGCTTTCTCATCAAACAGAAAACACTCTGTTCCACCTTGTGATGTCATGTGGTAATACAGGCAGTGCTCCACTCTGTTTTTTGACTCCACACACCTCCACTAGAATCATTTGGATGATTTCAGCCCTGGAATTGCCAGTCTCTACTCAACTAAAGGTAAAAGTATCTGCTAATTTAAAAACTACTGCTTCATGACATCACAAGGTGGAACTGAGCTTCAGCTTTGGAGATACACTACCGGTCAAAAGTTTTAGAACACTCAAATTTTTCCAGTTATTTACTGCAATTCAAGTCGTGCAAGTCCAATGAAGAGCTTGAAATGGTACAAAGGTAAATACTGAACAGCCAAAGTTTAAAAAAAAAAAAGATAAAATATAACAAAACACAAGTCCAAGCTCTGCCAAAACTACCTCACGAAAAAAGAACAAAATGGTGGGCTTGAAAACATGGAGTGTCCAGCACAGTCTCCAGACTTAAACCCCATCGAGTTGGTTTGGGATGAACTGGACAGAAGAGTAAAAACCAAGCAACCTACAAGTGCCACACATTTATGGGAACTTCTGCAACAGACTTGGGAAGAACTTTCTGAAGAATATTTGATTTCTATCGTAAAAAGAACGAGCCACGAGTGTGTTCAGCTGTTATATCTGCCAAAGGGGGACACTTTCATGAATCAAGAAATCAGAATATGTAAACAGTAAAAAAAAATGAAAAAATTGTGGTGTTCTAAAACTTTTGACCTGTAGTGTATAGACAGACTAATAATATAGAGTTACAAAACGTGTGGGAATAAAACAAAACAAACACCTCCATGTATGTTTTTGAAGAGGTAACAGCATTATAACAGGACTTAAAGCTCACAGGAGTCCATTTTAAATAATATTGAACCTTTAATGTCAAGAGCCCATCTTCTACACCTGTACAGAAAGTATCCAAATGATATATAATACTACCAATACATGTGTGCCTTAATCTTGTATTGTTGAAATTGGTTTAGACTTAGACAAACTTTATTGATCCACAAGGGAAATTACTTGCACACAGTAGCTCACTCGTCACAATATATGATAATAACAAAGAGAAACTGCTGAGAAGAGAATAAAAAGAGAAAAAGAGACAAAAAAGAGAAAAAGACTGAATGAAAGACTAACATTTCCTCTTGTTTCAGATCTACTCTTACAATGAAGATGGTCCTACAGTGGAGCACGATCACTTCATGGATCGCATAGACTGGAACGGCTCTAAGCGCGGGAACGACATCCAGGACGCCTCCATCTACCTGCTCAACGTCACCTTCAACGACTCCGGGACCTACCGCTGCTTCTTTAACCGCATCCTCACCTACGAGAACGATTTTGAGTACAGCACTGTGGTCAACAAAGTGGTGCACCTCACTGTGGTCGCCAAAGGTACTGAACTTTTGTCTTACCCATTTATTCATATAATAAATCATTAAATCTGTTTTTTTCTAAGTACACAGGTGTTAGGATCAAAATGAGACCAATGTGTGCTGTCTGCATCTAATTATAAAGTGTTTTTATAATCTGCAAACCAAGAAGTGTGCTGTTAGGATGCTAGTTGTTCTTAATCAATCAGTCTTTTTATAGAGCCCTTAACAACACTCAAGATGACCAAAGTGCTTTCGAATAAAATGAACACAATATAAAACATGCAAAACATTAAACAATGAAATGAAACTAATTGTGCAAAGTGTAAAAGACTGTCTGAAAATAAGTTTTGAGCCTGGATTTAAACAGGACAAAGTCTGATGGAGCACATATCGGGGAGCAGTTTGTTCCAGAGTCTCTTGTTGTAAACAGCGGCGTGAAAGCAAATCTCTGCTCTGGGCTCTGAAAGTGAAATGCGTTTATGAATTCATTGTGATGAATAATTAGGATGCTGTGGCTTAGGAGCACTGAGGAATGACTGGACTTTAAAATGTTTAAAATGAATTAATTCTGTTTTCATGTTTTAAGTCAAAACCATGTACAGCGCATTTACATGTTGTCGGAGCTTTGTTAAATTGACATTATAGTTTTATAATGTTAAAAAGGGGGAGGGGGTTATACTGGGTCAGGGGTGCCCAAAGTGTTTTTACCTGGTGGGCCAAACCTAATGACAGTTTGCACATAAAAATGTTTTTCTGCAAATAAATATATCATTAAATGTACTTTAAATATTAGGAAATAGACAGGATTGGCCTTCTTACCATCTCCTGACTACGTTTTAAATATAAAATTGAATCAAAATAGAGTCTTAAAATCTCAGGACTCCCTCCTGGGCTAAATTACACCCCTTGGCACAATTTTGAAGCTAACAAAGCCACTCCTTTTCACTTAGCACTGACTGCAACAAGATAGAAAAGAGAATTGGCATTGGCCACTTTGAATCAGCTCCCATAGAAAACACAAAAAGACTTGAATAGAGAAAAGTAAAACATGGACTAATATTGGCAGAGTTTTCATTGTGTTTAACTGCGAAGATGAATTGTTCTTTGTTATTAAAGCTTTTATTCCAAGAGACACTGACAAAAGAGGCTAACCCACTACAAACTGTGCACACTGAACTAAAGAGCTCCAGACCAGGACTGAACAGTGGAGTTACACGTACTACATGTACTTATACATGTACTTATACACACTGTATGTGTATAATGAAAAAGAGAGAGAGACTGAGAGGGAGAGAGAGGGCGGGTGGAGTGATGGATAGATAGATAGTGTGATGGATAGATAGAGAAGCAGTGGAGAGAAAGAGACAGAGAGAGAGAGAGACACAGAGAGACAGAGAGAGAGACTTTATTGATCCCGAGGGAAATTAAAGTTCTGCAGCAGCAACATTTACACTGCACTTCTCATCAAGTAATGAAAAAGCAGCGGGTCCCGGTCTCTGGTGTAAATGGGAGAGTTCACAAACGTTTTTGTAGGAACTATTATTGAAACACATTCAAAGCAGGAGGTCAATGCTACGTCATATTTTATCTCATCATGAACAGAAAGTCAGATTTCTTTTCAGCTTCTCATGACAGAGGCCAGTGCAGTGAGAATCTTTTGGAACATTCAATATTCAGTTTATATGGTCTGTGTTTTGTACAGAATACTAATTTCGAGTAGCTGTTTTTGGTACAATTACTTTTTCATTTAGTGATATTCTTACTTCTCTAAAATCAGAGAAATACAATACAATACTACAGTATTTGATTGTGTATTTAGATTTCAAACTGCACAGAATTAGAGAGAAAAATATGAAACACCTTTCTTGTGGTGAGTGCCTGTGTGATTTTTCCATCTCCAGTTAGTATTTGACACCAGTTTCTTGTTATTTTTGCTACATTTTGGCAATTATTTTGAATTTATTTTTACAATTGTTTATATTTTTGCTCTTTGTTATTATATTTATGGTAATGTGTGACCTACAGTGTCCAAAAAAATTCCCTTGTGGATCAATAAAGTTTGTCTAAGCCCATGTCTTAGTGATAGGAAATGCTTTAAAAACAGTGAAACAAATATGAAGCTGTTTGTAATGCTTTTACATCTTTACTCTATAATTTAAATGCAACTTGATATAGAAGTATTCAGTGAACTCAGAATACAGTACTCTGATTGGACATATGTTTTTATTGCAGGTACTCAGTATTGAATAAGTAAAGACATTCTCAAAGTATCCTTCCCATCACTGGCATTGTATTATACAGTACTGAGTAGGGGTGCGCAAAAATATTGAAATATCGATATATCGTATTGTTTAATGTACTGATACAGTATTGATATCATGGGCTGATGTATCGATATATCGGCAAGAGTATTTTTTGGTATATTTTACTAAATTATCTTGTTACAGCGCTACAGTTTTGTTGCTTGTTTAGTGGAAGGAAACTCATTTATGCGGCACATTTGTCATTTTCACTGTTTTGATGACTAAAATGTTTGTGTTTCATATTAACTTTGCACAAGAAGTGGTTTTACAAAGACTTTTAGTATCACAGTCATGATTTAGCCTTTATTTTTAATTGAACCTTATTGTATCGAATCGCAAGCTCACTGTATCGAGATATGTATCGTATCGTGGCCTATGTATCGAGGTTTGTATCGTATCGGCAACTTCTGAATGAAACTCAGCCCAAGTACTGAGCTCATGTAAAGTCCATATGATTCTGCCTCTGTATAATAATAATTTAATGTGTTCTTTTCCAAAACAGAAAACACTCTGTTCCACCCTGTGATGTCATGTGGTTATACAGGAAGTGCTCCACTGTGTTTTTATACTCCACACATCTTCACTAAAATCATTTGAATAGTTTCAGCCCTGGAATTTGCAGTCTGGCCTAAACTAGAGGTAAAATGTAGCCATTAACTTGAAAACTACTGCTTCATTAGATTCAAGGTGGACCAGAGTGATAATAATAATAAAGGGTTACTCAAACATGTGAATGAACACAGTACTCTGATTGGACCATGTATCAAAAGACACTGTAAAATACTTTTAAATGCAGGTTTTCAGTATTTTGGAACTAAATACATTCTCAAAGTATTCTCCCCATCACTAGCATTGTATAATACAGTACTGAGCCTATATAAAGTGATATGATTCTTCTCCTGTATAACTGTGCGTGTGGCTGTTTTTGTTTCGCAGCGACCAGAGGAACCGCCTCCATCGTCTCCGAGGTGATGATGTACGTGTCCATCATCGGGCTGCAGGTTTGGCTCCTCATCGAAATGATATACTGCTACAGAAAGATAGCGGCGGCCGGGGAGGAGGCGCTACGGGAAGCTGCGTGAGTCTAAATTCAATGTTTACTCACACATCTTATATCCATGGGTTTCAGAATGATGAAAAATGAGGACTATTGCCATAATGATTAAAAAAGTCCTCAAAATGGTGCATCAAAACAGGAAGCTGAAACCCATGAATACAGGGCAGTTTAATAATATTGGCACCTTTGGACCTAACCAACTTCTGTGATTTTTCAGCAGCAATTTAGTGATTTATTGAGAATTATTTTCAAACAACAAAAACAGCGTACTTGTTGTTGTCAAGGCAGCCAATATTAGTAAAGGACAACTGTGTAAAAAGGCCTCATATGGGTCTATAATGTTGATACCATAATGTTCTCCAGTTCATCTGCAGCAAGAGTGTCAAACTACACTTTACGAAATTGTCTTTAGAGATCGACTGATTGATATGTTGTTGTTTTTTCATGGCCAGTGCTGATACTGCCGATATTTTTGGGCTGATATGTTGGACAGATTTTGATTATTTTCCCCAAATGATTCAATTTAAATTTACCACAAACTCACCCTCAGTTCTTTTTTTTTTTTTACCATAGACCTATAAAAGAACAGTGTAGTCACATTTCTGCAGTGCCCTTTCAGCACTGAAGTGTTAAAATAAAGCTTTGTGGGCGTATTCTGGTTGGCCCAAACAAAAATATTGACCCATGCTAGAACTTTAAGGCTTAGGCTAAAAAGTCCAAATATCGGCCAACCGGTCTATCTCTAGTTCAATCAACTAAAATGTGCAATAAAATGATTGCTTGATGGAAAAAAAGCACACTTACGGGGAAAAAAATACAAATTGCACATTTTTGTTACTAGCAAAAACAAGTTATGTTCTCCAACAGCATTAGAAATTTTTTGTATTGTCAGTTTGGCATTTTTGCTCTCATGGTTTGTTGGGTTTGTTGGGTTTATTTCATTAAATATTCAGGATGACACTGGAGACTCAAATGCTAAATAGAAATAAAGCTTTAAAAATAATAAGAGCATTAAAAGAGAATATCCCAGGCTAATTAAAGCAGATGACCATGCCTTGTTAGTTTGTATGTATGTAGTATAATATGTATAATTTGATTACTCAGTGAATCAAATATAAGAGTGATGTTGGTGAATATTGTGCATGCAAAGTCTATGGAGCATTGTGAATGTATTTTAATATTTTGTTTTGGCAGATGTAGCTCAGATGTGGGGATTCTGAGGGGGATTATATTTATTAGACCTCAAAATCTGAAATACTTTTTACTCTTTAATAGAGGTGTAACGATATCTAAGTCTCACAATATGATATTGTCACGATATGAACAACATGGTACAATATTTATTGCGATATCATGGGAAAGCTCACGATATGATGGGGAGGCTCACGATTAGGGATGTAACAAAATTCAAATCTCTCGGTACAATATTTTCACGATTTACATCTCACAATACGATATTTATTGTGATATTTTGTGAAGACTAACAAAACTGTCAGTATGCTACTTTTTCCTCTTAAAATGCCTTGACAAGAATTAATGCAAAGAACTAAGACTTAAAAGTGCTTAGAACTGTTACTTCTTCATGTAGTTTACAAAGGATCATGGTCTATGTAGTTCCCTCTGTCTTTTTTTAGCTATTGCTACACCATAACTCTTAATTTAAGCAAAGACACTTGTAATTCTATATATTTTGATGGTCCACGATATTATTGTGAGAACTCTGACGATAAGATATCACGATATTTCGGTTATTGTTACATCCCTACTCTTTAAGTAAATTTTTAGACAGGTACTTTTACTGAAGTAGATTTGTTATTTATTTGTACTTTTACTTTTACTTGAGTACTTTTTCCACCACTGTGAACCTCTAATGACAATAGGTTATTATCATGATTAGATTAACAAATATTACAATTTCAGTTTCTAGCGTTTTGTTTCAACCGCCCACATCTGAAAACATCTCAAACATCACTCACGCTTTTCTTATTTTAACAGTTTCTCAGTTTATGATTTTCTGATTTGTTGATTTTTGTGATTCGTGTCCATTGTCTGTGTGTGTTGTGTTTTCTGTACCTCTGTCCTCTGTATCTGTCTCGCTCTCAGTAAAAACCAAACCCAAAACCTCCCTCCTGTAAGTCACAAAGGATCAAACCATCTCAAAAACATTACTTTGTTTCATTCAAGTTTCTCAGTTTTGTTTCAATGAAAAGTCGATCACTTCAGATTTTTACTTGAATTTTTCTGTCTTTTATTTTTTGCAGAAATGCTGAATATTTAGCGATAGCATCAGAAAGTAAAGACAACATGGCCGGAGTACAGGTCGGAGAATAACACAGGTATGTCGACGCTCATACTTTTTATAATTTAGATAGACAGATAGATGCTCGAAAAAAATTCAAAGTAAAAAGTATATATAGTGTTTATTTTTGTTGTTTGGTTTTTTGAAGAGAATCGTTAAAGTCCTTATTTATCTTGAATGTTTTTATTTTTTGCTTTTCTACTGCTGCTGTTCTCAAAAACCTCCTTCAGTGAAGCATTTAAATCCTAGTAAAGGATTTAACATGCTGTCTGTGATTATCTATCCATAACTCACTGTCTGCTGCCTGATATTTAAATATAATAAATATACATATATATATATATATATTTATATATATATATACATATACATATATATATAAAATATAATATAATAGGTGATCGCATGAAATGGGCCTGTTCAGTGTTTGCATAAACTACACAATACAACCTCAGCGCAGACAACACCACGCACACATGGATACAGTGGTGAAAAATAAATAATGAGAATGTTTGAGTAGAAATAAAATGTAAGGGTCTCTTTCTTCTAAGATTATTAGCCTGGTAAATATAGCATTTTACTAACACCGGATTCAGTTGTCTGTGGATCTTTTGGTTAAACATTAAATTAAATCAAATGTTTAGAGACCACAAAATTTCAATCATTATACAGTTTTTAGTAATAGCTTCACTTTTCTACTCTTCGAAGTGTCATTAACATTCATCAGAGGTGGGACCAAGTCGTTATTTTGCAAGCCTCAAGTAAGTCTCAAGTCTTTGACCTCAAGTTTGAGTCAAGTCGCAAGTCGAATACAGGCAAGTCCATGTCGAGTCTCGAGTCACTGGCCCATAAGTCCAAGTCAAGTCCAAGTCGTCTGACTCGTTTGAGCTTCAAGTCCTTTCAAGTCTTTAAACCAAAAGTACCAAATATAGCCTAGATTTTTGCAATTTATATGAATTTTAAACTAAATTGTACTTAAAAATGTATGGTATATTTATATATGAGTATTTAATAGAAGAGTTGTTGAAATGCTTTTTTTTTCCTTTTTAAATGTCTTGTCAAAATCTCAGTGGGAATCATTACAGTCAGAATAGCAAGTCTCAAGTCACAAGGCTCAAGTTCAAGTCAAGTCCCAAGTCACTGAGCTTCAAGTCCAAGTCGAGTCCCAAGTCTCAGTCTATTTTTATTAAGTCAAGGCTCAAGTCCTAAAATAGTGACTGAAGTCTAACTCGAGTCCAAGTCATGGCTTGCAAGTCCCCACCTCTTACATTCAAAGTAATAATTTAGCTCCACTTGTAAAAGAAAAAATATATAATTGCCAAATAATTATGTGCAATAACAAGAGATGGAGCTTTTTCAGTTCCGATACTGATTTTGATACTACAGCTGCCGATATCGCTATAGCAACCGATACCAGTGCAGAGACTGAAAACAGCATTTATTTCCTTTAAACAAAAATAAAATAAGACAAAACTGATCCAAATGTGTCACAGTGTTATTTATCCCACAACAACTGAGCAACTTTGTGTAAATTAAAGTTCAAACATTATGAGAATTCTGGCTGATTATAACCAGGAAATAGTCTTATAAGATACATTTTTAGACTCAGTGAGAATATTTGCTGAACCAATATCTGAAAGCCGATATCTGATCCAGCAAATTTTTCACTATTTGGGTTGATACCAGTAATAAATTGTGCATCCCTTGTGATAACATATTAAAAACATGATTCTGTGCTTTTCTAATCCATGCATTTTTTTTCCTCTCGACAGGCTTCTTCCATGGACCAAAAATCCCCCTCATCTTCTTCCAGTCTGCATGTCCTCCGGGTGGACTGTCCCCCTCTCCAGATGTGGTTTCCCTCTGTCCCCACACACAGACCCAATCACATTCACACCGAGCATGTACCAGCAGCCTTGTAAATACATTAACTTTAACTATCCGCATGTCCTGCACTTAAACTCAAGAAGAAGAACTCATTATTATGCATTATTGAGCCACATTGTCAATAGCATAAGTTTATATTAGAATAATGAGTGTTATTTACTGGGAGTCTGCTCTGGGACTCTGTTAAGTTGATTGTAAAAGACAAAAGCTTTTTATGAATCATCACTTACTTAAATATGTTACAAATGTTTGGTCAAGTTCTTTAGAAAACGTAATGGGTTCTGATAGACAGTCTTTCCAGATGTACTGCTATCTCCATGGAAACCTAAGGTGTACTAATAAAAATGTGAAAACTTGAAATGATGTGTGTTGTCATTGAATGGTTACAGTGAACATTACTATTAGTTCAAGTATTATATTAGTAGTTATAAAAGTTGTTGTAGTTGGAGTGGTCACAGTATCATTTTGATACCAAGGAAAAGGGTTAGATTTTGAAACCAGAATATTAATGCAATTCTAACACAAAATAAAATAGATTTATTGTCATTATACACAGTGTAATGAGATCCAGAGCTGCTCCTTCAAAGCGCAAACTTGAGTTTAGTATGGTGACAGCTTTGGGTAAGAAGCTGTCCCTAAGTCTATTTGTTTTGGCTGGTATGGACCTGAAGCACCTGCCAGAAGGCAACAGGTTGAAGAGGAGGAAGCCGGGGTGTGTTTTGTCCTTTATGATGTTCGTAGTCCTGTTGAGACAGCGGGAGTTGTAGATGGGGGATATGAAAGGCAGAGGGCAGCCAGTAATTTCCTGTGCAGTGTTGTCAGCCTCTGTGCAGCTCGAGTGCCACACGGACACAGCAGAGGCCAGTAGGCTCTCAATGGTGGAACGATAGGTCACCAGCGGCCTTGTGTTTAGTTTACTTCCTTTGCACTCTCAGGAAGTGTAGCTGCTGCTTGGCCTTTTTGACCAGTGCTGAGGTGTTGACTGACCAGGAGAGATCCACAGAGATGTGAACCCCAAGGAATTTGAAGGACTCCACTCACTCCACACTTTCGCCGTTGATGTATGGGGGGCAGGGGTGGCTCTGTTCAAGGGATGAGTTCCTTAGTTCCCAAGTTGTTAGTGGCACACCACTCGCTGAGTTTCAGGACCTCATCTCTATAGGGCAGGCATGTCCAAACTACGGCCCGTGGGCCAAATGCGGCCCTCAGACAAATTTTTCTTGGCCCTCGGGCTTCCAGGTGAATTGGCCCAAATTACCTTGCATCAATAAAAAATTAACTTTTTACTGCAAGTTTGTTGAAAATCTACCTCGATAAAGCTGATATTTAATTAATTAAATTTAATTTAGTGTGTGGTTTTAAGGATCTTGGCATGAATAAAGTCTTATAGCTCATTCTAATGTGATAAACTTGCACATATTTCAATTATTCACTGTATTGAGGACCAGTCTACAGTCCTCAATTAACCTTCTGCTTCATTATGTGGCCCTTGATGAAAAAAGTTTGGACACCCCTGCTATAGGGCACCTCATTCTCTGTTATCATCAAAAAAATTATAGTTTCTTTAATATTATCGAGTGGTCTAGTTCTGATACTTTGGAGCTGATGCCTTGAACATTCTCTTGGGGTGTGATGCCGGGATCTGCCGCCTATTCCAACATCCCTTCATTACGACAAGTCTCTATTAAGGCATCTCTATTTAGATGTGCCGGTTTTCCAACATTTTTAGTATCGCTATTCCGAAACATCATATATAGTGCTCTCTGCAGATAGCCTACATGATGAAATGAATGAAGAACAAAGGGCCTATGCGCTTTTTTAAAATGCATTATCAGTTAGGTCATTTTCCCACTCTCTGATATCCTGTGTGGCCGAAGTATTCTGGGATCAAGAGTTTTGCTCCGGCCCAAGCATCTTATGATATATGGGAGTGCAAAGTATAATGGGGTCAGCCATGTTTCGCTCATTTCTAAAATTTTTCTTATTTCTATGATTTTTCAAGTGATTTTCAAGTCATTTCAATCTAATGATTTGAGCCTGATCACAGCTGTGCGCAGATTATTCTACTAGCCTCTGAGCGTTTCTGTGTGGGTTTTCATTCACGCTTTGTCTCAGTATAATTTTCAAAAATCAACTTAACAAATCTTAGTTTTCAGTGGAGTCGATGAGTGGGAGGTGAAAAGAACATTCAGAACTCCAAAAGGACAACTGTGATGATTCTGAACAAATATTTGTGTTGGAAAAAAATGTCATGATGCTTTTGTTTGATGTCCATTTAGTTTCAATTTAAGAAAGACTCTCAGATATATGATTTTATGTTACAGGATGGTCTATGGGTTAAACTGTATATTGAGGCCTACATTGATTCCAACTGCTTGCTGAATGTCTCTCCTCACACTTTACCCCCATGCTCACAGTGCTTAAGGTCTTGTTCGAAGTTTATAGGCGAAATAATCTTCTTTCCTTTATATTTATGTAGCTTTTTTCACATATTATAGCTACTTTACATTGCATCACTTTTGATCAATACTGACCACTGAGGACCGGGAACAGCTCACATGAAATGCTCTGAGTCAGTATGCCAGCATTAAAAATCAATTCAGAAGTGACAAATCCATCTCATGCTCTAATGCAGATTTTTTTGCTTCTTTTCCATAAAATGTCCGGAAAAAAATCTCACTTACAGCTAATAAATTCCACCCACTCACAGTTGCAATCTGTGTTGTCCACTTTACCAGTCCTTGGTCAAGAGAACACAAAACCAAAAAACTAAAAATATATTTTGCAATGTTTTTATTTGGAGCAGACTAAAACCTTACTGATTTTAAACTGAATTAATGGACAACTGATGAAACAAATAAATCATTTAAATAGATTTCAGCTGAATTAAGTGTATTTGAGTACATTGAAAAGTGCTGTACATATGTATTGTATAATTCTGCTTAATTTGGGAAAATATCTGTCAGTGACATAATGGACAAATAGTTTATTAATAATTATGAATTAATTATGAATGACTCTAAATTAATACCGTAACCCTTTAATTAAAGAAACAGTATGTAACTTTCTGGAGGTGACACTTCACTTGCATGATTCCATGGAAATAGAAAGTTAAACCATACTTGAGAACATTCTCCTTGGAGATAGATACGTTTCATAACTGTAGAAGATATGGTAACATTTCTGTGGAAACAAGCAGCAAGAGCCCCTCCTCCAGGCCAAATAAGAGTCGGGTTTGCGGAGAAGCAAGCCCACTCACAGGAAGGATGCATGCTTTTCTATGTTTTACAGTGCAATAATCACAACTAAAATGAAAAATATTCTTTAATTTTAGTATTTTTGGCTGAATTTTGGCTGAAAGTTACATAGCATGGTTTTAAGGAGTTACTAAGCCAGACTCTTTCTTAATAAACTATTTCTTCATTATGAATTATGCCTTTGTTTATGCTTCATTAAGGCTTATTAAGGTGTAGTTATTATGAAATGAGACACATTTACTGTTCTGTTTCTTATTCTTACGCTGCGCACCTGTCCGGCCTCTACAGTTGTAACACACAGTCTGTGCCCGGGTACTGGGGCAGTTTCAGGTCATACTTTTTCTCCAGACCCGGTGGAACGAAGCGGCCTCCCAGAAAGTGGTACCTTCCTCTGAACATCTGTGCAGACTTTTTTGGTGCCGTCAGAGAAATCAACATATCAGGCTGGAGTCCCTCTGCGCTCCCCTGCTCCACGTCCCAGCCTGTGAAATATAAAATTAATCATATTATTGCTGGGTAACAATTTGTGAGAGTTGGCTCGAATTCACAAATACAGAAACACAACATCTAAACTTAAACTTTACTTAAACTTAAAGGGGCGAGATTATGTTATTTTCAGATTTTATAATGTTTCCTCGTCACAAACAGACCTGAAGTTGTGTTTTTTTTTTTCATTTAAACATTTGAGCTTTGGAGATGTAGACAGACTAATAATAAAAGATTACTGAAACATGTGTGAATGAAACAAAGCACAACTCTGGAGATGTTTTTGATGAGGTAACAACAGGCTTAAAGCTCACAAGAGTCAATTTTGCATTATATACAGTAGGGCCTGCTGCCTTGATGATGTAATAAACTGTAATTTATAAGGCAGACAGACCAGAAGGTATATCGATGCTGGCGATGGGGACTGTTGTCTTCTTTAGTGTGTCTAAAATTGTCCCAAAAGGCTCCCGTACTGCTCCTTTGAAGCTGAAGCCAAATATAGCATCAATCACCAGGTTATAGGCCTCGTCTATCACAGCAGCCTGAACAGAACAAAAACAACATGCACTTTAGAAATTAACAAATACACCCTGGTTAATTTGAGTACACGTATTTTTCAAGCTTGGGAGAGATAGTCCTTTATTTTATCTCACATGGATCGTATGACAAAACAAAAACACATTTAGTTAAAGGTGCACTATGTAACTTTTCTGGTAAGAGTCCAGCACCTGGTTGTGTCCATGGAAATATGCTAGGGACACTGCTTTTCCCTGGAATGTCCCACCAGGTCTAAACCAGGTCTAAAACCAGGACTAAACCAGGTCTAAAACCAGGACTAAACCAGGTCTAAAACCAGGACTAAACCAGGTCTAAAACCAGGACTAAACCAGGTCTAAACCCAGGACTAAACCAGGTCTAAACCCAGGACTAAACCAGGACTAAACCAGGTCTAAAACCAGGACTAAACCAGGTCTAAAACCAGGACTAAACCAGGTTTAAAACCAGGACAAAACCAGGTCTAAACCAGGACTAAACCAGGTCTAAACCCAGGACTAAACCAGGTTAAACCAGGACTAAACCAGGTCTAAACCCAGGTCTAAACCAGGACTAAAACAGGACACCGCGCCTCCTCCTTCTATCTACCCCCCCATAAAACTGGTCCATGGCGCACAAAAGGTTGGGGACCACTGAGTTAAAGCACTACGTCTGCTACTACTACTTCGCCTGGAAAGTTCCGCAGTACGGCATTAAACATATCTATCTCCACAGAGACAAGGTATACTTCAGATATGTAGAGAAGCAACACCAATCAACTTGTAGGCCACACCATAAAACATTGCAGGTAAATCACATCTCTAAGCAACATCTCCTTGGGGACAATCGAGTGGGGGATCAGTGTATCTTTAAATAATCACTAATAATTAAACTGGTCAGATTAATAAAGCCATTTCCATTGTTCATGAACTCAAACGCATTCTATTACTGCCTCGGTCTATCGTCTGTATTATTAATCTCAAAAGTCCATTAAACATGAATAAATAATGTGGGAATCAATAGTGGTGCTTAATGCTGAACCGCAGCTGTAAAAGGTTCATTATTTATATATGAGGATTATTTATATTTTATTGTTATCATATTATTATTATTTATTTATTAAAGTGTGTGTGTTCAGAGTATGCAGACCTCAGGCAGCTCTGTGAGGAAGGGGATCTCCATCTTCTCGCACTGTGTGGTCAAACCTTGAAACAGAGGCTTGTTCGGTCTCTTTGGGTACAGCACCGTCGGCTCATAACCCTGAAAGACGGGAACAGAGAGGGAAGAAGGGAGACAAAGAGATAAAGAGAGGGAGAGATGGGAGAGGGAGAGAGATAAAACGAGAGAGACTTGATTTTTAACAGACCTTTATTGTGTCCAAAAACATTTTGCGTCAAATTTCATCCACAAAAAGAGAGGTAAAAATATGAGCAAGAGAAAAACAGAGAGACAGAGGGGGGAAGAAGGAGATAGAGAGAGAGAAACAGAAGGAAATAGAGAAAAAGACCGAGAGAGAATGAAAGAGAGAAATGGAGAGCGAGAGAGAGAGAGAGAGGAAAAAGGGAGAGAGAGAGAAAGGAAAGTAGAGGAGTGCAAAGAGAAAGAAAGAACGAGACAGAGAGACAGAAGGAAATAGAGAAAAAGGAGAGGGGATGGAAAGAGGAGAGAGACAGAAGAGAAAGTGAGCAAGCAAAACAGAAATTGAGAAAATAAAAGGAGGGGCAAGAGTGTGGGCGAGAGGAGAGAAAGCCAGAAGGAGAGAAGAGAGAAGGGTGGTAAGTGGTGTGGTAAAAAGAAAGGGAGAAAAAGAAAGAGAAAGAAGGAGAGAGAGTGAAAGATAATGCATTTGTCTTCTATAATTGTATATCATTATTATCATATATCCTGAGTCTGAACAGCCTCCACTGTGCCTCTTAATATTTACAATTAAATATTTATGAAAAAATTAAAAAAAAAAATCAGAAGATTTTTGCTTCTTATCTTTTGACTCATTTGAAAGTTCACACTTACAAACAGTTTGAGGTGTCGTGCACAGACCAGCCCGTCTCCTCCATTGTTCCCTGGTCCACAAATCACCAGGAGAGAGGGTCTGGACTTCAGCAGGGACGACAGCGGGTAGGCCTGCAGAAAGAGCAACACAAATCTGATGTTGTAACGTTAAAATTCCATTACAATGTGATGCACTGTCAAAAATCTAAAACAAAACTTTCTTATATTTTTTAATTATTTACTTGTAATGGAAGTGTTTTGATAGAAAAGTCTTACAGTTGTCCAGGAACTCTATTCTAAATAAAACAGATTTACAACAGTACAAAATGTGATTTTCTAAATGAGCCAATGGGAAGAAATGTGTCCATGGAGGTAAATGACAGATGTGAGTAATCAGATTAACCTCCAGCGGTAATCTGATTAGACATACAGTTAATGTATGGAGGGAATACAGGCAGTGTTCAATACAGCCAGACACTCATTGAGAAAAAAATAAATAAATATGTTAGCAGTAAAACTAAGCTATAACCCTAAATAATTTTGAATTACAACAATTGCAACAATTCCAACACACAGATATTTTATCTCTAAACTTAGAAGATTTTCAGAGAAGACGTTTAATATTTTGTGATCATTAAATAAAAAAGAAACCTTCATGTTGTTAACATCTTGGAGTGAGTTTGTGAACTCACAAATATCACAGACTTTGTCTTGCTGTTTTAAGTTATTCTGAAAGTTCCCATAAGTCCCTGTTTAAAGTATGGACTCACTCTGGTGATTGCAGTGGCACAGCTGAGTCCTGCCAGCTCCATCAGCTGATCCACACTGAAGCCGTACTCAGAGAAGAGCTCCTCATCAATGTGCTGGGCCTCCTCCTGACTGACAGAGAAAAGACAGAGAATTAATTTATTAATTTTCATTTGCAAAGAAAAGGCTAAAACCTACATTATACTGTACATAGACTGAAATGTTGTTGTCCGTTAAACTGGAATGATATTTGCACTTTTTAGTGTAATGTCCTTAAATCCAAAAAGAGGGCACTTTAGGGCAAAGAAATAACTTCACAAAATGTGACTACACAACTCTCTCATAGGTCTGTGAGGAAAAAAGTGCTGTGTGTGAGTTTGTAGTACATTTAAATGTGATCATTTGGTGAAAATAAACAAAATCTGTGCTACATATCAGCTCAGAGATATTGTCCATCAGTTTCTCTGGATTCTAAACCATCAGCATTGGCCATGAACTCACTGTACATTCTTCTTTGTCCTCACCAAACGCTCTTACCCCAGATACTTGATGTTGTGAGCCATAGTGGACTGAGGTCTGCTGCTGTAACAGTCTTTTCTGTGAGAGTTAGAGGCGGAAGGCAGAGGACATGTCCCAGGCTGAGACAGAACTGCAGAGGCCCGGGAGGACACCAGGAAACCAATCCCAAACAAAGCACGGACACTCAACATCCAGGAGGCTCAGGGTCCTAAACAAGAGACAGGAGAAGAATTATGATTATTATTAAATTCAGTGTTTCCCATTAATAGGAGGAGAGAGAAGACTGGTGGTCGCTCATAGTGAAACTGTTCCCCCATAGTCTAAACTAAACTGCACTATGAATTAGTATAAGGTAATAAGAGAAAAAATTTATTATTATTATTTTTTCAAAACAAGGATTGTCTGGGCCACTGTATTCTTGTAAAACCTGAAGGAAACACTGAAATTATATTAAGTCCAAAAACATTTATGTCTAAAAGAGTAGACATCACGTGGGTACAACATCACAGTATTTACATACATTTTATTCTGGTATGCAAGATTTTAGTATTGAGTTTGTTGTTTATTGTTTACTATGCTGCATAAAAAGAGATCATTCATGCAAAAATGTATGTTGTAAACTTCTAAATCAGGATATAAAGTGATATTTTAGCATTTCTGTGTGAAATGCTGTTACTTTATCTCAAACATACTTGGAGTTGTCTTTTGTTTCATTCACACGTTTTAGTAACCCTTTATTATTAGTTTGTCTACATCTCCAAACCTCAAAATGCCCCTTTCTACCTTGTGATATCATGAAGCTGTAGTTTTCAAGTGAACAGCTCCTTTTAGTTCAGTAGAGATTGGCAATTCCAGGTCTGAAATTAACTAAATTATTATAGTGAAAGTGCATGGAATTAAAAGAAAAAATACAGTGGAGCACTTCCTGTATTACCACATGACAAAGTGGAACAGAGTGTTTTCTGTCTGAGAGAAGAATTCAACCTGGATTTGCAGGGTTTGTGTGTTAAACATGTGTGAATGAAACAAAACACAACTCCAGGTCTGTTTGTGATGAGGAAACCTTAACATAGATCAGAAAACAGCCTAATATGAACCCTTTAACAATTTCAGTACAATTACGTTGACTAATACGTTTCCATTAGTCATCTATGTGTACTTTAGTTGTTGCATTCACAATGTCCTCGCTGTTAACTTTAGTATGAGCTGCTAACAATTGGGGCTACAAAACCAGCAATGATCATGGCAAGCAAGATAATTTCAATACAAAACTAAGTGCAAATGTGTGTTCTGTAAAATATTGCAAAACTCGTCATCTACAATTGCCACGAAACGTTTTAAAAGCTGTAAACGCATGGATAAATGCAAAAGGCAACTTACTGCTCCTTGTTGACATTTACTTCCGGGTTTGAAAAAAAAGATGAAGACGTTTCAGAATAAAAGCCTCCAAAGTGGCACAATTTTTTTTTTATAAAGTAGTCCTACAGCATTTTCTGTTTCTCCATTTCTGCATATTACTAGATTTTACTCAATCTTTATTCAATTTATTATAATAATCACAATAAAAAATAATCGAAATCTGCGCCCCTTTTTTAACTCCATGCATGATACGCCAACCTGATAGATTTATTTATTTATTTACATAAATTCAAAAAAACATTTTCGAAGTACACACTATTTAAAACATTAGATTTATTTTATTTATGTATTTTTATTTATTTATTTATTTTTTCCATTATTGTAACCGTTGACTGTACCCAGTGTAAGTGCGCTCTCTAGTGGCTCCTGCTAGAATGCACTCTGTTAATGTTTTGTTAGTTTTTTTTTTTTTTGTTTTTTTTAACTCAGTTGTTTATTATTTTACAGGGGCAAAGAAAAACAAAAAATAAGGAACCACGTGGAAACAAGCAGTACATGACAAAGCTTTATTGATATATAAAAACACACAGTACAGTAAACAAATGGTGATGGTACATTCACTTCAACAAATTTGACCATCACCTGGAGTCAGTCTAATACAGAACTTCAGCTTCAAAAAGTACAAAAGAGTAAAAAAAAAAAACAACAACACGTCTTTCAAAATCATTTTATTTCACTTTATTTTAAGGCTAAATAGTGGTTTAAAGCTTGTACTGATTAATAAAATTGCATAAATGTCACCAATGTCAACAATGGCGCATAAAAGTAAGGCATAACTAATCTAAGATAACCATCAAAGCAATGTATTTGTAGAAATATATTCCAAAAGTAAAAGTTTAAAAAGTAATAGTAAAAACTACAACTTGAAACTAAACAAATGATAAATGCAAACATATAAAAAAAATAAAAAATAGAAATAAAAGATCCTGCGAGCTTGTAACGCTCTGCTCTCACATGATTGGACAGGTTTCCAGTTTACCTCCAGTCTGAAAGAAATAAAAACGTTATCAGCAAAACAATAACTTTTAAATATTGTCAAAATAACCAGATAGGGCATAACAACATAACCACTGACACAAACATAACTATGTAACTGTAATAGTAGACGACCATCAGCTTCTTGACATTATTATGTTATTGCTTTGCCTGGAATGTTCCAAAGTATGGCATTAAATGTATTTATTTCAGTGGAGACAAGCAGGTAGCTCAGCAGACCAAGTTACAGATCAGATCGGTAGAGAGGTGACCCCACTCACAGTAAGAATTCATCTTTTTTAAGCATTTTTGAGCAATTAAAACAAACACTGGTAACTGAATAATTTACATTTACGTTTATTGATCATTCCCGGCAAAGTGGTGATGGATTCCCTCACCAGAAAAGTTGCATAATGAACATTTAAAGGGCCCATAGTTTTCTGTTCTATGTTATTATGTCATTTCCTCATCTAAAACAAACCTGGAATTGTGTTTTGTTTTGTTCAACACACAAACCCTGCATATTTAGGCTGAGTTCTTCTCTCATATAAACAGACTAACAATGCAGGATTACTCAAGCACGTGTGAATGAAACAAAACACAACTTCAAGTATGTTTTGAGAAGGTATCAAGCTTATAACAAGCTCACAAAAGTCAATTTTGCTTAATATAGGACCTTTAAAAGTTAGTTTATAAGTCGAAAAATCTGAACATGGAAAGAGCATCAGTATGAATGTAATGTCTCCTCTCTGCCTGATCATTATTTATTAATATTAAACCATATTTTATGAAACTATATTCAGTAATAAAGTACCTTGCGCGGGGTGCTGGTGCTGACCACATAAGACTGGGGCAGCAGACCCTCTGAGATGCCTCCAGACCTGAAGGAGCGAGAGGCCGAAGAGACGGAGCAGGAGCCTGATTTCTCTGAGGGAAGACCACAAGATCCACACACCACCGTCCGGCTGCGGAGGTTATACTCGCCGTCACTGCAGGTACTGTGCGCCACCTGCTGGAGGGGACAGGGAGAGGAAAGAGGAGTTGATAATGACCTCTTGTATACAGCTGGGAAATATTTTTATTGCTTTATTTAGATATTTTATTCTTACATATACATTATGCCTTATTTGACACCTGTCTCTTGATATCTTTGCTACTTCTCTCTTTGCTACTTTAGAATTTATTATTACCATTTATTCGTTTTTCTCTTTGTTATTATATTATATTGTGATGTGTGAGCCAAGATATTTCCCTTGTGAGTCAATAAAGTTTGTCTAAATTAAATACAGACAAAAAATATTATACCAGTAATTTGATAAGTATAATAAAATGATCAGAGAATTTTGAAAATCTAAAATGTGTGTGAACTTATGGCATAGTAAGATTATAGATCAGACATTACATTATTGGATACAAATGGAAGAAAAATGAGGGCCAATGCAATTAAACTATATACAAAAGTCTGAAAATTAAATAACTACACTGCTTTATTTATTAGTCCATTAGCTCAGTTTTTAATAGACCGATATATTATTTTATTTTTATTATGTGCATGTTTTAGAAATCTAGAAGAACACAAAAGTTATAATACAATCATAGACTGTAAGTGTAAATGGACATAGCGAGTTCCAAATAGGAAATGAGCATGGGCGGATGCTTGTATTGAAAAAACATCATCCTCTCTGTGTAACTGCTGCTGTGAGCCTCGTCATTTTGGTCTTAAAATGTTCATATTAACAACTCTACATGCTCCTGGAGTTTTTATTTTGCTATTCTGTCTCTAATTTAAGATATGAACATTAATAACTTCTAATATGTTTATGAATACAACATGAAAAAGTCTTACTCACCATGTCATCGTCATCTTCCTCGATGGTTGTGCGAGTCACTTTCCTCATTGCCATTTCCTGAAAGAATCAGTGTATTTGTTTTACAGTGTATCTATGGGTTTCAACTCCACATGACAGGAAATTGTATTAATTGCTATGACATTTTTTCATGATTCTGAACCCCATAGGAGGTGTTTTCTTTCTATAATTTGTTCACAGTTTAAGTACCTCTCCGTTAGCGCTGATCAGGGTCGTCTGGAACATGTCTCCAGTTCCCCAAATGGGCTGGTTCTTCCACACCAGGTCAGAGGGCGGGTTATGGGCCACACCTGCTCCAGACGCCCAAATCTGGAGAGAAATATAACAACATATGAGGCAAAGCAACATCAGGACTGTAATTTAAAGGTCCAATATTACACAAATTTGACTCTTGTGAGCTTTAAGCCATGTTATAATGTTGTTACCTAACCAAAATCAAACCAAGAGTGTTTTGTTTCATTCACACATGTTTGAGTAACCCTTTATTATTAGTTTGTCTATCCCACCTTTTGATGTCATCTCATGGTAGTTTTCTAAGTTAACCTTTTACCTTTTATTCAGTAGAGATTGGCACTGCCAGGGCTGAAACTATCAAAATGATTCTAGTGTGTGGAGTTTAAAAACAAGTACAGCACTTTCTGTATTATTGCATGACATCACAAGGTGGAACAGAGTGTTTTCTGTTTGAGAGAAGAACTCAGCCTAAATATGTAGGGTTTAAACATATGTGAATGAAACATAACACAACTCCAGGTCTGTTTGTGATGAGGAAACAAGATTATAACATAGAACAGTAAATAGTGCAATATGGGCCCTTTAAGTCTGATAAAATGAAACACTGGATACATTTACATGGTCTGTAAGGATTAGGTAATTAAAATAATCCTTTTTAAATAAATAATTCAATCTGATGGGTTTTCATGTACAAGAGAAATCTGATCATCAAAAACACCTAGTGACATGTGTCAGTTAATTAGAGGTACTGAGTAACTGTTGTATTTTGGGAAAATAAAAAAAAAGATTGCTTGTCACATTAGTTGGTCTTGATAACCTGATAACTCCAAAAGACAGGCAATGGTCAGATTTTTTATGTCCATATAAACATATCTAAAGAAAAGCACTCACGGTGACTCTCTGTCCGGCCTTCAGGGTGAACTTTGCAGGAAACTTAAAGGTGATGGTGGCTCCGTTTCCAACCTGACGCTTAAGCTGCCAGTTTCCAAGGTTCTGATCCTAAAGACAAAAGTTTACAAAGTTTAATTATGTATGGATTTGGTTTCTCAAAGTGAACAAATGTACAATATTACATTTATAAAACAACTAAAATGAACCTGTACAGTCTCTGAACATTTGATTCCAGTTTGTCCATTCAAATAAATGATGTGTTATATGTAATATGATGCACAAAACTGTCAAAGCACATTCCTATTTTTTTATTTTATGTTATCTTATAAGGACAATAAAGCTTTTTGTGGTTCTGATTAAAGGTGCACTATGGAAGATTTTTGGTGGAGGAGGTCAGATCTGGGGAGAGGTGACTCTGTTCACACTAAGAATCGATGTTTTCCAAGGGATTTTTAGTAGTAATCATGCTTTAGTAATGTAGCAAACACTTTTGAAATCTGGACTTCATTTATTTATTTATATTTTTTTAACTGTCAATTGCGCCAACAACTTTTTTTCTGCCATATTTTTACTATCTATACTATATCTCATTTTGTCTCACCTCATCAGCCTTGTTGCTCAGTCTCACGTACTTTCCCTCCATATCCACCTCGTCCACAGTGACCCGGCCACTGGCTGAGGCCTGCTGGGTAATCCTGGTGCGGGACACGCCCCCACTGAAGCTGGCCTCGCTGTCTGTGTCGTTGTGTCTGCGGCGTTTGGCGGGTGTGCTCTGCCCAGCGCGGGAGTGAGCCGAGGACACAGATGTACGACTGCCTGAGACCCTGGTGACAGTGGGAGGGGGGCTGGGGGAGAGACGCAGCCTAGAGAGAGAAAGACAGAATTAGTGTTGTCATTTTGGTCATTACCTTTTGAATAAATGTTTTTACCACCCTTACTCCTCTTTTCCTCTGGTCCACTCACCTCTCCTCCTCTCCCTCCAGCAGCTTCCTGTAGGCGGAGATCTCCATGTCCAGGGCCAGTTTGACGTCCAGAAGCTCCTGATACTCGTCCAGTTGTTGCTGCATCCTCGCTCTCATCTCAGCCATCTCTCGGTCCTTCTCTCCCAGCAGACGCCTCGTGCTGTCCCTCTCCCTGGACAAAGCATCCTCCAGGTCACGGATCTTCGCCTCACGAGCTGCCAGCTACAACAGACCAAGGAAAAGTAAAGATGAGAAAACCTTTAAATGTGCCACAGTTGTGTATGTGTGCCTCTCATAGACTGTATAATAGAGAAGAATGGTAAATATACAGCCTATGGTGACTCTTTTGTCCACTGAATGTAATTTAAGAAAACCCCAAATTAATCACCCAATATAACTGAATTTGAGACACTATTTGTCTGACACAGCTGCTCAAAAAACAAAACCCAAACTATTTTATTCAATATTCAGAGCGCTATTAGTGAGAATAAAGTTATTACTCTTCATTTTAGGGCTTCAACACCTCAATTTAAGTGAAATTACTATTTTTAAAAACATTTCACATTTTTTCTGGTTTGAGCAAAATTTTAGTCCTGATATGTAGGTCTAAACTTCCTTGTCAAAGCCTGATCTCATCAGATTTCAGAAGCTAGGGCTGGGCCTAGTTAGTACTTGGATGGGAAACCGCTGAAATACCAGGTGCCACAGTGGGGGTGCTAGTGGAAAGATTAACAGCCTTGTTTCAATCAGTTAGCCCCAGGGCAGCTGTGGCTACAGTAGCAGTTTATCACCACCAGAGTGAATGAATAATGCACCAAATTGTTAAACAGGGGTCATCAAACTAAGGCCCGCGGGCTGATTCCCTCTGACCGGCCCCCCAGCAGCCCCTCGTCCCCCCACCACGTGAACTGGCCCTGTGAGGCAATCCTCAAAAGTTGTCATGGCCTATTTTTTAAATGACTTTTAATAACACATCTGCATCTTGTATTTTGTAGATTTTTTCAATTAAAAGATGATATTTATATGAAGTGTTTATATTTATATTTAAATAATTATATGACATATTTACATTTGCTGCCGAATTTTCGTCACCTGAGAAACTCGAGATCAAGCAGTGACAGTCGCACGTGCAGAGTTCTGTAGTGCAGTTAAAGACAGCAAAATGTCTCATGTTAAAGTATGAAAAGTTGACAGAGAGTGCCAAGTTTTCAAAGAACAGTGGACGACCGATTATTTTTTTGTTCAGCGTAAGGACCGTGCAGTTTGTCTGATATGTAAAGAAAGTGTGGCAGTTTTCAAAGAATATAATCTGCGTTGTCAGGGTCGTACAGTTCTGTTATACGACCGACTTGACTACAGCCCCCATCACAGTCAGGAGCAATAATGTGGCCCCCAGAGAAAAAAGTTTGGTGACCCCTGTTGTAAAGCGACTTTGAGCGTCTGGAAAAGCTCTATATAGGACTAGCGCAGTATTAATGCATTAGGTCTGGTGCTGTTCTAGTTCTGGTTTAGTAGCCCTGGTTTAATTCAGGTTCAGATTTTACTGTGACATGTTTCCAATTGTAGAAGTCGGCCTCTTGACTCATTGCGCCCTCCTGTTTGGATTTGAAAGAAGGGGTTAACTGTTGCTCGTACATAAATTGGAGGTTTGGTATTCGCTGACTCTAAAAAAACAGCTTTGATCGTTACGAAGTCTGTGTTAAATAAATCTTAAGAGCGTAATTTGCAGTTTATAATGTCTCCAGGTGTTCTGCAAGGCCCCGGCTCACATGGCACTGTAGTCTCCTCTTTAGTTTAGCACCATAATAGACTGTGCACAGACTCTGACGTCCTTGAATATTTTAGAAGGCACAATATTTCCGTTCATGTTTTATATTTTAACTTTCCATCTTTCTCTGATTACATTTACTGTTTGAGGGAAAGTTAAAAGCTTGCACAGTCCTTGAGCAGCATATTTTTGAACGAAGATTAAAAACCACAACCACTAAAATGCCTATAATTTCCAAAAACTGCTACTTGTGTTTGGATCTCAGCTTTATAGGAAAAGACGGGCACTAGCTAAACTGGCACTTCGATATAAGACCAATGCGTTATTCCTACATTTAAAGGAGCAGTATATAACTTTTCTCGTGGACAGTCTGTCACCTGTTTTGTGTCATAAAAATGAATCACCTGCAAAGTTGAAAAGTGAGATCTTAAAACTTTTAGATATTGGCCTTTATTTAACTATCCTGATTAAAGATGGACTGTCTTCTACGTGCTTGCCTCCATGGAGGTGTCATTGCATCTAGCATTTATTCATTACAGGTGTTTTTAATGCTGAAAAATACAGTAATTTCTTCTATGAATATGGCAAACGAGAATTCAGTTTGTCAACTGGACAAAGTTTAATTGGTTGAATATCTTTCATAGCTCATCCAAGCTGTTTCTTCAGTTCTGGTGAGATGGTACTTCAGTCTGCAGGGAGGAGCTAACTACACTGAAACTACTCTGAAACTAACACATCTACTTGTTTACAGATTCTATTAGTTAGTTATACCTATGGAAATGCTGTGAGTGTGGGATCATATTAGCAAAACAGCCACTTCACAAGAGGATGTACCAACACACACGAGAGAGCAATAGTGGACCTCAGTCTGCCGTACATCTCCACCTAAAAGCCACAGGCCACTCCTTTGAGGACAGTGAGGTACAGAGAAAAGAAGTGGTTTGAGAGGGGAGTTAAAGAAGCTATTTTTGTTAAGAAAGACAAGCTTCCTTAAACAGAAACACAGGACTCAGACACCATCTATCTCCTAGTTACAACTCCATCCTCAAACCTAAATCAAAACAAACAAGAGAACAATAGGTGAAGCCAGGTCAGGTCCAGATGTGTGAAAACTCCATTATGGCCCTGAATGATTATGATAATAAGACCCCACACTCAGTGCATTTCAATAGGCCTAACTAACTAACAGAAACTGTAAACAAGTATATATGTTAGTTTCAGAGTATTTTCAGTGTAGTTACTCCTCCCTTCATGCAGCTCTAAGGAAGTTCCCTCCAGCGTCTGACCAGAACAGAGGAGGAGCTTGGATGAGCTGCGAAATGTATTCGACCAAATAAACTTTTGTCCAGTTGACAAATTTAATTTCTCCTTTGCCATGTACTCTACTTGGACGACTGAGGGATTTTACAAACTTCTGTGAATATGGGCGACTCTCCACAGATCTGAATTGTAATGTGCTGTAACCTGCTTGTCTCCCTCCTGATAGATAGGTTTAATCTATATTGTGGAACATTTTAGATAAAGCAATAACATTTCCATGGAGACAAGCACATGGCAGATTCTCCACTACAAATGTTACGCAGTGAGTGCACCTTTAAATATAGGTCAGCATCTTTCATGTATTCAATTCCAGCTCTTTTTATTGCCAAAAAATGAAGTGGTTTAGTTGTGCCAGCTCCTTGTCACCATGGAGATTCCAAAGTTTTATGGCATTTTGTGGAACATTCCAGGCAAAACTAAAACATGTATGGAGAGAGGAAGTTTTTGAACTCTCCATGTGAAAACTTACATAATCCCCCTCTAATAAGTATGATGATTTTTTTCTCTGTATTTAATGGGAATGTGTGTGCCCTTGGAAATGCATATAAACACTCTTCTAAACACTTAACTGTGCCCCATTTTACTGCTGTTTCCATTGCCCCCAAAGACTTAAGCGAACAATAGCTGCTACTTCCTCATGCAGCTCAAAATACGCTTTATAAATGAGTCATACTAGTCTTTAGCGGTAGAGTCCAATGAATCACCTTTGTTAGCCCATACACTAAAAACAGCTTCTTTAGACAAACCCAGTATAAAAATTACCTCATAACTCAAACAGATTTACGTGGCCAGTAAAAAAACAGATAATTAGCTAAACAGACAGTGTGTGTGTGTGTATGTGTGTTTGTGTGTGTGTGTGTTGTGTGCACGGACCTGTTTCTGGAGCTGGCTGAGCTGGGCTGAGGTGCTCTCCAGTCTGACCCGAGTTTGTTGCAGCTCTTCATGAGTTGCTCCAACGAGGTGACTGCTCCTGTCGGCCGACTGACGAGCGTTTTCCAGCTGTGAACAAATAAAAGGAAGAGCATCTGGTATAAAGCCTTAACTGCAAACACATGATTAATTGTGGCCACCTCAGAAAGTTTTTTGCGCAAAATTGACTCTTGTGCGCTTTAAGTCATGTTATAATGTTGTTACTTCATCAAAAACAGACCTGGACTTGTGTTTTGTTTCATTTACACGTTTGAATAATCCTGCTTTAATAGTGTGTTTACATCTCCATAGCTCAAATTGCTCTGTTCCACGAGCCTGATGTGTGATGAAAACGCTTGTTCTACGCTTTACCAAACATTTTACATAACATGTTTTCTCAATCCTGACAATGTTTTGAAAAGCCAATAGATTAAGTTACAACATGTTTATTCAAATATTAGGCTAAATTACATTTTCTCCTGTGATAAATGAAAATACTGTTTTGCATTTAACATGTTTTCTCGATACTGGCAATGTTTTTTTAAAAGTCCAACAATGGATTACATATGTTTATTCAAAGATTAAATGTTTTCTGTGACAAAACGTTGGGCATTTTTTTGCTGAAGAGGGTGGGTTTTCGAACATGATTGGGCGGATATCACTAAACAGAATCTGGCAACACTGGTTAGCAGCTCCTTTTGCCTTTAGTTCAGTAGAGATTGGCAATTCCACGTCTGAAGTAATCCAAATGATTCTAGTTAAGGTGTATGGAGTTTAAAAACACAGTGGAGCACTTCCGGTTTATCACATGACATCACAAGGTGGAGCAGAGTGTCTTACGTTTGAGAGAAGAACTCAGCCTGAATATGCAGGATTTGTGTGTTAAACATGCGTTAATGAAACAAAACACTAAGTATGTGTGTGAGGAAACAACTACTCAATGTAAAATCCTGTATAATTAAATAGAGTCAAATGTGAGCCGTACCTTGGCGTTGTAGGTCTTCTCGATCTCCTCCTTGTACATTTTGATTTGCAGGTCATGTTGGGCGCGCATGTCAGCCAAAGCATCGGACAGTTTACTCTCAAACTCCTGCTGGTGTCCAGAGTCCAGCTCCACCATCCGGGACTCGTGACGACGCTTTGTCTCACGCAACTCCTGCAAAAGAGACAGAGGCAGAGAAAAGGAAATTAGTAAATACAGTTCTTGAAGATGTAGTACACTTTGTCGTAACCCTAGACTGTTTATATAAATGGACATAGCTAACCCGCTGACTTTACATTGGAAAATCGTCACCTCTCTCTCTCTGGAGTCTCTAAATGTTTGTATTAACCTGCTCTACATGATCCTGGTGTTTATATTTCACTATTTTATCCATAAATAAATTCCTGTTCCTAGTGCCGGACGTACAGTCTGTTATATTTTCGATAGTTTCACTCAGCTCCAGCTCAAACTGTACGACCAAATCACAGGGTTTAAAAGTTCACAGCTCGTGGAACAACTTCAACAGAGCAAAACCCTCACGAGAAGTAACTGGATTTCAAGCAGGTTTGACATTCCTGCGACCTACGATTGCCAGGTTTAATCTGTATTGTATTGTGGAACATTTTAGAAAAAGCAATAGCATTTCCATGGAGACAAGCAGCGGATGTTAAGCAGTGCACCTTTAAATATAGGTCAGCATCTTTCATGTATTCAATTCCAGCTGTTTTTATTTCCATTTTCCAACAGTGGTTCAGTTGTGCCACCTGTTTGTCGCCATGGAGATTTCAAAGTTTTATGGCATTGTGTGGAACATTCCAGGCAAAACTAAAACCTGCATGGAGAGAGGAAGTTTTTGAATCCTCCATCTAAAAACTTACATAATCCCTCTCTAATAAGTAAGATTTTTTTTTTCTCCCTTTCATTGAACCTTTCTCTATGATGGGAATGTGTGTGCCCTTGGAAATGTACATAAACACTCTTCTAAACACTTAACTGTGCCCCTTTTTACTGCAGATCTGGAGCTGGTCGTGAGGTATTAATCAGTTCTCATTACCCCATGTTTACTACACGAAGTACGACACACGGTTAAGCCAAAAGTCGGCCAGATCCCAAAAACTTGTCTTAAAAAAGGGCCAAAAATCGCAGAGTGTACGCCCGGCTTAATATAGAACTTGGCTCCAGATTTGCTCCTATAACTGCCTGCCTCAGTGAGCTTCATTTGACTGGAACCAAAAGCTGACGTCCCTTGGTCCATGAATTATAATAATAACACATAACAGTGTGGATTTCTGTAGAATTAACAAGCAAAACACTAAACTCTTGTGCCTCTAAAACAGAAGAAGTCATATAATTCATTCTGTTTTCTGCATCTGAGAAACACTTGCTACAAATTAGTGGCTGTGGTTGCTCCATTCCAAGTTTGAACAAACTTTATGGTTCAGTTCCAGATCCTTGTGTATCCAAATAGAAAGTGGGAGGAGCTAGAGGTTACACACACTTTGGACTGACGTGGGGTTTTGCAGTTAATTCTAGTTTAGATCCACATTGATCCTGTTTGACATCTTTTTTTGAATATTTTGATGTTTTATTTACCCAGAGTTTTTTTGTTGTTTGTTTGTTTTTTGTGTGTACTTTTGTGTGTGTTTGGAGTGTGGAGAGAGGGGTGGGGTGTGACAGGGTTTTGTTCTTGTCCTTTTTTAAGTTTTTTGTTCTGTAAAAAATCGATATTTAAAGGTGCATTGTGTAGCTTTTCTGGTGGAGGACCCGTCAAACGCTTTTCTCCATTGCTTTGTTTGGCTGTTGCTTTGTCTGGAATGTTTCACAGTATGGCATTAAACCTTTCTATCTTCATGGAGATCAAACCAGACCAAGTTACAGGTCAGATCTGTGGAGAGGTGACCCCGCTCACAGTCAGATTGCCTGTTTTTTAGATATTTTTGAGCTATAAAATCACCTGTAATTGCATAAACGTAAGGTAGAGCTGTTTAATGGCATACTGTGGGACATTCCAGGCAAAGCAATGACATCTCCATAGAAACAAGCAAAGTGCACAGTTACACAGTGCACCTTTACAAACAAAATGATTAAAATTTTAAAAAACTGTATAAATAAAACTAAACTGAACAGAAATGAGTTGTTTTTTTTTTTTCTTCCTGTCTCTTTATCCTTGTACATTGACGGTGTATTCCTCACCTCGGTGTGAATATTTTTCTGAAACTCAAGCTCCTCTTTTAGCGTCTGGATCCGATTCTCTCCGTCCACTCTCCTCAGCATCTCGTCCTGTAGCTGCTTTCGTGCCTCCTCCAAACTGGTGTCAAGCTGAAACAATAAACACAAGAGAACCATACATTAACTAAGCTATAGGAAGCTGAGGGCGGCACTTTAATCACAATACCCCAATGTAAATACCCCACGAATGTTATATAAGACGCTATGGGCATATAGGCAGTGTAGAACAAAATGTCTTCCAGATTTGTACAATATTTTGGATAAACTTGTGCCATTGCAACCAGTAAATCAGGAAGAGCCAAGAACCGCAAATTCCACTGCTCTTATAAACCAGCATCGTGATTCACAACAGGCCAAACATAGAAAATTGTGAATGAAAAAAAGACTTAAATCAGATCAAAACCAGATGTGTTTTTTCCAGTAAGTTTTAAAGAAGTATTGTCCAACATAAAGTCCAGACAATTCAAAAACAATAGACAAAAGATGTATTTTAGGGATGAACTTTTGGGTAAAAAAAAGACGAGCTTTGTGATTGTAATTAAAGGTGCACTATGTAACTTTTTTGGCGGTTGCTTGTCTCCATGGAGATGTTACTGCTTTGTTGAATTGCTCCAAAGTATGGCATTAAGCTTATCACTCTCCATAGAAACAAGCAGGGGACGGCACTGGGCCAGTTTACAAGTAAGATCTGTGAAGAGGCGACCCCGCTCACAGTAAGAAAGCAAGTTTTTAAAGCATCCATAAACAAACATCCATAAATGTTTAAATAAATGCATCTTACATAATAATACCAGACTAGGGAACATTATAGGGAAAGCAATATCATTAATCTCCATGGCGATGTATCCCCAGTCTAAAAGGTTACGCAGTGCACCTTTAAATTTTCATGTTTCAATAATAGGATTCTGTTCAAAGTTTACATTTTTAACGTATCGAGAAGAACTGACAAAAAGACTGAAATATGAACTGACAAACAAACACAAGAATCACTTCAGAGCATGTTTTTGCAGATGTAAATTACAGGTTTACCAGCTTTTATGCAGGCCAGGATATTTTGTTGTTTGTGGAGGAAATTATGGTACTTTGCTAATTGGTGTCCATTCAAATTGTGGTTTAATTTTAGTTATATAACCCTACTTTTACATTCTTTAAAAGAGGTGATTTTTTGCAATCTGGAGATCAAGTGAACTTCAGATCTTACAGAAAAAGAATCATTATACTGCCACAATACATTTTAAACCAAGGCCAAATAAAAGTGACTGGATGATACGAAATTTGAATAACAAACTTTGGAAAGGCACATTCAAATGAATCAACCGTGACATCTGAGTTTAGTATTTCTGTGACAGTGCTCGGTAGATCCCACTATTGAGCAGAGTTATACAATTATTAAGAGCTAAAAGATATTTAAAGGTCCTATATTGCACAAAATGGACTCTTGTGAGCTTTAAGTCATGTTATAATGTTGTTACCTTATCCAAACAGACCTGAAGTTGTGTTTTGTTTCATTCACACATGTTTAACACACAAATCCTGCATTTTTAGGCTCAGTTCCTCTCTCAAACTGAAAACACTGTTCCACATTGTGATGTCATGTGGTAATATAGGAAGAGCTCAACTGTGTTTTAAAACTCTATACACTTTCAGTAGAATTATTTGCATGATTTCAACACTAGAATTACCTATCCCTACAGAACTAAAGGTAAAAAGGTAGATGTTTATCTTGAAAACTACCACCACATGACATCACAAGGTGGAACAGAGCATTTTGAGCTTTGGAAATGTAGACAGACTAATGAAATAATAAATAAATAAATAATTAAATAAATAAATAAATAAATAAAGGATTATTGAAACGTGTTAATGAAACGTAACAGCTCACAAGAGTCAATGTTGTGTAATGTAAGAGCTTTAAACAAATACTACAAATTATCTTGTAGTGTATTACTTGTTAATTAATTTCATTTGTGTGGACAACTTTTGCATTCTTCACTTTCTCCACTAGATGTCTCCATAAACACCAAAAACTACATTACAAAAGGACATACAGTATATTTTTAGCTCCCCCCCTCCTTCACATTGAGCACAGTTTTAGCTTTACCTTTGCCACTTGTGCTTTGAGGTCCCTGTTCTCCACCTCCAGAGTGCGTTTCTCTCCCAGCGCTGTGGCCAGAGAAGCGTCTTTGGAGTTTAGTAAAGCCTCCAGATCTTTCAGTCTTTGCTGAGCTGAAGCTAAATCAGCCTCCTTTTTGGTGTTCCTGCACAAAGACAAGACAAAACAATTATATATTTGTTCTTTATCATGTTGATGAAAGAACATACTTGTGGGACCACCTGAAATAGTAAAGCATGGAGATTATATTTTAATGCAGCCCTATCCAACTTTCCTTCTTCACAGTTTGTTAAATAGACAAGTTTAACCCCATTCAGTCAAATATAGGATTTTTTGAAGGTAAAGGTTAATGCAAATACTGTGGGAGATTTTATAACATCTTCAAGGAGACATGCAAGTGGCAAACCCTTACAAACCTTTACATAATGCACCAATCCAAATCCAAATGTGCTAAAAAAAAAAAATGCTTGTAGTTTTCTTGGCAATAGCAGGTTTCATTTCTTTATTTCTTCTAAAAAATTTCTTTAATTATTTTTGCAGCTTTTTGCCAGTCCAATTGTAGTTGTGTACTCAATATTCATATTTTAGGGTTGGCTCAAACTTGCACTGCATCACAATTGGTACACAACCGGGGACTAAACCACGACTAAACCAGGACTAGTATACATTAGAAATTAACAGGGCTCAATCCAGGACCCAAACAGGACAGGTATGAAATCACTTTTAACTCCTTACCACCTGAATTTATATAGATTTATTTTATTTTTTTTTTTTTTGTGTGTTTATGCCTTTAAGAAGACGGTAAATTAAGTTGAGATTATTAATTTGACTATAGTAAAAAAAAATTTGGGTATGTTACAAATTTGCAAAGTGCTTGCCAAAGGTTCGTTGGAAGGTGCTGCATGTGCACTAAGCAGCACTGGGGGAATGCAGCCGCTATCTCGACTTATATCTTGATCCAAAGGGTTTGCCGGATATTTGTGACAGTCGCCGTTAAGGGGTTAAAGGTCCCGTATTACGCACAATTGACGCTTGTGAGTTTTAAACCATTTTAGAATGCTGCTACCTCCTCAAAAACATACATGGAGTTGTGTTTTATTTTATGTTTGAGTAATCCTTTATTATTAGGCTCTCTACATCTCCAAAGCTCAAAATGTTCCACCTTGTAATGTCATGTAGTGTTAGTTTTCATGTTAACAGCTCCTTTTACCTTTAGTTCAGTAGAAATTGGCAATTCCAGGACTGAAATCATCCAATCAGGTGTGTGGAGTGTTTTTCATTTGAGACAAAAAGTCTAAACATGTGTGAATGAAACAAAACACAACTCCAGGTCTGTTTCTGATGAGGAAACAACATTAAAACAAAGATCAGAAGATAGTGTAATATGGGTACTTTAATCAGTAAATTAAAAAATTCTGATTAAAGCTGCGCAATTAATTTAATTGTGACCCTGATTTTGATTTGTGTGTCAAACAATCTCCAAACTCATCTTAGAACAGCTGGATATATAGTTTATTTTGGATGCATTTGTGTTTTTCTTTGCCTTATTTTATGTTCATTTTATGTTTTATATATCGCAAAACTGTTCTAAGCTACATATTTGTAGCCAGAATTTATTTTCAGTTTGCAAGTTTTGTGTGTTTTTTTTGAGAGAGAAATGCTGAATAAATGCATGCAACTAAAAAATAATCGTTTGAATAATTGTGATTTCAGTAGTGACCAAAATAATCGTGATAATGCTTTTTTTCCATAATCGAGCAGCCCTAATTCTGATATTATCTCACAGTAAAAACGATATATGTATTTCCTCTACTCGGAGTCAGGAATACCTTAAATAGTGAAGCATACGTAGCCTTGCCTTTGCAGTGTACAAAAGTTTCCTTGATGCTTTACAATGATCTATATTTAGAAAAGGACATCGGACGGGGGGAGACCTCGGATGGGAAAGCCCTATAAGTTTCCAGAGAAGTGAGTCATACGCTGCAGACATGTGCGTCTATAGCTGTGCATCTGTTCACCACAAACTGAAGAAAAAACTGTTTGGTTAAGATCCGCTGTCATGGTAACGGCCTGGCTTTTGCCTAACAGTCAGCGAGCAATCTTCTCAATATTTATGGAAAGAGCTTTACACAGTGCCACGTATTGTACTACAGCGTGTATAATGAACGCTCTGGTGGGAAAGAGAGAGGGAGACACGGGGAAAGAGTTAGTCATCAAACTCTCTGGATGGATGGAGGAAGAGAGGTGGTTTGACTTGTGCTTTATAATGTTGGTTTTGCAGTTTGCAGTAGTTGTTGTAGTTGCAGTTTAAGTATTGATCAACAATTTCTGGGGGTGTGACACTAACTGAAGGCACTACTTTTTTTTTACACAATCTGACCTCAAAGAGTTCACTACAGCAAATGAGATGATTTGTGCTCTTAAAGGTGCACTGTGTAACTTTTTGGCTTGCTTGTTTCTATGGATACATCATTGGTCTGTCTGGAATGTTCCACAGTGTGACATTAAACAGCTCTACTTTGCATTTATTCAATTACAGGTGGTTTTATAGCTCAAAAATACCTACAAAAACAAACGTTCTGACTGTGAGCGGAGTAGCCACTCCACAGATCTGACCGGTAACTTGGTTTTGTTTGATCTCCATGAACATAGAAAGGTTTAATGCCATACTGTGGAACATTAACTCTCAAACAGCACATTTTCAGGAGCCTGAGATTAATACGAGAGTTTTATTTCCAACAAAATTGCAAAATTTTTTGAGAGACTTGTTTAAAGATGCACTAAGTAACTTTTCAGACACTTTTCTCCATGAACATAGAAAGGTTTAATGCCATACTGTGAAACATTACAGACAAAGCAATAGCATCTCCATGGAGAAAAGCATTTGAAAAGTTACTTAGTGCATCTTTAAACAAGTCTCTCACACACTCTTGCATTTCTGTTGAAAATCAAACTCTCGTATTAATCTCAGGCTCCTGAAAATGTGCTGTTTAAATAAATTTTGGATTTTTTAATTGATTCCCTCGGGAGGTGTTCTGGGCACGTCCCACCAGGAGGAGGCTCTGGGGAAGAGACCTTGGACACGCTGGAGGGACTATGTCTCTGGGCTAGCCTGGGATAATCTTGGGAGGAAGTGTCCGGGGTGAAGGAAGCCTGGGAGTCCCTGCTTAGACTGCTGCCCCCACAACCCGGCACCGGATAAGCAGAAGAAAATGGATGGATGGATTTTTTGAGATCTTTTTGAGATGTTGGCTAATGTGTGCATTGTGTCACCATGGTAACTGCTGAACACGCCGCCATAGAGATGCATGTAGTACACCACCAGCGTAATGTCAATGCAAAGTAATTAGTTGTTTTAAAAATAGTGGTAGCACTAGTCAGTAATACTAGTAGCTGTTATAGTAGGAAGTCTAATACGTGTGATTCTAGAAGTAGTTGTTTTAGCAAATAGTATTAGAAAAAAAAAAGAGAGAGAAAAGAAAGCAAAGAAAGAAAGAAAGACAAAAAAAATGACTTCTGACTACATCTGTAAGAATGGTTTTGTCAGTAATTATGTAAAAAAAAAAAAAGATAGGAAAAGAAAGAAAGACAAAAATGTAATACAATTTTGATGACAGCTGTAAGAATTGTTTTTCATAATCAAGTTTACAGTTCACAAAGTTGATTCTGAACATGTCCAGGAGCATTAACTTTGAGAGCGCTCTGAAATATGAACTGCTGTTTGACCTGCATTTCAGAGAAGGTTTAAAGAAGGTTAGTGGGTGCAATAATAAATTTGCTAACTGCATTAAAACTGCATTTAATAGTGATTAATACTGCAAGCCTAACTAAAAAATTTATAGAGTTAAAGTGAATGGGCTCAGTGGTGCTATTCTCTGTATTGTTAGTCACAGCCTAAATATTTACTGAATGTAACCCTTGTGTTTGGACTCACACCTCAGTGATTAATTACATGTTAATGACAGGAGCTTATGTAACTCTGATACAGTATAAGCTCTCAAAGCCACGCCCTGAGCTGCAGAACACACTCGATGTGGCTCACTGCCGCTTTTCAGTATGTGACCACCTCTCCTCCTCCTCCTCCCTCTCCTCCGCCTCCTTCATCCCTCCATCCAAACCTTTTGATGACTAACTCTTTCCCCATCGCTTTCTCTCTCTCTTCATTCCTTTTACAGTAAGCATCTAACAGCCTCTTGCAAGATTCCCTGCAAATATTTTACAGTTCGTTTTCTTCAGAGTTAGTGTTACTACCATAAATTACATATTAGGCGCACTTTGTAACTTCTAACGTGAAGGTTTGCTACTTGCTTGTCCATGGAGATGTTATTTCTTTGCCTGAAATGCTCCACAATAGGGCATTAAACCAGGTGTTTGATGGCACAAAAATCACTTAAAAACACTTAAGACTTCTCTGTGGCCGGCCCCAAACTCTGGAACGCTCTGCCCCACCATGTCTGAACTTCCCCACAGTGAAGTGTTTTAAGTCTTGTCTTAAAACCCTCATTTATTCTCTGGCTTTTAACACCGCATGAGTTGTGTTTTCCTCTGTGTCTTTTATTTATTTTACTTATTTACTGCTATTTTATGATTTTTATTGCTTTGCTTTTATTTAGAATTTACTGTTTTGATTATTTTAGGCCTGGTATGACCAAATTTTAGCAATTTACCTTTTTGTTTTCTTTATTTTACCATCTCTGTGCAGCACTTTGGAAACTACTTTGTCTGTAAAATGTGGATATAGATTCGAATTTGGATTAAAAAACATTAATTCTTAGCATCTGCAGGCTTGCTTCTCCATAGATCTGACCATTAACCTGTCCTCATTACGACTACCAATTTTATTTGCAAACTATAATAAAGACAAAACAGTAATATCTCCATGGAGACAAGCAGGTGGAGGACCCTACTTCAGAAAAATTACACAGTGCACCTTTAACACATTGGCTCATTGCTGTTGTGGTCTGCAGTTTTAGTATATATTTTTGTGTATATTACTTTTATTTGTGTTATATTTCTTAAGGCTAAATATTTTCTTATACTCCGGTATGTCGTAGGTATGCAATAAATACCTGAGCTTTGTTTGCCACACCTCAAACGTGTGAACATTTTCTACTTTCACTCAAGCGCAGACTGTTTACTTAGTGACGCCGCACGATGTAGACAGAACAATGTAAATGAATGAATGCTAAATTATTATTATTATTGCACTGAAACTTACCATGGACTGTGTAAAACTACATGCAAATTTTGAAGAAGTCACAATAAGTTATTTCACGTTTCTGTCTAGACTCATTTTAGAGAGATGGTCATTTGTAAAAGCGGATGTATGAGTCACTATGTAACTCAATGCCTACCGTAGCCCGTCTGCACTGGTGGAACAGGGAGGAGCCCACATACACAAGCCAAACCACGTTTTTTTCCACGGTCAATTTGAATAAAACGCCCATAAAATTATTCCCTCAGTATACAAACTGTTGCTAAGAGACAAATCATATTTTGGTAGTTGCAGTTAGACTGAAGTTGTAACTACTGGTCTGCTGGACAGTACTGCATTTTCATTTGATTCGTATCTAAACTGGAAGTGGAAGTGGTCTAATATTATTTTCTGAATCACCAGGACTTCCTTCACTACCTAACGATCAAATACTCCATGACTGAAACACTGTGTGAGTCACTGACCTATTATGTTTTGACTAAACTGGGCACATTTTAAGGTGGTGGTATCTACAAGCCTTCGTTACAAATTCTTAAAGCAGCATTGTGTAACTTTCTGAAATGCTACTTTGGAACATTTGCCATTAGATGAGGTTCAGTGTTAGCCAGGCTGGTGCCTCCGCTCAATTTAATTTCTCTCCAGCGACTAGGTCAGGAATCGGAATACACTAGATGGTTTGCAAGAATTCCGGAAGTGCGAGTCCAGCAAAGAGCCGATTCCCGAGAACATTTGGTGAATTTTATCAAGGAGAAAGTCGTTATTGCCCTTCTTACTACAGGATTTGGGAAAAGCTTAATATACCAGTTAGCCCCAATAGCCGTGCATTACATACGACCAAAAAGCAGCGAGTGGTTCAATAAAAAAAACTACCCGCCTACCGTCAAGCGAATGAATTCTAATGCTGCAAGGTCAAACAGTTTCCACAGAGTGAAACCGTCTGATGAATCAGGCTAGTTCAATGCCAAACTGTGGATGATTATAGCCAATGGAACAACATTTCCTTCAAGATCAATAAAGTATCAATCTATTTCCATGGAGAGGAGATAAGTAGGGCTGGGTATCATTAAGAAATTGCTGATATGATACAAACCTCGATGCATAGGGCACGATATGATACGGTTCAAATGAAATACGATACGGTTCAATAAAAATATAGGCTAAATCATGGCTGTGACACTAAAAGTCTTTGTTAAACCACTTCTTGTGCAAAGTGAATATGAAACACGCCCATTTTACTCATCAAAACAGTGAAAATGTCAAATCTGTTGCATAAACGAGTTTCTTTCCTCTCAACAAGCAACGAAACTGTAGCTCTGTAAAAAAATATTTAGTAAAATACACAAAAAGATACTCTTGGTGATATATCGATACAGCAGTTCACAATATTGATACTGTATCATCCCATTAGGCAATACAATATATTATTTCGATATTTTTGCACACCCCTAGAGACAAGTAGGTGTAGATCCTCCTCCAGGTCAAGTAAGAGTTAGTTCTGTGGAAATTCAAGCAAGCTGAAAATAAGAATGCTGGTTTTTCAGTGCAATAAAACATTCAAAATGAAAAAAAAAAAGTTGGCTGAAAAGTTAAGTGGTGGGGTTACCAAGTCAAAACATTGCCCTAACCTTAAAAATAAGCATTTCCTCATCACTAACCTTAACCACAACCTAAATTATAACCTTAGTTCATCAAGTTTGAGCAGGCCGTCCCTCCGGAGCATACTATCTAGCAACCACACACCTGGCCTTGAGTTCCTTGTGCTCCTCCTTGAGTTTGGCGAGCTCCAGTTGAAGTCGAGCTCTCTCCTTTGCCACAGAGTCCAGAGTCTGCCGAGCATCCGCCAGCTCGTTCTCATAGGCCGCTTTAAGTCCGCTCAACTCACGACTCACCTATAAACACACAGGGAAGATATCAAGACCTTCCAGAAGAAATACTACGAGGGAACTGAACCATTTCATCACTAATCAAAACTACAGAGCAGAGTAAGAACGAGGCCTTTCCTGAGGCCCATTTACGCTTTTTTTCTGTTGTTGTAATGTTATTTCTTCATCACAAACAGATCTGGAGTTGTGTTTTGTTTCATTCACAGACAAACCTGCATATTTAGGCTGAATTCTTCTCTCAAATAGAAATAATGAGGGGTTACTCAAACAAAACACAACTCCCGGTATGTTTTTGAGGAAGTAAAGTCATTCTAACATGGCGTAAAGCTCACAATTTTGCGTAATTTGGGACCTTTAAGAAAGAGCTTCGGGTCTCACCTCTGTCTCTGACTCCGTGATCCTGAGTCTCAATCCGGCGTTTTCAGACTCAAGGGAGCGGACTTTGTCGATGTAAACAGCCAGACGGTCATTGAGGTTGCACAGGTCCTCCTTCTCCTGCAGACGGGTGATACGATTCGGGGACAGGACCGCATTGGCCCCTTTGGGAGAGTTCTTGGGAGTCGCCATAGCACCTGGAAAAGGACAGGCAGATTCAGACTTAGACTTAGACAAACTTAATTGATCCACAAGGGAAATTATTTGGATATAGTAGCTCACACATCACAATAAAGAAAAATATAAATGATAATAATACAAAAAAGTAGCAAAAATAGCAAGAGACTGGTGTCAAATAAGGCATAAAACTAGAAAATATAGGTGGAAGTATACTATATATTTATTGTTATTGTGAAATTACTTGTTGTTTAATAATATTAAATGTTGGAAATAGAAAAATATGCCTCTATAGTTTGCTGTCTTTTACCCATATTGAATGAATGTTTAAACTAAAGCAACACAGCGTAACTTTTTAGAGACAAGCCCATGGAAATAGCCCATATTGTGGAATATTATAGCCAAAGCAACACTTCCATGGAAATCAGGAGGAGTACACCCTCTTCCAGGACAAAGGATCAGGTATATGGAGACGTAAGCCCACTTACAGAAAGAAGATTTCTATAGAATAAGTGTGTGTATTATGAGTCATTGTACACTCATAGTTACTGGAACTGGCCCAAATGAAAATACCACCTTACTGTACTATTTTGTTGTTGTTTTCAAGTTTATAAGCGCTCACCAGTCACGTGATTCTAATAAAAGTGAATAAATAGACTAATGTATCTGCAATAATCACTATATAAAATCACAGTCTACTGAAACAGGCTTCATACCATTTCATCTGCCATACTGTAGCTTTACCTTAAGGCTGTTTAAGGATTGGGCAAATGTTCTTCATAATTTGTGCAATGACTTCACGTGAAGGTGTGTGTAAATTATGCAATTATTTCCATGAGATGTGTCACTCTTCGTCATCAGAGACCTTAAGCTTCATAAACCAAGTGGTGAATTTCGTCATTTTGAATTTAAGGTCTTATATTACGCAAAATTGACTCTTGAGAATGTTACGCCTTGTGAGAATGTTGTTAGCTCCTCAAAAACTGATGTGAAATTGTGTTTTTTTTCATTCTCGCAGCGGTAGTTTTCAAGTTAACAGCTACATTTTACGTTTAGTTCAGTAGAGATTGGCAATTCCATGGCTGAAATTATCCAAATGACTCTAGTGAAGGTGTGTGGAGTTAAAATATAGTGGAGAATTTTCTGACTTTCCACGAGTGTTTTGTTTTTGAGAGAAGAACTCAGCTTAAATATGCAGAGTTTGTGTGTTAAACATGTGTGAATGAAACAAAACACAACTCCAGATATGTTTTTGATGAGGAAACAACAGAAAATTGCAGAAAGCTGTGAAACGTTTGAATGAATGTTTGAATCTGAATGTTATCTTTCCACCGTCTACTTTTGGTTTTCTCTTGGTTTAGCTCCAGGTTGAAGATAAATTCCTCCAACTGAAACTATAAAAGGTAATCCATGTGTTTTTGAATGCTTAAAAAAAACGAACGCTGTTGCCATAGCGATAAAAACAAATGACGAAAATGCATGAACACAACGCAGCACCCCCTAGTGTTTGTAAAGTAGTAGAGTACGGTGTGGAATTGCATAATGACGTGCAGCGCTGGAAAATTAGATGCACATTTCAGGCTGACAGCAGTACAGAAATGAGCTGTTTTATCACATTAAATACTTGTGGCTACTTATGTTGTTAGTTACTGTAATAAATCCCTTACATGAAGATTGAAAAGCAGACAAAAACTATAAAACAAAGTATTTCTATTGTCTCCAATGAGGCCAGGAAAAGTCATTTTATTAGGACTGGCACTGTCTCAGATTAAACCACTGCTACAGCTCGAAGTTACACGGTTCTGAACTACCAAGAAAACCCAATTATATTTTCATTGTCGTTTTATTTTCAGCATGTTTTCTAACTGCGAGAATTTACTTCTACTACTTTCAAATCCCATAGTGCAATGAAGTATTCGTCCAAAACTGAGTCTAAGATGAACTGGTTTTCTTAAATTATTATTGTTGCATGAAAAACAAAGTCTTAAAGTTTAAAGGTGCACTTTGTAACTTTCCGGGTGAAAGGTGCGTCACCGTGGAGACCATGGAGATGTTGTTCCATGTCGCTGTGTTATAGTTTATCTATTTCCATGGTAACAAGCACCAAGCCAGATTTACAGGTCTGGTTTGTGGAGAGGTGAGCCAATTACAGTAGAATGCATATTTTTTTAAGTATTGTTTAATTGTTTAAAAAAAAAAAAAAAAATTCTACAATTAAATAAAAAGCAAGTTTAATGCCATACTGTGGAACATTCCAGCAAAGGCAGTCTCCCTAGCATATCTCCATGGACACAATCCAGTGCTGGACTTTTACCACAAAAGTTACATAGCGCACTTTTACGGAAAAACAATAAATTTGATAATTTTTGCGCATCCAGAATAATAAAAAAGTGATATTCTTTCAAATATTAAACAAAAATTTTAAAATGAATTTTAAAAAGCTAATTTTCATTCAAACTTATGCAATTTTAATCATTTTCCATTGTGAGCAAGACAAAAATATACACCACACTATCACCACGACTTAGTAGAAAAGTTACATAGCGCACTTTTACGGAAAAACGAGAAGTTCGATCTTGTTTGCGCATTCAGAACTTTAAAAAAAAGTGATATTCTTTCAAATATTAAACAAAAATTTTTAAATGAATTTTAAAAAGCTCATTTTCATTCAAAGTTATGCAATTTTTATCATTTTCCATTGTGAGCAAGACAAAAATATACACCACACTATCACCACGACTTATCTGACTACTCCAAAGTCAGATAAAAATAATTATTAATAGCAATGAAAGGAAAAGTGAAATGGAAAAGATTAAAAAGATTTCAAATGTTATTAAAGTCCAATCTTACCTTTCATTGTCGAAGCGTTCGCTAAAATAACTCAAGAATTCAATGAACGAGGTTATAAGCCATGGGTGGAGTCGGCCCCACCCAACAAGGTAAACAAATGTGTGGGGTGAAGATGAGCTGTGAAATGTGCGTGGGGTTTACCTGTGTCTTTGGTCTGGTGTGGGATGTGAAGAGGCTTGTTTGTCCTCTGCTCCTGTCGCTGTGAGAGTCTGAGAAGAGCAGCTCCGTCCACAGCAGCGGTTTTGAATGGTGCATGTGAGCCCAGAGTCCCTTAGGAAAGAATGAGCTGGTAGGAGGGAGGGAGAGAGAGAGAGAGAGAGAAAGAGGGAGAGGAGTGGGGAGGAGGGAGAGGGTAGTGGGAGAGAGGAGGGGGTAGAGAGAGAGAGGGAGGGAGAGAAAGAGGGAGAGGATGGAGCAGAGAAAGAAAGGGAGGGAGCAGGAGGGAGAGGAGGGAGCAGAGAGATAGAGGGAGGGAGAGAAAAGCAGATAGAGAGGGAAGAGAGGGAGGGAAAGAGGGACAAGAGGGGAGGAGGGAGCAGAGAGAGAGCGGGAGGGAGGGAGAGAGAAGCAGAGAGAGAGGGAGAGAGGAGAGGGAAAGAGGGACGAGAGGGGAGGAGGGAGCAGAGAGAGGGAGATGAAGGGAGAGAGAGAAAGAAAGTGGGAGGAAGAGGGGGAGGAGGGAGAGGGTAGGGGGAGAGAGTAGGGAGCAAAGAGAGAGAGGGTGGAAGGGAGGGAGCAGAGAGGGAGGGAGGGAGGGAGAGGAGTGGGAGGGAGGGAGCAGAGAGAGGAGGGGAGAGAGAAAGAGGGAGCAGTGAGAGAGATGGAGGGAGGGAGGGAGAGAAAGAGGGAGAGAGAAAGAGGAGGGAGCAGGGAAAGAGAGGGAGGGAGGGAGAGAGAGGACGGAGAGAGGGAAAGTGAGAAAGAGAGGAGGGGTTAGGAGGGAGAGGGAAGAGGGGGAGAGAGGGAGGAGGGGGGAGAGAAACAGGGAGGGGAGGGAGCAAAGAGAGAGAGGGGGAAGGAGAAAGAGGGAGTGAGGGAAAGAGGGAGGGAGTAGAGAGAGAGATGGAGGGAGAGAGAGAGAGAGAGAGAGGAGGGAGAGAAAGAGAGGAGGGGTTAGGAGGGAGAGGGAAGAGGGGGAGAGAAAAAAGGAGGAGGAGGGAGCAAAGAGAGAGAGAGAGGAAGGGAGAGATAAAGAGCGGGAGGAAGAAGGCGGAGGAGGGAGAGGGTAGGGGGAGAGAAGAGGGAGCAAAGAGAGAGAGGGCGGAAGGGGAGGGTGCAGAGAGAGAGAGTGGGAGGGAGAGAAAGAGGGAGGAGGAGGGAGAGCGAGAGAGAGAGAGGAGGGAGAAGAGAGAGATAGAAGGAGGGAGAGTGGAGGGAGCAGAAAGAGAGGGAGGGAGGGAGTGAAAGAGGGAGGAGGGGGAGAGAAAGAGAGCGAGAGAGAGAGAGCAGAGAGAAGGGAAGAGAGGGAGAAAAAGTGGGAGGACGGTGGGAGAGAGGGAGGGAGAGAGCGGGAGGAGAGGGAGAGAGACGGGGGGAGAGGAAAGAGAGGGGATGAGGGAGCACAGACAGAGAGAGAGAGGAGAGAGGGGGGAGTTAGAGGGAGAGAAAGAAGAAGGAGAGGGGTGCAGAGAGAGAGAGACTGAGAGATTAGGGGAGAGAAAGAGGGAGAGGAAAGAGAAGGAGGAGGGAGCAAAGAGAGAGAAAGGGTGTAGAGGGAGAGAGAGGGAGGAAGAAACAGACAGAGGGAGAGTAAAAGGGAGGGGGGAGAAAGAGAGAGCAGAAAGAAGGAGAGGAAGGGAGCAAGAGAGTAGAGGGAGAGAAAGAGGGAGGAGGGCATAGAAAGAGGGAGGAGGGGAGAGAGAAAAGGAGGGGAAAGAGAGGAGGGGAGAGAGAATTGGCAAAGTGTCTGTTCCCGGTTTAAGCCCTTCTCCGTCAGTGTGTCTGGCAAAAGTGGCAAACCAAGAATGTTCTGGTAAGCATTTCAAGAAGAGGAAGTAATCTAAATAAACCTTTAATTAAACCAAGTATTTGATCAAAAAAAAAAAAAAAAAAAACATGCAACGATTAAGACTTCAATGGACTTATATGGCTTCTTTGGTTTTTTGAGTATTCAAGTAATCCAAACTACTTGAGCCTAGTAAATTAAGCATGAATATTTTCAGTAAATATAAGAAAAATAAAAGTAAAATGGAAAAAATAAACATAAATCTGCAAATGTCATATAACTTATACCGCTTTTGGAATCCTCATGCAACTTAATCACTGTTATTGCTTCAAAACAATATTTCCTAGGCGTAAAACCTCTGAGAAAAACGTTTAAAATAAGTACAATTTGCAGAAAAAGTAAGTTAACTGACTAAACTTAACTAAAACTAAGTTACAGATCGAAGTCCCTCCTTTTCTGTCTGGCTGGCCGGGTGTGTGTGGCGGTGACTCATCTTCCACTCGGAGAAGCCACAGCCCCATGTGACTCGTCCAAGGAGTAATTTTAACTCCAGCTCGTTGCCTAGAGAAAGTTTTGAAAGTTTATTGTTTATTCAGACCACACTGACAGAAGTATGAGCAGTTAGTGACGTGAAACAGTTTTATTTCGTGCACCCATGTGATCTTCGGGACTCCCATTTACAAATCGTTGCATAATAGAGAAGTATATTTCACTTGTGACTATGGCTTTTGTAAATAAATATGACTTGTGTAAATTCCATTGACTGCTTGAAGAAGTGAACTAAGAGTGGCGTCACCCAGAGTGTTCAGCTCCAGTCAGATGAAACTCACCAAGTCTTGCAGTAATAGGGTCAAATTTGGAGTCGAGTTCTATATTAGGAACAGGAATAATTTTTTAAGGTAATAAATGCAGATTTTTGTCACTGCGCTGGTATCAGACCTTAAATCCATAGTATTGGAATCGGTATCACAACTGAAAAGGCTGGGTCGGTGCACGAGACTAAACTATAATTTATAAATGTGCCTAAATGAACTGAGTTTGAGCAAAAGCAGAGATCTCCAAAAGTTTCTTCGGGTGAGCTACCTTTACAAGAAGAAAATGCCAAAAAGCTACTAATTTTAGAGGTCACAAGAAACTGAGCATAGAAAAGCCTTAGATGGGAAGAGTTACGTATGTATGTACAGTATGTATCAAAATGATACATGTACTATGGTAGTTCATCAGTTTGATGTAACAGGAAATGCACACCAAGGTTCTTGTAGAGGTGCAACTGCAAGGAACCGTAAAATAAAAGTTTTATTGATGTCCAAATGCTTTTTTTTTTTTTTTAAATATATATATATTGTTTCGGCAAAAAAATCTTCATCAGATCATTTTTCTTACTTTGGACCACAGTATGGTTGCCAGCCCAGGTGCTCATTTTGCCAGGCTGGCGCCACCTAGTGCCTGCATTCAGTTTCATTTCTCTCCAGTGACTAGGTCAGGAATTGAAATACAGTAGACGGTTCGCAAAAACCGCAGAAGTGCGAGTTCGGGCACCAGCCAATCAGCAAAGAGCCATACATTCTGTGTTGGCAGCGATTCCTTCAGATTGAGGATTTAAAGCCGGAATAAAGAGAATGTTTGGTGAATTTCATTAAGGGCAAAGGTGTTATTGCCCTTCTTCCAACGAGATTTGGGAAAACCTTAATATACCAGTTAGCCCCATTAGTGGTGCATTACATACGTCATGCCCAAATAGCACCAACTAGTTAAAGGTTGTATGGAGGATTTTTTTTTGTTTCAAATTGTCAATGATAGCATTATAAAGGTGCAGTAGCCTTGTAATTATGATGACCAAAAAAAAAAGAGAATAAAAATTCATCAACTCTGGACGTGGTGGGGCTAAACATTTGCCAATAGATAACGACACTGCCTCGTTATCTGTTAGCTGACAGGCTGTCAATCAAACTCCCTACGTTTCTAGCGTAACTGACTTGCCTGCGCGCTGCCGGTATGTGGTTTACGTACGCCTGTCACGCAGTCCACAGACGCAAGACGCACAGACGCTGTTTACTCCACCAACGCAACAGTTCTTAGCGGCTTTTTTTTACCTATATCTTCCTCGCAGTTCGCACAAAGTTTGTTGCGATGGCGACAAGAATCCAGGAGCAGTTAGCCGCAAAAGAAAGTCAGTTTTTGAGATTGCTGAAAGAAGAAGACAAGGGGAAAAGCAGCGAAGCCAAACTAAGGTGATTCTTGAAGATTCATTCCAGCGATGGCGCAACTGAAGCAGACGCAGGGTCTAAAGATTGAAGCATTGGTCGCCAAATTACGCCTGGACAGGTAACTTCGGCTTATTATGAAAACGTACTTTATTTCCAAGAGCTAGACAAACGTTTTTCAGGACACGAAAGCGATATCCTATGTCTGAAAACGTAATTTTCAAGGCAAAGAAAGAGTCCGCTTGCTGCTGCGTGTTGTAGCTAGTTCATTCGCACTGAATCTCCGCGCAACCTTCTCTGCACCCCTTTCCTGCTCCTGTCCCTGCTGCCCGATCCGCTCTTCCCCCTGCTCCTCACTTCTCCGGTCCGCGCACCGCTCCCCTCTTCCCTCCTCTCTCCTCTCCCTGCTCCGCTCTTCTCCCTGCTTCACGCATGCACAACATTTGAAAAAGGACAGTCGCTGGATTTCTCGTTCCTTGGAAAATCCTCTATACAACCTTTAAATGAGAAAAGTACCCAACTACCATCGAGCAAACGAATCCTAATGCTGCAAGGTCAGATGTTTTTTACAAAGTGAAACCAACTGATGAATCAGGCTAGAAGCTCATATCCCCCACCAACGAATGGGAAGTCCCAAAGTGAGGTCACCCAGTGAGTTCAGCCCTCTCTACAACTTTTTTTTTTGTTTTTAAAGCTTTTGGACATCGGCCATCTGAGTGTGCTATGCATTTTTTTTTACTTTTATAGTTCTTCAATTTGAGTCATTCAGCACAATATGAATAATTCAGAAATTCTGGTAGCTTCTACTGGCAGCTCTAGAGCTATAGGTTAAAGTTAATCACTGGCTTATTCACACACTAGAGGCACTGTATTTGTGTAATCTAATTTGCATTGTAGTAAATAGAATATCAAAGTGTGTACTTAGCTACTGTAAACCTAAACTAAAATGTATCAAATGCAAGTCATATTTATCTGTGCACACTTGAACTTGAGGGGCGTTGGACAATAGAAGGTCAAGTATAAACAGTTAACAATGTGGTTATTGAATGTTCCTCATATGAGTCATTAATGTCTGACTAACTTATATTGTACATGTTGCAATGGCCTCACTCATGATTCAGACAATCTGGTAGAAAATATGCTCTGTGTCGCAATATCTGTGTGGTTCACCTGGAGTTCTGCATATTTAAAGCTGCATTGCTTTATCTGGAATGTTTCACAGTATAATATTGAACCTTTCTATCATCAAGGAGACCAAACCAGAACAAGTTACAGGTCAGATCTGTGGAGAGGTAACCTAGAACTAAACTAGGGCTAGATCAGGGCTGAACCAGGACTGGACCAGGAATAAACCAAGACTAAACCAGGACTGGGCCAGGAATAAACCAGGACTAAACCAGGACTCGACTAGGATTATACCTAGGACTATATAAGACAAACCATGAGTACATGAGCAATACAGGCCTGTTTCTATGTTCTTTCATATTGACACTTTGCAGCTGCTTTCATAAACATTCCCCGGGGATGTGAAGCTAATTGAAAAAACTGGTATGTCTGATGCTCTGTCACACACTAGCTTGCATTAATCTAGAAAACTTTCATTCTATCTTCATGGAGACCAAACCAGACTGATAAACAGGTCTGATCTGAGGAGATGTGACCCTTTTTTCTAGGCATTTTTGAGCTATAAAACCACCTGTAAGTGAATAAATGTTAGGTAAAGCTGTTTAATGTCATACTGTGGAATATTCCAGGCAGAGCAATGTCATATCCATAGAAACAAGCAGGTGATGGACCCAACCGAAAAGTTACATAGCGCACCTTTCACAGTAGAATTCATTTTGAGGCTTGAATAGGACTGCAGGTGCTGAGAATTCACGCTATTGAATTTGTCTGTCTTTGATCCAGGTCTTCTCCAAACAGCTCCAAGACAGGACATGTGCTGCTACTTGTGCTATGTAAACAGTGAAAACAAAAGATTACTGCAGCCCATTTAGTCTGTAAAGCCAGAAAAGAACGAGACATGTTTTTAAAATGTCCACAAGAGGGCACTAAAGATTGAATTTTGAAACCACATGCGCTTCATCTCGTATGTATGACTTTTTGGTTAGTTATCCTGTTAAGTTCCTAATCCTAAAAGGTTTTAATAATATTTATATTATCCAGCCTAAATCTATTTTAATGATATTGCAATGAAAGCATCCTTAACATAAAGTCAGTGAACATTTAGGCGCTGGATAAACACAGAAATCTGAAAAACTGTAAAAGAACATTTTGAGTTTGATTTACAAATGGCATTTTATGTGTGAATTGAGCTTATTACCAAACATTTACTGTTAAAACCCAAATCTAGATGCTTAATTAGGGGCAAATAAAAGCGTTTGGTGTAATGTTGCCCGTTTCAAACTTTATAATAGGGATAGAACAAATATAGGATTTATAATTTATGTAATAAGTGCTTAAGTGCTTGGGAAATCCATATTTAAAATGTGGCTTGTTGCGCTTTTCGTAACCATCACTCGCAACCGTCGCTTTCCACTGGCTTTACGCACGGAAAAACTGACTGGTCACAAATGGGCATAGTTTCCGCGTAAATGTTCCACTCTAACCCAACCCAGAGCCCCCCAAAACACACCCGGGGTTCTGTTTCTTCTCGGGGTTAATGGTAAATAAAGACTCGGTGTCAAACACGCCATAAAACCGTGAATTATGGAGCGTTTGTGCCGCTGCTGCTTCAACCTCGACATGGACATTTTCCTTGTCATGTGGTTTGAGGGAAAACCCGTATTGGATCTCCTCGGTCACCTGGGCAAATAAGGGGAAAAAAACGCCAATTTGAAGAGTACCTGTCAAGATAAATCCTAAAATAAAACAAAAACACGCTAAAATTATAACACGTCCAATTATTGATTTGTTTCTAGCGTTTTAATCGATTAAATTATGATTTTCGTGGCTTCTTTATCGTTCATTCTGTGCGTAAAATGCGTTTATTTCATTGTCACGTGCTGTATTACAGAAACCGAAGCTAGCTAAAACCCAAATATAGAGCTAAAACACAATTTCAAAGGACAAAACAGCGCAGAAAGTGTAGTAGTCGCCGTATTAAAACGCACGGTAGAGTCCACTCCACGTCTTGTTTGGCGCATGTGTGGACCCGCAGCTTTGAGCGGATAAACAGCTGCCGTGAACCGCATAGCAGCGGATAAGGAAACGAAGGACAAAACGACCTTTCCGCAAAGAAATAAACTGAAATAACTCGCAAATTATCCAATACGAGACTACTAAGCGATTTGTAGCAACGTTAAAAGGCGCGTCGGATTCGTTCAGGTATCCAAAGCTGCAGGATTGCGCTTCGTTTTGCGTAAAAGGCGCTCGGTGCAGCTCGGTGCTCGTCTTCGGCCTCCATTTTCTTGTAGCCCGCTCGGCGCCTCACGTGTCCCGGACTGTCTTTCTCACATGACCCGTGTGTTTGTCCCCGTGACCACCAGCGCTTCCATCTCTGTAAATCAGTGTCGTTGAATATCAGCATTTTTTACGCACACCCCGCAAAAGCCTCACATGGATATGCTGGAGCAGAGCCTGGAAAACACGGCGAGGTAAGACTGAGCTAATGTCCGTTTCCTGCAAGGCTAGGTCGGCTACAGCTACGGCCTAAACCCCTCTTTCAATCGGCGATCATATATTACCAATCCTCTCTTACTTTTTATATGTTTTGCGCTAGTTTGTTGTTGCGCGTTTGGCTGCCAGTTTTGCATGAATTATCTGCGCGTTTGGACACAATCTTCTGTGACATTTTTCCACTCCGTTTCCAGAAAGGCTAAACTAACATAAAACGCACGACGTATTTAGGTTACTTAGTTTGGAAGTTTCTACTACATGGGATAGCAATCTTGAACTACATTTATTTCAATGATATCACACATTTACCTGCATATTTCCTTGCTTAATTGCATTTTGGTTTATTTTTACTGCGCATTTGTGCCGTTTTGCTCCAATTTCATCAATAATTCTTCCATGCCCTCTATTGTTTTGGTTCACTAGAGGGAGCGCCAGAGCCAATTCTAGGACATGTGTGTAGTAGGTTCTGTAAAAGTTTGTTTTTAAAGCTAAATTGGGTCATTTCTGTTTTGTTTTTTTTCTTTCTTCTTTTTCTGTTTTTTTGCAGTCACGACAAACAGGATTCAGAGGACGTGGTGGCGTTGCAAGAAGGTGAGAGATTTACAGCTTTACACAGATTTTATTGTCTGCTCACAATCCATTATTGATTATTGGGGTTAGCAATTTATTATCTTTGGAAGATCAGATGTTACCTTTATGAATGTTTGCCTCAATATTTCTCCTTCAAATTCAGACGATTGTCATGTGAATTTTGAAGTTTGTTTAGTAGAGCATGTTAATATTTTAGGTAAAATTATCAACCTGTTTACTACGAGGAATCATTATACATATTTTGATATGTCAGTGCATAACCATAGACTATATTAGGGCTGGGTATCATTAAGAAGTTGCCGATATGATACATACCTCGATACATAGACCAGGATACAATACATCTCTCGATACAGTGAGCTTTCGATTTGATACGATATATTTAAAATTTATGTGATACAGTTCAATAAAAAATAAACCATTTCTTGTGCAAAGTTAATATGAAACACACACATTTTAATAATCAAAACAGTAAATATCTCAAATATGTTGAACAAGCAACAAAACTGTACGCTGTAACAAAATAAATTAGTAAAATAAAAAATACTCTTAGTGATTTATTGATAGTGGCCTATGATATTGATATTGTATCACCAAATTAAACTATATGATTAGGGCTGGGTCTCATTAAAAAGTTGCTGATATGATACATACCTCAATGTAGTGTAGTGCACTTTCAGTTCGATACGATATACTGTATTTCAAATCTATTTGATACGGTTCAATAAAAATAATGGCCAAATCATGGCTGTGATACTAAAAGTTTTTGTTAAACCACTTACTTCTTGTGCAAAGTGAATATGAAACACAAACATTTTAGTCATCAAAACATTAAATATGTCAAATGTGTTGCATAAATGAGTTTCGTTCCTCTAAACAAACAACAAAACTGTAGCGCTGTAACAAAATAAATAATTTAGTAAAATATACAAAAAAATACACTTGGTGACATATCAATACAGCAGCCCACGATATCGATACTGTATCATCACTTTAAACTATACACTATATTGATATTTCAATATTTTTGCACACCCCTAGACTATATAAATGCACACTGCCAGTCTGCTAAGCACCATGTCGTTTCTAACAGGAAGTGAGCATGGGGGCTTTTTTAGGCTTCACTGACTCTGGTTTCGAGTGACTGAAAAACATTGCCCTTCTCTCTGTAACTGCTGCATTGAGTTTCATCGTTTTGGTCTTACAATGTTCGTATTAACCTGTTTGACATGATTCTGGTGGGGTTTTTTTTTTATATTTTCTTATTCTAAATTCTTGTAGCTAATTTGAGATTATGCTCCAAATTCAGATTGATAATCTCTAGCATCATGAGCTTCATTTGACTGAATTGCTGTGGTTAACGTCACACTCCCTCAGTCCACTTCTTTTTACAGTCTATGCTGCATACATATAAACAATGTCTGAAACCACACTGATGATGATAATATTAATGCACTGAAACATTTGCAATAACTACCATATGTTTTGTATAGATAATATTGCGCTCTGTGTTACAGGAGAGGCAGTGGGAGAGGAGCAGACTGCAGTCATCACAGGCGTCCCACAGGCAGCATTTGCAGACCACAATGTACAGTACCAGTTTCGCACAGAGAACAGCGGAGGACAGGTAAATATCCCTAAGAACAGAGGGGAAAATGTTAAAATGTTAATAATGCTGCCTTTATATTTTACGCCCCAACTCTGTGTGGAATTAGAGAAACCAGGTCTCTTTCTCTAAACTTAAAACCCATTTTAGACCCGGATCCAGAAGATTTGTATCCCATAAAAGAGTTGAAAGTCCCATCACTAACACACATGGTAAAATCTTAAAGGTGCATTGTGTAACATTTCTGGTGGAGGGTCTATCAAATGTTTTTCCTTGGACATGTTATTGCTTCGTCTGGAAGGTTTTACAGTCCTTTCTATCGTCATAGAGACCAAACCATGCAAGGTAAAGCTGTTTAATGTCATACTGTGGAACATGCCAAGCAGAGCAATGACATCTCCATAGAAACAAGCAGGTGACGGACCCCCAGCCAAGAAGTTACTTAGTGCACCATTAACCATATTTTCCACGTCCACTCCTCTGTTCAGCAGGTGACGTATCGCGTGGTCCAGGTCACAGACGATCAGCTGGAGGCCGCAGACGGATCTGGAGCCGTCAGCGTTGTTTCTGCAGCTGCGTTTGCCGGAGCTCCTCAGGCTGTTGCCCAGGTGAAGAAGAGACTGTGGAGTTACATTTGGGATTTACACAAATGTTTATAGTGGTAGTGTTGTAGAGGTTTAAAGGACCAAAAGTGACTTTTGTGAAGTTTAGGCCATGTTAGAATGTTGTTACCTCCTCAAAAACAGACCTGGAGTTGTGTTTTGTTTCATTCACACATGTTTGAGTAATCATTTATTATCAGTCTGTCTACTTTGTGATGTTTTGTAGAGGTAGTTTTGAAATTAACAGCTTCCTTTTATCTCAAGTTCGGTAGAGATTGGCAATTTCAGGGCTGAAATTATCCAAATGATTCTAGTGAAGGTGAATGGGAAGAAAACAGTGGAGGACTTACAAATCACAAGGTGGAACAGCGTGTTTTCTGTTTGAGAGAAGAAGTCAGGGTTTATGTGTTAAACATGTGAATGAAACAAAACACAACTCCATGTATTTTTTGATGAGGAAACAACAATTTACAATTATAACATACATCACAAAATAGTGGCTTTTGCTAGTGAACGTTGTATCTGTATTTAAACAGTTGTAGTCTCAGGTCTTTCTGGTGCTGATCTGTTGCTCTTGTGATCTGAATTATTGACAGTAAAGCCCTAAATGTAATAACTTTTAGTCAAAGAGGTCAAATATAGTATAAATGTAGATAAATGGACAAATCACCTGATTTTCGTTCATCTGCACAGAGCAGTAACGTCACGGTTTTGGCCAAGCTCCCAAGTTGTTTTTCCAACTTGTGCCTGCGTTCAAGAACCACATGAACGCAGCATAATAAGTTCTTTTTTTACACTTTAAAACAGAAAACTGGACATTTCTGCCAGTCGGAGAGCTTGTTTTGCTGTGATACATACTTTTTGCTTAAGATTATTACATTAGCCATTATCCCAAAATCAGGACTTTTTTCTCATTGTATTGCCTTTGTTTAGTTTGATCTTGTTAATTATTCATGACATACACGTAGAGGCCTGGATGTATCGGTGTTTTATTATGCCTCTAAGTGAATATTTGTCTGTTGTGTTCAGGCTGTGATCCAGAACCCGTTCAGTAATGGAGGCAGTCCTGCTGGGGAGACCGTGGGAGGCGAGACGCGTTTTGCTTATTTTCCTGCTGCTACAGTGAGCGATGGAACAGCCACAGCAGTGTCTGTACAGGCCACAGCGGAGCCCACCATCACACAAGCTGGAGGTAAGAAAGGACGGATAACTACAGCTGACAGACATATCTAAAATCATGTCCGTTTTACACTGTCTGTATATGTGTGGCTGCAAAAAAACGTGTACAACTGGTTAATTTTTTTGTGAAATGGCTTAACTGACGACTTGAGTAAGCACATGTGTCACCTGTTATTAGTTGACTGTGAATTTTGGAGAAATATTTACATGTGGTTGAGTGTAGATTGTATGCTTATTCAAATGTGAATTCAGAAGTAATAAATGGGTTGCCTTCACGTGACATTAGACACAAGCATAGACTGTAGGGATGTAACAATAACTGAAATATCGTGATATCGTATCGTCAGAGTTCCCTCAATAATATCATGGACCATCACAATATATCGAATTACAAGTGTCTTGGCTTAAATTAAGAGTTATGGTGCAGCAATAGCTAAAAAAAAAACAGAGGGAACTACATAGACCATGATCCTTTGCTCCATTTCACTGCAGACTACAAGAAGAAATAACACTTTTAAGCATTTTTAAGTCTTAGTTTTTTGGATTAAGTCTTGTCAAGACATTCTAAGAGGAAAAAGTAGCATATTCACAGTTTTAGCTGTTTAACCTCCACCTAATATCGCAATAAATATCGTACTGTGAAATGTATATTGTGAAAATATCGTACAGAGAGATTTGGATATTGTTACACCCCTAATTGTGTCCCACGATATCGCAATAAATATTGTACCGTAAGGTTCATGCCATGACGATATATCGTGAGACTTGGATATTGTTACACCCCTACTAGACTATATAAAGAAGTGGTGAAGCAATTGTGGCGTCACCCATAGTGTTCAACTCCAGTCATATGAATCTCATGAGGCTAGTGGTTACAGGAGTGAATTTTGAGCCAAGTTCCATATTAGGAGTACAATTTATTTACACAAAATAGTTAATGAAAACACCAGAATCATAAGACCAAAATGACGAGACTCACCGCAGAAGTTGCAGAGAGAGGGACGACAATTTATCAATGTCAAGTCAATTGGAAAGAGAGTCGATAGAGCCAGAAGTGCCCATGAACACTCCCTATTTGGAATATGTCGTCCAGCGGGTTTGCAGTGTCCATTTATTTATAGTCTATGATCTGAAATTATGACATTTTCAAATTCTAGAGCAAGTATTATTTATAATGAGCTTGAAAAGATGTCCATGATTCTAAACGCACTTGGGACTAAATTAGTACTTTCTCTTGTCTTTGTAACATAATTTCTAACTTTTCTTTCCTTTTTCTCATGCCCAGGTCAGTTTTATGTCATGATGAGTCCCCCTGAGGTGCTCCAGACAGCAGCTCAGCGCTCCATCGCCCCGCGCACACACACATACTCTGCGTAAGTACACAGCCTCTATTGTCTCACTACGGCCAACATGTCCAAGAGGTATTACTGAAAGCTAGAGAGACTGTGGGTTCTGTTGTCATGGCAATTGCGACGGCCATCTTGTGAGTGTAGGAAGAGTATATTCTAATAGAAATGTAAAAACAGAAAATGAATTGATTAAAGGGCCCATACTATGCTTTTTTCTCATCTACACTACCAGTGAAAAGTTTTAGAACACCACACTTTTTCCAGTTTTTTACAGATTACTGTTGACCAAAACATAAAACTAAACTTTTGATTCATGAAAGTGTCCACCTTTGGCAGATATAACAGCTGAACACACTGGTGGTTTGTTCTTTTTACAATACAAATCAAATATTCTTCAGAAAGTTCTTCCCAAGTCTGTTGCAGAAGTTCCCATAAATGTTTGGCACTTTTAGGCTCCATGTTTTCAAACTTACCATCTTGTTGTTGTTTTTTTTCCTGAGGTAGTTTTGGCAGAGCTTGGACTTGTGTTTTGTTATCTTTTATCTTTTTTTTTAACCTGTCTGTTCAGTTCTTACCTTTGCATCATTTCAAGCTCTTCATTGGACGTGCACGACTTGAATTGCAATAAATTACTGGAAAAATTAAGGTGTTCTAAATCTTTTGACCTGTAGTGTATGTTATAATTTGTTTCATTATCACAGACCTGGAGTTGTGTTTTGTTTCATTTCACTCACACATGTTCAACACACAAACCCTGCATATTTAGCCTGAGTTCCTTTTTTTTCCCCAAACAGAAAACACTCAGTTCCACCTTGTGATGTCATGTGGTAATAGAGGAAGTGCTCCACTGTGTTTTTAAACTGCATACACCTTCACTAGAATCATTTGGATAATTTCAGCCCTGGAATTGACTAAACTAAAGGTAAAAAGGAGCTGTCAACTTGGAAAACTACAGCTTCATGACATCACAAGGTAGAACAGAGCATTTTGAGCTTTGGACAGATTAATAATGTAGGATAACTCAAACAAAACACAACTCTAGGTATGTTTTTGATGAGGTAACAACATTTTAACCTGACTTAAAGCTCACAAGAGTCAATTTTGCGTCATATAGGAGCTTTTAAACCATTAATACATAATAATCGTATAATTGTGGTCCTAATTTTGCACAGTTTACCTGGCCATTTTTTGTCTGAATTATGAAAATGAATATTCACCCTAAACGCACTGGTCTATAGTTTATACAAAATGAAACTATGCTGTGTTGTGTGTGTCAATACACCATATTGACACAACCACTGATAATTATTCTGTTAACTTCCCTCCTGTTACTATAAAACAATGTATTATCTAAAAGGGCAAATATTTTTTCAAGGTTTGTTTGCTTTAGTTTGGGTCAGCATGAACGTTAGATAAAGTATTAAACAGAAAATATTATTAAAATGTGAACTATTTTACCTTAGCCAGCATCTCTCTAGCTTTTACTAATACCTCACTGTGTCCTTGCCATTCTTCATTTTTTTTCTCCCTTCATTGTCTTTGCCAATTAACCATAGCGAAACCACGCATTTTAACATACTATCTCTCCACTATTTCAGTATGAGTAGTTGTGTTCTGTGTAATTTAATCCTACTTAAAAACATTTGAAAACACACATTTGTCCCACTTACCTGCCGTTCTCAGAGATCTCACTGATGGCGACTTGTTGCAGACTGGCAGTTCAAACTGGTGAGAATAACTTTTGCATAAGCCCAACCTGACCCTGTCCTGTCCAGTGTTTAGCAATCAGCATTTTGTGGTTCATTGTTTCATTTTAGCATCCCCCAAACAAACAAATCCTCATAAGATTCATGCAAAATGTGAAATCTGTACTACATAGCTTTTCATCATAACATTTCCTCCAGGAGTTACAATCATAGTTAAAAATTAAAACGCTTTTGTCTTGTCTCGTCTAGGAAGGTAGATGGTCCCCGAGCTCCTAGAGACGAGAGGAGAAGAGCACAACATAATGAAGGTGAGTTTTTAAAGGTTTTATATTACACAAAACTGATTCTCATGAGTTTTAAGTCATGTTATAATGCGGTTACCTCCTCAAAAACAAAGCTGGAGTTGTGTTTTGTTTCATTCACACATTTTTGAGTAATTGTTTACATCTTCAAAGCTTAAAAATGCTCTGTTCTGCTTTGTGCTGACATGCTTTTCAATTTAACATTCACCTCTTACCTTTAGTTCAGTATAAATTGGCAATTTCAGGGCTGAAATAAAAAAAAAAAAAATTTAAAATCCTAAATATTCAGTTTGTTTGTTGTTTTGTAAATGAAATGAAACACAAGTCCAGGTCTGTTTTTAAGGAAATTGCGTTATACCACAGATCAGAAAATAGCGTCATATGGACCGTTTAAAGTAGACTTTTAATTTTAAAACTACTTATTTGAGCAAGTATTGATAAATTGAAGCATTTCTGAATATCTTTAAAACGGATTGGATATACTGTATGTAATATCAGCATGACATGATCCAATACTAGTTTTTAAAGTTAACCTCTTTGTCTCTTTGGAGTTGTTATTGCTTTGTCTGGAATTTTTCACAGTATAGCTTTAAATGTTTTTTGTTTTTAACTTATTGGTGTTTTTATTTCTCAGTACTACCTTGAAAATACACTTTTTCAGTCGCCTGGGCTCGCCTGTCCATAGATTTGACTCATAATGTCATCTGGTCATGTCACAACGGAGACAGACATTTAATGCTATACTATGCAACATTCCAGACCAAGCCCCAACCAAAAAGTTATATAGTTACATTATTCTGTGGTGAAAATGTGTGTCACTATTTTATATACAAACTATTTATAGGAAATAACTTGAGACATGTTGTAACTGGAATATTTGTTTTGTTTGTTTATAGTTGAAAGAAGAAGAAGAGATAAGATAAACAATTGGATCGTAACTCTGTCTAAAATTATCCCTGACTGCAGTGTGGACAGCAGAACAGGAGCGGTGAGTGTCTAAGTGAATATGGCCTTTGTTAGTTCCCTGAACAAATGCGTCTCTCAGATACGGAAGACATCTCTGGAAAATTCTCCGAACATGTATAACTTCTTTTACCAGAGATAAAAAGAAAAGAAAAAAATCTGCATTTCTCAGCTCTGTGTCAAAAACAAACGTGCTGCTTACATGTAAAATGGGAAAATTTACACTAACAGATTATGCGTCTTTCTGATTGGTTAATCCGCCTGTCAATCACATCTTCTGAAATCAGGGAGATTCCAAACGCTTGTTTTTGTAAAGTTTTGTCAAAGCGTGTGGTTCTGTTTGGCCAACATTGTTAGGGCTGTACACTTTTAGTTGTTTAGTCAGTTAATCGGTTGATGATGTCTTAGTCAACCAAAATTTCTAAGGTGACTAATGATTTTATTTAAATTATAAGGATTTATGTCACAGCAACAGAAAGGAGAAGTCAGTGAGTCAGCTGACGATTTAATAATATTGTTGTTATTAAAATGTGCAAATGATTCACAGTTGATTGTCTGGGGCACACTGTGTTTTTATGATATTTAACCATCTTCGTCTGTATTTCTTGGTTCAGAGTAAAGGCGGTATCTTGTCCAAAGCCTGTGACTACATCCGCGAGCTGCGTCAGAGCAACCAGAGACTCCAGGAGAGTTTTAAAGATGTGGAGCGGGTCGAGATGGACAATGAACTGCTTAGACAACAAGTCAGTAAAGTTTAAAGGTCCAATATAAAGTTTAAAGGTCCTATATTACACAGAATTTATGAAATTGTGAGCTTTAAGCCATGTTATAATGTTGTTACCTCATCAAAAACAGACCTGGACTTGTTTTGTTTCATTCACACATGTTTTAGTAACTTATAATGTCATGAAGCTGTAGTTTTTAAGTTAATAGGTACCTTTTACTTTTTGTTCAGTAGAGATGGCAATTCCAGGACTGAAATCATCCAAATGATTCTAGTGAAGATGTATGGAGCTTAAAAACACAGTGGAGCACTTCCTGTATTACTATTATTATGTACTACTATTACCTGTATTCATGACATGACAAGGTAGAACAGTGTTTTCTGTCTAAGAGAAAAACTCAGTACTCAGGATTTGTGTGTTAAACATGTGTGAATAAAACAAAAAAACAACTCCAGGTATGTTTTTGATGAGGACAGATTTTAACTGAGAAAGTATTTTAATCAGAAAGTAGAGTAATATGTGCTCTTTAATGATAAACAATGAGACAATCTGAAGAAATTTGACGTCAAAAAGGAAATTCAAAATGTTTATCAACATAAGCTTTTCAGATCATAGAATAACACAGAAAGCAGGGTCACTAAACAAAACACATATTCACATTTCTAGGTTTGCTTTAATACATTTTCTCTCATTACAAATTATTAATTTGTATAGCACTTTTCAAAGAGACGGGTAAAGACAATTTTACTATTAAAGAAACAGAAAAAAAATTATAATAAATAAATTATTGTTCACATTAAATAATGCAACGTGAACCATGTTTGAGTGTAAAAAAATATATAAATCCAATGCATTATAAATTGAATGCAAAAAAATGTATACTACATACACATTTTGTTGGAGTTGGTGACATCTAGTGTTGAAAGTGCAAATTACGACACCATAATTTTGTACAAGCTGCTATGGTGGTTTATGTTATCTCCTCTGTTTGTGTACAAGACATGTTAGTGCCAGATGAACCACCTGCACTCTGAGGACCCCAGGGACCGGCCTCCTGCTGGTGCCAAGAGTCAGGCAGGGGCTCAAACCGGGACTCAAACCGGGGCTTAAACCGGGGCTAAACTAGGGGAGTCACTGTTTCAGTTTTATGCAGCTAAAACCTGAAAATGTGAGACAGGCCTCTACTTTGACTATGTTTAAATCCAGGCTAAAAACAGTTTTATTTAGCAGTGCATATGACTGAAAGTTTTTTTTATTCCACAATCTACTCTTTTAATGTTAATTTTATGAGGATTATTTATATTTTATCTGTTTGTATTGTGACTTTAATGTCATACTTATTCTGTAAATCAGTAATTACTTTGTGTGCAAATTGTGCTATACAAATAAACCTGCCTTGCCTTTGAAACAACTTAAACAAAACAAATACAACATTTAATCATAAAACGTTTCCTCTTGTTTGCCAGATTGAAGAACTGAAGAATGATAATGCACTACTGCGAGCACAACTCCAGCAGCACGGTATAGAAGTCAATGGAGATGCAACACCCCAATGATGTTGAACTGGACTCTTCTAATAACATCACTAATGTTGCTATTTCCTTCAACCCACCACCACCACCACCTTCACCACCACCAATAACCCGGAAACCAATCTTGGAAGACAATTTTGCATAAACCTTTGGACCATACAAGACAATACAAGGCACGAGACACTGACAAACTGCTCTTGAACTGCACCTCCTTTTCACCGAGATGTCCCAAGCCTCAACGAAATCCACACCATGTTTTTCGAAATGACCTATGCTTGCACCAAACCTTTCTGTTAATTACGAGTTCAGTTCTGCCATAGACATTTTACTTTTAAGGTCCTATATTACGCTACATGGACTCTTGTGAGCTTTAAGCCATGTTAGAATGATGTTACTTCCTTAAAAACTGACCCAGAGTTGTGTTTTGTTTCATTCACACATGTTTGAGTAAACCTTTATTATTAGTTTGTCTACTTCTCGAAAACTCAATATGCTTTGTTCCACCTTGTGATGTCATGAAGCAAGCAGTAGTTTGCAATTTAACAGCTGCCTTTTTTTTTTTTTGTTCAGTAGAGATCGGCAATTCCAGCTTTTGAAATCATCCAAATGTTTCTACTGAAGGTGTATGCAGTTTAAAAACACAGTGGAGCACTTTCTGTATCACCACATGACATCACAAAGTGGAACAGAGTGTTTTCAGTTTGAGAGAAGAGCTCAGCCTAAATACGCAGGGTTTGTGTGTGTGTTAAACATGTGTGAATGAAACAAAACACAACGCCAGGTCTGTTTTTGACGAGGAAACAACATAACATAGATCAGAAAATAGTGTAATATGGGAACTTTAACGGGATTTTCCAGCACTTTGTTTAAAAAAAAAAGTCAGATAATGCATTTTTAGTTTTTATTATTTGCCCTCTACAAGTGCCTCTGTGGCAGTATGATTACAAGTAGAGAATATCTTTTTTATTAATAATTTCTAACTATTTTAAGAAACAGATTTCACCTACAAACTGCTGGACTATCCTCATTTCAGAACCTTTTGTTGTCATTTGACGTGTTGAAACTACTAAATGTGTTTTGCTTTGTCATTTTAATTTATTTAGTCTGTTTAGGCACCAACCAATGCTGTTTTTTGTGTTGTCATCTCCCTTTAGCTATTAAGAATGTCACTGATAACTCTTATATTTAGACATTGTTTTCAAAAGCGGCCATACCCTACAATGGTTTATGTAAATGTAGGTTTGATAGCACAGAAAGGAGGTGATCTTATACGAAGGCCTTATTTTAAAGCCTTTTGGAGACTAACGTAGCTCAGGTATCCGGGATAGTGCTCTGGCAAGTAGTTCCCATTTTCAAGAAATCTTATACTGAGAGATTGTTGACTTCTCATAACATGAATTTTGATCTGTAAATTGTGTTAAACGGGCATTAAATCAATTGTTTGTATATTTGAAGAGGTTGCTGGTTTAATGCACTGACGATGATACTGAAAAAAATTATGTTTTTTGCTAACTTTTTATAATAACTACACCTTAATTAGTTTGAATTTGTTTAAGAATAATTAAGGCTTAGTAACTACTTAAAGGTGCACTGTGTAGATTTCCGGGTGGAGGATCTGTTACCATGGAGATGTTGTTGCTACGGGGTTATCTGTTTCCATGGAGACAAGTGACGTAACAATTCACGGGTCTGATCTATGGAGAGATGAGCCCGCTTAATGCCATATTGCGGTACGTTCCAGGGAAAGCAATCTCCATGGACACAAACATGGTGCTGGACTCGTACCAGAAAAGTTACATAGTGCAGCTTTAACCTAACTCCTTAACTAAGTGGTTACTAAGCCTGAATCATTCGTAATTAACTCGTCTTTATAGAGGCCGTCAATAGTGGAGTTATTATAAAATGTTACCAGGTTTGTTTTAAATATTTTTTGTTTTTTAATTAGCCCTGAAAAAAACAAAAATAACTGGGAACTTTTGCTGGACAGAGGATTGTATTAATACTCGCCTGGTCAGTGAGGAGTGTGCTGAGATGAGATGGGGTGAAGCGGTATTAAGACTAACCGACTTTTGTCTAGACTGAAGTCACCACCGCATGGAGCAAAAACCACTGGCATGTCTGATTCTGATACAATAAACAAGTCTTTATAAAAACGTCTGGGAGATTTACACTTTTGCATTTTCAAAACAAATATGAAGTGAAACAAACACAGGGCAAAGATTAAAAATGATTGTTAGTGCCATTTTGGTAACTGCAGAAGTTTAAAAAAAAAAGTCAAACATTTAAAGGTCCTATATTAAGCAAAATTGACTTGTAGGCTTTAATGCATGTTTTAAGGCAAGTTTATCTGTACACATTTCGTACACCAAGTAATTCAAAGTGCTTTATAGAATAAGAAATACAAACAAATCAAAACATAAATAATCATAAAATTAAAAAGAGAGAGACACTGAATAAGAGAGAGGAGAGCAGAATGAAAACCTTTCCGTCATGTGCAGCTAAACAGAACAGTTTTGAGGCTGGATTTAAACAGAGTTAAAGTAGAGGCCTGTTGCACATCTTCAGGAAGACTGTTTTAGGTTTTAGCTGCATGAATCTGAAACTCTTACTCCCCGTGTTTAGTCCTGACTCTGGGCACCAGCAGGAGGCCGGTCCCTGAGGTCCTCATAGTGCAGATGGTTCATACGGCTCCAATACTTACATGGTGGCAGTAGCTCAGTTAGTAGAGCGTTCGTCCACTGATTTGAAAGTTGGTCGTTCAAATCCTGCTCTTAACATAAACATCACTGGTTGTTTGACTCACAGGTTGGTGGTGTGATTCCAGCTCCCACAGATGAATGCAAGACACTTAACCCACCTTGTCTGCGTACACTGGTGTGTAAATGTGTGTGAATGTGTGTAAATGGGTGTGTGAATTGTTGTAAAGTGCTCTGAGTGCCTTAAAGGTGGAAAAGCATTATAGGAAAATGTGACCATTTACCAACATGTCACAGATGTACTCTGATGCTTGGCCAAGGGAGAGACTTGTACACAAGCAGAGCTGCTTTAAAGTCTCTGAGCCACAGGAGCCAGTGCAGAGACCTGAGCACAGGACTTAAGTGCTCGTACTTTCTGGTTCAAGTCAGGACTCAAGCTGCAGCATTCTTGATGTACTGCAACGTCTCACAGTGAGCAGGCCATTACAGTAGTTTAAAGTACTGGAGACAAATGCATGGATAAGTCTCTTCAAGTCTGCTTTAGACAGATTTTAGACCTTTGATTTTTGCTGTTGCTGCTGTTGCAGATGTTATTGATTTGATGAGGCTGTTAAAGTTCAAGTCTGAGTCCATTATTACCCCTAGATTTCTTGCCTGATTTGAAGGTTTTAGAGAGAGAGACTGGAGGTGACTGCTGACACTGTCTCTTTGTATCTGTGGACCAAAGACCAAAACTTGTGTCTTGTCTGAGTTTAGCTGGAGAAAGTTGTTTTGCATCCACATACTGATCTGTTGGATTCAGTTTCAGAGTGAGTCCACTGGTCCATAGTCTCCTGCTGCAGCGAGACATAGATTATAATGTAGTTATGGCCTCAAAAACATACCTGGAGTTAGTGTTTCATTTACACTTTTCATTTTAAATTGTTTCCATTTGATTAACCCTGTATTATTAGTCTGTTTACATCTCCAAAGATCAAATGCTCTGTTCTACCTCATGTTTGCCTAGAATGTTCCAGTGTATGGCATTAAAGGTCTATCTCGAGACAAGCAGGTGACCATCAGAACAAGTTAATGATTATAACTCAGCTAACCTACTAACTTAAAAGTTTTTAACAATAAAAAACATGTAATTTCTTTAATAAATGCAAGATAGGAAAGATTAATACCATATTGTGTAACATTCCAGATATAGAAATAACATCTCCACTATAAAAGTTACACAGTGTAGCTTTAAATGTGTGCAAATAAAAATCACAAGAGTCTTTTTACATATGAATACGCCACATAGAAAAAGTTCTTAAGTTAAAACCGAACATTCGTGTTGTAAATTATTTAGCGGTGGGAGTTACTGAACTTTGTTTCAGTGGGTTGCCTGGAGACCGTTGCCATTGGAGACCAACACCACTCCAGTCTGTCTGAGGTCCCCGGCAGCAAACGGTGAGTCGAATTTTGGTTTTTATTGAGTTTTTGAGTGAACAATTAACATTTTCTACTATATATATTTATGTTATTATGTCGATCTACAGAGCCTCTTGCTTTTTTATTGATTTGGATATTAAACAAACTAAAACAAATTTATTTATTTGCTGTGTAAGACAACAAAACACAGCCTTTGTCCTGTATTTGTGATCATGATTATTCTGGAACTATTTATGACAAAGGGTTAAAGTGCATGGTGTAACTTTTCTGGTGAAGGGCCGGGTCCGTCACTTGCTTGTTTCTGTGGAGATGTCTTTGCTCTGCCTGGAATGTTCCGCAGTATGATATTAAAGAGCTCTACTTAACATTTATTCAATTACAGGTGGTTTTATAGCTCAAAAATTCTAAAAAAAAACATGAACAGCATTCTGACTGTGAGCGGGGATCGCCTCTTTACAGATCTGACCTGTAACTTGGTCTGATTTGCTCTCTGTGAAGAGAAAACTGTTTGTCATACTGTGAAACATCACAGGCAAAATAACATCACCATGGAGAAAACCATCTACGACTACGACGACATGTCTAATACAATGCAGTAAAACAGAGGGAACTACAGAGAAAATGATCCTTTCATTTCAACGCAGACTACATGACAAAATATCAATTGTTAAGCATACTTAAATCTTAATTCTTTCTGTTCTGACCATAATGATTCACACTCTTGTCAAGACATTCAAAAAGGAATAAATAGCATTTCTATTCTAACTTCTATTCTAACTCTTATATAAATACTTGTTCCCACCTCTGATATATACATACTGGTACACTAAGAATTATTTTTTGCAGCACAGTATTTTGCTTTTTATTTCTTTTTTAACTGCACTTTTAAATGCATGTGCATTTGGAAAAAGTTTTTGTTCTATTTTCATGTTGTTCCATAATTTGACACCACATTCAGAGATACTGTTGCTATATAATGTTTTACGGTAATTAACTTTATTACCTTAATTCATTTTCATGATTATTGATGTAAACTGTTTGAGACAACTAAAGTTATTCACAGACTGAGGTGTCAGTGTCAGTCAAAATTCAGTGTCTTTAGCATGACAGCAGCCTCCAGGGGGCGACAGGTGAATACAACAGGAAAGGCTTCACTCTTACTCAGCTCTGGTGTTTTGAGCCATTCCCTTTAAGTATTTCTTCTGGAAGGTCTTCTGCCACATTTGTTGCCACATATAGTGTAAGAAGCCTGTAGCACCTCAAATGTCCATAGGTTAATTTGCATACATTTATGTTTTTTTATTCTTATCTTCCTATGTACAAAGTATATTTTATTCATTTTATGTTTTATACATCGCAAAAACACTCTGAGGTACATATTTGTAGCCTATATTTATTTTCAGTTTGAAAGTTCTGCAAATTATCAAAGTGTTTTGGTTTTTGTTTTTTGCGAGAGAAATGCTGAATAAATGCATCGTGTAACTAAAAAAATAATCATTTGAATAATTGTGACTTCAACATTGATCAAAATAATCGTAATAATGCTTTTTTCCATAATCGAGCAGCCCTACCTGGAGTTAGTGTTTGGTTTCATCCACACTTTTTTAGAGTAACCCTCCAAAAACTTCAAATGTCCCATTTTCTAGTCTTGTAGTCTTGTAGAGTCATCAGTACTAAAAAAAAAAAAAACTAAAAAAACTGTTCATTTCACACAATCTAATAGTCCCTTGTGTTTATTCCCACAAAGTATTTCCTCTGGAAGGTCCTCTGCGACATTTGCTGCCACACAGGTTGTAAGAAGCTTGCAGTATCTCAAATGTTAATAGGGGAAGCTCATAATATTTGTTTTATTCAAGCTGCCTTCACTTACATTACAGTAATATACCTGTAATATAATCCATGTGACAAATGTGAAGAAAAAAAGTGATGCATTAAAGGAAATGTTCTTTAAAATGACACTGTCATAGGTTAAGTTTAATGTTTAAAACTCAGTTGGAGGACAGGTCAGAATTCTGTGGTATATTTGCTGTGGTATATTTCTGTGGAATATTTGTTGTTAAACTGTCATATTGCAGATTTGTTGACATGGTTTATGGTTAATATCTCCTTCAATTACAACTGGCACAAAGTTCAACATCTTTTCTGTCAACAGAGATTAACTCACAACAGAAAGTGGTGCCATTATTCAACCCCCAAAGACATCACTGTGGTCATGTTGAAAGGACTTTTTAAGAAATAAGATTAATTTGATTTGTGTAGCCAAACAAGTAATGATAAGATTTAACATTTGATATTAAAAACAGTAAATCTCCCATAGAGTTACAGAGGCCCCTGCCTATACCTGAAACTATGACTTCATCAGATTATAGAACCAGGAAATATCCATAAATGTTGAACCTTATCAGGGATGGGCTGCACAAACATCGTATCAATTTTATTATGACTTAAACGTTTGTTGATTTAAACTGACAGAGAAGATGCTGAACTTTGAGTTTGTTTTTAGTTTGGATAAGTCCAGTAAATACAGAGCCAACCATAAACCGTAAACCAGGTCAATAAATTTGCAATCTGTTAAACAACTAATTTCACCACAAACTGACGTGTTAAACTATTAAACTACTAAACAGTGTTGTGATTAGACCTGTCACAATAACACAATTTGAACCATGATATTTCTCTACTGTCTCTGATATTGCAATAAATTATATAATAATAGTAATATTTGTGATACTGAAACAATTTTATGTTCTGCCACTGACACAATAACAATAAATCAGAAAAAAAAAAAACGTTACCTGCTTCTCTCCATGGAGATATTGCCTGAAATGTTCCACAGTTTTGGCATTACACTTATTTATCTCTATGGAGACAGCAGGCAACACCACTGGGCCAAGTTACATGTTTGATCTGTGAAGAGGCGAGACCACTCAAGGTAAGAACGCAAAAATCCATGTTATTGAGTAAAAAAGTAACTAAGTAAGTAAGTAAGTAAGTAATAAGTGAGCAAATAAATAAGTAAGTAAATAAATAAGTAAGTAAGTAAGTAAGTAAGTAAGTAAGTAAGTAAGTAAGTAAGTAAGTAAGTAAATAAGTAAGTAAGTAAATAAGTAATTAAGTAATAAGTAAGTAAGTGAGTAAGTAAGTAATAATCAAGTAAGTAAATAAGTAAGTAAGTAAGTTTTATTTATTTATTTATTTACCAGTTTCACAGACATATGTCACAAATAAGCCTTACAGATCATTATTCATTCACCCCATGCCCGGTGTAAATGCATGATAGATATGTTTAATACAATACATCACCATGGAGACAAGCAGGTGGCCGACCGTCCACCAAAAAAGTTGCACAGTGGACCTTTAAATAGACAGTATCATTAAAAACATGAGATGCAATGAATAAGTAACAGTATGAACCAATAATTAGGCATAGATGTTATTTATTTAAATGTACCTCAAATCTTACTAATCTTGGCCAAAATGTCATCATAAATATAGTGTACAAAAGTATATTGTTCCAGCTGTTATATATTGAGGTCGATATAGTAATTATCGAGACAGGCCTAGTTGTGATGTCCTGTGAACTCTTCTTGTGTTGTGTCAGTGTAAGGAGCAGATGGAGCAGGCTCTGGCCTCCACCGTGGTCCCTCTAGAGGTGGGGTCTGAGTGTCTGACCCTGAGGGAGGGGAGGAGTGGGTACGAGCTCGTCCTGGACCCTGCAGACCAAGAGCTGAAGACTGAGGTCGCTTTGATCCAAAGAGTACAGCAGACTCTACAGCAGCTCATAGACAAGGCCTTCGAGCATCTGTGGTAACTACAGGATCACTGTACTGTCATTCCCTGGGGGTGTGATGCTAACTGGAGGCTTGACTCTGTCTGAAGCTCTTTTACTCAAATTAGACTTTAATCTGATATTTGTTTTTACACAATCTGATCTAAAAGAACTGACTTTTAGAATTACAACAGGTGCTGTTGAAAACGAAACACCTAAACAGGACGATGAATGCTCGTATTGATCATAGGCTCCTGAAAATGTTGTTTAAAGTCAGTTTGTATGCAAAGTATGAATTCCTGTGTATATATTTTATTAATATGTATTATTTACTTGGACTGACTGTGATGTACCACCTTTGTACAATGGACTGACATCAGCATAATTGATTTACCACCTTGTAATTGGCCGATCTTGCTAAGCAGGACATGGTTAGTATTTTTATGGGACACCACTGGGAATGTACCAGGTGGGGCTCTAGTGCAAATTACGTTTGTATCTTTTGGCAAGACACTTCACTCACTTTGCCCAGTATGAATGTGATGTGTGAGTAATATGCAATATAAGCAGGTTGACAGCATTACTTCTGTCAGTCTATTCCAGGGCAGCTGCATGTACAGCAACTTTGAGTGTTAAGTGTTAAAATAATGTATTTTTATTTTAATCAGGCTCTTTTTTTCAGTGTTTTACAAGAGAACCGTCAGCATCTCACAGCGGACCTCCAAAACAAGATAGACGCTCTGGACATTGACACGACCTGTCTGTCTCTGACCAGAAAGTCCAACCAAATATCACTGAAGCCCAACCCCACCAGGATCCCCTCAGGGTACAGACACAATCAGATTCCAGTCTGACTGTACTTTGGTTTTCATTTAGTTTATTCTCTAAGATTGTAGATAATAAGTAATATTTTGGAGGTATTCTGTTAGGTCCTGTACCCCTCAGGAGTGGCTGCAGTTCAGTCAGTACAATGTGGCCCGAGCAGAGGAGGCCATGCACCTGTCCCAGCAGATGAGGGAGGAAATGAAACTCACACGAGCACAGGTACAAGTCAGACATGGGTGCAAAGTCTTTACACAGTGGACAAATAAAGATGTTTTTAAAGGTGCACTGTGTAACTTTTCTGGTGGGAGAGACACCACTTGCTTTTCTACATGGGAATATTACGGTTTTGGCCTCCAATAGAAAAAAAATAGTGCACCTTCAAGTTACTTGTTGGCTTGTTTTTTTGTAATCATGGTATCACTGTAAAGTTATATAATAGTGTTAAGGTCTTAAGGTCTTAGCAGTATTTTAAATTACGTAAAATTTTACGTTTTATTTATTTGTTTTTTTCATGTGAAATCAGTGTTGTTTAATCTTTACTTAGCTTCAGAATGAGTTGGATAAACAACGCAGTGCCACTGAGTTTGCCCTCAGAAAACGCACCCATCAGGAGGAGCAGGCCCAGGATGAGCTTGAGTGGCAAATCAGAAATGTGAGTACTATATACTTAGTGTATACATCTATAAGATAATTAGAAGAGAATGGCCCTTACCCCAATGGACAAATAAAAACCAGCCAGAAATATCATGAAACAAGTTATAAGGTGCAGTATTTAACCCCTCTAGATACTTGTCTCCTGAGATGTCATTGTGCAATATTTCACAGTATGGCATCTATCTCTTTGGATATTATTGTACTTTGTAGTTTGTAATGTATTATTTTTGGTCTTTGCTTTCTTCGAAGTTCCACCTTTCCTTAATTAACCCATCTCATTGTTTAAGCTTTTTATGGGTTCTTGTTATCTAATATGAACCAGTACTTTGACCATTTTTACAAACTTATTATCATATATTTTTTTGTCAGACAGAGAATGAGATGTCCGATATGGAGGGTGACATAAAGGGGCTGGACGCAGATTTACAGGCGAAGAGAGCGTCCCTGAAACTGGCCCACACCCGACTGGAGAACAGGACCCAGAGACCCGGGATGGACCTGTGCAGAGACGAGGTCTTTAAATACACTTTAATACACTTCACCACTTTTAGAGAGATTAGACCTTTTACAGGACGCCTATAAGTGAAGTAGTAAAAGCCAGAGTAAGAACCTTAAACTTTCTACTTCTTTCTTCTCTCTTTCCTCAGGTCCAGCATGGACTCGTTTATGAAGTACATCAGCTCGAATCTACAATCATGTCTCTCAAACAGAAGCTCGCAGAAGCACAGTGAGTACATGTTTCTCTACAAATAAAAACTGTATTAACTGGGAAAAACAAATCCTTATCTCTTACTAAATATTATTTCATTAAAAAACAATTTGCAACCTATTTAACTGCTAATTTATTATAAAAGTGAACAGTACTAGGGTGCAAGTTAGTTGACTTGTAAAACAGAATATGTCCCTAATATACAGTATATTGTGCCTCCAATAAAGGTGCACCATGTAACGTTTCTGATAGGGTTTCACCACCAAGTTATTGATTTGCCTGGGATGCTCCATATTAGATATATTTATTTTGCATTGATTAAACCTGGGAAAAATATGTATTCTTACTATGAGGGGGTCATCTCTCCACAGATATGACTCTTAACTGTATATTATACATTTACATTGAAAAAAAATGTTATGGTTAATGTATATTGTGCACTGTTCCTGTCTCATAAATAAACTAAAAAAAACATTCAGGATAAAGCAATACTATCTAAAAGAGTAAAAGTAGGTGGCGCACACTTCTCCAAAAGTTCCACAGTGCACCTTTAAACACTACTGTCCTTCAAATTGCTGTGATCATGTTTATTATTGTCGTAGAAACTCTCTGCAGAGGTGTAAGCTGCACCACAGTCGGATGTTGCAGGATCTGTCCCGTAAACAGCAGGCCCTGTCTCTGGAGCAGCGCAGCCTAAACACCAGGACCCGCCTCCTCCCCCCCGTCCATGGCTCCGACAGACCCCCTGCGCCCTCTACACCCCTCGATCTCCTCACGAGCACAGACAGACCCCCCGTGCCCCTCCTGAGCACAGACAAACCCCCTGTGCCCCTCGTGCCCCTCACCAACTCCAGCGGGAGGAGCAACCTGCAGCTGCTGGCTCAGTAGGACCACTGCACCAGTGAGTTTAGAATCAACACCCAGGGGTTCCTGAAAGATGAAACAGTCACTATAGTGGCAACTGACAATTTAAAACAAAGTATGTATTATGTTTTTGGAATGGTAAGTCCTCAAAATGTTGCACATAACAGAAACCTATAAATTATGACAAACTATCCCTTCTCAGACAGGCACGTTATTGGTTATATGTAGACAGACTAACAATGAATTACTCAAATGTGTCAATGAAACAAAACATAACTCCAGGTTTGATTTTTATGAAGTAACATTTTAACATTTTGAAGTAACTAAAAGCTCACAAGAGTCAATTTTGCATAATAAAGGACCTTCAATGAATAAAGATCAAGTACAAGAGTTGGTTTTCCATTGACATCATTTTCATAAGAAATTAAGAAGAAAAAGAAGAAATACTTTCTGAAATACCTATCTCTACATTTGGTGATCATCATGTTTCTGTATTTGCACTGTTTTTGTGTTTTGTTGTGTGGTCAGATGTTGTCGGTCTTTAAATGTGTTGTCTACATTTTACTTTGTTTTTACTCCTCCTCCATCCATCTCTCTCTCTCTCTCCATTATCTTTAATGGCAGTGTTTGTGTGTGTGATACTGTTTGATCAGGGGATGTGAGCGTGGTAATGAGCTGCACTTCGGGTCAGGCAGAAGATCAGGTTTAACAGAAAAGTGTGTGCTGTTTTTTTTTTTGCAATAAAAGTCTGTTTTGCACTTCAAATATTGTCTTATGTTTTGGTGTGTACAATTTTATTTATTTATGTTTAGGAAAGCCTTTAGGAACAGTTTCAGTTTGGTCAAAAACATGAGCTGTTAGGTTTGAACAATTTGAACAGTAAAATGTTCAGAATTTGTGCTTTGGTGAGTGTAAATATAAAGAATTTCGGTGTTTGATTTTCGACAAAAAGGTGAAGTGTGAGAAACACTTGTTTAAGAGCACAAATTATCTCAGTAGTTGTAGTTCCAACCAGGTCAGATTGTGTTAGAAAAAAGATCAGATTAAAGTTTAACTTGAGTAGTGCCTTCAGTTATCGTCACACCCCCAGGGCCTGTTGTTGATATCAGCTCTAAAGTATCAACTGGACCAAAAATAATAATGTCAGCCACAGGATGTTGTCATAGCAACAGTAGCGTGATTAAAGATGCTCTGGTTTTCTGGTGGAGCCGGGGGGCCATCTCCTTTTATCTCATGAAAATTTTATTGGTTTGCCTGGAATGTTCCACACTATGGTATAAATTTATCTTCCAAATCCCCGGTGTTCTTATTGACATAAAAATGTGGTTTTGTAGGGTCAGAATCTTCACAGATAAAAGAAGATTCCAGATCCTACACCAATAAAACTTACATCGTGTCCCTTTAACTCTTCTTGCTTACTTGTTTACTTAAATCACTTTTTCAAACACACTTGTTTTTTTGGGGTTTTAACTAGTTTTGAGGCATTTTACTGTTCAATAATTGTTGTATATATCTTTTTATTGTATCACACATGTAAAGATTTGGTCGACCTTGAATGGGGTGGGGGTGGGGGGTGGGTTGCAGGGCTGGCATCACTTCCAGTCTTCTTCTGGATAGGATTTAAAAATGTCATGGCGGGGAGGGGAAGACAGACTAGCTCGTAGCTTGAAGGGGAAAAAAGGTATTTGTGCTTTATATGTTATATGATTTATTATTATCACGGATGTAACTGTAACCACTCTATATGTTTTTAGCTTTTACGGTGACTTATATGTGTGGAAAATAAATACATGGAATGTACGAGCAATTATTCAGCTAAGGCCACTACAATACATATGTTTTTATCTTTGTGTACAGCACTTTGGTCAGCTTTGTTGTTTTTAATGCTGCTTTATAAATAAACTGGATTTGGATTAAGACATTAAAGGGCCGTGTGATGTTTCCTCATCAAACACATACCTGGAGTAGTGTTTGTTTCACTCAAACACGTGTGTGGAGGAATGTTATGTGGTAATACAGGAAGTGCTCCACTCTGTTTTTCCATACACCTTCACTCGAATCATTTGGATAATTTCAGCCCTGGAATTGCCAATCTCTGTTGAACAAAAGGTAAAGAGATGAGATGTAGGCAGACTAACAATAAACATGTGTGAATGAAGCAAAACACAACTCTGGGTCTATTTTTGATGAGAAAATATTATAACAGGGGTCCCCAACTTGTCGCTCGGGAGCTACCAGCAGCTGTTCACCCTCTTTCAAGTAGCTCACCAAAGGTTTTATGTATTATACATATTGCTGAATAACTCAAATTTGATTGATTAAATGCCTAGTTCCTTCATAAATTTATAATTTTGATGCCTAATTTTGTGCACTGATAACTGGATAATGGGTTACTGTACTTCATCTTTGGCTTACCATGGCTCTTATACAAAATATCTGATGACTGCTAAAATTAGTAGCTCTCTGGCATTTTCAGTTTACAAAAAGTAGCTCACAGGAGGAAGAACGTTGGAGATCCCTGCATTTTAACCCTCTCAGGCTCAAATTACATTTTAGTAAGAGGAAAAAATCTGATATTTGGGGAAAATTATCATATGGGGTAATAATATACAATCCTGACTTCTTTTTTTGAGAGAGACCTTCACATCCAATGTGTTCTGGGATGTTTCAGATTTGCAGCATTGGTCCGGTGTGGTAAATTAATACTGAAAACTGAAAATGATATGAATGCTAACTTTATGTGTATACCACTTTTCATAACAATGAAAACATAAAGCACAGTGTAACAGCTTTACAGTGGCAGAACAACATTAGAAACAATTTTTATCCTTTGTAAACAACAAAAGTACTTTGCACTTCTGGCAGGTCATTTGTGTGTAACCATTCTTGCACAGTCTGCATCGTCCATGTTTATCAGCATGGATGGGAAAAAAGGCTCCTGAGTAAAAAAAAGCTTATAAAATATGAATTTGGAGTAAGTAGGTAATTGGTATTTTGCTGTTGCAAATCTGCAACGTCTGCCTGGAGAGGGTTAACATGATCTAAAGATCGCAAGAGTCAATTTTACAACATATAGCTCCTTTAAGGCTGAACAATCCTAAATCTGTCTTATTTTTTTTACTGATTTCATTGACACTAAAACAAATAATATAAACAGCCACACATCAAAGTTTTATTTTTTTTATTTTGTGCAAATGCCATCACTGCTCTTTATTCCGTGCTCGTCTTCAACAGTAGCTTTGTGATGTCTAAATAAAACATCACCATTGATTTTCACTTGTGCTAATAAACAAATCCAATAACACTGAATCCTGGGTAAACACAGCCAAAGCCGATGTGAGCGCCGGTCGATTCCTGTTTCTCCGAACAACATTTCTCCGTAAATTGTTTCCATGGCGATGTTTTGCTCTATTTTTCTGAAAGCCATAACCCACACACCTGCTCTGTCCTTTTTTTTCTATGCCATTACGTTGCGAGAAGTGTCTTAATGTCACCAACAAATCACGGAAAGCCAATCCTCTTTTTCTCTCTCATGAAGTTTTTATAGTTTTACGACGCTGTTTCTCATGTTTGGTCAGTGGTCGACGTTTGAAAGCCTCGCGAAATTATTCTGAATCATTTCACTTAAGAGCCCACATGCTACCTGTCTGGTTCGTGTGGGATGAGGGTAATTACGCGTCTCGGTGCCAGTTAAAAGACCTCTATTTCTGCATGATCGCGCCCCTTATCTACGCTCGGATGTTGTATGGACGTGCCCCCAACATGCCCACTTTTGGACAACGCCTCCTTTTTTTATGGACGGCATTCATTCACGAGAATCGGGCACTGGATGCAATGAATGAACGCAAGAAGAGGATTTGAAGATTGCCCTAGAAGTCCTGTAAAATCTGGAATATCAGGATATTGTTGGCGGCTAAACTCAAATTTGGATTAACCCACACATAAAAAAAAAAAAAAAAAAAAAAAAAGAAAAACCAGTTGGGATATTGTCAACAATCTCTACAAATCAAATTCTAGGTTCATTGGAAGATCAGAAAACTCTATTTTTGGTAACAGGAAGCTTTTATAGGACCATAGATGGAAGATTAGTTATTTTTTGGAGAACTTTAAACTGGACTTTGAGGTAACTGCAACTGAACTTTTAAGAAACTGCAACAAACTTTTTGAAATATGGACCACAACAAAAAAAATCACATCTTTATTTTACATTTTTGGAATTTTATACGACTATAGATGAAAGATTAACTGGACATTGAGGTAATAACAACTGAACATTTTACGACACTAAGAAACTTTTTGAAATTTGGACGACAAGAAAAATCATTCTAATATTTATCAGATTTTGTTATACATTTTTAAAAGTCTATGGAAGTTTAATTATTTTTGGAGATCTTTCAACTGGACTTTGAGGAAATTTCAATCGAACATTTTACAAAATTGCAAGAAACTTTTTGAAATTCGGACCACAATAAAAATCATTCTAATATTCACCAGATTTTGTTATACATTTCTTGAATTTTATAGGACAACAGATGGAAGACCAAGAATTATTTTTGGAGAACTTTCAACTGGACTTTGAGGAAATTTCAATAGAATATTTTACGAAAGTGTAAGAAACTTTTTTAAATTCGGACCACATGAAAAATTATTCCAATATTTACTGGATTTTGTTATACATTTTTTGAGTCTTAACAATTGTTTTTGGAGAACTTTCTACTGGACCACAATTGAACATTTTATGAAACTGTAAGGAAGTTTTTGAAAGTTTGAAGAAGAAAAAATTTCCAATATTTAACACAGTTTATTTTAGATTTTTTACTTCATCTTTATGAGTTCGGTTCAACCAGCTGTTTGAACTTCTTAAAACCGTTTCCACCATTTCCTTTCAAAATCATTCAAAACACGTCTACAAACTTCAATCAAGACACTAATGGCAGTTTTTGTTCTTTCAAAATTCTCCCCAAATTCAATTTTGAAGATGTCCGATTTTGTCAAAGACTTCATGGCCGTCATCATCTACTCCATCACCTTCCTTCTGGGCCTCCCTTCGAACATTCTAGTTTTTTTTGTTTATGTTAGAAAAGCTCGCAAACACGGTGCCACACCCAACGTCGTCTACGCACTAAACCTGTGCGTTGCAAACCTGGTTCTTGTCGCCTGGTTGCCCGTCAAAGCTTTTGAAACTTTACTCAACAACTGGAAACTACCAGATCTTGTTTGCCCGATTTTTAACTTTTTCTTGTTTTCATCCGTGTATGGAAGCTGTCTCTTCATTACCGCCGTCACTGTTGGACGTTATCTTAGCATAGCGTTTCCAATTATTTACAAACTGTACCGGCGTGCGACGATTTCCTGCTTTATTAGCGCCGCTTTGTGGGCTGTGGTTTGGATTCATTTAAGTATCGGACTTGTGGCCGAAGGTGGCGCAAACTTTATTTCCGTTGAAAATGACATTGTGGCTTGCTATGATTCTTTCAACGTCACGCAACTGAAAGTGCTGCTACCGCTAAGACTCGAAATGGCGATTGTTTTGTTCATAGTTCCATTAATTCTAACATCTTTTTGCACTTTGCGTTGCGTAGTTCTAGTTTGGCGTTCAAATCTTCGTCCGCTAGGAAAAAAGCGGTGTTTAACGGTGGCTTTGTCGACGCTTGCTGTTTTTATCGTATGCTACGCTCCATACAACACATCGCACATCGTTGGATTTATTTTGAGCAAGAATATTCAGTGGAGAAGTTTGGCGATGTTAACCAGCTTGTGTAACGTTTTCTTGGAGCCGGCGGTGATGCTGATGCTATCACCAGCAGTTTCCAGAGGCATCATGGGAAGGATCTGTGGAAGGCAAAGTCAATTTAGTCGGATTGAAAGAATTCCCAAGCAAAGTGTGATCAAAAATAAAGAAGCGAACAGGCCAGAGAAGAGATCGGAGAAGGTCAAAGGAGCTGGCAAAGAGTTTGAGGACATCCGGGAGCGAGAAGGACAAAACTAAGGACATATGTTCACGCAGAGGAGCTCATATTTACGCTCGTTAATCCAAATTAAGGACCCTTTCTGATCGATGACAAGAGTAGACACCTACATGCATCCTCCAAACTGTACGATTTCCATTGTTGTTCATAACAGGAAGAGGGTTCAGTTCTCCAACTGTCAACGTATGTCATCAAATACATGAACTTACAATAATCTTTGCATTAGCCTCATTAACCTTTAATAACTGCAATGTGTACGTAATCCAAGTATTTTATGAATCAAAGTGTACAGTTTCTCTTTCCTAGCACATTAAAGTTCAGATATTCTCCTAAACTGACAAATGTTGTTCTTTTGTCATGATATGTAAATGCATGTTTGAGTAATCTTCGTTCTCTCTGTCCAGGGCCCTGTCTTTCCAGTGCCTGTATACACTGTTTACAGTGGGGCCTATGTCAACAGTTTACAGTGAACACACCTTTTAAAAAAAGGAAGAGAAGAGAGGGCAAAAACAAGAAAAAATGGCCAAAAAAAAAAAAAATGTGCATAGAAATCAACCACTTGATACCCATGAATACATGAGATAAAACAACACAACTCATGGGGTTACCTCCAATGTCAGAGACATGACATGATCTAGAAAAGGTAACCAGGCTTCAGTAAATTTAGAGCCAGAGCCTTTGAGAGCCTTATTTTCTCCAGTTTCATAAATGAGAGGACATCTTTTATCCACTGGGAGTGGGTGGGTGGGTGAGGATCTTTCCAGAGCATCAGGATAGCCCGCCTTGCCAACAGTGTAAGAAAATCTATAAGGCACATGTTTGTAACACTTTGAAATCTTTATTTTGCAAAAAATTTACTGTTTCATGTTTCTATTCACTGTTTCATGTTTTGACTGATGTGTGAGTGTTTTCTGCTTGAGCTGTCTTAAACCTCTTGCCTCTTGGCCGGAGTCGTCACTGCAAATAAGAAAGACTTCTCAATTGACTTACCTGATAAAATATTGAATAAATAAATAAACCTACCTTTTTTCCATCTTTTAATCTAATAATATTCTTCTATCTAATCTGATCACTGCTCAAATTCCCTTTACTGCAGAATAATTATCATGAATAGCAGCAGTTGTTCAACCTTATTTAAACTGCTCTGTTCTCCTTGTTATCAACATTAATGATTTTTATACAGAAGTAAATACAAATATGATAAAATATGAAATGCCAAAGTTATACATTATCAGTTTATATACCCCAAATAAGGCAAAATACAACATATTTAAAGATACATTATGTAACGTTTGTTGTGGACGATCTAAGAATTTTTAAAGTTTTTTGAGCATGGCATGGCATTACAGGGGCCCCACCCTGGAGCCAGGCTTGGGGTGGGTGCTTGACGGCGAGCATCTGGTGGCTTTGCCTTCCCCCACAGAGCCCAGCTGGGCACAACAACATGGGGCCACCCTTCCGTGGGCTTACCACCTGCAGGAGGATCCATGTGGGGCTGGTGCATAGAGATCTGGGCAGCAGTCAAAGGCGGGGGCCTCAGTGACCAGATCTCTGGACTGGAGACTGGCTCTCGGGACATGGATTGTCACCTCGCTGAAGAGGAAGGAGCCTGAGCTTGTGTGGGAGGTCGAGCGTTACCGACCAAGTCCGTGGCCATGGTTCTCAACCGGAAAAAGGTGGCTTGTCCTCTCTGGGTGGGTGGGAAGTCCCTGCCTCAAGTTGAGGAGTTCAAGTATCTTGGGGTCTTGTTCACGAGTGAGGGGAGGACGGACCGTGAGATTGAAAGACAGATCGGTGCAGCGTCTGTAGTGATGCAGTCACTGTTTTGGACCGTTGTGGTGAAGAGGGAGCCGAGCCGAAAGGTGAAGCTCCCGATTTACAGGTCAATCTTTCGTTCCTCCCCTCACCTATGGTCATGAGCTGTGGGTAATGAGCGAAAGGATGTGATAGCGGATACAAGCGGTCGACATGAGTTTCCTTCGCAGGGTGGCTGGGCGCTCCCTTAGAGATAGGGTGAGGAGCTCAGTCACAAGGGAGGAGCTCGGAGTAGAGCTGCTGCTCCTCCATGTTGACAGGAGGTGGCTCAGGGATCTGTCCCGGATGCCTCCTAGGCGCCTCCCTCGGGAGGTGTTCCAGGCATGTCCCACCAGAAGGAGGCCCCGGGGAAGACCCAGGACACGCTGGGGGGACTATGTCTCTCGGCTGGCCTGGTAACGCCTCGGGGTCTCCCCAAAGGAGCTGGAGGACGTGTCTGGGGTGAAGGAAGTCTGGGAGTCCCTGCTTATGCTGCTGCCCCCGTGACCCGGCCCCGGATAAGCAGAAGAAAATGGATGGATGGAGGAAGTAGTTTTAATACTGTGGGATATTCATAGTCAACGCAATAACATCTCCATGGAGGCAAGCTCTATTTATGTTACATTTTTTGATCTTTGTGCAGCACTTTGGAAACTTGTAAATTTGTAAATGTGCTATATAATAAAATGGATTTGAATTTGGAAGTCAGTGGCAAACCCTTCTCCAGAAAAGTGACACAGTGTACCTTTAATATAATAACGCTGAGTGAATGCTGTTTGCTCAGTTGTGTGCATATGTAAACTCAGAGGATTACACATACGCAGACACTGAGCGGCCGTGCTTTTACGATATAATGATGTTCCCAGACGATCTTATCTCTGCGTTTAGACAAACACAAGTGCCTCATGAGGGGCGCTCCTTTCAAATCTTCAAAATATGACATTTTTAGAACAATATTGCCTTGTTTTTACTAATTAGTAGTATAGTATAGTCCAGGTTTAATCTGGGTCTAGTTCTGGTTTAGTTTTCAGTCGTGTTCCAGTTTAATACAGATTCTGACATGTGGTGATCTGTGAATGCAACAACTTTCGCTTTTTAAATAAATGTACCTGTAAAACAGACTCCAGAAATAAATAAATTGTAATTAAATATCTGCTGTTGATCTTTGAATTTCCTTTGGGATCAGTGAAGTTGGTTATATCTCTGTTTATCTACCTAAATGTAATGTAAATCAAATCAAATAAAGCAGAAGGAAGGCCATATGTTCACTGGAAAGGTGTGACACGCTGAACTTGAACTGTGCTTATGTTAAAGGTACACTATGTAACTTTTCTAATAGAGGACGTGACACATTGCTTTGTATTTTAATTTATTCAATTAGAGGGGTTTACCTTGAAAAAAAAACTGCTTTGGGCTTTTTATAAACATATTACAGTCTCTATTACAGTGTTTTTTCTTGGTTTTTCAAATATTTGTTAAAACTTAGGCAGTGTTTGCATTGTGTCTCCATGGTAACTGGGGGACATTCAAAATAAACAAATAAACAAAAACACAGAACACCCCCAGTGCGATCTCATGGCAAAGTATCAATAAACTGTAGAACATTTAAGGAAAAGCAGTTTGCACCTGGAGGTGGAGGACCCTCCCTTAAAAAAGTTTCATAATGTACCTATAAGAGGATGTTGACCCTGTTCACCTCTCTCTTTCTCTGCCTCTTTCGCTCCCTTCCTCTTCACCTTCCTCCCTCTCCCTCTCTCTCCGTCTCTCCCACTCTCTCCCTCCCTCTTCATTTCCCTCTCCCTCTTTCCCTCCTTCTCTCGTTCTCTCTTTCTCTCCCTCCCTCCTCCCTCTTCCTCTCTCTCTCACTCCCTCCCTTGCTCTCCCTATTTCTCCCTCCCTCTTCACCTCCCTCTCTCTCTCCCTCTTCACCTCTCTCCCTCCTTCCCTCTTCTTCTCTCCCTCCCTCCTTCTCTCTCTCTCTCCTCCCTTCTCTTCCTCCTCTCCCTCCCCACCTCCGTCCCACCCTCTTCCTCTCTCTCTCACCCTCCCTCCCTCTCTCCCACCCTCTTCACCTCTCTCCCTCCTTCCCTCTCCCTCTCACCCACCCTCTTCACCTCCCTCTCTCCCATCCTCTTCACCTCCCTTCCTCTTCCTCTCTCCCTCCCCTCCTTTTCTCTCTCTCTTTCATTTTCTCTGTCCCTCTTGCTCCCTCTCTACCTCTCTCCCTCCCTCTTCATCTCCCTCACTCTCCTTGTCTCCCTCCCTCCCTCTGTCCCTCTCGTTCCCTCTCTCTCTCCCTCCCTCTTCACCTCCGTCCCTCCGTCCTTCCGTCCCTCTCTCTCTTTGTGTTTTAATCCCTTGTTCATTTGATCCACTCTTTTATCGCGGTGAGTACGAGAGGTTGCTCAGAGATCGTGTTTGAAGAGGGAGGGGAAGTTTATTCAATTTCCGGAGCTTTTATTGGAGCAACAGTTTAAGTCCAGTTTTAGAGTCTGGTCCTTCAGAAGTCGAGCGAAGATGCTGCCGGTCGCACCTGAGACTGTGATGGACTCCCGAGTATTTGCTGCGTGACAAAAGGTGAGACAATTCATCTAATACTTCACCAAATATATGTTCTGTTATTGTATTGTTAGCTGGTAGAAAATTAAACTAAACAAACCAATAAAAAGTTTAACACATGAAACTTAAATGTGCATTGTGAAACTTTTCTGCTGGACAGTCTGTCACACGATGTAAAAAACAAAATGTAGTCAATTTAAGATGACTTGAATTAAGAACGTTTTATCATGATTTGAGTAAATTTCACTTGAAAAGTCAAATTATCTTAAGACGTTTTGTACTTAAATCATGAAAATACATCTTGCTGCACTTAAAATAAGGAAAACAACAACTTTTTGCACTTAAAATAAGAAACAAAATGTTGCTTAAATTAAGAAAAACACTTCATAATTTTACTTGTCAAGTTGAATCGACTCAAATAAAGTAAAATGTTTTTAATTTAAGTAATTTTAACTTACCCAGATATGGCTTTTTTCCAGTGAAATGCTTGGAAATGTTATTGCTTTGGCTGGAATGTTTCATAGTATGGCATTAAACCTTTCTAGCTTCATGGAAACCAAACCAGACCATGTTACAGGTTAGATCTGTGGAGAGGCGACCCCCTCATAGTCAGAAAGCATTTTTGCACTATAAAACCATCTTTAATTGAATAAATGTAAGCTAGAGCTGTTTAAAATCATACTGTGGAAAATTCCAGACAGAAAAATGACCAGAAAAGTTACACAGTGCACCTTTAACTCACTTAGAACTGGGAGTACAATTATTCATTATGGATTAACAAATGGAAAACATAATCTGATTTATTTTTCATGGCTTATATTTGTACTATACTACACCAAATATGTTTTCTGTTATTATCTTGATAACTGGGAGAAAATTAAGGTGTTTTATCCACATATTTATCAATCCAGATTTTTGTATTACATTCTTATTTTGTCTCATTAAAAACTCAAAAGGCTTCTGATATCAATTCCTTGAACTTAAAGGTGCATTGTGTAACTTTTTTGGTGGAGAATCCAGCATATGCTTTTCTCCATAGAGATGTTACTATTTATCTGTAATATTTCATTAAGCCTTTCTGTTGCCATGGAAACCAAATCAGAAAAGACCAAGTTACAGGTCAGATCTGTGGAGAGGCGATGCCACTGTTGTATTTTGTTTCATTCGCTCATGTTTCACTCACAAAACCTGTTCTTCTCTCAAATCAAAAACACTTTGTTCCACTTTGAGATGTCATGTGGTAGTACAGGAAGTGCTCCACTGTGTTTTTAAACTGCATACACCTTCACTTGAATGACTTTGATGATTTTAGCACTGCAATTGCCACTCTTTACAAAATAAAAAGTAAAAAGTAAAACGTATCTGTTAAATTGAAAACTACTACTACATGACATCGCAACACTGTAAACCTGAATAAGTTAACAGAAATTACTCACAAAGAAGAACATGTTACAGCAACTTGACATAATTAAGTTAGTAGGACTCCTTCTAAAATGTTGAGTATACACAGCTTCATTTATTTAATTACACTGAACGTTTGGGTTTACAGTGAAGGAGGACAGAGCATTTTGAGCTTTGGATAAAAAATGGTTACTCAAACATGTGTGAATGAAATAAAACACAACTTCAGGCTTCTTTCTGATGAGGAAACAGCATTATAACATGACTTAAAGCTCACAAGAGTCATGTTTGTGTAATATAGGACCTTTAACTACAGTCGTACATATACAACTGTTTGTCAGATTGTTTACTGTTTATTTTTTGCATTAAATATTGAGTCTGTAAATGGGAAAACTTTGTAGCTTTAAATTAAAGAAGTGACACAACAGAGCAGTGAGTACAAATTTATGAAGTGAGCGCAGCAGTGTATGATCTTAATATTGTTTTAACAAATGTTCACTGAAGTTCCCATAACAGCTTCGAGGGCATGGGAGTGACGGTGGAATTTGACTCATTATAATGTATTTGTTTTATTAAAGGGCCCATATTACACTATTTTGATCTAAATCATAATGTTGTTTCCTCTTCACAAACAGACCTGGAGTTTTGTTTTGTTTCATTCACACATGTATAACTCACAAATCCTGCATGTTTAGGCTCAGTTCTTATCTTCTATTGCCAATCTCTACACAAAACAAAAAGTAAAAGTAGCTATTAACTTGAAAACTACCACTACATTACCTCAAAGCTTTGGAGATATACACAGCCTAAAAATAAAGGATTACTGAAACATGTGTGAATGAAACAAAACAATCTTCCAGGTACGTTTTTGATGAGGTAAGAACTTTCTAAGAGTAAATTTTGCATAATATAGACCCCAATATTGACCATTAACCACTATAATAGACTCTATTCATGCTTACGTCACAATCCAGGAAGACGTTTGGAAACATGCGTTGACAACTTCCGGTGTACAGTGGCAGAGTTAGCAATTTGGGGTCCCTAGGCAAACTTTGTTTGTTTATTTCTCACTATAATGCACCGTTTTTTTGTTTTGTTTTATTAATATATTTATTGTCTGTCTTTCCCCATTGTTCTTGAGACATGCACATCCATATTTATTTGAATTATGGTGGATTGGAAACTTGCCTTATTAGTTCAGTTACCTGCTAGACAACCAGAAATGAAAGAAGTTTTTTTTTTTTTTTGCTAGTACAATAACATTTTAGTTTACATTCATTACATATGATTATTATTATTATTATTATGATTATTGTTTAAAAGCAGACTACTCATTTAATGTAATTTTGAGAGAAAATGAAATTGCTCTGAGGTCTCGGTCATTAGTGGCACTGAGGGCAAATTGGTTGGGGGCCCCTCCAGGTTTGGGGGCCCTAGGTAGCTGTCTACTTTTGCCTAATGGTAGCGCCGCCTCTGCCAGTGTAGTTCCCAACACTGGGCTCGCCGACCTACTGTGATAAAACTCATTGAAGTAAAATGAAGACTGTATACATATGTGCGGCTTGAAATCATCTCGAATTTGGCACCTCATCTCTTCTAATCGCCTGTACTCATTGCACTCAGAGTCATGTGTCAGTGGGAAAATGTTGAAAACTGAGCTATGGTTGTAATTGTTGATTCGCTGAACATAACAGAACACTACAATGACATGTAGATGAAGAAAACTGGGACATTTTCTCATTTTTCCTAGATATTGTGAGACTTACTATGGCAAACAGAGCCCGCCGGAAGTTGTCATCGCATGTTTCCAAACGTCTTTCTGGTTTCTTCCTGACGTAAGCGTGAATAGAGCCAATCAAACTTACACTAACCCTTTCAATCTCTTCCCAGATCCTCCACCATGCTGCATTGTCTGTTATCCGTGGGCTACATCCTCACCTTCGTGCTGGGCGTCCCTATGAACATCCTGGCATTCTGCACCTTCTGCCGAAAGGTCTCCCGCAAAGCCACGCCCATCGACGTCCTCCTCCTCAACCTCACCATCTCCGACCTCATCTTCCTCACTTTTCTACCCTTCAAAATGAAAGAAGCCGTGGACCAGATGACGTGGCTGCTTCCCTTTTGGCTCTGCCCGCTCACCGGCTTCATTTTCTACGTCACGATCTACAACAGCACCTTGTTGCTCACCGCCGTCGCCGTGGAGAGATACCTGGGCGTCGCTTTCCCTTTGCGATACTCGCTGTGTCGACGCCCACGCTATGCGATTTTAGCCAGCGTGATCTTCTGGGTTGTAACGTTGACGAATCTGAGCATTGTCTACATCATGCCAACAGCTAAAATCCAAAACGGCAGCACTCCAGGTTCTTGCTACTTAGAATTTACCGCAGAAGAACTTAAAATCGTGCTCCCAGTTCGATTGGAGCTATTCCTGGTCTTATTTTGCGTGCCTTTTGTGATTTGCATGTTTTGTTACATCAATTTCATCTTAATCTTATCGCGATTGCCAAATATAAGCCGACGTAAGCGCTTAAGAGCTATAGGGCTCGCGTTAGGGACTTTACTGGTTTTCGCAGTCTGCTTTGGCCCTTACAACGTCTCCCATGTGGTAGGGTTTGCGAGGAAAGAAAGTGAAGATTGGAGAAATGTGGCGCTCCTCTCCAGTACTTTTAACGCCTGCTTGGACCCGATTATCTTCTACTTTTCATCAGCTGCCGTCAGAGGAATGCTGAAAAGATGCTGTAAAAGCGTAATGGCCAAAACCCACATCCTGAAGTGTCACAAATCTGCCAACGATTTGAACTTGAATACTTAAAGAGACCATTTTACACTGTTTTCTGATCTGTTATAATGTTGGTTCCTCATCACAAACCAGTTCTGTAGTGAGGATTTTTTTAAGTGGGGGTACGCGATTCACCTCCTCCTCACCTTTCAGTACAAACATAAAGGCGCCAGGCTATTTTTTACTCAGAATGATGCAGAATCATGTTATTAACATTAACGCCGTTCATAATCACCTACAGAAGATAGAGCATGGACTACAACACATGAACCATTACTAAACCAGGACTAAACCAGGATTAAACCAGGACTAAAACAGAATTAAACCAGGGCTACCCCAGGACTAAACCAGGACAACACTAGGACTAAACCAAGACTAAACCAAGACTGAACCAGGTCTAAACCAGGACTAAACTAGGACTAATCTTGGATTTGAGAGAGGGGGAGAACCCAGAGCCCGCAGAGCCGGGTGTCCACAAAGCACGGACACCCTGACTATACCAGAACTAAACCAGGACCAAACCAAGACTAAACCAAGACTAAACTAAGACTGAACCAGGTCTAGACCAGGACTAAACCAGGACTAATCTTGGACTTCAGAGAAAGGGAGAACTTTGAGCCAGCAAAGCAGAGTGTCTGCAAATCGCGATCAGGTGACAGCTGCGTTTACCTCCATGCGGCGCAGAGCTTTGCACTGGTCCTTTCACCTTGCAGTCACCCGATGGTCTACACAGGTGCACCTTCAGACCTGTCCTGACAATCAGTCGTGGTTTAGTCCTGGTCCCTCAGGTCACAAACAGACCTGGAGTTGTGTTTATTTAATTCACATGTTTAACACACAAATCCTGCACATTAGGCTGAGTTCTTCTCTCAAACAGAAAACGCAGGTCTGTTTTTGAGGAGGTAACAGCATTATAACATGACATAAAGATCACAGGAGTCACTTTTGTGTAATATAGGATCTTTAAAATTAAAATACAAGATAGAAATCCCAGGATGTAATGTGATTTTGAGTTGTAATTTAAAGGTGTACTATAGATTTGTTTGTCTCCACTGTGTAAAGTGAACAGTACCGCTCAGTCCGAAGAGTCTAAAGGGAACTCTGGAGGGCACTGGCTCTCAGACGGGTCTTTGGCCAGTACAGCTCCAGACTTGGTTAAAACGACTAAACAGATGATTGGATAAGAGAGACATCACAGACGCAGGTGAAAACAAGATGGAAAAAAGCAGATTTTAACTTAAACCTTTTTCAACAAACACTGATTTTATGATAAACCGCTGTATTTCCAATAATGTGACTTGTATGTTGAGCCAATATACTAAAAAACAAAACTACAAACTACTACTACAAAACAAAGCTCTTTTACAATAGCTGTTTCCTGTTTATCGATGCACGGCACTCGTGTAGAGATTAAGAATATTATATTTCCAATGCACAATAGACCTCTTCCACAGTGGCCGGGAGTGTCGTGATGTAAGGTAAACGTCACTTCCGGTTAATAGTTTTCTATGACAAAATATCTGTGGAAATGTCTCGCGTATTTTCCACCAGCTTCATAAATCTGCCCCATCACCAAATCTTCATCCAAAAAGGTCAACAAAGGATAAAGATGAAGAATTTATCAAGGTAAGAAAGACGAAAACGTAAAGGCGAACAACGAAGAGCATTAGTGATCTACTCCTGAGTAAAACAAATGTTATGGTCATGAATAAAACATAAGTAACTTGTGAACTCAGACTGATTCCACAATTAAAATTAAAAAAAAAAAATTCATGATGTAGATATTAACATAGACAGAGAGATTTGTGCAGTTTAACATCTGAGTCTGAGTTACTAATGCTGGTCGTTGTTCGCCTTTAAGTTTTCATCTTTCTTACCTTGATAGTTGTAGATAAGTTCTTCATTCAGATTTGGTGATGGGACAGATTTACGAAGCTGGTGGAAAATACCCAAGACATTTTCACAGACATTTTGCCATAGAAAAGCATTTACAGAAGTGACATTTACCCCACATCGCAGCACTTCTGGCCGTGGTGAAAAACGTCTGTATATCTTTAATAATGATGAATCCAACCTAAGAAAAGTTACACAGTGCACCTTTAAAGTCTGTCCTTGCTTTTTACAGTTAGGCTACTTTTATTAAGCATATAAACATATAATATTTATTAACATATTCACATTTATTCAAACATATACGATTCTAAGGGCTTCATTGTGTTATAAATTATTTATTTTGTAAAAGCTCTGCAAAAAGAAGAAATTGTCAAATTAATTATCAATTTTGAACTTCATCTAAGGCGGCCTCAGAGGTCCAAAACACTCTCTCACTCAAAGTGAAGTGCACTGTTTAAAAATGGTGAGACAATGAGCAGACCATGATCTGATCTTGAAAGTCTTTATGGTCAAACCTGTGTAACAGATCAACTCTTCTCCCAGGTTTGTGAACGGGGATTTGGGTTTATAAGATCTAATGTGGAATTATTGTTTTGTGGTTGCTATTTGAACATTTTTTATGAGATTGAATGTCATATATAAAAAAGAAGAAAAAAAAAAAAAGAAGAGAGAAGAGAGCAACAGATAATAGTAGAGAAGAGAGAAGAAGAGAAGAGGAAAAGAGGAGCAGAGAAGAGAAGAGCAAAGAGAGAAAAAGAGAAGAGAGGAGTTGAGGAAGTAGAAGAGAAGAGAAATAGAAGAGAAGAGAAAAGGAGAAGAGAAGAGAGGAGCAGAGGAAAAGAAAAGAAAAAAGAGGAGCAGAAGAGAGGAGTAGAGGAAAAGAAAAAAGAGGAGCAGAGGCAGGAAAAAGGCAACAGTCCTTGGGGGGGTGGATGGGGAAGCATGGAGCACAGTGACCGCTCGCTCCAGTTCTGAAAGTAAATTCAATAAATTTTCCAATCATTCTTCCCACAGACTTTTCAAGAAATTAAAATATTAAGAGTTCAAAGAGGCAAACCAACTACATGTTAACTAATCCATAACGTGGTGGTTGTACGCACAAAAAGCACATTTAAAGGTTGTATAGAGGATTTTCCAAGGAACGAGAAATCTAGCGACTGTTTGTCCTTTTTCAAATGTTGCGCATGCGTGAAACCACCCCCCCTCCCCTACAGCTCCCTACGTAGAAACGCCTCCTCCCGCCTCCTCTTTACGCCAGAAACAGGTTTGTTTACAGCCGGTGCTGCACATGACTTGTAAACAACTAACTACAGTGTTGGTTAGGCAAGACGGAGAAGTGAGAAGCGGGGGGAGCGGGTGTGCGGACATTTCGTGCGCAGACAAGAAGCGAGGAGCAGGTAGAAGAGCGGAGCAGGGAGCAGGGAGAGGAGAGAGGAGAGGGGAGCGGTGCGCGGAGATTCCGTGCCCGGAGAAGTGAGGAGCAGGGAGAAGAGTGGATCGGGCAGCGGGGACAGGAGCAGGAAAGGGGTGCAGAGAAGGTTGGCGGAGATTCAGTGCGAATGAACTAGCTACAACACGCAGCAGCAAGCGGACTCTTTCTTTGCACTGAAAATTATGTTTTCAGACATAGGATATCACTTTCGTGTCCTGAAAAACGTTGTCTAGCTCTTGGAAATAAAGTACATTTTCATAATAAGCAGAAGTGACCTGTCCAGGAGTAATTTGGCGACCAATGCGTCAGTCTTTAGACCCTGCGTCTGCTTCAGTTGCGCCATTGCTGGAATGAATCTTCAAGAATCACCTTAGTTTGGCTTCGCTGCTTTTCCCCTTGTCTTCTTCTTTCAGAAATCTCAAAAACGGACTTTCTTTTGCGGCTAACTGCTCCTGCATTCTTGTCTGCCATTGCAACAAACTTTGTGCGAACTGCGAGGAAGATATAGGTCAAAAAAAGCCGCTAAGAACCGTTGCGTTGGTGGAGTAAACAGCGTCTGTGCGGCTTGCGTCTGTGGACTGTGTGACAGTCGTACGTAAACCACGTAATGGCAGCGCACAGGCAAGTCAGTTACGCTAGAAACGTAGGGAGTTTGATTGACAGCCTGTCAGCTAACAGATAACGAGGCAGTGTCATTATCTATTGGCAAATGTTTAGCCCCACCACGTCCAGAGTTGATGAATTTTTATTCTCTTTTTTTTGGTCATCATAATTACAAGGCTACTGCACCTCTATAATGCTATCAGTGACAATTTGAAACAAAAAAAATCCTCCATACAACCTTTAAAATGCAAGGTTCAGTGAAAATCTTTAATAATTTAGCAGTTTATGAAGTTTTAGAAACAGATTTTAAATAAACATACAGGTCTGGAGGTCATTAGTCACCACAAGCTTTCAAACTTTTATTTTATTTTTATTTTTTCAGAAAGTCTATGGGAAAAATGAATGAGAAATTTAGTCCCAGAACCAGAGGAACCACCGGCCCTGAACCAGGACTAGAACAGGATCAGTATGTTTTTATCTACACCAGAACTAAACCAGGATCAACCGTTTGTGTCATGTAAAAGCAGTATTTTACTTTTCAAAATAAACTCACATTGCTTCAAATTATGTTATTATGTTTTCCTATTATCTATGAATAGTCTGGACAATATTTATAACACAAGTTTGTTTGTTTATCTGTTGTGTTGACTTAATTTTTCCCCATTAATGTTTTATGACATTTCTGGGTCTCTGCACGTCCGGTAACTTCACCCAAACGATCCATAGCGTCGATTATCGGATTAGTTTGTGCGTCATCACTTCCTATTTGTCTTTTCCTCTCGAACAAAATGTAATAATCGGAAGGAAACTGCAGCAGGGCCAGCTTCATGTGGTTTAATCAGAGCTGTGGTTTATTGGAGCAATAGACTTAAAACAATTAAAAAGTGCCATATTCAGACACTTTATCAGGAAGGAGAGGTGTATTTAAGACAGGAGGGTCAACATAGAAAATACACAGTCATAAAAGATAAATATAGCCGGCAGGACTATAGGGACGAAGATGCCAGACTGATAAAGAAAGGTTATTACCGCTTCTAATAACGAATTTGTTCCCCCCTCACCTCACCAGGCCTTTGTTCACACTCACCTCTGTTCTCTGTTCTTCTTCTGTAAGGTCAAAGCTGCGGCACTATCAGACACAAGTAATGTAAACCAATCTCTTAAATCTCTTATACCTCTTAAATAAAAAAAGTACCCACCTACTATCAAGCAAATGAATCTTAATGCAGCGAGGTCAGACAGTTTCCACGAAGTGAAACCGGCTGATGAATCATGCTGGTGGATCAGTGGATCTGACTGCTATTTCTATATTTTTTAAACAAATCATACAAATACACGTTATTGAACCTTATTGTAATCATGTTTGTTCTGATGAACTCTCAAATGTCTGTGCCCATAAGAGGTTTGTTTGTTCTTGTAGCCTTCTTTCTTTTGAACTATGAACTGGATTAACCTGTTCATGTTCCGATGGGCTGATCTTAATTAATTTCTGTTTGTTCAGCTTCTAATAAAAGAGCACTCTCACTCTTATGGACATTAATAAACATCTGTTACCCTCATATTTTATGTCAAATCAACCTTACAAAAAAGGAAAAAAATCCCATAAATAAATATATTTTTTTAAATGAATGGGAATTTTATATGAACTCCGCCTGGACTTGTTTTTTTTTGCCTCATTACAAGTCCTTAAATCTCATGTTTAGTGAGATCTGCTTCAGCTTTGACATGGGAATAGGCAAGACCCAACAAATGCTCAATCTGCTGTCTCTCAGGCCATCCCCAGGGACCTCAACTATACCTATACTTGTACAGTATTTACTCCAAATCTGACGTGCAGGGGTCACCAAACTTTTTTCTCTGAGGGCCTCATTATCTCTCCAGACTGTGATGGGGGCCGGGGTCGGGTCAGCTGAATAACAGAATTGTGTGACCCTGGCCAGACAGATTATAATCTTTGAAAACTGCCAAACTTTCTTTACATATCAGACAAACTTCACGGTCCTTACACTCAAGAAAAAAATAATTGGTCGTCCACTGTTCTTTGAAAACTCTGCACTCTCTGTCAACTTTTCGTATTTTAACATTCGCCATTTTTCTGTCCTTAACTGCACTACAGAACTCTGTGCGTGTGTTGACTGTCACTGTTTGATCTCGAGCTTGTCAGGTGATGAAAATTCGTCAGAAAATATAAATACGTCATATAATTATTTAAATATAAATATAATTTTTTAATACATGCATCCCGAATTTGGGACTTCCGGTCATTGTGCAATGCATACTGGGAAGGGCAAGTGAGCATTAATGGAGTTGTTATCACTCCACATACAAAATGTTCACCGCAAACTCGGGATGATTTCTTAGGCAGACAAAGCTTTTCTTTTTCATCCTTCCTGTGTATCAATACTGCCCATCACCTTCGCCTTTAACTATTTTTCAATTTTGCTGGGAAGGGAAACGGTTTGAACAGAGGTTTGTAGTCACACAGATCTGATTCCCTTTTGCGGTTACGAAGTTCGCAAACTTCCGAAGCTTGTTTCTCGAGCTGTTTTCTGCTGCCACACAATTACGATGTCTGAATCCCATAACTAAAATATGACAATGTCAGAACCTAAAACAAAAGAAATATGGTTCAAAAAATTTTTAAAGATCGGCTTTGACAATAGACGCATCTCAGTGGGAAAACAAACATGGTGATTTGATGCTCACTTTTTCGGACGACCCTTCCCAGCATTGAATGATGAACGAAAGTCCGAAATTCAGGATGCATGTATTGAAAATCAATAAAATGGTGGCCATACCGGCTTGTCAAAGTCTCCTACCGTCAGATCTCAGAAGCTAAGCAAGGCCGGGCCTGGTTAGTATTTGGATGGGACACCACTGTGAATTCCAGGTGTCACAGTGGGGCACCAGTGGCAGAAACTGTTGTTGTGTCCTTAGGCAAGACACTTCATCCACATTGCCTACTATGAAAGTGGTGTGTGTGTGAGCCGTGGTGGTGATCGGAGGGGCTGATAGTGCAGATCGGCAGCCTCGTTACTGTCAGTCTGCCCCAGGGCAGCTGTGGCTACAGTAGTAGTTTACCATCACCAAGTGTGGAGTGACTGAATAATGAACTGTAAAGCGCTTTGGGTATCTTGAAAGGCGCTATATAAATGCAGTGATTAATAAATGAATGAATGAAAATACAAGATGCAGATGTGTTATTTGTTAGAAAGTAATTAAAAAAAAATAAGCCATGACAACTTTTGAGGATTGCCTCATAGGGCCAGTTTAAGTAGTGGGGGACAGAGGGTCTGGGGGGCCGGTCAAAGAGGCGTGGAGGACCAGAGTTAGCCTGCGGGCCTTAGTTTGATGACCCCTGGTGTAGAGCTTGTTCCCAATTTAAATAAGAAAATGGAGACATTTAGAGGAAGCAAGAGGCAAAACTCCAGAGCCTCAGCTTCACAAAGAGTCTGTGCTGTAAAGGGTCCAGGAAACATTTACAGTTTGAATTGAAAGTCATCTTCAGACATTTTAAGAAATATAGTCTGATTAAGCAATGTTTTATTTGTGCTTTTACCAACACTAAGTAACAAAAACACCACCAACTCATCTGCTCATCATCACATTTCAAAATAAGAGACAAAACAACCACACTTTTGTACATAGAAGTATTTTAATCAAAAATTAAATATAACATTAACAGCCAAACAAAGGCTCGACACTGGAGCAGGTTCAGACGAGTTTAAGACCAAAGTCTCGACAAATGTATTTCTAAAAGTGACACAAAGCAAAATTAAAACAAGCAACAATCATTAGTAATAAAACCATTAAACTAAACATTGTATTTTCAAGAGTATTCTTGATATGCAGCCAACTACAGAGAGGTAAGAGTCTGTTATGTGGGGCGTCCTTTATTTTTGGGCACTCGCAGTTGTTTTATTTCACTCAAGACTCACAACTGTCCTGAACCAAAGCTGTAAACGACTGCAATATTTCACATTAAAACGAGAAAATATAAGATACAGTGATTTTATTTTGAAGGAAAGAAACTGCGGCAGTAAAATGGAGCTAAATAAATAATGCTACATCAACTTTTACTCTGAGAATGAACTGAAATGTCTTGAGTGATTTTACCCATTTTTAACGTGATATTTTGAGACTTTTGAGTGAGCTGTAGGGAGTATTTTAGTTTCATAGTGTTAACTCACAAGATGATATTAAAGTTCAATTAATTTAAAGATGCACTGTGTAACTTTTCTGGTGGAAGGTCTGTCAAACGCTTTTCTCCGTGGAGATGTTACTGCTTTGTTTGGATTTTTTTTTTTTTTTTTTTTTTAAGTATTTTTGAGCTATAAAACCACCTGTACTTTAATAAATGTAAAGGTAGAGCTGTTTAAAGTCATACTGTGGAACATTTCCAAGCATAGCAATAACAAACAGCTGACGGACAGCAACCAAAAAGTTACACAGTGCAGCTTTAAGCACTAAAAAAGGAAAATCTGCTTATTTTACATCAACTTATAAAGTTTGCTTTCAATTAAAAGTCCCTCCACCTGCTTCCTCCATGAGATGTTTTGGTTTATCTAGAACATTCCGCAGTATGGCATTAAACTCCTCTGTTTCCATGGAGACAAGCAGGCCACTTTACAGGTCAAATCTGTGGAGACGTGATCCCGCTCAAAGTAAGAATTAATTAAGCATTTTTACCTATTTATTTATTTCTAAACAAACAAAAGACTTGCAAATAAATGCTAAAATGACACATTTAAAGCCACACTATGGAACATTCCAAAAAAATCACCAAAAATATCACATTCAAATGCTGTTTTTTTGGGTTTGCGAGTGCCCACTGACTTGACTACATCCCCCACGGGCCACTGTTTGGTCCTGCTCCAAAAACTCTGCATATTTTTGTCTTCTTGGCATAAAATATTTGACATTCACACACATTTTAAAACATACACAAAAACGCACACACTCCTTACAGTATAATACAATAATAATTAATATCAATATAGTTTTGTGAATGTTTGTCTTTGATTATTTTGCTTGTAAAATGTTTTAAGCACCATTCGAAAAGGCACAGGTCTTCGGACAACAGGCAAGACCTCTCCAGTTGTGGAAATATGAAAGAAGAGACTTTAAAGACTTCACATAAATTAAAATCAATATTGCATCGTCAAATTTATCAAATGAGACCACTTAAATAAAGGCGCACTGCGTAACTTTTCCGGTAACTGCCCGCCTAACCTGCTTATAACTCCATGAGTAGATGTTTTTCTCCATGTTTTTTTTATTGCTTTTTCCTGGAATTTTTTACAGTATCGCATTTAATTTAACGATCTCCATGGAAACGACATTGCCAGGATGAGTTACACGACAGATCTGTGGAGAAGTGGGCTCGCTCACTGTAATAACGCGTGTTTTTGTGGTAGTTTTGCGAAATAAAAACTCCTCAAACTGAATAAACTCGATATATATAATTGTTAATAAATGCCATTCTGTGAAACATCCCAAAATAAAACAAAACAGCATCGCCGTGGAGACAAGCAAACGGCGGCCCCTACACCGGAAAAGTTACACAGTGCGGCTTTAAAACTTCAGCTTCAGATACGATTTTGGTTTATGAAAAATAAGCAAGTTTTGTGTGCATTTTATTACCATCTACAAAGTATAAATATAGCTTTCACTTACAAATCTTGTATCGCGTTGGGAGAAAGGCATTTTTGACTCGGTTAGACGACGGTGGTACAAACAAACCCTACTGAAGCTTTAGGTTAATTTATATAAGAAAACTCCAGGTTAATTCATGATAAGGCTCGAGAAGCAAAGAACTATTCAAGTACAACGCTGGTAATGTTGAAACTCAGGAGGCGAAAATATTAAGAGATAAGGGTGTTGTTTTGAAGTGAGGATGTTAAAAAATAACGTTTAAAAAGGTCCTACATTACACAAATTTGACTTTTGGGAGCTTTTAGCCTCTCAAAATGTGGTTTCCTGATTAAAAACAGACCTGGAGCTGTGTTTTGTTTTGTTTCAATCACAGTAAGTTGAATAATCCTGCTTTATTAGTCTGTCTACGTCTCAAAAAGCTCAAAACGAACCGGTAGTTTTCACATTAACAGCTACGTTTTGCTTTTAGTTCAGTACAGATTTCAAATTCCTAGGGCAAAGTTACACACATGATAAACTTAGTCAAGGTTTATCGAGTTTAAAAACATAACGGAGCACTTCCAAACAGAGTGTTTTTCCATTTAAGAGAAGAAATCAGCCTAAATATGCAGAGTTGAACAAAACAAAACACAACTATAGGGATGTTTTTGATGAGAAAACAACATTAATTGTCAATATTGGCCTTTTGTTAAACATCACAACCTCACTTCAAAACACAAAAACAGTCTTATACTGCACATTTAAAAGCCACTGAACATTTTAAGAGAAGAAATCTAGCACCATCGTAGCTGCTCTCCATCTGTAAGTGCAGTGTTTGTATTTGCTTTCATATATATCTCTTTAGTAGTATTATATTCTCTCTCTTTTTCTCTTAGCAGCTTAAGTTTGACCCTCCTCCTCCTCCTCTTCCTCCTCCTCCGACGCTTCTCTATAGGCACGCTTGGGTTTGGTCCAGAGATGCATCGCCTATAGACCTCGAATCCCCCTCTCCGTCACTGAGACAGCACCATTTTAGCATTATAATTACTGAGAAAATGCTCTTCAAACAATCGAAAACGGTTGTCTTTACATTATTTGTGTTATATTTGGTAATAGTCTTAAGCCCACAAGCCATAAGAGTATACAGCGTGTTTCTTATTGCAAATATGCAGTCAAATAATAATGTTTGGTTAATAAAATTTAAATAATGAGGTTTGATAATGCACTGGTTTTGCTTTTGACATTTTGAGGACTTTTCTTCATTCAAAAGAGGATATTTTGCTTTAAATGACATTCAGAAAACAATGGATACACCGTAATCGTGTCTAAAATTCTGGTACAACGACCCCTAGTGGCGCACTGGTGAATTACAACGTTTGATTTAACTAATATATTTATATTTATATATTTAAAACTACATTAGACCACTGTGCAATTAGTCCCTAGTCCCAGAACTGGACCAAATCAGGTTTAGTCTGGTACGTTCTAGGCCAGTACTAACCTATTTTAAGCATCTCTTCTTGTATTATTCCACGATTAAAGGTGCACTGCGCAACTTTTCTGGTGGAGCTTTCGTCACCTGGTTGTCTCCATGGAGATTTTATTGCTTTGTTTAGAATGTTCCATGGTGTGACTTTAAAAATATCCATTACAGGTGTTTCTGTTGCTCAAAAACACAGTAATTCCTTCTGCGAATAGGGTCGACTCTCCACAGATGTGATTTGTAATGCTCTAGACCAAGCAATAAGATTTCCATAGCGACAAGCAGGCGACGAAAAGTTACGCAGTGCGCCTTTAAACGATTCACTAACTGGATAATTGACTAATAGTTCAATATTTGGAGGACTGAGAACTTTTTTTTTTTAGGTATCACCTTTCAATAGTACCATTAGTACGTGTGCGGTTTCCATGGTAACGTGACTGAATGTTACACAAGAGCTTTACATTTTGAACAACTGCGCTGCCAGGAAAGGCCCTTGAGTTTTACAGGCCTGGTTAAAGTGCTCGTGAATAAACTCTGGAGTTGAAATATGAATAAAAACTCGATAAATATTCTCTACGTAACGCACAGTTTCTTTAGAATATTATATCATTATTATTAATTGGTGTTTTTATTGATTATTACTCTAACTGGGATTCTCAAACTATTTTTTTATATGAAATAACTTGTACCTTAAACTACATTTTCTAATTTAGTTTCTAGCTATGATTAGGAATGCACGGATACAGATATTGGGATGGAAAGTCGTGCTTTGATACTGAAAAATGAGCTGGATCGATTATTTTTTCCATGACATCAGTTCAGTCGATTTCCTGGTTGGGCTGGTTTAATTGGATGTAATAACAGATTGATTGATTTTTGGCCAAGAATGTCTCATAATTTTTGAGCTTTTATTCATGCAAAGCTGTTCAGTAGTGATTTGAAGGAACAAGTTACGTAACACAATTGAATCTTTTGTGTACACTACCGGTCAAACGTTTTTAATTTAATTTTTCCAGTTATTTATTGCAATTCAAGTCTTGTAACTCGAATGAAGAGCTTGAAATGGTACAAAAGGTAAGTACTGAACAGCCAGAGGTTTTAAAAAAAAAAAAAAAGATAATGACCAAAAACACAACTCCAAGCTCTGCCAAAACTACCTCAGGGAAAAAAGAACAAGATGGTGAGATTGAAAACATGGAGTGTGCAGCACAGTCTCCAGACTTAAACCCCTTTGAGCTGGTTTTGGGATAAATGGGACAAAAGAGTGAAAGCCAAGAAATTTACAAGTGCCACACATTTATGGGAACTTCTGCAACAGACTTGGGAAGAATTTTCTGTAAAAAGAACGAGCCACGAGTGTGTTCAGCTGTTCGATCTGCCAAAGGTGGACACAAAAGTTTAGAATACGTTTTGGTTTGTAAATTGATTCCATGATTTCTTTGTCAGCTCAAATTGCTTATTTGTTCTATGCTTTCATTTCAGAGTGCAGTGACACAAAAAACTGCATAAGTTTCATTAAGAAAGTGTGGGGTTCTAAAACATTTGACTGGTAGTGTAGTAAGTTCATTCTCTTTTAATGAAATAAGCGCCATTTTCCATCCCTACACTGGAATCGATTCATACTGGTATCAGCTTGAAGTTACAGTACTTAAAAAGCTGGATCAGTGCATCCCTAGCTATGATTTTGAAAATAAATTTTATATTTGGTCTACAGTGGTCTATACAAGCACTGATATTGGATGCTACGGCAAGAAATTATATGTGGTTTTTATTTATAGGTGCATTGTGTAACTTTTGGAGATATTATTGCTTTGTCTGGAATGTTTCACAGTATGGCTTTAAACCTTTCTATTTTCCTGGAAACCAAACCAGACCAAGTTACAGGCTAGATCTGTGGAGAGGCGACCCCACTCACAGTCAGAATGTTGTTTTTCTAGGCATTTTTGAGCTATAAAACCACCTGTAAATGAATACATGTAAAGTAGAGCTGTTTAAAGTCATACTGTGGAACATTCCAGGCAGAGCAATGACATATCCATGGAAACAAGCAGGAGACAGGCCCAGAAAAGTTACACAATGCACCTTTAAGCTTGATGATCCTGTGCGTTTCCATATAATGTTTTCATATATTTAGATTTACACACACTTTATTGATCCACAAGGGAAAAAATGTAAATCTACATTCTATTTATATTTAATTTCTCCATTTGTAAAACCTATAATCAAAAGTATCTGGTAGTGTCTGGTCTCATATTATATTTAAACAACGATTTTAAACACAAGAGGCACCAAACTGTTGTCTACACCTTAAAAAAAACACACTTTCTATCAACTTTTCAGGCACTTTTTGTGATTTCTCCAAAACACATCCCCAATACTGCACAACCCACTCACTGTCTTTCATTGTCACTTGCCAAAATCTCACTTACAACAACACAGTTTTCAATCCACAATTTAAATAAGCATCTTTCATCTACTACTGTATTTAGGGTTCTGTTTTCTTAAATATTAACTTTTTATTGCACAGTAGGGCTCTTCATAACTTAATTGGTCAATAAAAAGGCAGAAATGTCTCAAAATTGTGGCGATAAAAACCGTATCGACTAATGTATTGCTGAAACTTAATTTAAGAGAAATAAATAGCAAAGAGTACTAAAATATACACACAATAGGTATAACTAAATAATAATAATAATAATAATAACAGCCAATGGCATCAGTTCATTCGCACATCAAGTAAATCAAAATGGCTGAAGGTTTTGGTTCAAATATTTTGTAATTTTGTGCAGTTTTAGGCCTTATACTGTACAGTGGCGCTTCAGGTCACCATTGGCTTTTTTCAAGAGGCAATAACTGACCAGCCACTGAAGAAATACAGGAATTATTTAAAGGGCATTGCTGCGTTTTTCGAAGCTCCCATAGACAAAGTAACAAAAACCGGACGGAAGATGTGATTAGAAAAGAGAACATGATTTTACTTCTTATTAAACGTGATCACGTTTAAGAATGAGTTCAAACAGAAGTATAAGTGGTTCTCGAACTTCTGTTGTCTTTTCGTCCTTTTAGACTGGAACTGGTCCTGGACTAGACTTGGTTCAGTCCTGGTTTAGTCCCAGTCTAATCATGGTTTAGTTATGATTTTAGTGACACTTCAGATTGTTTTAAGTGACACTTGAAAAGCCAAAATCTTAAAAAGTGACAAATTTGGAGAAGGAAATTAGAATATAAATAAATAAATTACTGTTTTCAACCACTGTCATGCCAATATTGCATTAAGATTTTAAGTATTTTTAAGTGCGTATGGCAGGTTTTGACGATTCTCACATTTCTACTAGTACCTGTTGTAAAAATAAATGATAGTTTTACGCCAATCAAGAAGAAATTTGTGAAAAAAAGTTGAAAAATATGTTGAAACTTACAGGAAGTGCTGAGTTACTGTATATTTTAGAGAGTCCCGTATTGATGGCATCACACTAGGGAGAATTCTGCCCATAAGTTGAGGACAATTTACACAGGAAATACATTTTTTCAGATAATTTAAATATTATGGCAACAAAATAAACGTGTTTTATTATATTTTTGTTTTTTAAATATTAATTTCTGTGTACCTTAGAGGAGTTTTGGCCCAGTGTACATATGGTATTACCAAATGTGCTGTCAAAAATGGCCAAACTGGGGATAAAATTGTAACATTTCTCGTAAATTCTTCCATATAATGAACGATCTTAACTACGTTTGAGTAAAATGAGTAGTCCAACCTGTCATGTGCACTTTGAAACAGTCAGTCCAGTCTTCTATATAAAGTCTACGGGAGCTTTTAGTTTTAACAGGTGTCGCCATGGCATTCACTCTCTCACCGTCAACACAAACAGGTCACAGTTACGCACACGGACGCACAAACATGTATGTAAATCTGTCTACAGTTTTAACCAGCGTCTTTAGGCTCAACGCGAGGCAAGTCACTGTGGCTGCTACCTGCTTTCGCCATGAATCAAAGCACCCACATTTCCAACTACATTTGAACGCACCGTACTCAAAAGCATAAATAAAATACAACTTTGCGAAGCTGTAGATCTAAAATGGAGTGTAGGAAATGCGGATATCTTAAAACATGGCGTGCGCACAGAGGCAGTTAGCTGGTTTAGTTGCATATTGTGGCTATACTCCTCTCTGGCTTTCTTGTCACCCCCTTGTGGACCAAAACAGCACCAGTGCAGAGGCAGAGGGGAGGGGCAGACCCAGGTCCGGTTCAGGTTCAGGCAGGACTGGTCTGGACTGGTCTGGTCTGGACTGTTTTTTTGGAGGGTCTCAGGCGAAGTACATGGTCCGCAAAGTGTCGTGGTGGATCTGAACTGCTTTCGCCAAGGCCTGGGGGTCTCTGCCGTTACTCTGCCCCGAAACATGACTGCCCTCCGCACTGAGAAAGAAGATGTAAAAAACAAGTTAAAATTTTGTTGCTTTTCTAAGTCTATAAAAATCATTATTTGTATGAAAACAGAACATAACTTAATTTTATTGAACCCTTCATGGTCAATATATACTATTTAAAAGAAGCACTATGTAACTTTTTGGTTTGGAGTCCGGTCACCTGCTTGTTTTTTATGGAAATGTTATTGCTCTGCCTGGAATCTTCCACAGTATGACATTAAAAAGTTTAAGGCTGTACAATTAATCGAATTTTGATTGTGATTTCGATGTGTGTGATCTGCAAATTCATATAATTGAGTTAAAATGATTTAAAGCTTAACAAAGTTTGTTTTGGGATATTTTTTATATAAATAAGTATATTTATTTTATTTTGTAAATATAGAGATTGTAGAACAGCTGGATATATAGTTTATTTTGGATACATTTATGTTTTTCTATGCCTATTTTCATGTATATTATTAGTAGTATATTTTATCCATTAGGTCTTACACATCACAAAACTGCACATATTTGTAGCCTATATTTTCAGTTTGAAAGCTTTGGGTAAATTATCAATAAGGATTTCTTTTTTTTGAGAGAGAGAGAGAAAAGCTGAATAAAAGCATTGCTTAACTACAAAATAATCATTTGAATAATCGTGATTTCAATATTGACCAAAATGATCATGATAATTTTTTCCATAATCAAGCAGCCCAAAAACAGCGCTACCTTACATTTATTAAATTACAGGTGGTTTTATAGCTCAAAAATATGGAAATAAACAAGTATTCTGAGTCTGACTTGGTCTGTTTTTTTTTCCATGAAGACAGAGAACTTTAATACTATACTGTAATAAACTCCAAACAAAGCGCTAACATCTCCATGGAGAAAAGTATTTGACAGATTCCCACGAGAAAAGTTGCACAAGGGATAATATTGAGGACTTCTCTAAAGTAACACTGTGTAACTTTCTGGAGGTGGAGTGTTATCTGCATGAGCAGACTTCGGAATATAGATAAGTTTTATGCAGTTCAGTGGAATCTTCCAGCCAAAGAACAATATTTCCATAGAGGCAGATAAGCAGATGGAGGCTCTACTCCAGGCCAAGGCCAGTTTGCCCGCTCAGAGTAAGACCGCATGTTTTTCAATGTTTTTCAGTACAATGAATACAAATAAAAAACTATTAAAAAGACAATATACATGGGGCTTTAAATTGTCTACAATACAATGATTTTTGTTAAAGATATAACTCAGTGCATCTAATTCTTGGACCCTGAATCTTAAAGTGAAATTGCATATATGTAAACAAAAAGAAAAACATTCATTCAAAAACATTCTTCTATTGCCCAATTCATGTGAAACAATGAAATTAAGTATAAGAACTAAATCCCTTCTCTTATAAGATTTTTAGCAACCCCTAGTCTGACAGGTTTCTATACCAGATGCCCTTCCTCTCTTCATCTCATACATTGGGACTTGCACTCTGATCTCACCTGTCGTGCTCCTTGTCGACCAGGTGGTAGCGTGCCCTGAAGGCCACGAGGTGGGCGTAGTAGGCGGGCGCGGGGATGGACACGGAGCGGGTGCAGCGCACGTACGTGTGGCACAGCTGGTATGTCAGGAGCTGAAACTCATCTGCAGTGAAACAGTTATCATCCCAGAGCACGTGGTAGTGAGAGGGACGACTGGTGCCCTTCAAAAGGGAAAGAAAGAGAAAAAACAAAACAGCTAAAGTTAGATTCTACTGTGAGGAAGAGGACTGCTCACACCTGCTGAGGGCTGAAGAAATGTAGAAGTTCTCACATTTGTTTAGGTTGAAAACTGTCACAATGCTGCCACTCAATCCACAATTTAAATCATCATCTTTCAACTATCGTATTTTCCACACTATAGGGCGCTCTGGATTATAAGGCACACTGTCATTGAATGGTCTATTTTCAAACTTTTTTCGCATGTTGGCGTGTTCGCAGTGACTCGTTCAGTTGTGGCTTGACGTGCCACATTGCACTCGCTTTTTCTGTTCGTTCCTCCGTTCCATTCCTCATCCGCATGGAGTGATGAGTGTGGCTGTGGGTGTTTTCGCTGCACGGTCGCTGTCTGCTCCGTGCGTGTTTGCGTGCGCTGGTGGTGCGGCTTTGTAGTTTACTGAAGTCGTGCAGGGACACCTAAGTGGATTCGTGTACAGGGCGCTCTGGATTGTGGTGCGCGCAGTTATTTTTTTGATGGGGTTGGAGGCTTATGAGTGCACCCTATAGTGTGGAAAATATGGTATTTAAAAGTCTTACTCTATCTTCCTTCTGCAGTATCCTGTTCATGCCTCACTGTTGTAAAACTGTAGATTTTAACATTATCTATTTTACTGCATTCTCTCAATTTAATTGCATTTTGTATTTTCTATTGTTGTACGATGACCTTGAGTGTCTTGGGGATGAAGTTATTTTAATTCTGATGGATACCATTATGAAACTGCTAAGGCTTTTCTGAAGGACCATAGTTTCCTCCAGAACAACTATCTATCTATCTATCTATCTATCTATCTATATCTATATCTATATCTATATCTATATATATATATAAAATCCTTGTATTAGATTGTCAATTAATTGTTTAGTCTTTTGTCAGTACTTCTGCAAGTGTTTACAGAATTTTGAAAATCCAGTTAGATACTTTTCCAAAAATCATGTAGTCCTAGTCAAAATGTGCAGAAAATGCAAAAATTTGCAGACAGACTGTTCAGGGAAAAGTAATATTGGAAATTGAAAACAGCAACCCACAACTGCTCCATTAACAAGGAAATTATGAAATCCATTTAGCTGTTAGAGCCATTTACCAAATTGTATAAACAGAGTCAGTTGAAAATAACTTCTGGTGGAAGATCCAATGACAAACCCAATTATGATTTTGAAAATGTTGCAGACAATTACATAATGTAAATGATAGAAAATAAAAACTGTCCTGTACCTGGATGCCCGCGTGGCTGCAGAGGTAAAAGTCAAACTCGTACGGGTGGGTGATGTCTGTGTCCACTGTGGTACCAGCAGGAATGTTTCCACTACGACCAACCTGCAGAAAAATTAAATTAACAGCTAAGACTTTGTCCACAAAACTAGTATCTTCTTTTAAGAAAAATATGCTCTCCCTCTATTTTTTTTTATTATCTGAGTTTGTTTTTGTCTTCTGTTCCATTATATGAAAAATAATTTAACATGTATTGAAAGCATGACCAATCAACACTGAAATCCTTAATTTTTCTTCCATTCCTAGTCTCCTAGTCTACTCATTTTAGTGGGCTACATTTGGATGCTTATAAATGCTTCGTATGCTTATAAATGTGACGTTTATAATCACAATTAACCAAAAATATCCCTAATCCTAATCCTCTATGATTGTCATTGGTGGCAGAGTTGTGGTGCTCACCCTCTCATTGCGATCGGCACAGAACAGTCTGGTGTGATGGCGTTTCTGGACCACGATGTAGGTGATCCCGGGCTGGTACTCCTTCTCCAGACTGATACAGGCCTCTCTGATCGCCAGCAGCTCATAGTACAGCACCTGGAGGAGAGAGTAAGAAGAACCTCTCAGAGTATTGCAGTTAAAACAGAATGGTGACAAGTAAAATGTTAAATTATAGCTGATATATTATACAGTGCAATAAGCCTGCAATAAGGTTTTTCATTATGATTTTTCTAATACACCAGCTAAATCTATAAAAACATTCTAATCAATTTAAAAGGATAAGGTAAGAAAACCTTTATAATAAACAGTATTCATTTTGAACAAGGCTTTCTTAAATTTCACAGACGAACATGGCTAAAAACTTTAAAATTACAGTTTAACCATAAATACTAAACTGGGAACATTCTTGTAATATTTCATGTTTGAACTGAGCTCATTAGCCTTCATTTGATATATGAAATTAATAAATTAAATACTGCACAAATGTTCCTTGACCTCATTTATTTTAATAATTTATCATCTCATTCAGTTTGTGCAGTATAAATGTCACTGCCTTACTGCCAATATTGAATCTTTAAACAGTAATTTTTGACCTGTGATGTCTACTTTATGATGATACAATGAGCAACTAAGCACACACGAGCACACGGGTCGCTAGGAGATGCCCCAGTACTGCCACAGTGAGTGTTATTCCCAAAAGCACGGGCCATAATAATAGCCTTTGCATTTTAACTAGTTACTGAGATTGTACCGTGTAGGCCTAACAAATATATCACCAATTTTCGACTTAGTAATACAGTACGTTATAAAAATCCATTGCTAGCTGTATTTATTTATTTTTTTTACATTTGCACCTTTTCTGGTGAGGACACTGTGGAGTTACACTCTGTTGGGGTTGGGGTTGAGTTTAGCCCTGAGTTTAGCCCTGAGTTCAATCTTCGTTCTGATGTGTAATGAAGTTTCCAGGAGATGTACGCACTACAGTGATGGTAGAATGAGACAGAAAAAAGGGTGGAGTGGTGCGGTCCACACTATGGAACATTTTTTATCAAATGGAATAAGATTGCAGAGCAGAAGGCAATGCAATACTATGCCCGTTTTATTTAGGCGACCTTACAGTCAAAGACAAAACATTGACTGTTACGTGCACAGCAGAGCACATGAAGTGAGCACTTGTCACTGCAGCAGTTTTGCAGTTTTCCCTTTCAAAGAAATGGGGAAAAAAAATGGCTTTACGAGCAGACAACCAGGTACATTAGTACCTGTCTGAACTGTCCCTCTGACACTCCGTCCCTGTAGAAGATGATCCTGGTGGGTTTGTATCTGGTGGATTTGTAAAATTGGATGAGCAGCTCTCGGACCATAGAGGCCAGGTCCTGGATGATCTCCTGTCTGGGCCTTTGCACTCGCACCGTGGCACAGTACCGGCTGGGATGAGCATCCATACTGCCCACCACCTGAAGGAGAGGAGGACATTCAGATCAACATAATAGCACAGGGCCAGAGCAGGAAAATATTAGTTATAAATACATTGACTGAAATGAATTTAAATATTTGCTGTTAAGATTGTCCTATACTACATGAGTAAGCTTGTTGTAGCTGCGATAGGGACAGACCTGGTGCTAGCCCACTGATCGTGGGAATGCACCATTATGATACTGGTATCTGATATCAGCGCAGATATTGAAACTTTTGATGGATCAGATATTGGCATCATGATATCGGTTCAGTCGATATCCCATTTTAGTCTATAAACTGGTGTAAAAAGATGATTTTTCAAAGCTGTTCTGTAGTTACTGTAAATGATAAATAACAGTTACAAAACACATAATAGAAATAGAGTATAGGTATATAGAGTATATAAAACATCTCACCGCTGCTATAGATGGCTTCTTCCCGTCTCCCGCTGGAGGGTGAGTGACATCCGCTCCGAGGAAGATAATCGGCTGCTGGAAAACCGAGGGACTGAGAGAAAAAAGGAAACAAAATGAAACCTATAAACCCAAGAACTAGACTGATGCTAGAAAATCTGACAAAAACTACAATGAAAAAAACATTCTCACTGATGTTTAAATAACTATATGTAAATGAAGACTACACTACATCCTGTCTTTTATTTATTTTTAGTATTTTTATTTATTTACTTATCTATACATTTCTGAGCCTTGGGTGGGATTTGGGGTTTATTTAATTTACAGTTTTCTCTTTTCTACAAATAAATGCCATTGTTTATTACTTATGCAAAGCTATTAAATAAAGTTTGAAAAAAATATGTTTGTGAAATCCCTCAGTTGCAAAAACTTTTGTCCAGCTGACAGAATTGAATTTCTCCTTTGCTATGTTTTGAAAAAAACAAAATAAAAAAACACTAGAATGAATTCATGTTAAAATCCAGAGAGGTGGGGTTTTTACCGTTGGTGTGGGACCAGGATGTTGTTGATTCCTCCCAGTTTGACGTTGATTTTGAGGCAGAGGTTGGATAGAGTTTGAGGCGACGTCTTAACCACATTTTTCACCTGAACGCACTGAGTGGCCATCCCCAATAAAGTGTCTCCAACTCGCTTCACTTCAGCTGTGTCATACAAACAGAACAAAAACAAACACAAAAAGAAAAATAAGTGTTATAAGGTGGGTAATTTGGGGATTTGGTTATAAAATAAAAAAAATATAGAGTTGCTTTTTTTCCTTTGCTACATAATTCCATACATCTTACTCCATATATTTTGTCTTCTGTATGTAGATCAAATGTAGAAATTAGTAACACACAGTATGTCTTGTTTTGAATCACAAACTGTTATTATATTTGTGTATTGTGTTTACCGTATACAGGAGTTTTTCCAGGCAGGATGACGATGATCAGTTGCAGTCCGGCGTATGTGTTTTTGAGATGTCTGAACATGGGCTCCACGCTGTCTGCGCCCTGAGCATATTTACAGAAACACGGCTGGCCCTGGATCGGCATCCCGGCATCTTTAGAGATCTTCCTCAGCTGGTCTGTAAAACTCCTGACAAAACAAAAGGAACCGTTAACTAGAGATTGACTGATTTGCAGTTTTTCATGATGTCGATACCGATTGTTTAGAATCCAAAGAAACCAATGGCAGATGACCTCTGCCGATATTTTTGGGCCAATATCAAGAGCCAGTTTAGGTAACTGTCCCAAATTATCAAATCAAAATTCAATACAAACCTTTTTTTTTTTTTTTTTTTTTTTTTACAAACTGTGTAGAGAGCAGTGTAGTCAAATTTTGCTGTACCCTTTTCAGACTTCAAATAAAGCTTTATGCATATATTGTTATGCATATTTAATTTAACGGCCTATGCCTATAATCTGCAATATACTGGTATCTCTCTACTATTAGCACTATGCATTATGATTGGACATGCAATGGCAATTATCATCACTGCCTTCATATTCACACTCACACATTCACACTACAGCGTACAAAAACATTAGAGGCAAAGCAGGAGAGGCGTGTTGCTCAAAGACACAACAGCAGTCTGTACATATGCGTATAGCCGCTTGAGATTTCAATCACCAACCTAATAATACATAGCAACTGGTTGTGTTTGTATTATTTCAGGAACAAATGTTATTTTACGTTTTCGGCAAGTAGTCTGTCCTTTAAAATTTGTCAAACCACACTTGGTTCTCAAAATTTAAAATCCAGGTAAGAAAATTAAGTACACTGTTAATATACCAATAAAATGGTTTTAACCCTGGAGGAAGTGCACAGGGTGAAGGAAGTCTGGGAGTCCTTGCTTAGACTGTTGCCCCAGTCCCTGGTAAGCGGAAGAAAATGGATGGATGGTCTTAAAAAATGGCCATTAAAAAGAATAGGTCTAATACCAGATATAAATTAAATTAGAATACAGTTGTAATAAATAAAACTTTAGTATTAGAATAATAAGGCTGTGACCTGTCTGCATCTATTATTTATATAAATATGTATACACGTTTATAAAAAGTATTTTGTTTCTCACAAACCAGAGTCATACGCTGAGAGCTAATGCAGCGTTAATAACTGGACTTGCATAAACCTGTTTAAGGCTGACTCACTTGAGGATTTCCTCTCTGCACTGGCGCTGTGTGGCGAAGCATGCGATGGCCCACATCTTGATCTCAACTCCGGTGTGAAACTGTTTCCCTCTCATGTCCCACACGCCGTGACTCGGAGTCGCCACCGTCCGGTTCTGAAAACACAGTGTAGGCTGATCTGCTGAGACTGGCCCCAACACAAACTGTACAAGCAAGTGTCACAGGAACTAAACATGTAAATTTTTAACAGGCAGTGTATTAGAGTAATGGGCAGAGTGGTCTTTGAAAGTCCCATATCACGATATTTTCTGATCTTTGGGTTTCTTCATCACAAACACACCTGGAGTTGGGTTTTGTTTCATTCACACATGTTTAACGCGAGTTCTTCTCTTAAACTGAAAACACTGTTCCACTTTGTGATGTCATGCGGTGATACATGAAGTGCTCCCTGTGTTTGTAAAGTCCATACACCTTCACTAGAATCATTTGGATGATTTCAGCCCTGGAAATGTCAATATATACTGAAGTAAAAGTAACAGCTATTAAATTGAAAACCACCACTACATGACAGCACAATAGAGCATAGAGGTGGAACAGAGCATTTAGAGCTTTGGAGATGTAGACAGACTAATAATAAAAGGATTACTGAAATATGTGTGAATGAAACAAAACAACTCTGGGCATGTTTTTCATGAGGTAACAGCATTTTAACATGGTTTAAAGCTCACAAGACTCAATTTTGCATAATACAGGACCTTTAAACAAAGACATCTCTCTTCTTGTAAGAACTGTAATCTATACGTTTTTTTTGCACCTATAATAATATACCTCACAACTACTCATACTACACACACATTTTAATGATTTCAGACTGTACAATAAAAGTGGTACATGTATAAAATGAGAATTATGTAAGTGGGATTGGTTAAAGTAAATGCCAATTCAAATCAAAAGAGGATAAATGACTGCAGCAGCACATGCAAAAGACACATGCCAAACTGTAAAGCCAAGGTGAAAATAAGATTAGGGCTGCAATTTATGAACTCATGGTGACTAGCTGGCTATAATAAAATATCATAGTCGTATTTTCATAATCATGATAATTATCTGGACTAAACTGATTCTAAAACATGTCAAAAACAGTGGTATTATTAAATAATTAAATGTAAAAAAAAAAGATAAACAATTTCCAGTTATCATCAATAATACACTATTTGTAAATATTCTCTGTTTAGTAGGCTTCAGTCACCATATTTCAACTTTTATTTGATTGAAAATGTATTTAAAGAGTCTCAATGTTCAGAAGACGACTAATCTACTTCAAAAATAATTGTTAGTTGCAGCCCTAACTGAGATATAGTTACATATATTCAAATAGGATATATGAATTAAAAGGATTTTTCATAATATCAAGAGGAAATTTTTTTTAATGCAAATTAGCTCAAAACATGCATGCATTTAATCTCTAGAAATGACAGATTGGAAAAATACTTCAAATTGAATTAAAATATGCTTAAAAGAGCATTTGAGTGTGCGTGTGGTGTGTGCAGTGCGCTCAGAGACAGACAGTGAAATGAAGCGTGATTAAAGGAGAGGTACCATGAAGGGCTCAGAGCTCACCCTGCCGCCGTACTGCAGCATGGGGGCCGGCAGCACGCGGCCCGTCACCTGAGCCATCTCATCTCTGACCCGGAACTGAAACTCTTGAACAAACGGATCGGACTCATAGTTCGCGCTGCGCACCTGAGGAGAGACGGGGAGAGGGGGGAAAGAGGAGATTATATTACATAGCAGGAAACAGTATATTGTTAATCTGATGTATGTGACATATAATACAAACACAAACTGTTTAAAATTTAGATGATTAAGCAGAGCTTCAAAACTGCTATATGTAAATACAATGAGCCAGGGCAAAACATTAGCAAACATTTGCAGTATGACGTTTATCTAGATCTAGATCCTTATAACAAATAGTAGTGACTGGAGAAGGATGTTTGAAATTTATGGACCAATGGAGCTCAACAGTGACAGCATGCTCAGGTTCATGAAATTTTCTATTCATTCTTCCGAGACACTGCGAAGGGTAAGCATCTACATGCTAACGTTACATGCTAAATACGGCAGTTTTAAGTCAAAAAAGGATGTTTAAAATAACAAAAAATTTTTAATAATTGTGAGGTTTATAATGTTCCAGAAACACATTTTAAATAAAATTATAGGTCTTTAGTGGTCATTAGAATTGTTTTATATTCTTTTTTTTGTTCAGAAAGTCTATTGAGTCTACTGGTGTCGTTTATTTTGCATTAGACCAAACTTGGATTTCATTTAGGGCATCATTCCATTTGGACAACTAAAACTCATAACATGCAATACAATTATATGTTTTATTTGGTAACTTAATTGAGCAATCATAGCTGTTATACTCTATTTTTTGTAGGCAAGGACATAAAACAGTCCAACTCCCATGTGGTTTATAGATTTATGTCTTGACATGACACTGACCAGTCTGCTGATCTCCTCCTGTCTGTCTGGAGCCGAGCGCGCTGTGGCTTTGATCATCGTAGATGTCTGGTTATCTGTGAGCTTTTTTATACAGCGCTGCCCGGCCACAATGTTACACACCTATGAAAGGAAATAAGAGAATTTTATATCATTTTTACACATTTCTTACATTCTTTTACAAGCTGAATCTTTAGGTGAATGTGCTACTCTCCAATAATATGACCAACTAAATGTAAATATTAGGGACCAGGTCTATAGGGCTCTGAGCTGAGGCCTATGGACATGGGATAGATACATAAAATAAATAATAAAAATGTATATAATAAAATAATAATAATTAATAAACAAAACTTGACTGAGAAATGACTGAATTATTTTTTTTAACAAATGCAGTGTATTTTTATGGGGAAGAAACTCTGCAAACAGAATCACTTTTTTTCCTATTAGTACAAAAAGAGTGTGTGAAAAGTAATATATGCACGGAACTGAATCCAATACAATTGCCTTACAGAATCTATGAAAACAAGTTCTAACAGATCACAATAGTCACTAATATGTTGTCTCAGCATGGACTAATCCTGCCCATACTGCTGTATTAGTCCTCCAGTGTCTCACCTCCAGGGGCAGGTAAGTGTGCTTCTGCTCCTGCCCCACCTGCAGACAGGGCAGGTGCGGGTACTTCAGCTGCAGGTTGTACTTCTCTCTGAAATACTGAGCCACTGTCCGCTCCACCGTCTGACCATTCTCCAACTGCAACGGAAACCTGAAAACACACAAAACACAGTGTTAGTACCATAATACAAGCTGGAGTCAACCATACAAATAAAACAAGACATCTGAATTCTTTACTGATGGTTTTCAGATTATAGAAAGTGAAAGTTTGATACTCCCAGATGGGGGAAGAGCCAGATTTTAAAGTTGATTATGTTGTACTTTACCATGAATTATCCAAAAGGTAAATTTACAAATGTAAACTCACATCTATCAGTGGCTAGACCTAGTACCTTCTTGTATAAAAAATCAAAAAATTAAAAGAAAATATTATTGGCCAACTATAGAAAGTTGTAACATCATCTAAAACCCAGAAATAAAGAGGCAAACAAGCACTGTTTTAAAATCAGTTCTTTTTTCACTAGTTTTTAAAAAGTGATATGTACATTTCTTCTTGTTAATTAACTTGAGTATCATATTGTTTTCCATGTTTTTAGTAGTTGTATTGTGGCTTTGACTGTGATTGTCCTTGTCTATTCCATGTTTGTGTACAGCACTTTGGCCAGCTGTAAAGTTTTTAAAGTGCTTTATAAATAAAATATGGGATTTATTTAGTTTGATTTGGCTAGAGCAGATTAAACTCACGTCTGGAGGCTGGCCGGCCGCCGCGTCACGTTGCAGACCCTGTATTTTCTTCTCATCGTCCCACAGTGCGTTACTTCTACTTTCAGACCTGGAGAAGTCAAAACAAAACACTCCAAAACTGAGAATCAATCATCAAAAATCAATCAAGAATTTACCTATTGACAAAATGCAATACAAAATACTTATGGTTTAATGTTAACTTATAATTACAGCCATTATTATTAAAACAAAAATTATGTCAATATTATTAATTACAATTTGCACAATATGGAAGATACAACAATAAGAACAGTTGAACAATTTCTGCATTTCTAATTAACAATTTCATTATATGTATTGGTATGTATTCATGTAATGTTAATGGATATCTTTATATTATTTTAACATGATTTTAATATGAAACACAACAACGTATTCAGCAAGTACCCTTCCCACATTAGCTGCAAAGGATCTTAAAAGGATCTTAAAATAACCCAGCAGACATAAAAAGCCCGAAGAACTAAAAATAGACGGCAGTTTGGTTCAAGAGGGAGGATGAGGGGAGGAGGGGAGAAGGAGAAAAGGACTAATATCTCCTGGAGTCTGTAAAATTTTTAAAGTCTCATCTTCAAACTTTAATTCTGTGGCTCTAATAAACACTGCCTGAGTTGTGTGATCCTCTCTTGTCCTTTATTGATTTGATTTTCATGATTTTAATGATGAATATTAGTCCATTTTATCGTTTTACCCTGCTGACTTCCTATTTTCTCTTATTTGCTGGTTTAATAAGACAAGAACAACCTTAATTATATCGTTAAAATCTGCCAACGACTTGCCACAGTGTTCCAAATAGGAAGTGAGCGTGGATACACGTCCAGCTCCATCAACTCTGGCTCCAACTGACTTGTTATTGAACAATTGTCGCCCCTCTCTCTGTAACTGCCTCGTCATTTTGGTCTTAAAATGTTCGTATTAACCCGTTCTACACGAGCCGGGTGTTTTTATTTCACTATTTTGTCTTAATAAATTCCTTTTCCTAATATGGCTGCAAATGTACCCCTATAACTCAAGCCCAACACTACACTCACTTAGTCCACTTCTTTATAGTCTATTGTTTTATTAATTTTATTCTATTTTACAGTTTTATTTACCATGTTAAGTAGTATTTCAGTATGTGCAGCAATTTGGAAACATTTTTTGTTTGTGAAATGTGCTATAGAAATAGAGTGGGTACCTTTGGAAAATGTACCTTTGATCTCTTTGGTGAATTTGACGCGGTGGGAGTCGGTGAGGGGGCGGGGCTGCTCGTCGATGTTATGGATGTCCAGGACTTCACACATGAACTGGATCACGGGCTGAGCTTTGTAAAACGCAGTGGCAGAGACTGGGACAGAGGAGAGAGGGAGAGGAGTTAGAGAAAGTCATCATGAATAAAACTATAGATGGTGAATTATTTCAGATAAACTCCAACAATGATACGGCTTAATTTTGGTACTTGCTGTGTGTATTACCAGTGTGTGAGCCAGATTGTTAAAGGTCCTATATTGCATGAAATTGTCTCTTGTGAGCTTTAAGCCATGTTAAAAATGCTGTTACCCCATCACAAACATACCTGGGATTGTGTTTTGTTTCATGTCACACATGCTGAACCTTGTGATGTCATGCAATTCCTGGGCTTAAATTAACCAAAAAATTCTAGTGACTTATTTGTATGGGGTATAAAAACACATTGGAGCACTTCTTGTATTTCCACCTGACATCACAAGGTGGAACAGAGTATTTTCTGTTTGAAAGAAAGCTCTTAAATATGCAGAGTTTGTGTGCTAAACATGTGAATGAAACAAAACACTACTCCAGGTCTGTTTTTGATGAAGAAACAACATTGCATAGACCAGAAAACAGCGTAATATGGTCCCTTTAACACATTTATTCATAAAACTCCTGATTCAGTTGTTGTTGTTGTTTCTCACCATCGATGTTGAGCATCATCTTCCACATGGCGGGGCGGACTGACTGGTGAAAGCCGAACCACACCTCACGCCCCCCTCCCAGCGGGTGGTCGTATCCCTCCGGAGACGAGAAGAACGAGCGGCCCACAGGGGTGTATCTGCGAGAGACGGGGTGGTTAGTTTAAAGGGAGGACAAAGAACGAACAGGAGAAGGGTAAACTGTGGAAATTGCAGTGACATCATGCTGGGGGTGTTCTACATGAATCTCTATTGTCAGAATATTCAGCAGTTACTATGGTGACACAACACACACACTAGCCAGCACTACCAAAACAGTTTTGACATACAAGTGACTAACTGAAAAACTGCTGTTGGCTAATGCCAGCGAGCTTGTGACTGTAATTTTAAGTGTGAGAGATTTGTTTAGCAGCACAAATCATCTCATCTGTTGTATTTCCAACCAAGTCAGCTCTTTCTGGTCAGATTGTGCTAAAATAAAGCTCAAGTTTGAGTCTAACTTGAGTAACAGAGCTTCAGACAGAGTAGTGCCTTCAGTTAGCTTCACACCCCAGGGAATTTTTAAGACATCAGCTGCAAAGTATAAATTGAAATTAAATGCATAATACTATTGTAAATATTATGGTATATCATTAAAGACATTGGATCCCAGGCATTTGAGCAAATTTAGCCTTTCCCCAACACAAATATATCGTATAAGCAGCTCTTGAGGTCAAAGAAATTCTGCTGCGTGCTGTCTGCATCTAATTAGAAAGCATTTTAATATGCAATAATCAGAAAGTGTCCATTAGCATACTATTAGTTTTTAGCTTTGCAGTCATTGGCACTGGTCTCAGAGTTGTGAAAAGCGCTTATAAACTCATCGTAGTAAATAATTACGATGTTCAGAATGCATATGGTACGTGAGAAATAACAATTTTTTTATGGTTTTAAAGGTCCACTGCATAAGTTTTCTAGTGGAGGGTCTGTCAACTGCTTTTCTCCATGGATATGTTATTGCTTCATCTGGAATGTTTCATAGTATGGCATTAATCTTGATGAAACCACATGTAATTTAATAACTCTAAAATAGAGCTGTTTAATGTCATAGTGTGGAACATTCCAGAACAATGACATATCTTTAAAAACAAGCAGGTGATGGACCCCAAGGCCAAAAAGTTATATATTGCACCTTTAAGACAGCTCCAGAGTCTTTAGTTGTTTACAGTAAAATTACCTCACTAGCAGAAAACTGTATACTCATTTGGAAGACAAGTTATGTTTCTATTCACAGCCCGGGTTTTCAAGTGGATATATTGTACTTTTATTAGTTTAACAGTCAACGTATTTTTTAAACTAATGCATCGTGTTGCACTCGTCTTTCAAGTCGGCCTCATGTTTGCTTAAAATAAATATACCCAGGAAAACAAGACTGTAGCCACAAGATGATAAGAATCTAGAGTTAAGTCAGTCTATTGAGATGCAAAGAGCAATCAACCGAATACTAAAACTATTTTTAGTAGTGAGGATGAGGCCTAAAATCACCTAAACTTAAAATTCAATGTTATGTTTCCATGATTATTACAAAGACTCAGAGGTTGACAGTGATTCTCAGCACTGCTCTGTCTTTTCCGGTTCATCTTGGATCAGATTTCCTGTTGATCACAAACAACTCATCAACAGGAAATACTCAAGTCTAATTTAGAGTGTGTTTGCGAGAGATAAGTTTCAAAATCCCAGATCCAAAATTAACACAAACAATTGCCAGATCTGTCAAAATGAACCATTACAGCAGTTCTATTGTAATGTTTGACTGGACTTCTATGGCTAGGTGTGGCTTTTTAATCAGACTGATGAGTTAAATGGAAACAGAGGAGCAATTAAGTTAAAAATGTGAGTATTTACACAATCATGCAAGAAATCATTTTGTATCCCAGATAGACACATTTTGTTGTTTCCAAAAGTGACTTTTATATAATTTAACATCAGTTTGTGGGCCTTGCTGTTGTCAAATATCACTTATTGGCCAAATATCGGAGAGCGGTAACAGCTGGAAAAGCGGTAGATTAAAGCAAGTACAATAAAATAGTCCTTGTGTTAAATTATCTACTATAGTTTTGAGATTTCACCAACGTAAATATGACGTAATCTTTTTGAAGTTACTGTAATTATAGGTGATTATAAATGGAACTGACATAAAATAACAAAATTGTACACTCAGCCCATCTATCTATTCAAAACGTTCCTTGAAGGGGTGAAGTCAACTGGAGGAACTATAGGGCGGCAGTGGCTCAGTGCTTAGACTTGGACTTAGAGCTGTGGCCCCCCTTTGAATCAAATTCTGTCATTGTGTCTAGCCAGGCTGGCACCACCTAGTGCCTCCGCTCTATTTCATTTCTCTCTAGCAACTAGGTCAGGAATCAAAATACAATAAATGGTTCACAATAACCCCATAAGTGCAAGTTCGGGCACCAGCCAATCAGCAAAAAGTGATATAGTCAGTGTTGACAATGATCAAGGATTTAAAGCCAGAATAAAGAGAATTTTTGGTGAATTTTATCAAGGGGAAAGACCTTAATGTCCTTCTTCCTACGGGATTTGGGAAAAGCTTAATATACCAGTTAGCCCCGTTAGCGGCGCATTACATACATCACAACCAGTACAGCACAACAATCAGCGAATGGGTAAATAATAAAAAGTACCCGCCTACCATCGAGCGAACGAAATCTAAGGTTGGTACGAAGTGAAACGAAGTAAAAGCTCATGTATAAAAACCAGGTCTCACTTCATGGAGGGCAGGTGGCGCAGTACCACATCCACGGCGTGCACTGGGTTGGTGCTGATGGGTTTGTCCAGGTCGACGGGCTCTGCCACAGCTCGCCCGGTCAGGACCTCGTGCAGCATGTGCCAGCTCACCAGCGACACAAAGCGAATGGTCACTTTGAACGGGCGATCTTTACCCCCCTCACCAGGAAGAGTCACGTCCAAGTCCACCTAAGAACAACAGACAAGAAATCCATTAACCTGATAATCTTGACATCCCGGGTGTGTTTAGAAAGGAGGGTTTGATTCGTAAAAATTAACATTAACACAGGTGCAGCTTTCTTGGTTGGGGTTCTGTCATCATCATCATAAAATTTTAGTGCAGGATTCTAACCTGTAGCTGAGGAGTTCTCCACCCTCTTTCAAGACTCAAGTAGCTCACCAATGGACTTCTGAATTATACCTACTGTGCTGAATAACTAAAATTGTATAAACTGCTTATTATACCTGACTTTGTGCACTAATAAATGGATAATAGTTTATTTTTTATAGGCATCTAACTGTACTTCATCTAAGGCGTATCATACTTCTTATATATACTAAATATCTCTGAAATCAGTAGCTCTCTGGTATTTTCATTTGTGGTAAAACCCAAGAAAGGAAAAAGTAGAAATTTCACAAAACCATTGGCTTTTGCATACATGAATTTTCAGTTCAGCAACAAAATGAAGCAAAGATGGACCGCGATCTCAGAGCCAATATGCTCTCATCCCAAATGTATTACAACAGCGCAAAAGGCTCTTTAGTCGGGTTTGCAATCATTAAAATATTTCACAATTAGATGCCACAGCGCAGAGTACTACTGCTAGATTAATCAAATAGAAACCGCAATTTGAATGGACACAATTAGCAAAAGGCAAAAGCTGCAGTTTCTGAAGTACCACAATTTCCTCCAGTAACAACAAAATATCCTGTTTTATTCTTTATAACAGTGTAGTAGCTAACCCTGTAGTCTAGATCTGTATAGTTTTGCTCTTTTGCTCTTATATGTATTGTTTTGTGTGAGCTACTGTGTCCAAGTAATTTCCCTTGTGGATCAATAAAGTTTGTCTAAGCCTAATGTGATTCTTGTATTAGTTTGTTGGTCATATTTCAGACTTTGTCAATTCTCCTGTGAACTTTGAACAGAATCGTAATAGAAATACATTAATCACTGCTGTTTCTACATGATATCAGAGGAGTCTTACCCCGCTGGTGGCGACAGGCAGAGGCTGTGCTGTGTACAGGCTCCTCTTCCCATCGTAAACAGGCAGACGGTCCCCGAAGATCGTCACCTTGAAATGTTGAACCATGGAGTCCACCACCTCCCTGTGAGACACATGAGACCTGGTATTAAAAAGGCACTACTATATCTGGTATATTCAGGACTACCAAACAAATAGTCATTCAGCTGTAGATAGAGCCAGAGATACTTTTCCATATTGATTACACTGTATTTCGCCATGAAATATTCAAAAGGTAAATTTATAAATGTTGACCTTGATCATTTCTATTATAATATTGGCCTATTCATATTTTGCAGCGACATCATGCCAGGAGTGTTCCACATGTTGAACAGTTACCATGGTGACACAATGCACACATTATCAATCACTGTCAAAAAACATTTTAATATTGTCTAAAAACTCAAAAAGCTAAATGGATTTAAACACAGCACATTTTGAAGAGCCTGTGATTCATTTGAAAGTTCATGGTCCTGCTTAGAAGTTTGATTTTCAACAAAAAGCTGAAAGTGACTCGCTGAAAAACTGGCAGAGGCGGACTGCCTTGTGACTGTAATTTTATGTGTGAGACTTGTTTAATAGTACAAATCAGATCTCCTGTATAGTTCCAGTTGAGTTTTTCATGGTCAGATTATGTTAAAAAGTCTAACTTGAGTAACAGAGCTTCAGACAGAGCAGGGCCTACAGTTAGCGACATACCCTCAGGGAATATTTATGACACTGGCTGCAAAGTATCAATAGACATGGTATCCCCAGGTTTGACTACCCCAAATTTAAGACTTTCAGACCTTTTTAAAACTACTTAAATGAAACACTGCACCCATTATGCGGGCAAAAAACACCAGATGCAATTCTAATGACCATTACTCACTGCTTTAAATAACAAAAAATAATTTTGTTATAAAATCTTGTTCAGAACTAATTTATAGTAGTATGGATTGCTTGTAAAATGGCCAAAAAATCATTTATAACATTCTAACAAGACAAACTAACCTTTCATATTGTCTTGTCTCACATTGTCAAAGTACTTCATCCATTTAACATTTCCAACAACAACAAACTATTGTTCACTGTACTAATTGTTTGCTCATTGCCGCCGGCACTAGAAACCAAAGTATTGTTTGCACATACTCCAAATTAGATATTCATTCACGTTACATGATTTCCTCCCTCTGTTTAACATTGCACTGCAGCCTGGTTGAGTATACAAAGATAATAGGCCAATGAAATTTAAGACCATTGTGAAAAAAAATATGACTTGGACAACATAACTTAAGGCTTTCTAAGGCCTTAATATAGGAACATGAAATTTAAGACCATTTTAAGACTTTTAAGCCCTGATAGAACATGAAAATCCCTTTAAGATTTAAAACCTCTATTTGAAGAGACAGCAGTTTACCACATAGTCACAACATACAAATAAATACAAATAATAATAATAATGTAATTCAAAAGCCAGATAAAAAATGTGAATAAATAAAAGCGAAATAAACCCAACAGTTTAAAAACCCTTCGGGAGTCTGGTGTTGCGAATTAGCCGAGGCAATAAACACTGTGGCACTTGCATCAGATTACTGATTTCTTCATGTGTTTGTGCATCTGTCCCCGTTCAAATAAACAAATAAGTATAAATAAAGTATCTCGCCGTCACCTGTTGACCCTGCGCGGGCACTTGTCTGGCTTGATGTCCACCTCATACAGGTACACGTCGATTTTGGGGATCTCCACCTGGAAGCAGTTGGCCAGGAGCCGGATGGGTTTCCCGATGGTGCCATAACCTGGTCGCCGCGGCAACGAGAACAGGGACTGGGCTCCTACGGGAACACATGAGAGACAAAAATACAAAAGTTAATTAAAAATACAATGAATTCACCAAGTAGTTAGCAAGGATGTGAACATAAAAATGACAGCTTCTGTAATCATTATTGGGTAAAATGTGTTAAACCCAACATCCCTATGACAGTGAGAGTTCAAATGTAAGACTAGACTGGAATGCTCATGTAAAATCAGCAATACAAGTAATAAAAGTGGCAGCAACTTTTGAGTTTTCTGATCTGTTACAATGTTTCCTCATTATGTTTCATTCGCAAATGTTTGAGTAACCATTTATTATTAGTTTGTTTACATTTCCAAAGTGCTCTGTTTCACCCTGTGATGTGATGAAGTGGTAGTTTAAGTTAACAGCTCCTTTTACCTTTAGTTTAGGCTGTGCAATTAATTGAATTTTGATCGCGATTTCAATTTATGTGTCATCTCCAAACTCAGTTGAAAAATAAGTTGAAACGATTTGCTTAACTTAAAATAATAAATAAGTATATTTATTTTATTTTTTTAAATATAGAGATTGTAGAACAGCTGGATATATAGTTTATTTTGAATACATTTATGTTTTTCTATGTCTTATTTCACGGTAAGTTTATGCATCAGAAAACTGCTCTAAGGTATATATTTGTAGCTAATTTTTAAGTAAGAGTAAATTGTCAAAAACAGTGTTTTTTGAGAGAGAAATGCTGAATAAATGCATTATGTAACAAAAAAAAATAATCGTTTGAATAATTGTGATTTCAATATTGACCAAAATAATCGTGATAATGATTTTTTTCCATAATCGAGCAGCCCTACCTTTAGTTCAGTAGAGATTGGCAATTCAAGGTCTGAAATCATCCAAATGATTCTAGTGAAGGTGTATGGAGTTTAAAAACACAGTGGAGCTCTTCCTGTATTACCGCATGACATCACAAGGTGGAAAAGAGTGTTTTCAAATATGCAGTGTGTGTGGTAAACATGAATGAAGCAAAACACAACTCCAAGTACGTTACAATGTCGTGAAAAGTAGATCAGATAATAACGTAATATGGGCCCTTAAAATAATACCACAAACTTTTATCAACATTTATCAAACGGTCTGGAGCAACTCAGAGGAAGGAAGTGGTGTTAAGGACTTAAAGATGTTAAGATTCGTTACAATCTGTTTCCTCTGTTATTAAAATAAAATAACTGACTTGACTAGCTGTGCGTTTAGTGGCCACAGTGCAGAGTCAGAGTCAGTAACATTTCGTGTAGGTGTCTGGTGAGTGGCGTGACCTTTGCAGACGGGACGCGGAGTGGGTGTTAGCATTAGCAGCACAGACGCTAACGTGACACCAATTTTCATAAATGTCAAACTGCCCTCACAAACTGACATCAGGCACTTTACACAGAGGCAGCCGGAGCCACAATGGGACAGGGCTATTTTGAGGTGAAGAATGAGCAGTCTATAAATAAAAGTGTTGGCAGAGGTTGAACAATTTGGAATAATGTCCAATCTTTCCAAATTTGTCGTGCTGTAGTTCAAAAGCGCTGCCTGTAATGCTCCACGCAGATCTTGCTGCAGTGCATTATGGGTATAGTAGTAGTAAATCTTCCTGTACACAAACTATGCAAGTTGTATAGTGCCCCACAGCTGTAAAGGGAGCCAATAGTTTTATCATTCATGTTGGTCAATCTACTAGAGATGTAACAATAACCAAAAAATAGTGACACTGTATTGTAAAAAGTCTCACAATAATACGAATTACAAGTTTCTTTGCTTAAATGTATTGTTTTATAGTAGCAACAGCTTATAAACAGAGAACTACATATCCCATGATTCATTTCAGTGCAGACAACATGAAGAAATATGTTTTTTACTTGAATTCTTAGGGTTATGACTAGGGCTGGTTATCATTAAGAAGTTGCCGATAGGATACATACCTCGATACAGTGCACTTTCAATTCAATACAATATATTTCAAATTGATTCGATACAATTCAATAAAAAATAATGGCTAAATCATGACTGTGATACTAAAAGTCTTTGTTAAATCACTTCTTGTGCAAAGTTCATGCAGATTTTAATCATCAAAACAGTGAAAATGTGAAAAGTGTGGCATAAACGCGTTTACTTCCTCTAAACAAGCAACAAAACTGTAGCGCTGTAACAAAATAATTGAGTAAAATATACCAAAAAAATACTCTTGGCGATATATCGATTCAGCAGCCCACGATATTGATACTGTATCATCACATTAAACAATACGATATATCGATATTTCTGCATACCCCTAATTATGACAGTAATGAGTTGCACCAAATCTTGTCATGGTATTTTTAAAAGCAAAAAAGTTTCCTATCTACAATTATATTCTCCTCTCCAAAATATCACAATAAATATCGTACCGTGAGATGCATATCGTGAAAATATTGTACCGAAAGATTTGGATATCGTTACATTCTACATTTAATTACAACAAAATGCGCTCACATCTCTGTGTATATTAATCAGTTATGTGTTAATTTGCGTAAACATCATGCACATATCAATAAGGTTTATCACCTACTAATTATTTGTGCAGTTATTTGATGTCGTTCTGCATTTATTTATAATACAAAATATGTGACGTGATCCTAAAGTTAATCTAATGGTTTCATGGCAGTGCATAATCACATTATGATAGGAGAGAAAAAGAGAGACAGTCCTATTTATAATGAAAAGGGCTGTTAAATTGAAGTAGACATTTGGAGACCAAGAGTAAGTTTAGAGGCCTGGTGTGGCACAGAGGCATTACCACATAAGACACATCATATTTCAGATACAGGTTTTTTCATGGTCGTTATGTGGAGCCTATTTGAATTACTTTCCCCAAATAACGTCATTTAAATTTACTACAAATCTCCCCTAAGACCGGTTTTACTGCAAATAATTAAGAAAGCAGTGTAGTCCTGTTTTGTGCAAATATTATTATTATTAAAGTCTTACAAACATAAAGCTTTGTGTGCACTCTTCAGGCAACAGATGGTCCAAAACAAAATATAGACCTGAGTTGAAGATTTAAGGCTGGTGGTCAAATTGCGAAAAACTGCAAACATCGACCCAATATATCGATACATATAATGATACATCTATCTCCAACAGAAAACACAGTATTTTTCAGTTGGCTAAAGTGTTAGCCAGTTTTAGCCAGCTGGAAAAGATGAATGTGATATAAAACGGTAAAAATTGTGTAATTATAATAATCAACATTTTTTGGTTGATAATCAGGAATTAATTCTAGCCAATTTGTTGTTCTATTGGCCGTTATAAATGCCTCAGTGCTTTACTCTGTCTGATGTGGGTAACTCAGACACATGTGATGCAGATGTTGACAGCTGTGCATCATGTTATGGAATGTGAATAATCACTTGGGCCCCCTGAAGGTCAGATCCGGCCCTGCAGAGACCTGAGGGAGACGTGTTTATTTGTTTGAAAGAATGTGCCAGACTCAGGAGTTCCTTCAGAAAACACCACAAACACCGCAAAGGTCAGTTATAATTCCTATACTGACTTATCGTTCAATATATGAAAGATGGAACAATAGATTTTGGGGCTCAGTATTTATAGTCGGTACTTTCTCGGGGTAATAATGGAGATTTTTTTTAACCATTTTTATAATAATGTGAGATTTGAGTTGTAGAGATTAGAATAAATAACGTTTATCTGTTGCAGCTCAAACATTTTTAATGATGCTGTCCATTTAAAAATTGGATTACTGGCATTATCTTGCTTTGTGTCAGTGGCTTCAAGTATTTTCAATATCAACTATCGCACTATTTCTCTGTAGCAAATAGCAATATTTCATGCTTCAAAATCTGTTACCGTGACAGGCATGCTCATAAGTATACCCATGTGTACTTTGTGCTTTAGTAAAAGAAAATTTGATGTGAGAAGTTGCAATCTGAGCCCCAAACTCTGAACTTTGTTGAGATGAGGCAAGGAGAGAAGTGGTAAGTTTTGTCATTTATAGTTTTATGAATGAGATCCCCAATAAAGTAAGTGACTTAAGTTAGCATCAACAAATACACGCAGAAAAGAACTGAAGATTTGCCTCTCCAAAACCACAAATTGCAGTATATCCTCTTACATAATAATTTAATACTGCAAAATGGCAACTGCATATTTTCCCAAACAGATACTCCCTACAGTAGAGGCCCTCAAAGTCTCAGATTAAGTCCCTAGACCAGATCCAGTCCTGGTTCAGACTCTCCAGGTGCAAAGTCCCCAGGGCCGTTGCCGTGGAAACAGTGCCAGGTGGGATCTCCCTGAAACAACCAAAATGAATACAGGTGCAACTTTGACTCCTTCAGTTTTCATCAAAATCATGCTCTACATAGAAGTATGTTACAAAAAGTCACTGCCCCATATTAAACAGGTAATGAAGCTTTAACCTCGTGACCCACTTTTCACTCCATAACTCTGACACAGGGAGCGCAGCTTTAGACAACTGAGCAAACTCTTATAACTGAGAACTAGAAATATGTAGGACTGTTATGATAATATTTTTATATGAATCGCTACAGAGATATACTGCAATAAAAGATCATATTTAAACTACTTTATGCCACTAACACAATAACAATAATGCAGGATAATCCCAGTGAATCATTTGTAAACAAACAGTATCACTTAAAGGCATAAGCTGCAACAAATACATAACAGAATGTGCCAATAACTTCTTGGGTTCTTTTTAAAGTAAATACAGTAAAGTGTATTTACTTTGTTGACATGTTTCGGCTGTTAGCTGCAGCTGAAGTAACAACAGCTGATACCCGGCACGTCACCACCAACACCAGTGACAGTTCTGAAGATCTGAAGATGGCCCGCAGCTAGCAGCCAAAACACGTGAACGAGGTAAATACACTTTACTATACTGTCTTAAAAAAACAAAAACAAGAAGTTAAAGTACATACGAAGACAAAATGAACATCTTTGGATTGGAATCTACCAAAAATCAGAAAAAGCACTTACTCAACCCTCTAGAGCTCAAATCTTATCGTATTACAAAACAGAAACAACAATAACAAAATCTCTCCACTATTGCAAAGAAAAGGCATCCACTATAACATATTGAGAAACATTAAGCCCTAAAATACACTGTTCCAGCTTTCAGATATTGAACGATAAAAGGGATATGGTAATTATTGTGACATGCCCAGAAATATATTCAAAAACTATGTAAAAACACAAAGAAACAAATCATGTACACATTTTACTTTCTTATAATCATTATTATTATGGGCTTAAAGGGTCTATATTATGAAAAACTGACTCATGTGAACTATGATGCTGTTATCCCATCACAAACACCTAGAGTTGTGTTTTGTTTCATTCACATCTTTTACCTTTGGTTATTAGAGACTGGCAATTCCAGGATTGAATTCATCCAGATGATTGTAGTGACGATGTCTGAGATGTCTGTCAGTTTGAGAGTGTTTTCTGTGTAGGAGAAGCCTAAAGGAGGAGTCTAAATATGCAGGGTTTGTGTGTTAAACATGTGACTAAAACAAAGCATGACTCCAGGTATGTTTCTGATGAGGAAACAACATTATAACAGATACGAAATTAGTGTAATATGGGTCCTTTAAAGCAGGGCGGAGGGCAGCGGAGTCATTTGCACGTGTCGGTTTCACAGTGAACCAGTTTAGTCCGTAGCCCCCAACAACATCAATACTAAACACAAGCCTCAAAACACCAGCGTCCCCCACAGCTATAATCAACAATGCACGCCCTGACTCCTGAGCATGCTCCATTGACTCGCGCTCAACACTTCGGGCAGGGATGGCAGTTAAAACGGGCGAGTTCAGGCGGCACGGGTCGCCATGGCAGCAGCTGGACCAGTCCTCAAACGGATAAGTCAACTGCCGGGTTTCAGATGACATCACAGCGTTGTGGAGTCTCACAGGGCTGCGGTGTGTAATGAGTGAAGTACAGGTGATATTATGACACGTTTAGAGAAGATGAAAGAGTTAAGTGTTTACACAGCCCCACTTTATTTTAATCAAGATCGAGATTCGCTCATTTCTAATCATCGATGACCGGCTTGGGTCTACAATCAGTAAAAGTATGTGGTTTGGAGCTGGAGATCAGACTTTGTAGGAAGCGATTTGACCATTTTTGTGATAAATGGCAAGAGCTAAAACTTGTAACGGGCAGGAAATTAATATTAAGAGATTTATTGATTTATAATGATCAATGAGGGGGAAAAAATGTTTGTCTTATTGCCCAAAAGTAAGTATTCTGAACACCAAAAATAATTAAGCCATATTTAGTACAGGGCTGAGCAGCGCTGCCTCATTTGAAATAAGTGATTTTCTTTTTAAGCATGCAAAAGAAGGTAATTATCCTTTCAACCTGTTACAAGTTGGTGTTAATTTTTTTTGTCATAAACTCAAGTACAAGACAAGAAATTCGGGTGCATCAAACAGCCCAACTTCTATGAACATTATCAGCTCTTGTAGTGAGTTAAAAGAAAGAGACATCCTTTGTGTGTCACTAGTAGAACTTTGTAGATTTAGTGGAAAAAAGTATAATACAGAAATAGTAGCCTCTGTACCCCCTCTGAGAATCAGGGCTGCAGCTGACTAAGGAAATTCTTGATTGATTACAGTATTTCTATGTATCTGACTCACAATCCACTGTCAAGACAACTGCATGAGAGTTCATGCAAAAACAACTACTGCTAACTGTAAAATTATGTGTGTAAAAAAGGACTAGAGAATTATGTGTTTATATGAAAAAATGCAGATTAAATGCATGATTCTTTTCCTAATCTCCAATCAATTCACTCCATAGCTTCTCCTTTCTGTTGTAGTCCATTTCTTTATAACCTAAATAAAATAATAAGACACTATTGACCAATTAATCGACTAAACGAAAAGACGTACATTGAGCAAAGCATTACTGAGAGAATGACATCAACACATTATACAATCCACCACTTTTCATTCACTTTTCCCCTCAGCTTTCAGCCTTCAGAGCCATCTGACGGAGCACGCCTGCGTTTGACAGCTACAACAGTCATGACGTAGACAAAAGGAGAGTAAACCTGTGGGGCTGGTTTGAAAAGGAGCAAGAGGGACCCGCACTGAATCCGATTGGTAACATAAGAAGAGGGTAGTTTGGATAAGCAAATGAATGAACACAACTGCAGTGGTTTAGTAGAAAGCAGAAAATGAATATGAATAAAATGTCTGTTTGCCATTTCTTTTACAAGCAAAACTTTTGGATTTGTTGACATTAAGTAGTCATTAGGTTGTCATATAAACTTGACTCCCGTGTGAACTACATTGGTTGGCAGAAGTTGTTTTACTTTGCTACATAAATATAGACCTGTCATGAGAACAAATTCTGAAGTTCGATATATTGCTGAAGCAAACAATAATATTAAAACTAATCTATGCCGATGATACAATACCCAAGAGCAGATTTAAACCACAAAAAACTATTCTAAATCAGCAATATTGTTAAAAAAATATGAGCTGCAATAAACAAATAGCAGAATGAAACACTTTAGTATAGTTTGTATCTGTAATGAGTCACAGAAATTATTAATCCAAACTTTTATGGATTAAATCTTATCATATAGCCTTAAAATAACCCAAAAAAATAAGAAAAAGAAAATGCACAAACAATAAATACTGTACCAGCTTTCATAAATTGAAGGATAAGGCCATTTAGTAATTATCGTGACAGGCCTACATAAATAAACTTGAACATGCTCTCATTGTTTTTCATGACTTTACTGCAGATCTGGGCATTGTACAGCCCTGGGGCCACATTTGATTGACTCAGGCCGGCCTGTTTAAGCAAGTTAATTTGGAATTACAAAATAAACATATTTTATAATTTTACCTCTTACATGGACTAAAGCTGCATTGCTGTTTAATGAAATTTTTTGTAAGGCAACCTCACTTTTTCACTGCTTAGTCATAACATCTACTCTTAACAGTCTTACCAGCTTGTCCAAACAATGCTACTCACTTTACTGCTTTTTATAAAGAAATACAATTATTATACATAGTTGAGTTAAGCATTTTGGCCCGGCCCTCCACAATATTTTCTGTTTCTCATGTGGCCCCATGGAAAAAATAATTGCCCTTCCCTACCTTACTGTGTGTATCACCTTTATTCATTCATTCTGGTTAAACCAAGAGTCGCTCAGCTCAGTTTAAGCAACTGCTCAACAAGTAATACAAAGAGAAGCCAAAAAAATACAGTAAATAATGCTTTCTTCTTTATGATCTACAATTTTATAAGTTTGCTTAGACGTAAAACTTCTAATATGCCGATGTTTTGAGAGTATATATACACACACACGTACACACTACTACTATACTGATATTTGAGTACAGGTTCAGCAATAATACTTTACCAGCAAAGCAAAATACCAGGCATAACCAAACTATAATCTCGTTTCACGCTACGAATGCCACCAGCTACAACCGAGCAGGCAGCAGAAGCAGCGGCCACCAGCCTGAAAATAACCCAACACCTGAACGCCAAATTAGGTTAGGTAAAGCAACATGGCCCCGAGTGTGAGTACTGGCTCCCACCTGTTGTTCCGATGTCCATTCATGAGGTCTCTGTCCGGAAGACCCGGCTCTCTCTGCGAGGCTAAACTCCTTCTTCGGCAGCGGCTGAAAGCTCCAACGCCTCCCGGATATCTGACCTCCTTTTCGGGTTCGCTGCGTTCCAACGAGTCGGTCCGCTCGGAGGTCCACTTGGGGTAACTACAAAGCTTTAAAGTTGTCAGAATAGCACCGGGTCCGATTTAAAACAACTTCTTTAGTGTATCTGCGAAAAAACAATCACATATGGTAAAGTTAGATTGTTTTATTGGCGTTAAAATCACCCAAAAGTAGAGTTGGTTGGTAACATTTGGCAGATAGCATTAGCGGCTAACAGTGTGCTAGCTTTCGGCGACGAATACTAAGAAGCGACCGAATGTCAACTCAAAATTCAAAGTGTTATTGAATATTTACCTCCTCGCGTGTGATATTTGTCGTCCTGGGTTAAAAACGAGGCGATCGGAGCCGTCTTTACCATATGTGGGGGTCTGTAGCCCCGGTGTCCAGCTCGGTTTCAGGGATAGACCGGTATGAAGCGTCTCCTCCTCCGCCTCTGTCAAGTTTACAAGCGGAACAACACCGCCCCTTCACAATAAAACCACCGGAGAATTATTTATTTATTTATTTTATTTTTTATACTGCAAAAAATGCACCTCACAAAGGTCTAAAAAAAAAAAAAAAAAAAAAAAAAAGAACAAAAACAATTAGACTTTGACTTATTATTTGGACACAGTAGCTCACACAGCACAATATAATAACAAAGAGCAAAAATATAAATGGTAATAATAAATTCTAAATAAGTGGCAAGAAAGATAGCAAGAGACAGGGGTCAAAAAAGACATAGTTATATAAATGTATTATAAATCAAAATAAAACAGAAAGACAAGTAATAAAATATAAAATCACAGCTTTAAAAAAGAGGTTATAGGAAGACATACATCCATCCATCCATTTTCGTCCGCTTATCCGGGGCCGGGTCGCGGGGGGAGCAGCCTAAGCAGGGACTCCCAGACTTCCTTCACCCCAGACACGTCCTCCAGCTCCTCTGGGGGGACCCCGAGGCGTTCCCAGGCCAGCCGAGAGACATAGTCCCTCCAGCGTGTCCTGGGTCTTCCCCGGGGCCTCCTCCCGGCGGGACATGCCCGGAACACCTCCCGAGGGAGGCGCCCAGGAGGCATCCGGAACAGATGCCCGAGCCACCTCAACTGGCTCCTCTCGACGTGGAGGAGCAGCGGCTCTACTCCGAGCTCCTCCCGTGTGACTGAGCTCCTCACCCTATCTCTAAGGGAGCGCCCAGCCACCCTGCGGAGGAAACTCATTTCGAGCGCTTGTATCCGCGATCTCGTCCTTTCGGTCACTACCCAGAGCTCATGACCATAGGTGAGAGTAGGAACGAAGACTGACCGGTAAATCGAGAGCTTCGCCTTTCGACTCAGCTCCCTCTTCACCACAACGGTCCGATACAGCGACCGCATCACTGCCAAAGCTGCACCGATCCGCCTGTCAATCTCACGTTCCGTCCTTCCCTCACTCGTGAACAAGACCCCGAGATACTTGAACTCCTCCACTTGAGGCAAAGACTCCCCACCCACCCGGAGAGGGCAAGCCACCTTTTTCCGGTCGAGAACCATGGCCTCGGACTTGGAAGAGCTGATCTTCATCCCAGCCGCTTCACACTCGGCTGCAAACCGCCCCAGTGCACACTGCAGGTCCTGGCTCGATGAAGCCAACAGAACAACATCGTCCGCAAACAGCAGAGATGAAATCCTGTGGTCCCCGAACCGGACCCCTTCCGGCCCCTGACTGCGCCTAGAAATTCTGTCCATAAATACAATGAACAGAACCGGTGACAAAGGGCAGCCCTGGCGGAGTCCAACATGCACCGGGAACAGGTCTGACTTACTGCCGGCAATGCGAACACAGCTCCTGCTCCGGTCATACAGGGACCGGACAGCCCTTAGCAAAGGGCCCCGGACCCCATACTCCCAGAGCACCCCCCACAGGACACCACGAGGGACACGGTCAAATGCCTTCTCCAGATCCACAAAACACATGTGGACTGGTTGGGCAAACTCCCATGAACCCTCGAGCACCCTATGGAGAGTGTAGAGCTGGTCCAGTGTTCCACGGCCAGGACGAAAACCACACTGCTCCTCCTGAATCCGAGGTTCGACTATCGGCCGGATTCTCCTCTCCAGTACCCTGGCATAGACCTTACCGGGAAGGCTGAGAAGTGTGATCCCCCTATAGTTGGAACACACCCTCCGGTCCCCCTTCTTATACAGAGGGACCACCACCCCGGTTTGCCAGTCCAGAGGTACTGTCCCCAACCGCCACGCGATGTTGAAGAGGCGTGTCAGCCAAGACAGCCCCACAACATCCAGAGACTTCAGGTACTCAGGACGGATCTCATCCAACCCCGGAGCCTTGCCACCAAGGAGCTTGCCAACCACCTCAGTGACTTCGGCCAGGGTGATGGATGAGTCCGCCTCCGAGTCCCCAGCCTCGGCCTCCTCCTCGGAGGACGTGACGGTGGGATTGAGGAGATCCTCAAAGTATTCCTTCCACTGCCGGACAACGTCCCCAGTCGAGGTCAGCAGCTCTCCCCCCGCACTGTAAACAGTGTTGGTGAAGAACTGCTTTCCCCTCCTGAGGCGCCGGACGGTTTGCCAGAATCTCTTTGAGGCCGTCCGATAGTCCTTCTCCATAGCCTCCCCGAACTCCTCCCAGCTCCGAGTTTTTGCCTCCGCGACCACACGGGCTGCAGCACGCTTGGCCCGCCGGTACCTGTCAGCTGCCTCAGGAGTCCCCCGAGCCAGCAAGGCCCGATAGGACTCCTTCTTCAGCTTGACAGCATCCCTTACTTACTTCCGGTGTCCACCACCGGGTTCTGGGGTTGCCGCCGCGACAGGCACCACAGACCTTACGCCCACAGCTCCGAGCAGCTGCATTGACAATAGAGGCCGAGAATGAAGCCCACTCGGACTCCATATCTCCGGCCTCCCCCGGAATCCGGGAGAAGTCCTCCCGGAGGTGCGAGTTGAAGGTCCCTCTGACAGAGGGCTCCGCCAGACGTTCCCAACAGACCCTCACTACACGCTTGGGCCTGCCAGGTCTTTCCGGCTTCCTCCTCCGCCAGCGAACCCAACTCACAACCAGGTGGTGATCAGTTGACAACTCAGCCCCTCTCTTCACCCGAGTGTCCAAGACACGCGGCCGGAGATCAGATGACACGACGACAAAGTCGATCATCGACCTCCGGCCTAGGGTGTCCTGGTGCCACGTGCACTTATGGACACCCTTGTGCTCGAACATGGTGTTCGTTATGGACAAACTGTGACTAGCACAGAAGTCCAATAACAAAACACCGCTCGGGTTCAGATCGGGGAGGCCGTTCCTCCCAATCACCCCTCTCCAAGTGTCACTGTCGTTGCCCACGTGGGCGTTGAAGTCCCCCAGGAGAACAACGGAGTCCCCGGTCGGTGCACTGTCTAGTACCCCTCCCAAGGACTCCAAGAAGGCCGGGTACTCTGCACTGCTGTTCGGCCCGTAGGCCGACACCACAGTGAGAGACCTGTCCCCGACCCGAAGGCGCAGGGACGCGACCCTCTCGTTCACCGGGGTGAACTCCAACACACAGCGACTGAGCTGTGGGGCAATGAGCAGGCCCACACCAGCCCGCCGCCGCTCCCCGCGGCCAACGCCAGAGAAATGGAGAGTCCAGCCCCTCTCAAGGAGTTGGGTTCCAGAGCCCAAACTGTGCGTGGAGGTGAGGCCGACTATATCTAGTCGGTAACGCTCAACCTCCCGCACAAGCTCAGGCTCCTTCCCCCCCAGCGAGGTGACATTCCATGTCCCCAGAGCTAGTCTCCATGTCCGGAGATCTGGTCGCCGAGGCCCCCGCCGTCGACTGCTGCCCAGATCTCTCTGCACCGGCCCCATATGGATCCTCCTGCGGGTGGTGGGCCCACGTGAGGACGGCCCCACGTCGCTCCTTCGGGCTGAGCCCGGCCGAGCCCCGTGGGGGAGGCTCGGCCACCAGGCGCTCGCTGGCGAGCACCCACCCCAGGCCTGGCTCCAGGGTGAGGCCCCGGTGACGCCAATCCGGGCGACGTAACTGGCCTTGTTGGTGTACTCATCAACTATCATCACTATAGGAAGACCATAATGTGCAATAATGATATGATTGCTGACAGGGCATGGGGTTATAAAGGTGAGCTGTTGTACAGTTGTAGGGAGTATTATCTGTTACATATGGGTGAATTGTTGTACAGTTGCAGGGAGCGTTATCTGTTGCATTAAGGTGAGTTGTTGTACAGTTGTATAGAGTATGGTATGAATGTAGTCCTGTATCTCTCACTGTTTGAGTGGAGCTGTAGAAGCCTGTTGGAGAACACGTTTACATACAAAAAAGGGCAATTTCAAAGCTCCAGTTCAAAGGAACAAACCAGACTCACTCAAAAAGGATACAAGAAACCTGGTCTCCTTTCTCCCAACTAGGCCCAGTGAGCCAACAAAAAGCCTCAGGTCATTCTTCAAGTGTGCCACATTTTGGTTCTTAAAAAACAACATTTGTGAATAAAATGCTTTCCTAAAATCAATAGATTGTTGTTCATTCTTTTGTTATCCATTAATACACCAAATTGATTTCTATTATGGTTAGAAGGGCAAACTAAATTCCCCTGGTCTGAAGCCAACATTGAAAATCAAACCAAATTGTTGCACAAAATCATACAAAAAGAAAATATGTCCTCATTTACCTGTCACAAATTTGAATTTTTATTTTAGGAATTCATTGGTTGGATAAATTTTATTCAGAATTTTAATTTGTGTCTCCTTCGTTTTAGGGGGAACTGGAAAGGAAAGATACTTGGTTCTAATCATTTTATTTATTTTTTTTCTAAATTCCTTTTACGACAGTAATCTCTTTGAACTGACTTGGGGAAGCAATAATTTAGTAAGGAACATCTCAGAAATTCGTTATTGCACTTTGAATCACAAAATTCAACACTTTCAATGCAAAGTTGTCTCATTCCAAGAGAAAGCACAGAAGAAAAAGAAAAAAGGGCATTTCAGGCACTCCAGGAATGTGCTTGCGGGTAATGAGAGGGAAAATATGTAAACAAAATAGCCTGACTGAGAAAATGTGTTGTAACTTGTAAGAGAAGCACGTGTAAGTTTCCTGGTGAAGAATCTACCATGTGCTTGTCTCCATGATGTTATTATACTGCATTTAGAGTGACCAGATTTTTAAAATTCTTAATGGGGACACACCTAGGTTGGGACGGTTGGCATAAGTAAAAGTGAAAAGAGCGTGTGCATTCTCACGTCAGTCATAATCTGATGGACTTCCGTCTCTGCATTTTTTTGCTTTATGGTCATTTACAAACATGGATTTCTATATTTTGGCTGACAATGTATGCTCCTCTTTACTGTTGGCATGGATCAGATTAGTCAAAAATTGTGGCAGTCCTGTTTTAGTCCTGGTTTAGACCTGATGTAGTCCTGGTTTAATCTTAGTTTAGTCCTGATTTAGATCAGACTGGTCAAAAATAGGGACACATGGGACATTTCTTGGATAAATCTGCTGGGACAGGGGACACAGGGCTCAATACTGGGACTGTCCCGGGTAAATAGGGACATCTGGTCACCCTAACTGCATTAAGTTTATATTTTTAGCTATTATTATTAGAGCCCGACCGATATGGATTTTGCTGTGGCCGATATGAAACCGATATAATGGGAGTTGGAGCTGCCGATAGCCGATATAATCGCCGATATATTTAGTGATGTAAAAATACACTGTAAATGTTGAATTGTTTAAAAAACTTAGGTTTGGCTCTGGTGGAGTTTGAATTGGGTTTATTTAGGCAACATTTATTGTTATTCTGCCTCTTTACATCATATTTACAGACAGTAGGTTGGACTAATGGCATTTTTGCATCACATTCTAGACACTAGTGATGGGTATTCCAGTTCTTTTTAGAGAACCGGCTCTTTTGGCTCGGCTCACTAAAACCTGCTGGTTCTTTTGGCTCCCAAGTGGCTCTTCAGATTGTTTTGTTGCAAGCAGGTCTAAAGCACGTCTAAAGCAGGACTGAATCAGGACTGAACCAGGTCTAAACCAGGACTGAAAAAGGACTAAACCGGGACTTATTTATTTTATGCTAAACTACAGTCAAATATGCTCGGTTTTTTTTTTTTTTTTTTTTTTTTTTTTATCCTACGTACACGCATATTTCTCAAAGTTTTGTTTTTAGCCGCTGCCGCTGTCAAACCACGAGTCTGCACGCAGCGTGAAGAGAAAAAAAGTGAGAGAAAGAGAAAACACGGCTCCCAATAAGGATCAGTCTCCCGTCGTTCCCTTTACAGAGCCGGTTCTAAGAGTCATTTCGTTCGCGACTGACCCATAACTAGTAAAGAAACTAGCGCTATTAGCCTTTAGCCGTAAATACGTGCGCGCCGCGGTAATTAATTATATGCGCAAATGTCATAATTCACACCTCTATTCACAGCTCATTTACATATCAGTGCAGGTCCAGTAGCAAATATACGGCCAATATAGTCACTTTAGAACAGACCAATAGAAAACAGTCAGTTTATGTGCGGGAGCTACAGCAGCTAACCCATAACAAATGACAAAAACTAGCTTCAGAGTCGACATATTTCCAACACTCACCGCTCACACAGGCTCCTCCTCACATCACAAATCTGCACTAATAAATGTCCTTTTAATCCAGACTCAAACCGATTGTCCGTAAAAAGAATATAATCTCAGTGTTTGGTTCTGTGTCTGCACGTGTAAACAAACACACGTGAGTGACGCGACTCTGTGGTGTGTTCAGGGACAGTACGGACACACACACACAAATGACTCCGTAGATAAATACTGATGTGGAGCCACATATTAGGACATTTATCTGTCTGTAAATTGGATTAAATGAACAGAATGTAGAGAGTCTAAGATTTATAACGACGTATCACATGCCCACGTGAAATATCGGCCCCTATCAGCCCCAGGTGCCCATATCAGCCGATAATATCGGCCAACCGATATATCGGTCGGGCTCTAATTATTATTATTATTGTGGGTGGATTTATTGCTCAAAATACCTGGAAAAACATGCATGTGAGCTGGGTTGCCCCTTCACAGATCTGACCTGTAACTTTTCTTGATGCTTTTCACCACAGATAAGTGCAGCAAAGTAACACAGAGTTCCTTTAAATACACAAAGCACTATGTTTAACTTCTGACAAGGAGTTTATAAGATCTACTTTTATTTTGTTTTATTAGATCAGTGCTTATTTATAAACACTGCCAACAGTTAGAGTTGTAAATATGCCTATTTTTACTGCATTACGTTAGACGGTTGTTATAAGCGGCCACATGAAGACACATAAGTCAACTTCCTCTTGTTGGAGTGAAGTCGGACAAGTCAAAACATAGTGAGCCAGGCAGCATTCCAAAACACATGCCATTTCGAAGCCACATTAAGGAACCAAGAACTCAAGTACCCCCTTATTCTGGTACTACACAAATAAATCTGTTTACTATAGTAGTATATTGCCAATTGTAGCCATTGTATTTTCTTGTTTTTTGTTATATTGATGTCCAAAATCATCTAAAATGCATGAAAGAACATTTTAAATCCAAATACTAAGGTTTGCTGTGGCTCTAATATATACTCTTCTTGCAGTTTTTGTTTCCTAAAGGTATAGCTCATTGGAGGAAAAAGTTGGAGACCCCTGGCCTATACAGTATGGTGTAACACTTATCAGTCTTTATGGAGACAAGAAGTTTATTTAATTTATTTATGTCTTTATTTTGGGCAAGTAAAAAATGTACCTTACATTCTTTTACAATGGAACATATAGCATTCATGAAATCATAGCAGAAATAACAACAAGAAATTGCCCAAAAAGGAGTGGAAAGAAAAAGATTTATTTAATCCCACCCCCATTCTTCTAATCTCTCTGGAAGATCACGCTACCAGACCAAGTTACATGTCAGATCTGTGGAGACGTGACCCTGCTCACAGTGTGGCAAGGTCTTTTCGAGCAATAAAAACACCCTTTTCAAAATACTAGTGAATGTTTAACTACTCCATGGCGTTTAACACCTTTGTTTTGTTACTTTTAGTGCTGCTTTTATTTATTTTATTGTTTTAATTTATTTGTTTTATTATATTTATTTGGCCTTTGTTCATGTTTTTATTAGTTCCTTATGTCCGGACGTTATTTCTAATGCTTTTATAGTTGTTTAACATTGCTATGTGCAGCACTTTGGAAACTGTCTTGTTTATAAAATGTGCTAAACAAATAAACTTGGACTGGATTTAGAGAAGCAGGCAGCCAACACCTATCAGAAAAATTTTATAGTGCAGCTTTAAATCAAACAGGCTATCTGTAGATTGTATGTGACTATTATTGTAGGAGTGTTTTCACCCTACCAACTTGGACATGGTATCATTTTATGTCTGCACATGCTATGCTATAAAAATAATACTGAATTTCAAAGTAAAATAGATTTTTGGTGTGATTTTTTTCTAACTTGACAAACTCTTAACTCTGAGGGAAACCCTTAGGAAATACCAATGTCGTCAGTTCCGTTAGATTTTTTTCTGAAACGTGCACGTCATGTTTTAATGATAAATTGACGTGTCTGTGCCACAATGTTTGCCTTTGTATCTGTGGAAAATATTAAAATGTGCGCGTGACGTGAGTTGAATTACAAAAAACTGTTTTATGTGCCCAGTGTCACGCGTGTTCAGACTCCGCACTGTAGATGTCTCCATAGTTACAAGTTTTAACCCAATAAACACTGACCGAAGAAGAAAATGACCAGGAAATACAGGACTGAATGGAGAATCATCATTTGATAAATTTTTTTTATCACATGTTAAGACCTGCTCATAACGACAAGGTGCGTCAATCTCATTTGGATTTTATTATAAATAGAAGCCTTAAAAGCAGGTATATGTCGCAGTAGTAGAAACGTAATATGGACAATTTAATAGGTCTAGTTTAGTTTAGTTTAATTTAGTTTAGTTTATTCCTTTATTTATCAGGGGCAATGCACATAAAAACATTGAACAACACAAAGAAGTCATATGTTTGTGCTCGGTTATAGCAAAATTGCAAATTTCCACCTTCAGTCCCTGGACAGGTTGATGTCATAAATGGTGTCATGCCAATAAAATAAAATACAGTGTATAATGATGCAACCATTCATCAAGTTAATAAGCAAAAATTTTCCAATTCAGTCTCAGTCATCACATCCATACACTATTTACATATTTACAGTTCATATTGCTGCACTGGTACAAAATTAGAAGACTCTACATTGCATTAGAATCATTGAGTATTTCTATAGCACATTTACTATAATATAATTTAGTCAAAATCCCCCAAAGCCAATGTTAAATTAAACTTTTTATTTTACAGAAAACCATGATCTATTTCTTTCTTTGCAGTGGTGGAAAAGTCAAAGATTGTCATTAGTTAATTATTATAGTTTATTACACAGGTGGACAGCAATAATATTCAACCAGACATTTGAATACATGTTTCCCAAAGACTGGGTTTCAAGATATCTTTCTGGTCACCTTGTTACAATCTGCATATAGGTCTGCAATATACTATATATTATGGATCCTTCTATTGCTGTTTCAATTACTGTTTTTCATTGTTTAAAACTTGAGTAAAACTACAAATTGTTCAGAGAGACACGATCACTCAGTTAACAATAAAGTATCCTCATTAATGTTCAATAATGGTCAAATCCACCTTTATTTTGTGGTTTATGAATAATGTTTATTGACTTGGGACGCAAAGGTTTATGACTTTTAAACTGTGGCTCCCATGAAAAAAAGTTTGGGAAACACGGATTTAAATATTAGTATCCGATATATTAGGTTTATAAGACACATAAAGAATAGTGTAGCGTAATGAGTGGAGGAATAGTTTACAAGTCACTTTATTGCGAGAACTGAACTGGTTACTGTCGGCTGTAACCATGCCAATACAATCAGGTTAACACTCGAGGTCCCGCTCACAACTCGGACAACGTTGCTCTCTAGAACCAGAAAACCCTCCTCTAAACCCCTCTTCTTAACCGAAGCCCAGCTCCCCAACTTTCATCCAGTCACATAGGCCATGAGCTTAACTTAACACATGATATAACAGTTATAAAAACAGGAACAAGGTTTTAACAATTACATTATTGCAGGTTGCTACAATACATTACATTCCCAAATATTCTTAATTAAAGATTTAACTTGAACCTGAAGGTTTTGTCATCTTTGCTTAAATTTAATGCCATAACGTGAAACATTTCAGGCAAAGAAAGCAACAACATCCCCATGGAGACAAACAGGGAGTGGTTTACACCAGTAAAGTTACATGAGTGTACCTTTAATTTGTTATTTTGAAACGGCTGCATAATCTAATATATGAAAGTGGGTTCTATGACAGTTACTTTTATTAATCCACAAATAGGAAACAAATTAATGCGATTAAACTTTTGTTTATCTTACATTATTTTATAAAAAAAATAAAAGTCTATTGTGTGAAATACTTTTCCTGTTTTATTCCCTGGTTGTTTGTTGTTATTGTTAGGATGGATAAAGTGATCACATGTTTTAAGCGGAGACCAGAGGCAGTGTCCAGGCTCATCTGTTTCCCATGGGCTGGAGGGGGGTCCATACATTACGCTCGGTGGGGAAATATCCTGAACTGCTCCATCGAAGGTAATGACACAAAAACATTTCATTTATATTTATATTTATGTATTTTTGTATAGCCCCAAAATCACAACAGCAGTTACTTCGGAGGGCGTAATAAAACTTGCTGATTTAACCACGGGAGCAAATGGGCAAGAATCCGTGTATCATTCGTTCATTCGTTTTCAATATAAAACCAAAAATAAGAAAATGAAAAAAAAACAACAGTTTTCTTCATTATTTGTCTCCAAAACCAAAATGAAAAAAACAGATAACGATTTGTTTTTTTTCAGTTTTCGATTTTGTGTTTAAATGAAAACTGGAAAAAACGGATAACTGCCGTTTCCCGTTTACGTGACTTCCGGAACTGTGATGTCGGACTTTTGCACTGCATACGGACTGAAACAGGACTGATCCAGGACTGATCCAGGTCCGGGACCAGACCGGGACCAGACACACATTTCTACACACAGTACACATTTTATTCAACGTTACAATATTTACAGAATAGTTTACAGATGTACTTTTTATTCTAGCAGCAGGAGGCATTTTGGTAATCACCGACTAAATCAAACCTATAAATATAATTTAAATCTGTCTTTTATCTTGTAGCTTTAAAGTGTCAGATCTGTGTGACTGGAGGATTGCAGTCACACACATCTGATTCCCTTTTGCATTTATGGAGTTCGCAAACTTCCGAAGCCCGTTTTCCGCTGTTAGGACAACCAACAACCACACAATTACGATGTGCGCATCCCAAAACTGAAATATGACAATATCAGAACCAGAAACAAAAGCGATATGGTTCAAAAGACTTGAAAAGATCGGCTTTGACAATAGACGCATCCCACTGTGAAAACAAACATGGCGGTTTGATGCTCACTTTTTCGGAGGATCCTTCCCAGTATGCATTGCGTGATGACCGGAAGTCCAAAATTCGTGATGCATGTATTATTTCTGCATTTGAAAGTTTTGATAACAGACGTATTCCTTTTTAGAACCACTAAGGCCTTTATTTGTGTGCTTTTCTTTTCAACATTTGTCCAGAAACTAACACAAAACTTATGTAAAACTATGATAAATATTCACCACAAGTAAATATCACCAAACCAAGTACAAGTAATTAGAAAAAGCTGCCATACACACTTTAAGATCGGGCTAAAAGAGGCAGGTTTTACGCCGAAGCAACCCTCTCCATTTATCCAGGCTGGGGACTGGCACAGAGCGACGCATACAGCGCCCCCTGTGGCTGGATTAGACCCACCGCCCGTGTTTTTACAGAGTTAGTGTGTTAGTAAGTGCATGCAGACATATTCATAGTTAACAGCAGCAGCCTCTGGACCTGTAAAGACTCATTTAAAAGTTTAGTAAAACAGTTTAGAGCTGCAATGAAAAGAGTCAGAAGAGTTAGGGTTAGAACTGTCATTTCACAAGACAAGCCCAAACCAATTTTACAACATAGACAATGGCAAAATGAGTGAGATTTAACCTTTGACCCTGTAAAGTTAATACAATGTTTAAACAGAAATGTCAACGTATTTCAAACGAACAGACCCTGTGCAAACCTGTGGAAGAGTTGGATTAGGACACGACTACTAGACTTTCAGTTTAGTGTAAGGGTTAGGACCAGAGCCATCAGACTCTATAAACCAGTCCAAATCTGGCCCACGTTTAGACCAGTTCAGACCAAACCAAATATAAAACATACACACAACCCAAAGATCAAGTCAGTTTTCAGACCTTTTTAACTCCAAATGAAAATGCTGAAGGGTTAGTTTACAATAAGTAATATCAGTTACACCCAACCATAACATGTTTTACCAGCCTGTTTAAATCTGGCCCATATTTAGACCAGTCGGGTCACACACCAAAAACACACAAGGGTCCAAGTGCAACCTGTGGAAATTATGATGTAAACAATTAATCTGGCCCACTCCACATTTAGACCAGATAAGACCAAGAGAGACCAGCAGTCTCCATAAAAGTGAGCCAACGTTTAGAATATAGCCCACTTTTGGACCAGTTTAGGCCCAAAACTAAAGCCTGTAACATAAAATCCTCAGCATATTCAGGTCTTGTTTTGAGATGATTCACACAGAAATATTACCTACCTGAGTTAAAGTCTGCATGAACAGACCAATAAAACCAGTGAAACCTGCAGCACGGAAAGATCCCTGTAAGATTATGTGGGTCACAAACCCAAGGTCAAAGGGTCAGAACTATTACATTCAGACCACAAAAAAGTGACAGAACACAAGGGCCTCAACCCTCGGACCAAAACTCAAGTCAAGATGAGTGGCTGAGCACTCACTCACAGAAAGAAGGTTCCTTTGTGTGCAGAACCTGCACAGGTGTATGGCAGCAGCTCACTGCTCCTGACAGGCTGCCCCAGCATTACTTTGTTGATGATGAAGGGACCAAATGTAGAGGGAGAATTTCCCTCAAAAATTCCCTTCTAAAATATACTGTACCTTAAGATTATTCCAGATGATCAGGGTTTAAAACGATGTGGGTTTCTCCAACCTGAAAACTCCAGGGTTAGTCAGTAATATGGCAGACATGTTTTAGCTTTAGCTGTTTTCAAATAAAATAAACTAACATCTGCTACAGTTGTCGCAGATGATTTTCATGTCTCACAGTTGCAAGACATGAAGTAGATTTAGCTTAGATTAACTATGAACTATTTAACAATGATAATAATATAAATAATAATAAACTGACACCTGTAGAAGGGTTAAAGAACACCACCCAAACCTGCAAACACAAAGGAAAAGTTAGAAACAAAATGACAAAATACTAGTGTATTTCAGCCAAACAGTTTTATATTCACCTTTGGGTGTTGGGGGGAAAGCTGATGCACGTTCAACCCAAAACGCAGAGTTCAGGTAAACTCTTCCAGCAAGGTGGTCTGAGTGCATCACAATTTTTGTTAATTATGCACTTGTTTCAGTTTTACTATTACCAACCACCCCAAACCCGCACGAAACGCAACACAAGGACCCAAAACCAAGTGCCACCTGTGGAAATTAAACATTAAAATGCAGTCCACATTTAGACCCCATCAATCCATAAGAGACCACACAGTCTCCATAAAAGTGTGTATAGAATCTAACACATTTGAACCAGTTTAGACCCAAATCTGAGCCGTTAAAATCCTCAGCATTCAGATCTTGTTTTGAGAGGACGTTTTAGGACTTGAGGGTTACACCTTGACCATTGTAGAGTTGCATTTGCGTACTTTTTTTTATTTCCAGGATAGATGAGAGATTTTTATTTTCCAAGTAGGTTTTCATCCCATTTGAAACCTTTGATGACACTTTCCACTTTTTTTATTGCACTTTGCATGTTTGAGTGTTTTGTGGCAGGTCCTGTACCATCCTTCTATCATTCAAGTTTGGAAAGTGATCATTTAATTCCCACAAATGTACCATTCATTTCATGTAATTCTGAGTCATTGTGTTCCAGTTCATTGACCCAGCCTTGGTGTACATGTTTAAACCTTTTCATGGCAATTTGTTACGTTTGATAAACACTGTTTCACCCTTTGTGATAAATGACATTTTCACACATCAAAATACTTAGAGATTTTATTTGAGACATGTTTTGCTTTTGTTTCATGAGTTTCGTTTGTGGGATAGTTTCCTTCATTTTACTGACAAAACCTTTTGCATTTGTTTTCAAAAAAGGCCTTTCTGTAAGCTTCCTTTTACCAGACAGTTTCAGTACACAAGGCTGAAACCTTCATGTTTCCTTTTATAATCCACCTTTTTCAGTGAGCCATCATTTAAAACACATTCACAGAGTGAAATAGGTTTCCTTTCAACAAAAGCATCATGATCATTTGAAACTCATCACATCATTACTTTATTTATTTCAATTCACTTTGCACATTGCATAAACGTGAATCAGAGCGCGGAGTAAAATATGCACCAGCAGGAGCAGCTTTATTCATCAAACATTTACAACCGAACAGCAGTTTATTATTGCAATAATTATTCTGTATCCACAAACAAGACTCACCTGGACTCCTTCTTGCTGTTTGTCGTGCTGTTTGTCGTGCTGATGGCGATTTGGGTCGCGCTGCATTTTTGGCGCGTTTTTCTGAATTGCGCGGGTCCTGCGCTTCCGCTCCGCCTTTTCTTTCTTTGTTGCTAAAAAACGGCGCGCGGCCGTGAGAGGAGCTTCCTCTGACATAAAGCAGCGTTTGAAGTAACATCAAGAGTCACTTTAGTGAAGTTGTCGACAAACAAAACGAGTTGGCTCGGCTCCTCGGTGCCACGTCACCTGGTGACATGTCCCTTACCTGTACAGGTGAGCGCCATTTTGAAAGAACCCAGCATACATCTGTGCTCACGTGACCACGCCCACCTGGCGGGAATCACCATGACATCTATCCCAAGGTATCTATCTATGTATCTATCCAGTGTTTCCCGTAGCACTTTAGAGTTAAAGCGTCGTCTCGAGTACGTTCCTCCGAACCACGTGACTCCTGCAAAACTCCGGTCATCGCGGAATCTCCGCGCCCCCCGCTCCTCACTTCTCCGTGCAAAGAATCTCCCCTCCTCACTTTTTCGGCAGCACCGGCTTGACAGTTCTCTGTGGGAAACGCTGCTCTGTCTATCTAACGCAGATTTATCTATCTGTCTGTCTTTCTATCTATGTATCTTTCCATGCTCCTCTCCAGGAAAGTTTTGAAGAGACTCTGTGCAGTTTGTCAAATGCCAGTGCATTTTAGAGGTTTATAAAGCCTCAGCTCAATAATATAAACCTTTATAAATTTCATAGGTTTAATTTTCCACACAGTGTCTGTGTCTCTGTGAACGTCTCACAGACATGAGAATAAAGTGTGTGCTTCACACAGAGCAGAAAGAACAATATTTATGTGCACAGTCTATGAACAGCACAAATACTTCAGGCTGTAAGTCTTTATCGGGACACAGGCTGTTTTATGATCATAGGATCCATGTTTGGATGCAGCATCTTCATTTTCAGTGAAAAATACCTAAGCTGCCTGTTAAACATAAGACTATTGCAGCAGTTCTTTAATCGTGCAAATAGAAAATACTTAAATGCTGCTTGTCAGCCTAAATGATCTGCACATAAGAGTGTGAGTCTCATATAGACTTGAGATGATTTTGGCCAATTTGATATTTGGCATATTTTGAGAGAACAAACTGTATGTAATGTGAAATAAAGAAACAGCACCAACAGTTTATTGTACAATACCTACAATTTTTTGTTCAAAACAGCAACTGTAGTGTTTTGAGTCCTCACAGAGGACAGTGAGCACGGACCGTCTTCAGCCTGAAACAACAGAAAGAATAAGTGATTTCACATCAGACTGAGCAGAGGAGTATGCACTGACCCTTTGGCAAGACATGGAAAGAATAAGAAGGACATTAAAATCACAATGCAAACAAATCAAAACATAAATAATCATCGTAAAATCAACATTAAAAGAGAAGAGTGTTGAATAAAAACCTTTGACCCATATCCACAGCTAAACAGAACCTGGATTTAACATAATCAAAAGTAGGCCTGTCTCACATCTTCAGGACGAGTGTTTGAGGTTTTAGCTCCATAAAACTGAAACACTAAGTCCCTGGGTTTAGTTCTGAATCTGGACACCAGCAGGAGGCCGGGACTAAAGTAGGACTAAACCAGCACTAAACCAGAACTGAACCAAGACTAAACCAGGACTGTATGGAGGCTTGTCCCTGAGATTCTCAGAGTGCAGATGGTTCATGTGGCACTAACATGTCACAGATATACTTTGGTGCTAGGACACGGAGAGACTTGTCTAAAATAGAGAATCAAACAATTAAACATCATGAGTCAGTTAAAGGCATGGCTAAATATGTAGGTCATCAACTTATTGTTTTACCTGCTTTGGAAAAAAAAGAAGAAAAAAAAAACATGCATGCACAATAATAATAATCATTACATTAATCAAATGAATTAATAATTCACTCAAATTGTATTTAAAATGTAATTTCCAGATCAAGCTTTCACCAGAATGCAGTTGTGAATATTGTGATTGTTATATTGTTAAGACGCACATTATAATAACAGTTCTGTTACAAAACTAAAATATTCTAAATTCAATAATAAAATAGAAAAGAATCAAACAAACAAATTGTACATCTAGATTTTTCCAATTATTTTGGTTCTATGACCACTCTGATGAAGACTGCTAATGAGCAGTCAAAACTGTCAGGAATGAAAACAAACTAAACCTTGGTCTGAGAAAAGAATCCATTAAACATATTTTTAGCACCTTATTTTTGATTATAGCTCTGCACTTAATATGAAGTATTTATGTTTTGCACTGACATCTCCAAAACAAATATATATTTATTTTAAATATGAGAGGAAGTAAAACCATCCATGTGCATTATTTACTCTTCTCATATTGTTTACTCAGTGCTGTGATGCTTTGATGTAACATTTGTCTATAACAAACACACGATATTCCACTCTCCTGTCATGTTTGTCCCTGTCTGTCCCTGTCAGTGCTGTCGGTTAAACTCCCTGGACGAGAGTCTCGGGCCAAAGAGCCTTTGTTCCAGAACATGCAGCAGGTCGTGGACGAGGTCATCTCTGTGTTACTGCCCTTGATGAAGGAAAAACCATTCGCTCTGTTTGGACACAGGTGGCTGTACTGTAATAACATAAAAATAAACAGTAGTAATTATGTGTTTTAATTATTTCCATTTATTTGAAATAGTTTTGGAGCCTTTACGAGTTTTGCTGTGGCCTGTGCTCTGAAGAAACTGCACAACGTAGAGCCCATTCACGTCTTTCTGTCTGGAGCCTCTGCCCCTTATGTGAGTGAAAAGTGAAAATGTTAAGTGTAGAGAAACTGTTGTCAATGCTCGAGTTTGTCTGATCTCTGAAGCTAAGCAGTTAGTACTTGGATGGGAGACCTCTGGGAATACCAGGTGTCACTGTGGGCAGTAGTGATTACAGGAATCAAAACACAAACCAACCTCACCTCCATCAGTTTGCCCCAGGGCAGCTGTGGCCCCACTAGTGTGTTACCACTATCAAGTATAGAGTGAATGAATAAAGCATTGTAAAGCTCCTGCCTCACAGCAATGCTTTTCAGGATGATATATTTTATTGTTTATCTTTGTTTGTAAAAAGGTCAGCCACAAATGAAGTTAGTGTTGGTAAAGTGTACATATGCCTTCAATCCATTCTGTATTTCAAACTTAATCTGAAGTAATGCACAATGTCTTCTTTACAACTTACAACAAGTTTTCTGAAACAGTAAAGTAATAAAATTGTATTTGATGCATATTTGTTTGTCTGGCCATTAATAAAGACTCTGAGATTCTGATATTTTTTATCTTTCTTCTATATTTCTCAGTCAGAGTCGCGCCTGAATTACCCAAAGAGGAGTGAATTGTCCGATGAGGATTTCGTGCGGTGGATGACGTCGATCGGAGGGACCCCCCCTGAACTTCTGTCCAACCCCGAAATCATGAGGCTGTTTTTGCCCACGCTGAAGGCCGACCTCAAGGTGGTCGAGAGTTACAGGTGAAAATATGCAATCAAAATATTAACAATGATCCTCAAACCCTCACACACCTACAGTGTCAGAATATTTGGCAAGACAGAAAACAAGACAAAATTTTGAATGAAATTGTGTGTTATCAGGTCTAAACCAGGATAAGCAGAAATGAATTATAGTTTAAAAAGGAGGTTAAAGTAGTGCTACTGTGAAACTGAGTCTTGAATGAATAAAAGTTAAAACTGCACAGACTTTATATACCAACAATAATGCCTTATATGTAGCGCAGTTTTACAGTCCTTTGGTATGTCTCTGTTATTGCCATTGTAAACTAGTCAAAATACTTTCCAGGTATCAGTATAACCCTGATCACAGACTTTCACAAATTAAAAACCTTTTCTTTGAAAAAATAATTGATGCAAATTTTGAGAAATCTAGTAATAAGATATTATAAAACAAAAGTCCAACTAGCTTATAATAATTTAACTCTCTTGCTATTTTTGCTTCTTATTTCAAATTTATTATTTCAGTTATTGTTTTTGCTCTTTGTTATAATAATATATTGTGATATGTGAATAACTGAACTACCAAATAAATTCCCTTGTGGATCAATAAAGTTTGTCAACGTCAGTCTAAGATATGATTGATTGCTTGTTAATTATACATTGTATTGTATAACCCACCCAGTGTCTTGTGTTGTGTGCGAGCAGGTGCATCAGACCGGAGCAGCCCCTTTTGTCCTGTCCAGTCACATGTTTTGACGGGAAGGACGACATTCCTCACGACTTACAAGGTCGACTCTCACACACACCTCTGTCCTCTCACAACATTAAATAGTTTTTGTAACATTGTCATGATACTAAACTTTCAGACTTGAATACAGCGCTGTTACCTCATCACAAACATACTTGGAGTTGTGTTTTGTGTTGTTGTCTGAAGTAACCCTTTATTATTAGTCTGTCTACATGTCCAAAGTACAAAATGCTTTGTTCCATCTTGTGATGTCATGCCTTTTACCTTTTGTTCAGTAGAGACTGGCAATTCCAGGGCTGAAATGATCTAAACAATCCTGGTGATGGTGTAAGGAGTTTTAAAATACAGTGGAGCGCTTCCTGTATTGCCACATGACATCACAAAGTGGAACAGAGTGTTTTCTGTTTGAGAGAAGAATTTAGAAGATTAAATATGCAGGATTTGTGTGTTAAACCTCTGTAAATAAAACAAAACTCAACTATGTTTGTGATGAGGAGACATAGATCAGAAAATATCATATAAACCCTTTAAATAGTTTTTGTAATGTTAATTAGATGATTCTTCAGAAGAACATTTGTGATGCTATTGTTGACAGCAAAGATATCGCCTGAAAAAATGGCTTGAACTGTTCTAAATATATTTTTCATATTTGACTTACAGCCTGGAAAGAAATCACGACTGGAGAGTTCACTGTTAAGATGCTGGACGGTTCTCATTTCTACCTGAAGGAGGCGACAAATGAGAAGATTTTGTTGGACTACATCACAAAACAAGTAGAAACCTCAGAACTGGACTATTTTTAAACATGATTTAAATGAATACATCACTGGATTTTAATGTAGCACCTTGCAAGACGCTTTATAGTTTATTATTTTTTCACTCCACACTCGGTGGTGGTGAGCTCCTATTGTCACTACGGCTGCCAATCTGCTCCATCAGCCGCTCCGACCAGCACCATCACTCACATCCACACGACTTTCCTACTAAATTCATGGCCTACATTTCATTATTTTGTACAACTTTGTGACTAATTCTTTTTAATGCCTGTTAAAGGTGCACTATGTAACTTTTCTGGTGAAAGGTCAGACATCTAGTTGTCTTCAATATGTCGAGAACTTTGAAGTTGTATCTCCATGGAGCCAAGTAAACAGGAGATGACACCACCAGGCCAAGTTACAGGTCAGATCTGAAAAGAGTCAGGTCTGCTTACAGTGAAAATAAATGTTTTTAAAAGCATTTTCTAGCACTACTAACAGCTCTGGAATCTTTAATGCCATTCTATAACATTCAAGCCAAACAGACAACATTTCCAAGTGGCCAAAAGAAAAGTTACCTACTGCACATACTGTATCGACTTGTAGTTTTCAGATTTCTGTGGCGACCTCTTGTGGCAAAAGTAAATAATCACATTGAATAGATTCTAAAGCTGAATGTGGCGCCAGTGTTATTACTGATGATTTTATTGTGACCTATTTTGTGCACATCTAACTTTATTTCTCCCTACTAACTCAGGGATAATGTATTTTGCTATTTTACAAGAAGAAAATTAGACTATTTAACATGTCCATCCCAGCTAGAGCTTGCCTTTAAAGTCCTATATTTTGCAAAATTGTTTGTTAGATTTAAGCCATATTAAAATGTTGTTACCTCATCAAAACATACCTGAAGTGTTTTGTTTCATTCACATGTTTGAGTAATCTTTTATTATTATTAGTCTGTCTTTGTTTCACCTTGAGATGTCATGGCGTGGCAGTTTAAGTTAGCAGCTCCTTTTACCTTCTAGGTCAGTGGAAATTGGCAATTCCAGGGCTGAAATCATCCAAATGATTCTTGTGAAGGTGTATGGAGTGGAAAAACAGTGGAGCACTTCCTGTACTACCACATGATATCACAAGGTGGAAGGAGTGTTTTCCATTTGAGAGAAGAACTCAGCCTAAATATGCAGGGTTTGTGTGTTCAACATGTAGGAATGAAACAAAATATAACTCCAGGTCTGTTTTTTTTTTTTTTTTTTTTTTTACGAGGAAACAAGTATTGCATTTATTTCACATATGTTCAACTTCTCAAAGCAGAAAAAAACACTTTGTTCTGCTTCAGGTCTTTAATAAAATAAATTAAACTCTTACCACAGATTAAACATACAATATCAAAATTTATTTATGCAGATTTTACATGATAAAACCTTCAGATCTTTCCAATATGAAACCAACCAGAAAACAGTAACAGAAAAAGGCAGCATCATTCGTTTACAATAAAAATCAATCTTTTACTAAAACTACAAATTCAGTCACCTTTTAAAAGTACATCACGTTTAGGGGTCGGGGGAGTTGAGGGTTTTGAAATATTTTGTTAACGTTTGAGGCAATGTTCAAACTGAAATAATGCAAGTTACATGTGGTTTTCCATTGAGTGAAATTTCCCAACAGCGCAAAGGTCGAGTGACTGGGAATGTTTTGTCTAGATTAAAGAATAGTGTGGAAAAACAACATTTCCTGGTCAATATTTTGAGAAGAGACAGTGCAAAGTCTGAGCTGGACCTGAGTTAGTTTGAGGGGAGCCATTATGGGAGCGTTCACACTTTTTGCGCTTGGTTTGGTTCAAGCCCAGTTTAGTCCTGGTCTAGACTTGGTTTGATCCTATTGATACTTTGCAGCTCATGTCGTCAACATTCTCTGGGGGTGTGATGCTTACTGAAGGTACCACTCTGTCTGAAGCTCTGTGACTCAAGATAGACAAGATAATCTGGCTTTAACACTCTCAAATAACATTACAGTCACAAGCAAGATAGTTTTTCACTCATATTTTTGTTGAAACTCACCTAAACACCTAAACAGGACCATGAACGCTCGTATTGATCACACGCTCCTGAAAATGTGTTGTTTAAATCCATTTTGTTCTTGAGTCTTCAGACTATCATAGAATTTTTTGGCAGTGTTTGACAGTCCAAGGTAGAACACCCCCATCTTGATGTCACTGCAAGGTATCAATTCTAGTCCTGTTTTAGTCCTGGTCCAATCTAGAGCTAGTAGTGGGATAAATGTGTTCTGTGCAACTTCTCTGGAGTCCGCCACCTGCTTGTCTTGTTATTGCTTTGCTTGAAATGTTACACAGTATGGCATTAAACTTGTCCATCTTGTATTAATTCAATGGCAAAAGAAATTGAAATTGAAAATCGTTCTGTACTGTGAGCAGGGCTGTCGCTCCACAGATCTGACCTGCAACTTTTCTGGTGGAAGGGCATATTTATAATGCCATACTTCAGAACAATGTCTTTGTAGTCCTTCAATCATCCAGGTTTGATCCAAAATACCAAAAGAAAACTTAAATTCTGTCAACTGGACCAAAGTTTTAGAGAGAAGACGAACTGAAAAAGCTGCTTGGATGAGTTTTGAGACATCTTCGCTCTAAAATTTTTGTCCAGTTGACAGAATTTAACTTGACTTTTGCCATATTTTAGAACCTTTCATTCAAGCGCAATAAAATATCCAAAGAGACAAGCACAGACCCTCCACCAGTCCCAGTTTTTTATGAGTTGTCTGCAAATTAAGTGTGAACGTAGCCATTTTTATTTCTAATAGGGAGGAGGAGAGGGAGGAGGTGGGATGTTATCTTTGTCCCATGAAGAGGAGGTTGGTGGGTGGTCCGCTAAGACGAAGGAGTCTGTGGAGCGGGTGCTGATTCGGAGGGGGGCCAGGCGGCGCAGGTTACTGGGGGTGTAGGGCAGCTCCGCCTGGGCTCTCTGTGACGGGGAGACTGTAGCAATGTCCTCCTCCCCCTCGGCCAACCACGGCGGGATCTGCGTCGGTGCCATGGGGTCCAGGTCGGGCAAGAAGGCCGGATTCTCTATGCCAGCTGGAAAAGAGAGAGGGCGAAGTGTTAGAACAGATTTATAACAGACTTTAAAGAGCCCATATTAGATTTTGCCTGATGACATTAAACATATCCATCTATACGGGTGTTTCTATTGCTCAAAAATATTAATTCCTTCTGTGAATAGGGCAACTCTCCACAGATCTGAATTGTAATGATATCACAAGGTGGAAGAGAGTGTTTTGATGATGCATGTTCTCACCTCCAGGTCTGTAGGTCACTCTGGGAATAGACGTTGTGTATCCCGAAGCACTGTTCCCCTCTGAAATAACAATATATTTATTTAATTAATGGGACAAAATATTGTTATTGTTATTTTTTCATGGCCAATGCCGATTGTTCAGAATTCAGAGGAACCAATAGGAACCGATATTTTTGGGCTGCCAATTTGATTATTTTCCCCAAAGTATGTAATTTACAAACTCGCCCCCCGCCCTTTTTTTAACCACAAATTTTTAAGAGAGCTGTGTAGTCATATTTTGTGCAGTGATCTCTTTGTTTTATAAGTGTTAAAATAAAGCTTTGTGTGTATTTTTTGAGAGCAGATCAACCAAAACAAAATATCGGACTGAGCTAGAGATTTATGGCCGATGGACGACAGGATAAAAAGTCCAAAAATCAGCTCAATATATATATCAGCCAACTGATATATTGATCAATCTTTCTACTTATAACTACTTCTAATTGTAACTGCATTGTCATTTCACTTTTCAAATTTATTTTATTATTATTTATCTAGTTATTTCACATTTATTTGATACTTAAAGTGGCAATGACAGGTTGGAGTACACATTTCATTAAGTTAACACAGTAAGAACATTATATTTAAGATTTTACAAAACATTTTACATTTTCTTTCCCAGTTTGGAAATTTTTTAGGTTTCAAATTTTACTTCCAGGTTGGAAATCATGTTTAAAGACTTATTTCTTGAGTAAATTGTGCCTAAATGTGGAACTCTCTCTACTCCCTGTAATTTTGTAACATATTTTTCAACTTTTCTTCACAAACTGCTTCCCAGTTGGGGTAAAACTATAATTTATATTCCCAACAGGTATTATAGCACCAAATTAAGTCAAAATTAGAGAATCATTAAAACCTGCCATACGCACTTAAAACATCAATGTATACATTTAAAGATGTTAGAGTATTTTTTATTGGTGCACCCCGCCCCTATTAACAACATTTACATATAAACACTGACCTTCATCACTTTTGGATTTACCATTGGGCATCTGCAACAGTAAAATATTTTATTAATAAACAAGTATTAAAAACAATATGGGATCAATGCACTATGTGAGTAAAAGAAATGTTGGAGAGAGTAAAAGTCTGTAAATGTCTATAAAAAGGTGCACTGCGCAACTTTTCTGGTGGAGGGTCCGCTATCTTCTTGTCTCCATGGAGATGCTATTGTTTTCCCTGGAATGTTCCATGGTATAACATTAAGCATATCCATCTGGCATTTATTAATTCGGGTGTTTCCATTGCTCAAAAATACTATAATGTCTTCTGTGAATAGGGGTGACTCTTCACAGATCTGAAATGTAATGAAGTGTAGTGCTGTAACCTGACTGTCTTCTTCGTGATAGATGGGTTTAATCTATACTGTGGAACATTCTAAACAAAGCAATAACATTTTCATGGCGACAAGAAGGTGGCGGATCATCCACTAGAAAATGTTAAGCACCTCTAAGGCACATCTCACTGGTTTTGTTTTAGTTTATTATATTAAAATTAACACATAAAATAGATTTGAACTATAAAAAAATACTATTAATCATCTTTTTTACCTTCTGTTGGGCGTCTTTCTTGACGTGCTTTGTGATGGTCTTCGGGGGCATGACTCCCATTTTGGCCGATTTGAAAGACTCCAGGCGGTTTCTCATGGTTCTCTGGAAAATCTCCTGAACCTCATTCTCGTCCTGGTTCACGTCAAAGTGGCTGCGGCTGTATCGATGACGATGCTACAACAAAAATAAACATATTAAAACCGATACTTTAAAGGTGCATTGAGTGACTTTTCTGGAGGAGAGTTCACCAAGCTGCTTTTGCTTTACTTGGAATGTTGTATAGTATGACATTAAACATTTCCATCTAGCGTTTATTCATTACAGGTGTTTCTATTGCTCAAAAATACAATAATTCCTTGTGTGAATAAAATGCGACTCTCCACAGATCTGAACTGTAACGTAGCGTAATGCTGTAACCTGCTTAATGTACACTGTGGAACATTCTAGACAAAACAATAATATTTGCTTGGAGACATCAGGTGGCGGACCCTCCACTAGAAATGTTACACAGTGCAGCTTGAATAATATTTTTTTGAAATATTTATATTGCAGATTTAAATGCTCTCACCTGTTTCTGTCCCTTGTACAGATGCTGCTGCAGGAGGTGGTGCGTGTTCATGTCCTCAGACTCTCTCAGTCCGTTCATCGTCTGTTCGTGCATCTCCATACTAATAGAAGGCACAGTGTCCCGTCTGAAAACACACAGACAGAAGCTCATCAGTATGTGTAGAATAGTATATTGTTTAGTTTGTGCTTTATTTGATGGGACAATGTACAGATATATTTAAGGTCCTACATAACACAAACCTGACTCTTGTGAGCTTTTAGCGCTGTTAGAGTGCTGTTTGATCACTTTAGTTGTGTACCTTGCATATGGATTAGTGATAGTTGTATCTCCCATGTCGATTGTGATGTCAGGCATTGAGATGTCTGAAAAGTCGTCCCCAAACTTCTTCTTGAAGTCGATGTAGGCAGTTTCATTACGAACAAACTCCAGAGTGCCATTACATTCACCCTGTACAAGACAACAACACTTACTCACAATGATACTTATAATTAACCTTACACAGCGAGATGGATTCTCGTGATATAAACTCATGAGAATCCATCTTGGTATGTGCTGGTGGTTGGTGACCAACCACAGAGCAGCTTTGAGGTTTCAAGCGAACCAAAACAAACATGGCGACAGCGACAGACTTAATTCAACCTATTTTAGCGTTGATACGGTCTATTTTATTTGTGAAAAACATAAGCGCTTTGTCTATTTGTGGACAGGGAAGATGTCTGCGTTTTTCTCTCAACTGGACGTGACTAAAGTTTCTCAGCTTGTTCCACTGTGCTGACGCTTTGACCAAACAGATTCAAGTAGACGTCATGATGCTCCGAGTCCACACTGACAATGCACAGAACTCCATTCAGAGTGACACACATACCAGTCTGGTGTGAGCCCGGTTTACTGGGTTCATTTTTTGGGAATTATGTCATAATTTCAGATGGAGGCAGGGGTCTATATAACTCTACAGGAGATTTCACAAATGTGCAATATTACTCTTATGGCTTTATGTCCTTAGTCCACTTAAGAACAATGAAGTCTTTGGGTCAAGTAATGGCACACTAAAAAAATAACTTCACCTTTGTTTGTTTATGGTGACTGAGAAGATGTTGAACTTTGTGCCAGTTTTGTTTTTGTGGATAGTCCCAGTAATAACATTAAACATAAACCAAGTCAACAAATCTTTAGTCTGACAGTAAAACAGTAAATTTCACCATAGAGTTCTGCAGTAGACCTGTTCTCCGCCTCAGTTTTAAACTATAAGGATTCCAAAGTGTCTATCTATCGATTAATCTATTAATTTTTTCCATATCATTTGAAGTTGTATTCCCAGTCGTACCTCGGCTACATAGTCCAGAGCATCTTTCATGTTGAGTTTGTGGAAAACGTTGAACACATAATCGTGCTTCTTTCTCGCTGAAGGCTTCATCAGAATCCAGGAAAGCCATTTGGACTCAAAGTTGTTCCACCTGAATTTAAACAAGAAATACATGAGTAGATATGGGGCTACGGTGGCTCAGTGGTTTGAGGTGGTCCCCAAAGGTCGGAGGAGCAATTCCCACTCAAACCAAATTCTGTCGTTGTGTCCTTAGGCATGACATTTTCACAAAGGTCAAATTTTGTGGGATTCCTCTGTGTTTTCGATACATTAACTTTTTAGAATTTTTAAATCATTAACGTGCCTAAAAGTAAGCTTTGTAAGAGTGTACAAGTTTAAGGCATTATTATTATTATTAAAACATTTTTTAAACATCAATATTTAGTCTAAAGTGTACATTTAAAAACTATGCAGGGTTATTTTATAATATTTGGGAGAATACCGACATCTGCTAAACCAAGTCAAATGCAGTTTTCATTCAGATTGTGATTTTGATTCAAATGTGGTTAATCTTGCAACCATAATCAACAAGAAATTCATGATGATGCAAGTTTAACAATTTTTTTACCTGCTTGTATCCATGGAGATGTTATTGCTTTGCGTGGAATGTTCCATGGTATGACATTAAACATATTCAGTTAGCATCAGAGTTTCTATATGCTCAAAAAATACAATAATTCCTTCTGTGAATAGGGGCGACTCTCCACAGATCTGAACTGTATTGTAGCGTACTGCTGTTACCAGCGCGTCTCCCTATTAATAGATAAGTTTAATCTATACTGTGGAACATTCTAGATAAAGCAATAACATTTCCATGGAGACAAGCAGCTTTAAAGTACAGCTCAGTACAGCTTTAAAGTCACTTATGTTTGACTCACTTGTCTCTCATGTAGTTATGTCCCTTTTGACCTGAGATGTCTTCAACTGCCACCAGCGCGTGATCAAACACCTATAATGTAAAAACAAAACATATTTATATCATTTACATACTTTTATGCAATACTTATGACTCTGAGTACGTAACATTAACTGTCAAACCTTGTTCTGAACTTTTTCAACGAGAGTGAGTTCAGTAACAGCAGCTCTTTTTACTTTTAGCCACGTGACCAGAGGTTTCATGGTTATTCCCTGTAAAAAACACAAAGTCCGAGATGTTGGAAATAAATGTGCCACAAAATCTTTTAAAGCTATCACACAAAATGGATTCTTGAGAGCTTTAAGCCATGTGATAATGTTGTTAACAAAATCTCATCAAAAACAGACCTGGAATTATGTTTTGTTTCGTTATTAGTCTGTCAAAGCTCAAAAGCTCTGTTCCATTTTGTGATGTCATGTAGTGTTAGTTTCAAGTTAACAGCTCCTTTTACCTTTTAATTCAGAAGAGATGGGCAATTCCACGTCTGAAATTATCCAAATTATTCTAGGGAAGGTGTATGGAGCTTAAAAAGACAGTGGAGCACTTCCTGTGATTTAGATTTGAGAGAAGAACTCATCTTAAATATGCAGTGTTTGTGTGTAAAAGGAGCACTGCTTAACTTGCTTGATTCCATTTTTTTTCCTGAAATGTTCTACAGTAAAAAGTTTAATTGAGCTATCTCCATGGAGACAAGCAGGCCATATCATTAGGACAAGTTACATGGCCAGATCTGTGGAGAAGTGGGCCCCCACATTGTAATAATGCATGTTTTTGTGGTACTTTTGAGAGATAAAAACACCTGTAATTGAATAAATACAAGATATATTTGTTTAATGCTGTACTGTGGAACATCCCAGGCGTGTGAACGAAACAAAATACAACTCCAGGTCTGTTTGTGATGAGGAAACAACATTATAACGAGATATGTGGGCCCTTTAAAGTACACTTCAGGTCACAGTTGTCCCACCTGTAAGACGACAGTGAAGTACACCACGATCAGGGTGGTCCCGATCATCAGGGGCCTCTCCTTGATTTTGTTCTCGTCCAGCAACACAGCCAGTCCGTACGCTACTGCCCCCCGCAGGCCACCGTAGCTCATGATGACCCGGTCTGTGAAGTCCAACGGCACCAGCCTGAACATGTTCTGAATCCAGGTCAGGAAAAACACACCTGTACACAAGGCAACAAGGATAAAGTACAAATGTATTTAGGTGCATTTTTAAGATATTAGGACATAGCTGCTGCGTTACACATAGGAAGTGAGCATGGGCGCGCGTCCAGCTCCACTGACTTTTGATTGAAATATTGTCACCTGACTCTCTGTAACTGCTGCTGTGAGCCTCGTAATTTTGGTCTTAAATTGTTCGTATTAACCTGCTCTACATGATTGTTTGTTATGTTTGATAATCAGTTAAAAAAATGTTATGTTTTTAAGTAGTTTTGTATGTTAACAGAGAAAAATCCCACACTGTCTTGCAATCTTTTTCTGTAAATGTGCTCACTCTACTCCAACACAAAGTTTTCATTCATTCAGTTTTGTATGAAAATATTTTTTGCTTTGAATTCATTTTTTTCATATAATATCAGTATGCTATAAAGTAGTAATAATAAGTGTTTTTTAGGGGTGGTCAAAAATACTGAAAAATCGATATATCGTATAGTTTAATGCGATGATACAGTATCGATATCATGGGCTGTTGTATTGATATATCGCCAAGAGTATTTTTTGGTATATTTTACTAAATTATTTTGTTACAGCGCTAAAGTTTTGTTGCTTGTTTAGTGGGAGGAAACTTGTTTATGCAACACATTTGACATTTTCACTGTTTTGAGGATTAACATGGGTGTGTTTCATATTCACTTTGCACAAGAAGTGGTTTAACAAAGACTTTTAGTATCACAGCCATGATTTAGCTGCTATTTTTTTACTGAACTGCATCGTATCGATTTGAAATATATCGTATCGAACCGAAAGTGCACTGTGTTGAGACATGTATCGTATCGTAGGTTGTATATCGAGGTATGTATTGTATCAGCAACTTCTTAATGATACCCAGGCCTAGTAGTTTTCTTGAAATAAATGAAATTTGATTCATTAAAGCTGCACTGCGTAACTTGTCTGGTGCAGGATCCGCCATACGCTTTTCTCCACTGATCTGCCTGGAATGTTCCACAGTATGGCATTAAACAAATATATCTTGCATTTATTCAATTATAGGGATTTTTAGCTCTCAAAACCACAGAAACATGCATTATTATTATTGTGAACGGGCCCACTTCTCCACAGATCTGACCTGTTACTTGGCCTGGTGGTGTGGCTGCTTGTCTCCATGGAAACTGTTAAATTAAATGCCATACTGTAGAACATTCCAGGAAAAAAACAATAATATTTACCTGGAGTCAAGCAGGTGGCGGACCCTGTACCAGAAAAGTTACATGATACACATTTAATAGTGATTTAGTCCAAAGTTGCAGCCTAATCAACACAAGCAAGTGGGGTGAAGTGTGTTGCTCAAGGGCACAATGTTAGTATGCATCTCCAGCCGCAGGGATTAGAAATTATGTTTGTTTCTTTTCTGAGTTTTACCGATGACTCTGTAGACGAGCACAAACAGCAATGTGAGGAGGATGAAGCCGGTGTCCAGACCCAGATGGTTTTGTCGATGGCCGAGATTCCGAGGAACACAAAGATCATGGTCTCTGAGCCATTAGCGAAAACCTTCATGACGTAGCGCACTGTCGTAACCGATTTCTCATCCATGTTTGCATTTATGTACTTCTGACAGCACACACCACAGAACGTAATCCTAAAGAAACAGAAAATCTTATTAGTTTTGCACATTTAATTAATTAATGTTTTAGTATTTTTTTCCATGTAGGTCTAATTGGACAGGGCAGTAAGCAGTGTGAAATATTCTTTAAAGGTCCTATATTATACCAAATTGTCTCCTGTGAGCTTTAAGACATGTTAAAAGATGGTTATCTCATCAAAAAACATGCCTGGAGTTGTGTTTTGCTTCATTCACACATTTGAGTAACCGTTTATTATTAGTCTGTCTACATCTCCAAAGCTCAAAATGGTCTGTTCCACTTTGTGATATAATAAGCCATTTTCACACACACACAATGCCACACGGCTCTTCTATTTTTTGTTGCCCTGCCATGATAAATAAAAAAAATAAATAATTATTTTATATTTTTTAATAAGCCTAAACCTGCTGAAATTTCTGCAAATTATTGAACATTTAAAATCAACAGCTTTACACAGTTTGTGTATGTGTGAATGTGTAAATCCTATTACCCAGAGCCTAAGCCCATGGAAGTTTATTAAGATCATATTATACATGGGGAAACAGGCTAAACTTTTAACAGAAACTAGTGCTGCTAAATCCAGATTATGGATAACTACTTCAAGTAGAATTTGAAGTAGTAAAACAAGAGACGAATGGTGCATTGGAAAGATTGGAACCAGCACTGCACGCGGGGAGAAGGTGATCGGTCAGCAGCACGCGTGCCTACCCCCCGTGAACACTGTTGGGCAAGTTACTTTAAAAACGTAATGCGTTATTTATTACTTATTACTGTCATTTCAAAGTAATTTGTTACATTACAATATTACTGCATTTAAAATGTAAGGCATTACATTACTATTGCATTACTTTAAGTTACTCTCACCAAAATAACTGCGAAGCTGCTGAACTTTTGCACCGTATATGGACTGAACCAGGACTAAACCAGGTCTAAACCAGGACTAAACCAGAGCTGAACCAGGACTGAACCAGGATTATAACAGGACTAACCTCGGACTGATTCCAGGACTGAAGAGGAGGACTAAACCAGGACTGAACTAGGACTAAAACAGGACTAAACCAGAACTAAACCAGAACTAAACCAGGACTAAACCAGAATTGAACTAGGAGTAAAACAGGACTCACTGTCGGGACGGGCTCGAAGGTGACCGCAGGAGAAAGGAGCGGCTCTGCTCTGCACCTCACGGAGGTAAGAGCGGCTGTCGCCCGATCGCGCTTTATGGACCCTGCTGCTCGGGCTCACGGTCCTGATTTCAGCAACTATTTGCGGGTACAAGACCCGGTGCAAGACTCTGCTACAGCGCGTAACTTCTACCTTCCTTCAGCGTGTCCAGAAGTCCAACTTTTTGTGCGATAGTGAGCATCTTCCTCTGCCTTTTGGGTGCGAGCGCAGGAGCCTTTGTCAGTGCAGAACATTTTGTCGACGTTGTGGGTTTTGTCGGGGAGAAAACTTGCAAACATACAGCACTTCGGACGACTGTAAACCAGGTCTAAACCAGAAGTGACCCAGGTCTAAGACAGGTCTAAACAGCGTAGAGTTCTGTGTCGGTCCTTTCCCCGCGGTTACCTGAAGGTCTACGCGCGGCCACGTCTCCGGCGTTTCCCCGCTGCTGATATCGCGGTGATTTTAGCGAATTTGTATGAAGAAAAACACACCACTTCGATCCAGGTTAAAAAAGCATTGTAACGCGCGTTACTCACATTTGTACCGAGTAAAATATTACAATTTTTTCTCCTGTAATGCCTTACATTACTGCGTTACAGCAAAAAGCAATGCATTACTGTAATTCGTTACTTTTATAACGCGTTACTCCCAACACTGCCCGTGAACCACGTGGAGTCTCGGGATCTGCTGTCGGTATTCTAAGGATGTGTAACTGATGCGTGAAAACTCAGTTTAATGGACATCTGCTGCTGCGAAACGCTCTGTTTCTGTGGAATACAGAGCCAGAGTTAAAAGTAAGGTGTGTTTTTATGGCTTATTACCGCTGTGCATTTGTTCGCAGAAGCCTGCAAGTTCTGCGTGTGATGAGACATGAATACAAAGGTATTCTTTCCTGCTGTTTTAACTGAGAGGTTTTATTGTTCAGTTCAGTGAATGGTGCATCTAAAGAATCAGATCAATAACTGCATCATCCCACACGTGTATCTGTCTTGTATCTGTGTGAGCCTCTGTTGCAGTGTGGCGCTGTTATGTCTTTACCCAGGTGTGTGAATCTGCATACGCCCAGCAGTCTGCTGTGGTGGTGTGTGTCAATGAAACTATCGGGGCAAGATCCTGCTAGGATTTCTATAAGGACTCCGCACTTTATCCGGTGGTGCTGTGAAAATGGCTATGTAGTGGTAGTTTTCCTGTCAACAGCGACCTTTACCTTTAGTTCAGTAGAGATTGGCAATTCCAGGGCTGAAATTATCCAAATGATTCCACTGAAGGTGTATGGAGTTTAAAAACACAGTAAAGCAATTCCTATATTACCACATGACAAGGTGGAACAGAGTATTTTCTGTCTAAGACAAGAACTTGTGCGTGTGAATGAAACAAAACACAACTCCATGTATGTTTGTGATGAAAAAACAACATTATAACAGATCAGAAAAAAACCCTTAACTTCACTTACGAGAGAATGGCAGACAGTGAGAGCATCTCCGCCGTGAGGTAGGAGAGGTATCCCAGGACGAACACAAACCCAGGTTCAATGATCTGAATATTTTTGGTGCAACGTGTCAAAAGAGACAACATTATCCCGAAGATCACCCCGACCAGCGCCCCTCCAAACGCCACAACGAAGAAGGAAACTGGGGAAGAAAGTGTATGTTTTACTGTTGCATCTATTTATCTTAAAATGGACAGCAATAAATATTTTCAGCATTGACTCAGTGGTGAAAAATGTAGCCTGCTTGATTTTGTTGCTTAACAGAATGCTGCAGTGAAGTAAACTGTGTAAGAAAGTAGGGATGTAGCAATATGTAAATCACATGGTAAAATACAATTCCGATCTTATTTTCACAATTCAGTATTTACTGCAACATTGTGAAGATGCTAAGAAAATGGAAGAAATGCTACTTTTTCCTTCTAAAATGTCTTGACAAGCCTTTTAGGACTATAATACTGTCATAGTCCAAAGAATTAAGATAGAAAAGTTCTTTATAACAGTTATTTCTTCATGTTTTCTGCAATAAAATGGAACAAAGGATCATGGTCTATGTAGTTTCCTCCATTTTTTTAGCTGTTGCTGCATTAACACAATGATACCACAATATTTCAGTTAATTTCAATTATTGTTACATCCCTAGAAGAAAGTATATTTTTCCTGTGAGATTATTATGACTGTAAATCACTTAAATAAAAATGGACAACATCAAACTGAAATAAAACACGTACTAATTCCTTTGATGATCTCCACAGCGTCGATCTCAGCTCCTCCCAGAGACACAAAAGCATCAAAAACATTGAACAGCACCTGGAGAAATAATCAGCATTGCAATATTTAAAACCTATGCCAGATAAAAATGAGGAAATCATGAGGAATAAGAAGCACTAAAACAAAGAAAATGAATTGCAAAAAAGGTTTAAACAGATGAAACTAAATTAAACTAAAAAACAACTTATCGATTTATTCTTTAAAGGTCCTATATTGCGCAAAATTGAGCTTTTAGGCACAGAATGTTACTTCAGCAAAAACATACCTGGAGTTGTTTCATTTCATTTGAGTGACACTTTATTTATTATTAGTCTGTCTACAGCTCCAAAACTCATGTCATGCCATGAAGCGATAGTTTTCAGGTTAACAGCTCCTTTTACCTTTCTTCAGTAGAGATTGGCAATCCCAGGTCTGATGATGATTGTAGTGAAGGTGTATGAACTTTAAAAACACAATGGAGCACTTCCACTATTACCACATGACATCAGAAGGTGGAACACAGTGTTTACTATTAAACATGTGTGAATAAAACAAAACACAACTCCAGGTCTGTCAGATGAAGATAAGAGGTAGAGCTGGGTCACTGGGTCATAAAAAAGTTAAAAATAGCAGTACAGGTGCTCTACGAGGGTTAAACTTAATCTGAACAGAAAATTACCCTTATTAAAAAATGTAAAACTGGACAAGGTACAAACCCGAGGTACTCCGACTGAATATATTAAAAGTCCTTTATTACATTGGCGTCCCTTCTGTTAAGATTACAAGTTTAACCCTCGTAGAGCACCTGTACTGCTATTTGTAACTTTATGACCCAGTGAAACACAAACACTTTTACATTTTTCAGTAAGGGTAACTTTCTGTTAAGACAACTCCAGGTATGTGTTTGATGAGGAAACAAATTATAACAGATCAGAAAATAGCATAATATAGGCCCTTTAAAGTCATTTTATGGGTTATTTCAGCAGTAGCATTTCCTTGGAGAAAGGCAGATACCCTTTCACCGGAAAGCCAATCCAATATTTATTTAATCCATCTCTATTATGTATTTGCTGTATCACCCTTGAGTTGTGTCATTTACATTAGATAAAGGCCTTATCTGGTTCAATTAAACAAGACTCACGATTCTAAGAAGTACCTGTTAGAGTTTCTGACAGGTTTTCAGCGTCATTGTTGAAATAACATGCATCAAATCTTAATAGTGTATACTTTCTAGGAATGAATACAATGAATAGAAACTGCTTTAAATAGTTAATGCCGGTTTCGATATGCTTTCGTGGTATAGTTATTGTCTATGGATGACATGGGACTTTCGCTCGAAGCTATTACAGTGTATATGATCCGATTCTTTGTGAAGTCTGGATTATTCTTGAGGAAAAAATAAATAAAAGGCATTTCCATAACCAATATTCAGTAACTTTTGTAAAATGTCAACCCTGATCAAATATCTTAAAAGGTCCTATATTATGCAAAAGCCATGTTAGAATGTGTTTTTGTTTGAGTAATCCTTTATTATTAGTCTGTCTAAATCTCCCAAGCTATGTTATATTGTTTCTTTATCACAAACATACTGTATTTTCCGCATTATTAGGCGTTCTAGATTATAAGGCGCACTGTCATTAAATGGTCTATTTTCGAACTTTTTTCACAAATAAACTGCACCGGACTTTAAATGAAACAACAGTTTGATGGGTCAGTGGGACTTTGTTTGGCGCGTTCACAGTAACTCTGGGCTTTGTTCAGTTGTGGCGCTTAGGGAGGGTGGTGTCTGGGACCACTGGATTGTCGGCGTGTTCACAGTGATTCAGTTGTTCAGTTGTGGCTCAGAGTGGTACATTGCACTCGCTTTTTCGGTTCGTTCCTTCGTTCCGTTCCTCGTCCGCGTGGAGTGATGAGTGTGGCTGAGGATGTGTTTCGCTGCGCGGTCGCTGTCTGCTCCGTGTGTGTTTGCGTGCACTGCGGGTGGTGCGGCTTTGTAGTTTACTGAAGTCGTGCTGGGAAACCTGAGTGGATTCATGTATGGGGCGCTTTGGATTGTGGGGCGCGCAGTCATTTTTTGATGGGGTTAGAGGCTTATGAGCACGTCTAATAGCCCGGAAAATACGATACCTGGAGTTGCGTTTTGTTTCTTTCACACATGTTTCACACACAAACCCTGCATATTTAGAGTTCTTCTCTCAAGCAGAAAACTCCATACTCCTTCACTCTAATCATTTGGATAAGAACAGCCTTGGAAATGCCAATCTCTACTCAAAAAAAGGAAAGAGGTAGGCTAACTTGTAAACTACATGACATCACAAGATGGAACAGAGCATTTTGAGCATTGGAGATGTAGACAGACTAATAAAGATTACTCAAACATGTGTGAATGAAACAAAATACAACTCTAGGTATGTTTTTAAGGAGGTAACAACATTCTAACATGACTTAAAGATTACTAGAGTCAATTTTGCGTAATATAGGACCTTTAAGCATCCTGTATCTGAGTGTACAGTGTGTTTTACAGTCTATTTAATCATACCACAGTGACTCCATCGTTCAGCAGAGACTCTCCAAACACCATGATAAATAGGACTTCATTCACGTGGACCTCCTCAAACACTGCAATCACAGCCACAGGGTCCACAGCAGAGAGGAGACTCCCAAACAGCAGGTACTGAAGCAGGCCAATGTCTATGTCACCTAAGAAACACAACCAATATACAGTTTACAAACTTAAAATCGTTAACTTCTTCCTTGTCATGTTAATATATCGATTACTATGATGTTATTGTCTCTTAAAGGGCCCATATTACACTATTTTCTGAGCTATGTTATAATGTTTCTTCATCAAAAACACACCTGGAGTTGTGTTTTGTTTCATTCACACATGTTTAACACACAAACCCTGCATATTTAGGCTGAGTCTGTTCCTCTATGTGATGTTGTGTGGTAATACAGGAGGTGCTCTGCTGTGTTTTTAAGCTCCACACACTGATCATTTCATCCCTGGAATTGCCAATGTTTACTGAACAAAAGGTAAAAAATAGTTGTTAACTTTAAAAGAGCATTTTGAGCTTTGGAAATTTAGATAGACTAATAATAAACACAACTCCAGGTATGTTTTTGAGGAGATAACAACATTATAACATGGCTTAAAGCTCACAAGAGTCGATTTTGCAACTCTTGTAAACAGTGAATATGACCTTTAAAGCTCATTAGTCAGTCTATGGTAGTGATTAGATCCTTGTATCTCTACCCTTCAGTCTATAAACATAAAGAGTCTCTCACCCATGGCCCCTCCCATGTGGCATCCCCAGAGCGACACACCCACAGTGGCAGCGTTCCAGCATGTTCCAATGATGGCGTGGATCAGGATGCCTCCCAGGTTACTGAAGAACAGCTTATTGGGCATGAAGTACCCCGCGTCCAGGATGATTTGGGGCAGAAGGTAGAAGAAGAAGACCGTGGGGGTGAGACTGAAGGTTTGAACTTTGTCTGCGCCCCAGATGATGCCGCCCAAAATGAACCCAGAACAGATGAGCAGGGCACTCTCCGGGATGTAGGCGGTGACATGGTGGTTAGCCTCAATCACTGTAAAAAAAAAAAAAAAGACAGAAATCACTGTTTCCCATGTGTAGAAGAGACTATGGTGGCCCCCCTCGAAAAACAACATGGACTAGATATTGGTATAACAAAATCTCACTTTGTTGCTTCTTGTATTGTCATTCATCTAACTATACTGTTCAAATGGACAGTAAGAAAACGAAAAAATAACAATTTTCTTCAATATTTGTCTCCAAAACCAAAATGAAAATACAGATAACTATTTGTTTTTCAGTTTTCAATTTTGTGTTTAAATGAATAATGGAAAAAACAGAAAATGGAAAACAGACATTTTCTGTTTCCATGACTTAAACTGCGATGCCGGACTTTTGCACCACATATGGACTGAACCCGGTCTCAGCCCCGGTCTCAGCCCCGGTCACAGCCCCGGTCACAGCCCCGGTCACAGCCCCGGTCACAGCCCCGGTCAGCCCCGGTCACAGCCCCGGTCACAGCCCCGGTCAGTCATTAAAACACAGAATCAAAAACTGAAAAAAACTAATCGTTATCTGTTTTTTAATTTTGGTTTTGGAGACAAATATTAAAGAAAATTGTTGTTTTTTCGTTTTCTTGTTTGTGGTTTTTTTTTTTTAATGCATGAATGATACACGGATTTTGAAGTAATCTGTAATTAAAAAAAAGGTGTGGTTCTGGTCAGAATTTTGTGTTGTCACTGTAGCATTTGCTTTGTGGAAATACAGCTTATCTTTAGTATTTATCATAGTTTTACACACAGTTAAATGGTAGTTTGTGAATTACAAGTTGAGAAGTACCTAAAACAGAATACCTTTACCTATGAACAACACGGAAAACTTCAAATCCACGATATGATACATACCTCAATACAGTGAGCTTACGATTGAATACGATACAGTACAATATATTTCAAATCGATTTGATACGGTTCAATAAAAAATAAAGGCTAAATCATGGCTGTGACACTAAAAGTCTTTGTTAAACCACTTCTTGTGCAAAGTTAATATGAAACACACACATTTTAATCATCAAAACAGTGAAAATGTCAAATGTGTCGCATAAACAAATTCCCTTCCTCTAAACAAGCAAGAAAACTGTGACGCTGTAACAAAATCATTTAGTGTAATATACCAAAAAATACTCAGCAGCCCACAATATCGATACTGTATCTTCCCATTAAATTATACGATATATTGATATTTCAGTATTTTTGCACACCCCTATTGTCAGCCCTCTTTCTGTAACTGCTGTACTGCACCACATCATTTTGGTCTTAAAATATTTGTATAATATAATGTGATATTGTGGTGTTTATTTCATATTTTGTGTGTTAATAAATTAATATTTCTAATATGGAACTCTGCTTTATGCAATAACTAACTCTAAATTCGACCCTATAACTGATGGCCTCTGTGAGCTTCATTTGACTGGAGCTGAACACTACAGGTGACGTGACACTCCCTTAGTCCACTTCTTTACACAGTCTTTGGTTTAAATATAATGCATAAACGTGACTTGAGTAGGTGTGGCAGAAAATGTGGAATAAAAAATTTTGAACAATACATGTATCCTAACCTAGTAGCATTCTATTTGAAGGACAAAACATCATTAAAACAACATCAGTTCACAATTTATCAAAAGGAGCAAATTAGTTACTTTAAAGTAGGTCAATAAACTATTTTAAATGACAATACTTGGAGATGATTAACCATGGCTCAAATTTAGGGCATATTATTAACCAACCCGGGCTGTCAAAAAGCCACTTATATGTAGCATATCTAAAAGGTGTATGCAAGGGACAAAGGGGTGGAGTTGGTGTAGGTACAGGGCTAGAAAACAGAAGGCTAGGCTGCGGCTCTCTGGGAGGTAGGGAAACAGTAAAAAGCACAACAAACTGCAGAGCTATGGTTGGGGTTTTATATTGAAAAGTGAAAAAAATATATATATAATATTTACAATATTTACAATGATCTTCAGATTTCCTCAAGTTTGGTTAATACATGTGAAACAATATGAAACAGGAGTGGTGAATAAGTCACTTTGTTAGTGTCCTTATCATTGTCAAAAACCAAAGGGTGAAATTTAATGTCCGCACTTCGTGTAGAAGTGTGCATATAGTCTTTCAGGGTGTGTGTGCCTGTAATTGTCCAAACGCGGGTTGAGTAGGTATAATGCGGGAGCGGACAGGCTGCAACAGCCCCTCCCGACCGTAGAAGCTGTTTGAAGTGTCTTAAAGGTTGTACGGAGGATTTTTTTTGGTTTCAAATTGTCAATGATAGCATTATAGAGATGCAGTAGCCTTGTAATTATGATGACCAAAAAAAAAAGAGAATAAAAATTCAACTCTGGACGTGGTGGGGCCAGCTAAACATTTGCCAATAGATAACGACACTGCCTCGTTATCTGTTAGCTGACAGGCTGTCAATCAATCTCCCTACGTTTCTAGCGTAACTGACTTGCCTGTGGGCCGCCGGTACGTGGTTTACGTACGCCTGTCACTCAGTCCACAGACGCAAGCCGCACAGACGCTGTTTACTCCACCAACGCAACAGTTCTTAGTGGCTTTTTTTGACCTATATCTTCCTCGCAGTTCGCACAAAGTTTGTTGCAATGGCAGACAAGAATCCAGGAGCAGTTAGCCGCAAAAGAAAGTCCGTTTTTGAGATTGATGAAAGAAGAAGACAAGGGGAAAAGCAGCGAAGCCAAACTAAGGTGATTCTTGAAGATTCATTCCAGCGATGGCGCAACTGAAGCAGACGCAGGGTCTAAAGACTGACGCATTGGTCGCCAAATTACTCCTGGACAGGTCACTTCTGCTTATTATGAAAACTAACTTTATTTCCAAGAGCTAGACAAACGTTTTTCAGGACACGAAAGCGATATCCTATGTCTGAAAACGTAATTTTCAGTGCAAAGAAAGAGTCCGCTTGCTGCTGCGTGTTGCAGCTAGTTCATTCGCACTGAATCTCCGCGCAACCTTCTCTGCACCCCTTTCCTGCTCCTCTCCCCGCTGCCCGATCCGCTCTTCCCCCTGCTCCTCACTTCTCCGGGCACGGAATCTCCGCGCACCGCTCCCCTCTCCTCTCTCCTCTCCCTGCTCCTTGTCTGACGAAATGTCCGCGCACCCGCTCCCCCCGCTCCTCACTTCTCCGCCTTGCCTAACCAACACTGTAGTTAGTTGTTTACAAGTCATGTGCAGCGCACCGGCTGTAAACAAACCTGTTTCTGTCGTAAAGAGGAGGCGGGAGGAGGCGTTTCTACGTAGGGAGCTGTAGGGGAGGGGGGGGTGGTTTCACGCATGCGCAACATTTGAAAAAGGACAAAACAGTCGCCGGATTTCTCGTTCCTTGGAAAATCCTCTATACAACCTTTAAGTTGAATTCAAAGTTCCTGGGTTCAGCTCGCCATCGGGATGTTTTCTCAACCAGAATCACCTGGCCTGTGGTAAATAACAGTACCTGTCTTAGTTAAATCCAGTTCGGGCTGATTAGCTATTAGCCATAGCTATCGGGAACTCTGTGATTAATAGTGCATCTGCTAGCTAGCTTAATTCAAAATGTACACAGTAGTTCAGTCCACACAATAAGTAAAATGACATTTCAATACATGAACAATAAATGATATTAGCATACCAATAGCCTGCAATGCATGAACAAGTTAGAGGTGGAGGCTACTGGCATGCTAGCGGCAACAAACAAGTCAGACAGACTCACCAATTCCTTTGTGCTATCATTTAATTCGGTCTTTTCGGCATCAGATATTAGCGGTAAGGGCTCCTGAAACGTTGCATAAATAAGCATAAATTTGCGAACAACCGATGTTATATAATCAGAAAATTCGTGATGGTAGCTCCATACCTGTGCAGCCGTCCTGTCTCGCCTCACTCCCGGGTGTGTATGGAGGGAGGGGAACAGGTGACTTATGGAAAGCGCGAGTGTGCGCGACGCGTTTAGTGACCCGTCGCCGTTGGAATATTCGCCATTAACCAAATTTGTCTATATTAACCTGGGTTACATATAGAGTAACAGTCTATAAAACAAAACTTATATCTACTTTGGACACAGGACACGAAATTAAGATATAGATCTGAAAGAAATTAACCACATACATTTATTAACTTGGTATACATTTTGTACACACTTAAAGGGCAAATATTACGCAATTTTTTTAACTACATGTTGTTCTCTCATCACAAACATACTCAGGGTTGTGTTTTGTTTTATTCACAAGTTTAACACACAAACTTTGAATATTTAGGTTTGAGTTCTTCTCTCAAGCAGAAAACACTCTGTTCCACCTCGTGATGTCATGCCGTAATACAGGAAGTGCTCCCATGTGTTTTTAAACTCCAAACACCTTCACTAGAATGATCAGGATAATTTCAGCCCTGGAATTGCTGAGCTGTACTAAACAAAAAGTAAAAGGAGCTGTTAACTTGAAAACTACTACTTCATGACATCACAAGGTGGAACTGAGCATTTTGAGTTTTGGAGATGTCAACAGACTAATAATAAAAGATTACTCAAACACGTGTGAATGAACCTATGGAAGATCATTTGTTTTATTAGATTTTGACTTTTAAATGCCGTTTAATTTTTCACTTTGAATTTTTTTACTCAGAAAAAAATTAATTATTTTTATCCTGAATTTTAGTTGTTGAGATTTTAAGTGTACATTTTCAAAGTGTTTAAATTTCAAAAAAATAAAAATGTCACCTTTTTAAATATTCAGCACAAATATTTTCAAGCCGTTAAATTCAACAGTCGATATTCAGAGTGTAAAATTCGCAGTCAAAAAAATTCACAGAAAAGATCCAAGATGGTAAGGCAGAAGCAATCGATTCAAAGTGATCTGATCTAATTTAGTAACCAAGTAGGAAATGGTGTAGTAAAGTGATCTGATTGGTCAGAATAGTCCAATCAAAACCTCCCCTCTTTGATTTCTTAAGAGTAAACCCCGCCCACAGATGAGAACAGCCAATAGGAAACAACCTCTGTCCTCCTCGCTCACAT